TAGTTGATACTTAATTAGGTGTTGTTTATAATATATAATATCCTTGCATTTGATATAGCCCCTTATCACGTCTTCGAGACATCTCAAAGTGCTTCACAGAATATACATAAAGTGAATTGACTGTCTATTTGGGGGCCAGAATGAGACAGATAATAATAGAAGGCCAAAGATATTGATAGATTAGTGGAGTAGTCAAATTTGAGGAAAATGGAATTCAATACAGTAAAAGATTAAGCAGTGCATTTTTGGGAAGAGAATAGAAATAAATCCTAATTGATAAAATTCTTAATGGAGTCAAGAAACCGAGGAATCTAGTCCCAGGGCATGGGGGTGGGGGTGGGCGAGAGTCCCTGGGAGGGTGAGGCGGAGTCCCAGGGGACAGGGGAGTCCTGCTGGTGCAGCCGGGGATGCAGGGAGTCCCGAGTGGCGGAGTCCTGGAGGGGTGGGAGACGTAGGGTATGTGTGCGTGGGGGTAGGGTAGAATTTTTCACTAAAAATTCTCCTAGTTTACCGCCCCTCCCAAATCCTCCCCCACCTTCATCTCTGATATCTTCACCCTTCTAACTTCCCTCTGCCTCTGCTCCGACCGCCTCATCATCCTAGGCGACTTCAACCTCCACTTCACCCCCTTGTGCTCTACCTCCTTAGACTTCTCTCTCCTCTCTCAACCTCTCCCTCCACATCCACTCTGCTACTCACGTTCACGGCTACCTGGTTGACCTGTGCACCCGGGGCCTCAGCCTCTCAGATGTCACCATCACCGACAAGGCCATCTCTGACCAGCATTTCATCTCCCTGAACTCCTATATCCCTCGCCCCACTGCCTCCAAACCTACTACCATCTCCTGTGGCAGAATATCCCGCAATCCCTCTCCACTGTCCTGGAGTTCTCTGAACCCCTCCCACTTTGGCCCACCTCCAGCACCAACCCATCCTCTGCCTTTACTCTCCTCCACAGCACCCTCTCCACCACACTCAACATCCTTGCCGCCCGCACCTCCTGAACTGCCTCCTATTCCCGATCCTCACTCTGGTTTCACCAGCCACCTCTGCTCGGTCAAGGGCTAGGCGCGGGCTGCCGAACGCACTTGGCTCAAATCCAGCCTAATGGTCCACCGGCACATCTGGCTGCCACATCAAATCCTACCGCTCCTCTCTCGCCTCTGCCAAATCATCCTTCTACTCCCCAGGCTCCTGTTCTCCACCACCAACCGGCTCCTCTGCCCTCCCCGCCATGCCTCACAGATTCTTTCCTCCGACTCCCACTGCGAGAAATGCTGGACTTTTGAGTCCAAAATCGAGGGAAAACGCTCAGCTGCCACTGCCCTCCCAACTTCCACCCCCTCCCACACTCCGGCCACTACCCATCCCTCCTTCCACACCTTTGAACCTGTCACCCCCTCCTCTATCATCACCACCATATCCTCCATGAAGCCCACCACCTGATCCCGGGACCCCATCGCAAACCCGCTCCTTAAATCCCAGCTCCACCTCCTTGCCCTACTACTCACCGACATCATCAACCTCTCCGTCATCTGGCACTGTTCCTATCCCCCTCAAAACAGCCACTATCACCCCCACCTTGAAGAAACCTTCCCTTGACCCAACACAGCTATCCAGCTCCCGACCCATCTCCAACCTCCCTTTTCTGTCCAAGGTCCTTGAGAGAGCCGTTGCCTCCCAGCTTCGCTCTTTCCTCTCCTCCCACTCCTTCCATCAGTCCCTCCATCAGCCCCAAGTGCCCACAGCACGGAAACTGCTCTGGTCAAGGTCATCCTGACATGCTCCCCCTTGGTGAAATCATCCGCAGACATGGAGTAAATTTCCACGTTATGTGGATGACGCCCAACTCTACCTCTCTGCCTCCACCCTCAACTCCAGGACTACTGGCGTCCTGACCGACTGCCTGTCCGACATCAAGTCCTGGACGAGGGACAACTTTCTCCAGCTCGTCAGCAAGACCGAGGACCTCCTGATTGGCTCCCGCTAGCACCTCTGCACCTCGGACGCTGGCAGCATCATCCTCTATAGCTGTACACTCAACCTCACTAAGCCAGTCAGGAACCTGGGTGTCTTGTTTGACCCTGAACTGTCCTTTCTCCCCCACATCCTCGCCATGACCGGCACTGCCTACCACCACCTCCGCAACATTGCCAGACTCCACCACTGCCTCACCCCTCAGGCTGCCGAAACTCTTACCCACGCACTTGTCACATCAAGGCTCGATTATGGAAATTCCCTCCTCATTGGCCTTCCCAACTCTTCCTTTCACAAGCTGCAAATCATCCAAAACTCTGCAGCTCGTGTACTCTCGCGCACCAGGCTCCATGACCCCATCACTCCCACCCTCACCCGACTGCACTGGCTCTCCATCCCTCAGAGGATCTAATTCAAAATCCTTGTCCTCACTTTCAAGGCCATCCATGATTCTCTGACCTGCTGACTCCCTACCAACCTGCCTGCTCCCTCTGTTCATCAGGCTCCAGCCTGCTCCATGTCTCCCGCCCAACCCGCCTTACCATCAATGGCCGAGCTTTCAGCCTCTCTACCCCCACACTCTGGAACTCCATCCCCAGTCCCTTCACCTTGCTTCCTCCCTTGCCTCCTTCAAGGTCGGCCTCAAGACTCTCCTCTGCAATCATGCCTTCGGTCACCCTCCCACCGCTCTGCCTTTCCTCACCCTTACCCCACCCCTCTCCATGCTTGGGTCCTGACCCCTGGCTGTCCAGCGCCTTGGGAGGTCCTCCCGACGTGAAAGCTGCTCCATAAATGTAATTTTGTTGCTGTTGTAGAGTCCAGGGGCATGTAGTGTGCGTGGGGAGTAGAATCTTGGGAAGTGGTGGAGGTGGGGTTGTGTGTGGGGGGCAGAGTCCTGGGAGGTGGGGGAGCTGGGGTAGAATCCTGGGGGGGTGGGGTGTGTGTGGGAGGTGGGTGTTGAGTCCTGGAGGGGTGGGGGGAGGGTGGATGTTGAGTCCTGGAGGGGTGGGGATGTGTGTGTGGTGGGGGGTAGTGTCCTGGGGCTGTGGGGAAAGTGGGGTAAAGTCCTGGGGGAGGTGGGCTGCGGGTTTGGTGGGGGGCTAGGGTTCTGGGAGTTGGGGGAGATGGGTTATTTGTGTAGGGCGGGGTAGAGTCCTGGGGGAAGTGGGCTGTGTGTGGGGGGGTACCAGGGTGTCAGGGAAGATGGGGAGTCCTGTGGGTGTGGGGGAGGTGGGGTGTGGGGTTCTGGGGGGGAGTGGGTGGAGGAGGTGGGCTGTGGAGTCCTGGGGGAGGTGGGGTGTGGGGTCGGGGGCATGGGGGAGGAGGGTGTGTGGGTTCCTGGGGGGTGGGGGGAGGTGGAGTGTGGGTTCCTGGGCGGTGGGGAAAGTGGGGTGTGGGGAGGTGGAGTGTGGGATGTGAATTCCTGGGGGCTTAAGTGTGGAGTCCTGGGGGGGTGGGGGAAGTGGCGTGTGGGGGAGATGGAGTGTGGTGGTGTGGGGGAGCTGGACTATGGAGTCCTGGGGGCTGGGGCAGATAGGGTGTGGTGTCCTGGGGGCATGGTGGAGGTAAGGTATGGAGTCCTGGGGGTGTGGGGGAGGTGGGGTGTGGCAGCTTGGGGAGTGCGGTGGGGAGTCCTTGTGGGGTGGGGGAGTCCTTGGGAGGATGGGGTGTGGGGTCCTGTGAGTGTGGGGGAGGTAAGGTCCTGGAGGGTTAGGGAGGTGGGGTGTAGGATCCTGCGGCGGTAGAGAAGGTGTAGTGTGGTGTCCTGGGGTGTGAGGTCTTGGGGTGCGGGGCAGGTGGTCCTGGGGAGGTGGGGGCTGGGGGAGGTGGGGGCTGGGGGTGGGGTCCTGGGGGGTGGGGGAGGTGAGGGGTGGGGTCCTGGAGGGTGGGGGCGGTGGGGTCCTGGGGGTGGGTGAGGTGGGGTCCTGGGGGGTGGGGCGGTGGGGTCCTGGGGATGGGTGAGGTGGGTCCTGGGGGGTGGGGTGTGGGGGTGGTGGCGTCGTGGTGGGACCCGGGGGTGGGGTCCTGGGGTTGGGGGAAGGTGGGGCTGGGGCTGGGGTCCTGGGGTCTGGGGTCCTGGGGCTGGGGGGGTTGGGTCCTGGGGGTGGGGGGGGGTCTGGGGGGGGGGAGTCCTGGGGGGTGGGGAGTGGGGGTCCTGGGGGGGGGGGGTCCTGGGGGTGGGGGGTGGGGGGTCCTGGGGGTGGGGGGTCCTGGGGTGGGGGGTCCTGGGGGAGTGGGGGTCCTGGGGTGGGGGGTCCTGGGGGTGGGGTCCTGGGGGTGGTGGGGGTGGGGGGGTGGGGGTCCTGGGGGTGGGGGAAGTGGGTCCTGGGGGTGGGGGTCGGGAGGTGGGGTCCTGGGGTGGGGGGTCGGGAGGTGGGGTCCTGGGGGTGGGGGGTCGGGGAGGTGGGGTCCTGGGGGTGGGGTTCTGGGGGTGGGGAAGGGGGTCCTGGGGGTGGGGTCCTGGGGGGTGGGGTCCTGGGGGTGGGGGGTGGGGGGTGGGGTCCTGGGGGTGGGGGGGGTCGGGGAGGTGGGGTCCTGGGGGTGGGGTCCTGGGGTGGGGGGGGTCGTGGAGGTGGGTCCTGGGGTGGGGGGTCGTGGAGGTGGGGGGGGGTCCTGGGGGTGGGGCTGGGGGGGGGGGGTGGGGGTGGGTCCTGGGGTGGGGTAGGTGGGGTCCTGGGGTGGTGGGACCCGGGGGTGGGGGGGAGTGGGGTGGTGGGGTGGGTGGGGGGTGGGGGGTGGGACCTGGGGGTGGGGTCCTGGGTGAGGTGGGGGGGTGGGGGTGGGACCCGGGGGTGGGGAAGTTTCTGTTTCTGTCGGAAACCACTGGCAACAGGAAGCGGAAGTGACGGTTCTGCCAGTGCAATGCCGGGTGGAGAGTGACAAGCTCGGCAGCCAATCGCAGGCGCGGACTCGCTGCCCTCGGCCAATGGGCGTGGGCGGTGGCCGGGACATCCGGCATCGCTGGGGCCTGAGCCCGGATCAGTCGCCGCAGCCGCGGGTCCGGGATCAGCGCGAGCGGCGGGTCTGGGCGGGGACAGCTCGGCCTCGGGGCGGGGGCGGCGCTGCCTGCGGTGTGCGGCCTGTCATGAGTCCGGCCGGGTGCTCCCATGTGAACAGTTTTAAGGTGGAGAATTGGAAGCAGAACCTGCGAGTGATTTACCAGGGCTTTGTGTGGTGCGGGGCCGCCGAGAGCCGGCGGAGGAAGGTAAGAGGCCGGAGCGGCACCGGCTGCTGGCGCCCGGGCACCGACAGGGCATCTCCCGTCACTGCTTCCCAGTCACTGGGCGCACACGGGGCCGGGGCCGGGGCTGAGGGGGCGGGAAGCCGCTGCTGGTATCTGCAGCTATCAGGGCAGCCCCAGTGTGGCCGCGGTCCTTGACTTTGCTGCAGTTCGTCCATCTGTTGTGCAGGTGCCCTGTACCTGCTCTGGGGGTCTGACCCCGTGGCACAGTGTCAGCACTCGGTGGGGTTTTGTAGCGCCTATTGTCATAATGACTGAAAATGCTTCCTGGTCATTTGCAGTTGGGAGTTGGGAGTGTCGAGACTCCCAGTGAGAGCCGACAGCAGCCTCGCGCGGCTCCATTGATTGTATGAATTACCGTCAGAGACGAACGGGCGAGTGCCGTCCTCCGCTCGCAGCTGACTTGCACTCGCTGGGGCGAGCGCGGTGTGGTGGTGGTGGTGGTGTGAAAGGTGTGTTTGTACAAGTGAGCGTTGCCAGGCACCTCGGGTGGGGGGCGCCTACACGCAACACAGTATAGTGATTGCACAAATATGGAACATTCAGTGAAGCAGAGTCCTTGTGTGACCTCACAGCAAAGCATCTCAGGACGATTTTACCCCTACAAACTGGGGTGGGGGGTGTTACAAATACATAGGCTGTAAATGTACATTAAACCAGACAGGGTGCACCATTGACTATCTGGTGCTCGGCTGTTCCCTGTCTGGTTTACAGTTAGCACAGCAAAGGAAGGTGAATTGCTACACAGGGCTTACGTGTCGAATTGTCGAAATATTGTTTGTCTGCCTTTGCTCCCACATTTCACAAGTCATTCTGCTGAAGGACTTGTCAGCAGCACCCAAGAGAGTGACATTTGTGCTGGGCACCATTTATTTTCTACAGATCGGTTGGTTGCTTGAAGTGGTTTGCTTCCACGCCAGCGTATAGTGACCATGTTTCTGTTATCCATGTAGGAGCTGCTGCAGCATTCCCCATCAGCCCAAACCTGGACAGCATAAAAATGTGTTGCACTCAAATATTCACTTGTTTCTTCTGCTTGGCGAGCTGCTTTAGCTTCTCATCATTATTTAACAAGAGTTCACAAGCTCAGTGTAGGTCGACACTCCACTCCCCTTTTCCCCCACTTCTCTTTTCCCCAATTCTTCTCTTCCCATCCCACTCTCTTCCCGCCTCCCACACACTATCTTGGGCTCTCTTTTTTCCCTTTCCTCTTTTTGAATTTGGAAATGGAACTGTTAAAGCTGAGTCCTAATCCGGTTCTTGCTAGCTGTTCAAGGAGCCTTGGGCATCCGCCTGATGTGAAATTTTGTTGTTTGCGTTCAATTGTTTCCAACAACGGTCAATACTGATCAAGGGCCTGACTGATCATTATTTTCTCCATAATTTGGGGAGTCAAATTGTGTTCCACTTATGCTTCTGAAATCAAGTAACTTGTGAGTAGACTTGTGATTTTTCAGATCTATATATCTTGGAACCCAACACATATCATGTTGGCTTGGCACAGAAGTTACATTCTCACCTCTGGGTCAGAAGGTTGTGAGTTCACTTGGAGACTTAAACTCCCCAGTGCAAGATGGCAGTCTAGTGCAATGCCATTTCTAACTTCAGATATTCAGTTCACTGGACCCTAATTTCCTAAAAGCACTTTGCATCGATTTGACATTACAGGCATTGTATCAAATGAATAACATCAGGACATGTGGAGTTGTGGGGGAGTTAGCAGAATGGATTAAAGAATGGTTAGAAATCCGAAAGCAAAAAGTAGCTGTTAAGGGCACCTTCTCAGGGTAGCAAGAGGTAGGAAGTGGTATTCCACAGGGATTCGTGTTAGGGTCACTACTGTTCACCGTAGACATAAATGATTTGGATTCAGGTATAGGAGGTGTGATGTCAACATTTGCAGTTGACACGAAACTGGGGAGAGTGGTAAATAGTGTAGAGAAGGCGAGCATTCTTAAAAGGCGAGCAGAATGGACAGACAAATGGCAAATGAAACTTAATAAAGAAAGTGTGAAGTAATTCTCTTTGGTAGAAAAAAAATCGAGAAGATGTGAATGGCTTAGATGGTGGGAACCTAAGAGGAGTAGAATAGCAAAGAGATCAGGTTCACAAATCCCTAATAATAATAATCATTACATTTGGAAGCGCCTTTATAGGTGAATGCAGCTGCCAATTTGTGCACGACAATGTCTGACAAATAGCAGTGGAGAGAGTGACCAGTTTTTATTTTGAGGGATTGTTGGCCAGGACACCGGGAGAGAAGAACATCCTTTTCAATTGAATAGTGCCAGGAAATCTTTAAAGTCCATCTGAACAGGCAGACAGGGCCTCGGTTTAATATCTCATCCAAAGGACCCCTACTGAAACAATGCAGCACGTCCCCAGCACTGCATTGGAGGGTCATCTTAGATAATACAAGTTCTAAGACCCAGCATGGAGCTTGAAACAACAACCTTCTGCTACAGAGGTAAGAAAGAATGCGACCAACTGAGCCAGTTTTTTGCACCACAGCAGCAATACAGGTAGATAAGGTCATAAAAAGTACCAAGCGGTTTCTGGGCTATATATCCAGAGGGATGGAGTATGTAAGTAAGGAGATGATTTTGAATTTACATAAAACGCTGGTTCAACCACAATTGGAATACTGTGTCCAATTCCGGTTGCCACATTACATGAAGATTATAGCAGAGATGGAAGAGTACAGCGTAGGTTTACTAGGATGATACCAGGGCTGGCAGGTTACTGCTATCAAAATAGACTGGGTTAGGCCTTTCTTTACTAGCGAAGAGATGTTTTAAGAGGGGACCTAATAGAGGTGTTTAAAGTTATTGGAAGGGTTTGATAAGATTAGCATAAATAGGCTCTTCCCACTTATTGGCGAGTCCGTAACCAGGAAACATAAGTATAAGTTAGCAACTGGGGATCTAAAAGAGAACTTAGGAGCTGCTACTTCACACAGAAGGTACTGAGAAGATGGAGCTTGTTGCCTGAAGTGGTAATTGGAGCAGATAGTATAGATGCATTTAAAAGGAAGTTAGATACACACAAAAGGGAAGCGATGTGAGAGGCGAATAGAAGAGAACAGGAGGAGGTAATGACTGATTGGAGACTCTTATAGAGTATAAATGCCAGAATGGGCATGATGGACTCAATGGCCTGTTTCCGTGCTGTACAGTCTATGTAAATCTATGTGAAGCATTATAATATTAATCCTTGTGTTTGATATAGCGCTTTTCACGTCTTCTAGCTGTCTCAAAGCGCTTCACAGAATATACTGTAAAGTGAATTGACTGTATATTTGTGGGCGAAACTCGGCAGCCAATTGCGCACAGCAGCATCCCGCAAACAGTTGTGGATTGAAGTGACCAATTTATTATTTTTTTTCTTGAGGGATTATCAGGCCTGTGGAGTAAGGAAACTTGCCCAAGGTTTTGCCCTGCCGGGAATTGAACCCAGGTTTCTCTCTTGCGAGGCGAGTGCTCTAAGTACTGAGCTACGGGACTCCACATGGTGGTATTTCGCTGCTGGCAAGCCACTGCTTTGATAAAATAAAACCTGTTTTTCTGCTCGTCAATTATTTCACTGAACTTGGTTTTATGAAACTTTGTCATTCTAAGTGGATACTACCAACTTCAGTAAATTAACATGATGTACATCTTGGAAAAAAGCCTCCAGACACGAAAGGTACTATATATATGTAAATTTTTTGGTTCACTTGAACTGTGAACAGAGAGCAGTCATGTTGGTCTTTTTATGTGCTTCATCATTGGAGCTGTTAAAATTTCACATATCATTGCAAGTTTTGATTGTCAGAAATGAATTAAATAAATCTGCCCTTAAATATTGTTACGTATTCATAGATTGCAGTTTTTCCAGAACTTCAAAACTGGTGATTTCAGTCAAGTTTCAGAAGATTGTTGAAGCGATTATTTGAAACCCATACTGAAATTAACTTTCAGCAGCCAAAATACTAGTGACATTGGATAGAAAATGTAAGCCTTTCTGTGTTATTACTCTGAAGACTTTCTGTGATGTTACTCTGTCATTATTGATAATGTTAGTAGCAATTAGTATTTCTCGTGAGCTACACAGCATGAATTTTGTGAGAGCATTGCCACCATCTTCCTGCCCACACCTCAGACACTCATCCCTTCCCATTGAGTGATGGTTCCTGCACTAGTTGGAGTTGTGGAGCTCAATCGGCAGCTGTTCACTTCTTTGCACACCAATCATGTTGGAAACCAAGCCTAGATACCTCAAAAACCAGACTGCAGGTAAACTCCCTCCAGCAGCTGTTGCCCCAAGCCTGAGACTTCCTCATCAGCAATTTAATGGACATCTGCCTTCAGGTGGAGGACCTTTACAGGACAGCTTGTAACATTTCTACCAACTAGATGTTCAAGAGTTCTAAATCCAGTGCTGTGTACCAGGCTTACTCAGCACCAGCTTCTTAATCCAAGTCCTCATGTGAGGAGCTTTAGCAAAAAGATCTGTGAAGTCAATTCCATCTTCAAGGTGCTCCGATTCAGTTCAGTGTGGTCTCCTCCTTCCCTTCCTTATCCAGACTTCTCAAACGCGCTGGAGGAAGCCTCCCTGCTGCATTCCAAGGAGCTTGGATAATGAAGAAAAGAACTGTTTGAACACAAATCTTGAAGAACAACAGCTTGCATTTATATATTGCCCTTCACACAGGATACAATAAGGACCTTGATGTCTTTGTGGAAAGATGAGAACGACAAGAGTGCCGTTTTTCCCTTCTCAGCGTGGTTCTGCAGAACAGTGTCCAAGCAAAGTTGGTGTCCACAACCACCACAACAGCAACAACAATTTGCATTTATATAGTGCCCTTCACATGGGGTAGTGTCTTGGAGCGTTTAATAGTGGCAGAGTGTTTAACAGTGGCGGAGTTTGATGTCAAGCCAGGGAGAGAGGGGAGATTATCGTATACATAGTCAAAGAGGCACAATCTCCAGATATTTTGATAAGTCAAAAATTCTGATTGATGCCCCTTCTGTCTTCCAATTAATACTTTCAAGGTATCCTCTCAAGCTACACAGAGTGTCAATTCAACACTTGTGGTGATTTGGATATGGTGAAATGGCAGGGAAATAGTAACCTGGACTAGATTGCGTCAAATCAGTTGAGTTCAGATCCCCAGAAGTCATATTCAAGTTGTTAGTGGTCTGGTCTGGAGAACTGCAATACTCTAGGTATAGCCTGGCCACTGTGACATAATGGGGTCCTCGAGGCAGTGTACAGAGGACAGAAATGAGGATGAACTCCAGTGTTAGATGAATGAGTTATGAGCAACGATTAGATACGCGAGGGTTCTTTTTTCTTAAAAGGAGACTTCTCCGAAGGGACCTTATAGAGAATAATAACATTTTAAATGGGCTTGAAAAAGTAAATGCAGAACAATAATATACCAAGGCAGTAGAACAAGAGCACACAGGTTTAGAGTTACAAAGAGCAATTTCAGAACAGATCAGGAAGTATTTCTTTCCCCACAGGATAATTAATGACCAGAAAGGGCTCCCAGGAAGGATGGTTGAGGCCAGGATGTTGGACTCGTATTAAAAAAAATTTGATACTATGATGATAGGTTGGAAATATTCTGGAAGGATGAGATCAAATGATCTGAAGGGCTTTCTTCATTCAAATCGATCTTGTCAGTGCCGGTCAGTGTTTGGGCACCCAGTCCTGGGCAGGATATGCTGGTGAAGATTAATTAGATTAATCCGTGGGTGAAGGGGCTATGAAAAATAAGCAGATACACAGACAGCCGGATGGATGGATATCATGGCCTCCTTATGTTCCTAATCTATGTTAATTATTGAAATCGAACATCGGCAAACATGACCTGGTAGAGTAGACAATGCGTGATATTATTGTGATGCACAATTAAGAACTTTGTTCTTAATTTGGGCAAATGAAAAACTGAACCGTCAGCAGAAGGTGGCATTCAGATGCTCATTCATTGCACAGTAAATCAATCACTGGCAGATTTCCAATCGATACTTATTAAATAGAATGTTATACATAACACTGCAATGCTGAGACAAGCAAATTGTGAGTAAGTATAGTGGCCACTTGTTCCTGTGGTCAATGCAGCAATGCTGGCTGTATCCTCCAGTCTGTGCTGCAGGAAAGGATTTTGAATTAATACTACAGTATATCCTGATAGTTATGAGTCATTATTTTGGAATGAAAACCATTAGGTTGAAGAAGTTATCACTTGCATGTAAAGACCATTAAATTGTTTTTCATCCAAAATTTAAAAAATGTTTATTTACTGCAGCTGCACTAATTGGGACCCTGTTGCAGATAAGCAAACCGTGTGGATAATTGGATATTATGCAAAATACAAATTGACTGAGTGCTAACAAAAAATTTGATCCAGCGGGACTGCCACAGTTGTATCTCCATTGATAACAACATTGACACAGCACCTTTTTCATGTTGGAAGAACATCTCAAATTACTCGACACCCTCAGTTGGGCACCCGAGCTGGGGGTGGGAGACGAGGTGGGATGGGAGGGGAAAAGATGACAGAAAGCACGGTGGAAGAGTTAGGTCTCGATGTGCTTTGAAAGATAGGAGGGAGGAAATCAGAGGGACTCCAGGAATGGAACTCCAGAGAGTGGGGGGAAAATGGTGATGGTGGGGCAAATGAGATGACGCATGACGCAAGTCGGTGTTTGCCCGGCAAAGGGAATGGCCGGGTCGGAGGCCCCAGGGGTGGGGGATGGAGGGGTGTAAATGAATGACGTGAAAAGATTTTTCACTGGGTAAAGAGGGAGGTTTCTGTGAGGAAACTGCATGGCACGTCACTTGGTGTCTGTCCTTTGTTTTCCCCCCCACCCACGGTGATCGAGGGAGACTCCGAGCGTCTGTCCTGACAGTGAACCACAAAACGCTATCTTTCAAAGCACATCAAAACCTAACTCTTTCACCGTGCTTTCGGTCATCTTTTCCCCTCCCATCCCACCTCGTCTCCCACCCCCAGCTCGGGCGCCCAACTGAGAGTGTCGAGTACTTCGAGATGTTCTTCCAACATGAAAAGGGTGCTGTGTCAATGTTGTCACGTTTCTGGAAACATTAAAATATTGCTTATGCAGCCCACGGAGCTTTCTCGAATAGGGAATCTGGTCCACGGCAGCGAAAAGGTTGGACGCCCCCTGCCCTAAGGCATGGTTTGTCCCGTTTCATTGTAATCACTGATCTGACACATTTGTTTTTCCAGGCAAAATCCTGCATTTGTCACATGTGTGGTGCTCACCTGAATCGACTCCATTCCTGCCTCTACTGTGTCTTCTTTGGCTGTTTCACTAAGAAACACATCCACGAGCACGCAAAGGCGAAACGCCACAACTTAGGTGAGCTGGAGTCAACATCTTTGTCTGTCTTTAATAGCAGAAATGGAAACTTTATTGCATTTGCATATGTTCATTTTCCTTTTTTTTCATGTACTGTAATTTCAAAAATAAGGTTTTTAAGTCAGTTCCTTTCATAAAATTGAAGAACGAGCAAAGTGCACAGTGTCAGTTTGATTGTATCTTTAATAAATCATTAGAACTTCAATTTTCTGATTATCTAATTTTATGAACATTATTGTAAATTCGATCCCGTGCATCTGTTTGTTTGGAAACCGAGGCACAGATAAAATTAGTTTATTTTACAGTAAAGGAACAGAATCGCTGAAAGGGTTTATATTTGTGAAAATTGTGCAAGTTGTCAATTATTTTAATCTTGTAACAAATTGGATAAAAGTGTAAGCAGAAGTTATTGGTAGGCTAGCAGCTTGATTAATCTTTCCCAACTACTGAGCTGGTCAACAACAACTTGCATTTATATATAGCCCTTCACGTAGGGTAGTGTCTCGGGGTGCTGAACAATGCAGAACAATGGCAGACTTTGATGCCGAGCCAGGGAAAAGGCGGAGGTTGAATAGGAAAGTCTTCAGATGCGATTTGAAGGCAGGTAAAGAGGAGGTAAGGCAGAAGTACTGATGCGCGGAGTCCCATAGGTTTGGGGCATAGTGGCTGAAGGTCCGGCTGCTGATGGTCAAGCTGAGGGGCCGAGGTATGCGTAGAAACCCTGAGTCAGCCAAGCAAAGGAGGTGGGTAGAGAAATGGGATGTGAGCAGGCGAAGAGGAAGGGAAGGGCAAAAGCATGAAGTGATTTGTTCACGAGTGTGGGATCTTTGAATCGACTGGGGATAGGGAGGCAATGGAAGCTGGCAAAGACTGGGGGAATGCGGGGCAGAGTTTGGTGTGAGTGAGGATGTGACTGTTGGAGTTTTGATTCAGTTGGACTCTGAATGGTTGAGATGGGAAGACCCGCAAAGAGAGCATTAGAGGTTGAGATAGAAGGTAATGAATCCATGGATGAGGATTTCAGCAGCATTGGGTGTGAGATAAGATCAGAAGCAGTTGACGTGGCAGAGGTGGAGGAAAGTGGTCCTGGTTGGGGACCATCGTGGAGTTGTAAGGACTGCAGGGAATTAAACTGGACAGTGGGTTACGCACAGGTTCAGTCAGTCTGAGGGAGAGGAGGTTAAGGAGGTCAGAGCCGCAGGTGAAAGACATTGACTGTAGATGAAGAGGATGTCTTCTGTCTTATGCCATATGCAGCTTCAGAAAATTGGTGCTCATCCAGGCTTAGATATCTGACAAGCAGGCGGACAGAACAACAACTTGCAATTATATAGCGCCCTTCATGCCAAATGGCATCTCAAATTGGTGGATTTTGGGTCATAGCCAGAGGAGGAAAAGTAGATTTGGATGTCAGCCACGTACATGTGGACACAGACATGGGTCTGTGGATGAAGGATGGGAAAAACAGATAAATGTTCCGTCCCACTAACAGGCTGTTTGGTTTTGTTTCTGACTTTTGTTTGTAAAACGCATGATAAAGTTACAGTCATAGTAATTAGGATTGAAGGGTGTGCAACTAGGAGAGATGGTAGTTTGAAACTGAAACCAGCCAGGTGGACCATTAATGGTCTTTTCAATTCTGTATATTTCTTACTGGACTTCCTCTCCTCACATGTTCTGGGGTCTCCCTGCACCATCTTCATCCAAACGATCAGGTCACAACTCTATGTTCCTCTCCGCTCCAAGGTTTGTGAGATGGACATAGGTTAACTGTCCCTTTGATTTCCCTCTTTGTAATATGTAGTTTAGCCTCCACCCAGCACCTCCCAATTAAGTTCTGACAAATTAGATACTATGGGCAGAATTATTGTACAGTGTCAATTTGTTGATGTTCAATGCTGAAAATGATGGGCCATTTTAGGCAAAAAAAATTAAACAATACTGATTTCATATTTTATGAGAAAAATGGTCTTTGGTTTATGTTGATATGACTAAGCAATGAATCTTAAGCACTTCAAGATTTTAAGGTGACTTCTGTGATCAGCCACAACATCATGGGGAGAGATGAATAAGGAACATCCAAGGGAATGGGAGAGAGTTAGCATGGCACAGGCTTATGGACTAAATGGTCTTCTCCTGAAATATCTGTAATAATATGTAGGTGGCAGTTATTGATTCTCCTTTATTTCAGTTGTTTTTTTCAAAGAACTTTTATTAGGTAAGTTGAACAGGATCCATCTTTCACAAACCTATGCTAACTATTTGATTAGTCCCTACTTCACCATGTTCTTAGTTCCTGATGATGATTATCATTTTGTCACTAGTCATATTAAATTCACTGTATATAGTGACATGGTTTGTCATCTTTTCCCATCTGGAATAATCCAGATCCTCCTCGACCTCTCTGCCGCCTTCGACACTGTCGACCACAACAACACAACAAAATTACATTTATAGAGCGCCTTTCACGTTGGAAGGACGTCCCAAAGCGCTGACCACTCCATCCTCATAAATCGCCTCTCCGCTTTACTCAACTTTCACCGATCTGCCCTTACCTGGTTCGATTCCTATATCTCTCACCGTCTCCACTTTGTTGCCTCTAACGGTTTCACCTCCAGCCCCTGCACTGTCACGTCTGGCGATCCCAGGGCTCTGACCTTGGCTCTCTCCTCTTTAATATCTACATGCGCCCCCTTGGTGACGTCATCAGCAGACATGGAGTCAACTTCCATATGTATGCGGATGACACCCAACTCTATCTTTCTGCCTCCACCTTCAACTCCAGGACCACTGGTGTCCTGACAGACTGCCTGTCGGACATCAAGTCCTGGATGAGGGCAAATTTCATACAGTTGAATGTGAACAAGACTGAGGTCCTCCTGATTGGCTCACGCCAGCGCCTCTGCACTTCAGACTCTGGCAGCATCAACCTCCATGATTGCACACTTCAACTCACCAGCCAGTCAGGAACCTCGGTGTCTTGTTCTTGTGGATAAAGGGATTAAGGGATATGGGGATAAGGCGGGTAGGTGAAGTTATAATAGATCAGCCATGATCTTATTGAATGGCGATGCAGGCTCGAGGGGCCGAATGGCCTATTCCTGCTCCAAATTCTTGTGTTCGACCCTCAATTGTCTTTTCTCCCCCACATTCAAGCCATGTCACCTCCGTAACATTGCCCGACTCCGCCATTACCTCACCCCTCAGGCCGCTGAAACTCTTGTTCATGCCTTCATCACTCCAGGCTCGACTATGCAAACCCCCTGCTTGTCAGCCTTCCCAACTCCTCCCTCCAGAATAATCCAGAACTCTGCAGCCCGTGTCCTCTCCCGCACCAAACTCCGTGACCCCATCTCCCACACTCTCGCCCGACTCCATTGGCTCCCTATCCTTCAGAGGATCCAGTTCAAGATCCTGGTCCTCACATACAAAGCCCTCCATGGCCTCGCCCCACCCTACCTCTGCGACCTCTTAACTCCCTACCAACCCGCCTGCTCCCTCCGCTCAGCCGGCTCTGGCCTGCTCCACGTCCCCCAACCCACCCACCCAACTATTGTCGGGAGAGCCTTCAGCCACTCTGCCCCCAATCTCTAGAATTCCACTCCGCCTCGCCCCCTCCTTAGCCTCCTTCAAGTCCTGCCTCAAGACCCTCCTTTTCAACCATGCTATCGGTCATCCCCCTTCCCCTCCCTTCTCCCCCCCCCCACCCCGACTCCAGCTCAGGTCTGAAATGCTGTACTTTGTCCAGCACCTTGGGACATCCTCCCGACGTAAAGGTTCTATACAAATGTAATCTTTTTGTTGTTGATGCAATATTTGCTGCCTTCTATGAAACTAAGACCTTCAAACTATAACTACTGTATCCTCAATTTCTTGCTCATGTTTTTAAAAGCTTTGTTGGAAGTTGTCTGAGTCTGGTATTTATAATTACAAATATTTGTTTTTACTAATCCTTGAAAAGAGGTTGTGGAAACATAAGTGTACTTGTTGGCAGAGAGATGACAATTTAACTTGACCATTACGTTAAATGTTTACACTTCTTTCTGTTCCCTCCATAGCCATAGATCTCCTCTATGGAGGAATATATTGTTTTATGTGTCAAGATTATATATATGACAAAGATATGGAACAAATTGCCAAAGAAGAACAAAGAAAAGCATGGAAGTTGCAAGGTATGTGATGTGCCTGTTCGATTCTACTTCAGGTGTACTTGTGGGAATGCAGTGTGTGTGGGTGTGATGGGGTATGGTGTGTGTGTGTGTATATATTGGGGGTGGTGGGGTATGATGTAATGTGTGTGTGTGTTGGGGGTGGTGGAGTACGGCACGTGTGTGTGTGTGTGGTGGGGTACGGCGCGCGTGTGTGTGGTGGGGTACGGCGCGTGTGTGTGGTGGGGTACGGCGCGCGTGTGTGTGGTGGGGTACGGCGCGCGTGTGTGTGGTGGGGGACGGCGGGCGGGTGTGTGGTGGGGTACGGCGGGCGGGTGTGTGGTGGTACGGTGTGGTGGGTACGGCGGGCGGCGGGGTGTGTGGTGGGGTACGGCGGGCGGGGTGGTGGGGTACGGCGCGTGTGTGTGGTGGGGTACGGGCGGGCGGGTGTGTGGTGGGGTACGGCGGGCGGGTGTGTGGTGGGGTACGGCGCGTGTGTGTGGTGGGGTACGGCGGGCGGGGTGGGTGGTGTGGTGGTGGGGTACGGCGGGCGGGCGGGTGTGTGGTGGGGTACGGCGGGCGGGCTGTGTGGTGGGGTACGGCGGGCGGGTGTGTGGTGGGGTACGGCGGGCGGGTGTGTGGTGGGGTATTGGGCGGCGGGCGGGTGTGTGGTGGGGTAGGGGCGGGCGGGTGTGTGGTGGGGTATTGTACGGGTGGGTGGGTGTGTGGTGGGATGGTGGCTGAGGTTGGTGTGGGGTGGAGTATGGTGGGATGAGTGTGTGGTGGGGGATGTGATAGGGTGGGTGTGTGGTGGACTGTAGTGGGAGGTGGGGTGTAGTGGGAGGTGGGGTGTAGTGGGAGGTGGGGTGTAGTGGGAGGTGGGGTGTAGTGGGAGGTGGGGTGGGTGTGTTTTGAGCATGGAATGGGTGTGTGGTGGGGATCAGAGATAGGAGGGAAAAGAAAAAATGACGATCTCCGATGATGGAGACTGCATAATGCAGTAACAAAGTTCTGATGCCCATAGAGATCTAATGGATCCTAAAGTGAGAGTTAATGCTTTAGAAATAACTCTTATGTTGTTCCCCAAGGACCATTGCTATTGTCTATTTAGTATTTATATTTATTAATGGTCTGGATTTAAGTATATGGGACAATATAATTAACATTTGTAGACAATGCTAACCTACAGAGCAAACATACAGTCACTACACTTTGCAGTAAATCCTGTGAAGCTTTGAGTCTTTCAATGGTGTGATAAGGTGTTATATCAAATGTAGCGATTATTATTTCTGATTATGAATGTCAGGGGTTGGTGAAAAGTATTCAACATGGGAGCCAACAAAGCGAGAACTGGAGCTACTGCGGCACAATCCCAAGCGTCGGAAAATAACTACAAACTGTACCATAGGTAAGCACATGCTCATAGTGAAGATCAAAGGCTCATGCTGCAAATAACAATTTAAAAATCTTTCCAGTAGCATGCTTTACATCTTATAATATTGTTCTCGTTACTTGCTGTATCTACAGACAAATTTGCTCTTTTAGTATAACCTTAAATTTATCCTCATTACCAACTCACTGACCAATGAAAATAATTCCTGTCTGTCTCTCTCCGTTTCTCTCTCTGCTTCTCTCTCTCTGTGTGCGCCCCATCCTCTCTCTCTGTGCGCCCCATCCTCTCTCTCTGTGCGCCCCATCCTCTCTCTCTGTGCGCCCCATCTCTCTCTCTCTGCGCCCCATCCTCTCTCTCTCTCTCTCGCTGTCTCTGTCTCTGGCTGGCTGGCTGTTTTGTTTGCTTTGGTTGCTTGGTCATCCCGGTGACTGACACCATGTTCAAGCATATCCAAACCAGACTAGAGTTCTATATTGGTATGGAAATTTCCCAGTGTTTGTAATGTTGGGTGTGCTCTTCTCTCTGCACTTTCCCACTACTTGTCAGGTTTAAACTGGCAGAATGGAAGTGAATATTCTGCCAGTTAATTTTGCCTTACTCCATTCTGCCAGTTTAAATCTTATTTTGATTTGGTGTCTTACTCTACTGTCCTCATGTTGTAAAAAGCACTAGATAAATGTAAATTTGTATTGCAATTTGTTTGGTACTTGCTATTTGCTATACATTGCTTTTTCTTTTGCTTTTCTTAAATTAACATAATGTGTTACGTTAATAAGTGAGCCAATGAGTATACTCATTGGCTCCTGTCGACATCTTCTATCCTGCGGCTCTGACCTCCTCAACCTCCCTGGCCTATCCCGCAGACTCACCGAATTGGTGCATCACCTAGGCGTCAGGTTTGACCCACAACTGTTCTTCCTTCCCAACATCCGATCCCCTGACCAGGACCGCCTTCCTCCACCTCTGCCACATTGCCTGCCTCTGACCATGCCTTACCCCAGATGCAGCTGAAACACGCATCCATGGGTTCGTCACCTCCCGACTCATCTTCTCAAATGCCCTCTTTGCCAGTCTCCCCAGTTCCACCATGCACAGGATCCAGTTGATCCAAAACTCCGCCGCTCGCATACTCGCCTGGATTAAGCTCTGTTCCCCCATCACACCAGCTCCACTGGCTCCCTATTACCAAACGGATCGTTTTCAACAACAATGACACCAAGATTACACTTGTATAGCGCCTTTCACGTCGGGAGGATGTCCCAAGGCACTGAACAGTGTACAGCATTTCAGATCCGAGCTGGGGTCAGGAGGGGAGAAGGGAAGGGAGGGGAAGGCGGGTGACCGATGACATGGTCGAAGAGGAGGGTTTTGAGGCGGGACTTGAAGGAGGCTAAGGAGGGGACGAGGCGGAGTGATTGGGGAATGGAATTCCAGAGGTTGGGGGCAGAGTGGCTGAAGGCTCTCCCGTCAAAGGTGGGTCGGGGGCCGTGGAGCAAGCCAGAGCCGGCTGAGTGGAGGGAGTGAGTGGGTTGGTAGGGGGTTAGGTGGTCACAGAGGTAGGTGGGGTAAGGCCTTGGAGGGCTTTATAGATGAGGACCTTGTGTATAGGATCTTGAACTGGATCCTCTGAAGGATAGGGAACTAATGGTCGGGCGAGAGTGGGGGAGATGGGGTCACGGAGTTTGGTGCTGGAGAGGACACGAGCTGCAGAGTTCTAGATTATCAACAGTCTGTGGAGGGAGGAGTTGGGAAGGCCGACAAGCAGGGCATTTGCATAGTTGAGCCTGGAAGTGATGAAGGCATGAACAAGAGTTTCAGCGGCCTGAGGGGTGAGGTAGTGGCGGAGTCGGGCGATGTTACGGAGGTGAGGGAAGGCAGAGCGGGTCATGGCTTGGATGTGGGGAAGAAAAGACAGTTGAGGGTCGAACAAGACACCGAGGTTCCTGACTGGCTGGTGAGTTGTAGTGTGCAACCATGGAGGTTGATGCTGCCAGAGCCTGAGTGCAGAGGCGCTGGCGCGAGCCAATCAGGAGGGCCTCAGCCTTTCAAGATTTCAAGACCCTGACACTCGTTTTAAAATCTCTTCGTGCCCTGGCATCTCCCTAACTCTCTGACCTGCTTGGGCGTCATACCCTGTCACTGTCGGTGCTCTGGGATGCTGCCCCTTGTGAGGGGCGTTATATAAATGCAAGTTGTTGTTGTTAATTGAACTTGAGCTTTTTTGTCATTTGTAAAGTTGTCTGAAACAAACCAATAATTTATCAGTTGTTTGAAAAGTGTAAATGATTACACTTTAATCTTTTCAGTGACAATCAAAAAAGCAAACATGTACATCTGTATTGTCTGTTCCAGGTCTCCGAGGGCTAATAAACCTAGGAAACACCTGCTTCATGAACTGCATAGTCCAGGCACTGACCCACACTCCACTACTCCGGGACTTCTTCCTTTCTGACAGACACAAATGTGAAATGCAGAGTCCAAACTGCTGTCTCGTCTGTGAAATGTCTAGGCTGTTTCAGGAGGTGAGAGGCATTGGGCAGCTTGAGCCCAGAGAGTGTTCAAACATCCAAACTGCCCAAATACCGATGAGCTTTGAACCTGGTCAAAATGTAAGAATGATCATTCATGACTGATGAAGTGCTTCTGTTGGTCTGCTAAAGGGGATTTCAGTTCTTCATTGCTGGATTCAATATTGCTAATACTGACAACTTGCACTTTTATAGCATCTTTCCTAGAGTTAAACATCCCACAGCCCTCTACAAAGTCAGAACCCCAGATAGGGGGTGGAAGAGAGATAATAATCTTTGCATTTGATATAGTGCCTTATGTCTTTGAGAAGTCTCAAAGCGCTTCACAAATAATATACTGTCAAGTGAATTGACTGTATATTTTATGGGTGAGAAACTGAAAGCACAGTCAAAAAAAAGTAGGGTTTCGAAAGTGGAAAGGGAGGGTCAAGGTGAAGGGATTTAAGGAGGGTGTTCCAGGGAATAGGGGAAGCTGCTGGAGTCTTGCCCATCAATGATAGCACAGAGGGCATGGAGTAGCAACAACAACAAAGTTACATATATGGAGCGCCTTTCTCGTCGGGAGGACATCCCAAGGCGTTGGACAGTCAGGGGTCAGGACCCGAACATAGGGGATGGGTGGGGTAGGGGTGAGGGAAGGCAGAGAGGTGGGAGGGCGACCGAAGGCACGATCGAAGAGGAGGGTCTTGAGACCAACCTTGAAGGAGGCAAGGGAGGAAGTGAGGCGAAGGGACTGTAGGATGGAGTTCCAGAGTGTGGGGGCAGAGAGGCTGGAAACTCGGCCACCGATGTTAGGGCGGGTCAGGCGGGAGACATGGAGCAGGCCTGAGCCCGTTGAACGGAGGGAGCGGGCAGGTTGGTAGGGAGTCAACAGATTGGAGAGGTAGGGGGGGCAAGGACATGGATGATCTTGAAAGTGAGAATGAGTATCTTGAATTAGATCCTTTGAGGGATGGGGAGCCAGTGGAGTCGAATGAGGGTGGGAGTGATGGAGCCACGGAGCCTGGTGCATGAGAGTACACGAGCTGCAGAGTTTTGGATGATGATTTGGGAAGAGTTGGGAAGGCCGATGAGGAGGGAATTTCCATAATCGAGCCTTGATGTGACAAGTGCGTGGGTAAGGGTTTTGGCAGCCTGGGTGTTGAGGCAGTGGTGGAGTCTGGCACTGTTGCGGTGGTGGTGGTAGGCAGTGCCGGTCATGGCCCGGATGTGGGGGAAAATGGTTGGTTCAGGGTCAAACAAGACACCCAGGTTACTGACTGGCTTAGTGAGGTTGAGTGTGCAGCTGTGGAAGCTGATGCTGCCAGCGCCCGAGGTGCGGAGGCGCTGGCGCGAGCCAATCAGGAGGCCCTCGGTCTTGCTGACGTTCAGCTGGAGAAAGTTGTCCCTCGTCCAGGACTTGATGTCGGACAGGCAGTCGGTCATGACGCCAGTAGTCCTGCAGTTGAGGGTGGAGGCAGAGAGATTGAGTTGGGTGTCATCTGCATTGCATGTGGAAATTTACCCCATGTCTGCGGATTATGTCACCAAGGGGGAGCATGTAGAGGGTGAAGAGGAGGGGACCGAGGACAGAGCCCTGAGGAATGCTGCACAAGTCAGTTCGGAGGCTGGAGGAGAAGCTGTTTGCTGAGACGAAATGGAAGCGGTGTGAAAGATAGGACCTGCACCAGTCAAGGACAGAACCTTGAGGTTGAGGTTGGGAGGAGAGGCAGTGGAGGAGGATTGAATGGTCCCACTTTCAAAAGCAGTGGAGAGGTAGAGGAGGACAAGTAGGCAGAGAGAGCCCTGTAACACATGGTCAGGATGTCATTTGTGACCTTGACCAGAGCAGTTTCCGTGCTGTGGGCAGCACGGGAACCCGATTGGAGGGGCTGATGGAGGGAGTGGGAGGAGAGGAAGAGCGAAGCTGGGAGGCAACTCAAGGACCTTGGACAGAAAAGGGAGGTTGGAGATGGGCCAGTAGCTGGAGCAGCAAGTAACAGGCATCTTACTATTTAGGGTAAATCAATGGATTTAAGATGTTGCCAGCATTTAAAATACCATCACTTTCATGATGGCAGAGGGAATGGGTTGAAGACTAGGACCACAGAGCATCACAAAAGATAGGGTGGCAACAAGGCGGTGACCATCAATGACCTCATCTTTGATGAAAATACCAACATGGTGCCCCTTTTTGAAACCTGGATCACCCCATACCACCCGGCTATACTTCCCACCATACCCCACATCCCAACCGCCCCCCTCACCACCCGAACTACTCCTAATCACGAACCTCACCCACCTCCGCTCCCTCAAGGCTCAGATATGGGCTGCCGAACATACCTGGCTAAATTCTGATCTAACGGTCCACCGGCAGATAATAATAATAATAATCCTTGCATTTGATATAGCGCTTTTCACATCTTCTAGACGTCCCAAAGCGCTTCACAGAACATACTGTAAAGTGAATTGACTGTATATTTGTGGGCGAACGCGGCAGCCAATTGCTCACAGCAATGTCCCACAACAGTCATGAATTGAAAATGACCAATTTATTATTGTTTTGTTTTTTTGGAGGGATTATTATTAGGCGTGTGGAGTAAGGAAACTTACCCAAGGTTTCGCCCTCTGCCTGGAATTGAACTCTCTCACTTGCAAAGCGAGTGCTCTAACCACTGAGCTACAGGATTCCACAAAATTACCTCCACAAGATCTGTCTAGACCACATCAAAACGTACCGCCTAATCTTGGACATGAAGACAACATCAGACTCCTATTATCCAACACCAACCGGCTCCTCCGTTCACCCTCCCACGCCTGCCCATTCTCTCCTCAAACCCTCATACACGCATTCGTCACCTCAAGGCTCGACTACGGAAACTCCCTCCTTGTCAGTCTCCCCAACTCTTGCTTCCACAAGCTGCAGATCATCCAGAACTCTGCAGCTCATGTCCTCTTCCGCACCAGGCTCTGTGACCCCATCACCCCCACCCCCACTCTCGCCCGGCTCCACTGGCTCCCCATTCCTCAGAGGATAGAATTTAAAATCCTCGCTCTCATTTTCAAGGCCCTCCATGGCCTTGCCCCCTCCTACCTCTCTGACGTTCTAACCCCCTATCAACCTGTCCGCTCCTTCTGTTCAGTAGGCACTGGCATGCTCCATGTCTCCTGCCCTACCATCAGTGGCCCGGCTTTCAGCCTCTCTGCCCCCACCCTTTGGAAATCCATCCCACAATCCCTTCACCTCGCTCCCTCACTATTTAAGACCCTCCTTTTCGATTGTGCCTTCAGCCGCCTTTCTACCTCTCTGCCCTCCCTCATCCCAACTCTCCACCCCCCACCGTTAGGTCCTGTTCAGCTCATTGGAATGTTCTCCTGACGTGAAAGGTGCTTTACAAATGTAATTTTTTTATTGTGAGGCAAAGGCATGGAGGCATTTGAAAGTTACACTGAAGATCGTAAAGTCAATCTGCTGGAATTAGGGAACAAGTAGTTCCTGGAGAGGATAGGAGTAATGGGCTCGAGGAGCCTGGTATGGCAAAGGATAACAAGTTGCAGATTTTTGAATGATCTGGAGTTTGGGGAGGATTGAGCTGGGAAGGTTGGTGAGGAGGATATTGGAGACATCAAGGCTGGAGGCGACAAAGGCGTGAATTAGTGTTTCAACTGAATTAGGATAAGGTAGTGATAGAGACAGACGATGCTGCAGAGATGAAGGGAAATAGCCTTGGTCAAGGATTAAAGGATAGCTGAGGGTTAAATAAAATGCTGCTAAGTGACTTCAACGCAATACAAATTTACATTCATATAGTGTCATTCATATCGGGAGGATGTCCGAACCTGCTTGACATTCCTGGCTTGTTTCCTGAGGGGACTGGGGGAATGAGCCGAGGGAAAAGATGACCGAAGGTGCACTCAGAAAGGAAGGTGTTAAAATAGACCTTGAAAGAAGTGGGGTGTGTGATTTGGAGGAGCTCTGGGATGGAGTCCCAAAGAAAAATCCTGAAATTGATGGAGTTTTAATTGCTGGCAACATTATACATCTATTGATTTACCCTAAATAGTAACATTACCCAAGAAGTGGAGAAGCAGAGCGTCTGGGGACAGGTAAACAAGTCTTTAAAACCAGGGTACACAGAGTTACTCCATTTTATATTACAGTGCACTCCGTACAATTGCATGGACAGACGCCATGCAATTATACAGATTATGCAATTACCTGAGGTTCATTACTGGTGCCCCCTTCCCATCACTCTGTGCTGCCTCTCCTCTCATAATAGGCTTCTATAGTGAACAACGCTTTACGATGCTACCGTAAAGTCAATGCTGTCTTACTTTAGGACAGCAACCATTCCTCCTGGAATACTGTACTTCTAACTAGAGTTGGCATTGCTCACGAGGTAAACTCCTCAACCAATGCAGTTAACCAATGCAGTTACTGTAAAGAGCTCTGAGATGCCGTCCGGCTTGGAGGGCGCTATATAAATCCAAGTTGTTGTTGTTGTCTAAACTAATTGTACAGGTATGAATTAAATCGTATTGTTCCAGTCGTTGATGACCCTTTGTGTAAAGAAAAACTTCCTGATATCCATCCTGAAATTGCCCTTTACACCTCTAAATCTCTTCTGTCTTTCATGCAATTAAGCAAATATCTTATATGCAATTAAGTGGAGTGCACTGTATATTTGCATTTTCAGTCTTTAGAGAAGATGACTTGGAATGGACCTCATAGTGGTGTACAACATTTTAAATAGGATTGTAAAAGTAAACCTAGATCAACACTTTAGGATGCAACAAGAAATAGACAAGAGGACATAGGTTTACTTCTAAAGGATGATTTCAGGATGGATATCAGGAAGTTTTTCTTTACCCAGAAGGTAATCAATGACTGGATCAAGTTACCAGGAAAGCTGGTGGGGGCCAGGACACAGGGACTCATTAAAAAAGCAGCTTAGTTGTAGTGATTGGGGACGGTAGGGTTAGGAGTGCTGGAGCGATGAGATCACCTGGGATGAAGGGCTTCTTCGTGCAGACTGATCTTGTGAATCACTTTGAGCCGTTCTCCTGAAATGAAAGGCACTATATAAAATGCATTGATTATTATAAATTGGATCATTTTATATGTACAGGAGGCATTGAGTAAAAATACAGGTGATGTTAAGTTGTACAGGAAATTATTTCTGGAATATTATGGACACATTCTATGATCCATTTTTAGAAATAACAATTTGCATGTATATAGCACCTTTCACCAAGGGAGAATATCTCACACCACTTTACAGAGATCGAGTGAGAAAATGATATCAGAGCAAGGGGACAGGATGCATTCTAGATTCGTTAGGATGACATCAAGGATAAGAGAATAGTTGCAATGAAAATTTAAAATATACACAAGATTTACTGTGGAGTCCTGTACCTCAGTAGTTAGAGCACTCACCTCGCAAGCGAGAGACCTGGGTTTGATTCCCAGCAGGTCGAAATCTTTGGGTAAGTTTCCTTACTCCACACGCCTGATAATAATCCCTCAAGAAAAAAAACAATAATAAATTGGTCACTTCAATCCACGACTGTTTGTGGGACACTGCTGTGCGCAATTGGCTGCTGTGTTTCACCCACAAAAATACAGTCAATTCACTTTTCGGTATATTCTGCGAAGCACTTTGAGACGTCTAGAAGACATGAAAAGCTCTATATCAAATGCAAAGATTATTATTATTGTTTCACAAAAGTGCAGAAAGGAATTTCATTGAAATGTTCAATAATGGAGGGGTTGATTTCCCATTTTAACAAAAATGTCTCTCTTTCAGTTTTACTCTGGGTATCGGTCTCCACATATTCCATATAGGTTACTACATCTGGTATGGACACATGCACGGCATTTAGCAGGGTATGAACAGCAGGATGCACATGAGTTTCTCATCGCTGCACTAGATGTCCTACATAGGCACTGCAAAGGTATGTAGGAATTTAGAGAACAACCCCTCTGATACTCTCATCATTTGTGCTGTTTTTGCTGTGTTCGTTCTGTAAGCACTGTTTTCTATCCTGTTCTTGTAATTGAATGCTATTCTTATGAAGTTCTGAATTTTGTAGAGTTTAACGTAGAATCTTGATTCAATATTGCTCAAACTGCTAAGAAGTAACTGTTTCCTTTTTGGGAATGGTAATTGCAAAACGATTAATGTTACCAGGAGTTTAAAGCTTTTTTCTCTCCTCCTTTTCCAACTGATCTTTCTTACCTGCTCTTTTAATATTCCCCATGTCAAAAGTAATTTCTTGGATAGAAAATCAGAATCATAGAATAGTACAGCACAAAAAGAGGCCATTCGGCCCATCGAGTCTGTGCCGGCTCTTTGAAAAGAGAGCAATCGATGAGTAATCAATCAGTGCTCTGCCAAAGTAATTCTTAAACTGAAGAATTGGGGGACCGTTTCTTAACTTGATCTGCAGTCAGAATGGGATGCCAGAATGGAGGTATAGGCTCACGGATCTCAGGGTGGGAAAGAACACGGGCTACAGAGTTCTGGATAATCTGCAACCTGTCGGGGAGAGTCTGGCGAGCAGAGCAACAAATTGCATTTATGTAGCTGGAGAGCATCTCTGAGCACTGCACACTGGATTCCAAACAAGGGAGAAGTGGGAGGAGAGGAGACTGTTGCTGTGGTTCAAGAGCAATGCTAAGCAGCATTCAACAAGATCAGGACCCATTCAGCAGCAGATGGATTTTGATGCAGATCAGTGTGTGCTTTACAGATTGGATTTCACACATTACTGTTTCTTTTTCCAATGAAAGGGTGTCCACTAGCTGAATCGGAGAAAGGAAAGATTGGGATATAATTATTGATTCTTATATTTTTCCTTTTCAAATGTTTATCCATTGACATTCTAAATAATAATCCTTAATTTTGAGCTTTGGTCTCAACCTAATAGCCACTTGTGCCAAAGCGATCACATGTCCTAATAGCCCTCTATAAGAAAACGTTTCCTTTAAATCCCCCTCATGAAAATTGGGTCCAAGTTTACTCTCTTAAAAGAAAATGGACCCAATTTTTTTTAAAACTATTCTTGTAACTCAAACCCATCGTAATAGCTATGTGCAAGTTGGCTGCCACATTCCCCCACACAGTCGCACCACTTTACAATATAGCCTGTGAAGTGCTTTGAGACGTCTCTACAAAGTGATAAAGCGCTGTGTCAAATCCAAGGATTATTATAACTATAAAATAAATTATTCAATCCTGGAAATATTCTTTTAAAATGAGTTTATAAAGTGTTAGGAAGAGTTGTTTTACTCGGAATGCTAAATGTTTCCAGGTGTGGCGTAGAGGTATAATTCAATATTTAAAAAAAAAATCATCTTCTGCCTCTGTGTTACCCTTTGCCACTTCCTTGCTTTCCCCTCATTCACAGTTATCTTCTGTCACAGACTCTATTTCTATCAGTCATGGCTAAGCAAGCTGTATAGGTCTGGCAGAAGCCTGTTTGTTCAGATGGTTAGACTCTGTTTTTTTACCACATTTGTCTTTCTTTGTAGGTGACGACAATGGGAAGAAAGCCAGCAATCCGAACCACTGTAACTGCATTATTGACCAAATCTTCACAGGAGGGTTGCAATCAGACGTCACTTGCCAAGTCTGCCAGTAAGAGATTACTTTTTGTTGTTAGTTTATAAAGGATCCTGTATCTGGTTGTCTGGAACTATGTGGTGTAAGTATCAATGGAAATGTGAGGGGAAACTGTGCAGCAACTGGGCATTTGCAAATTCAATCTCATCATCAACATCCTGCTCAGAAAAGACAAAGCTGTCTTCAGAAAATCTCGTTTTAATGGTCCAAATTCTATTTGGGGAGGAAATTCTTATCTAAAACATTTGTTGTGACTTTCCATTTATTGTTCCTGGAGCATAAAATTCTGACCATGTGACTCTCATCCTTGACAGTGGTGTCTCCACTACGATAGATCCTTTCTGGGACATCAGTCTGGACTTGCCAGGATCTTCCACACCGTTCTGGCCACTAAGCCCAGGCTCCGATGGGAATGTTGTGAATGGAGAAAGCCATATGTCCTCTGGGACCACCACACTTACAGATTGTCTACGAAGGTAGCCTTTCTAATGGTCTGTTTTTTGGGTTGTGAAAATGTGTACCTTGGTGCCACACTGGTGTAGACACAACAGCAGCTTGCGGTGTTGTCATAAAAAAATCCAAAAGCTTTGATTAACTTTGAATAGTTAATGTTTGTTTAATTAAAGTAGAACATTTTGCTATCAAGTCATTAGTTCTGTAACTTCACCAGGTTTACAAGACCCGAGCATCTAGGAAGCGGTGCCAAAATCAAATGTAGTGGTTGCCATAGTTATCAAGAGTCAACAAAACAGCTTACAATGAAGAAACTTCCCATCGTGGCCTGTTTTCATCTCAAAGTAAGTAACTGAATCTCACACACTACCTTGGAATGTGAAGCAGATCTTGCTCCGTCAATGAAGGTCTAATCATTGTGAACTTTGATCATTGTCAAATGTTGTTGAAAAGCCTAAGGTGTAAGTGACTTTGTTTTTAAAAATCTGTTTAAGATGGGGATCAGCACTAAGAGCATCTTTAATGTCTTGAGTAGTTTACCTGAGCTGCTTTTCTCTTTCACTTAGAGACAAGCGGAAATCCTCTGCAACTTTAATTTCACGCTTTTTAGTCTAAATTCTAAATTATTGATGAGTATTGTGAATAGATGGAAAGAGCTACTTTTTTATAGGTTGTTTCGTTACTATTACCCAACTTTCCTGGTCTTACTGAATCTGCTCTCCCGCCCCAGCCCCCGCTCAGTCGCTCACTCTCCTCCCCCCCCCCCCCCCACCTGCTCGCTCAATCTTCCCCCTCGCTCGCTCACTCTCCCCCTTTGTCTGTTTGCAGTCTGCTTGGTGTTCTGTACCATCAATGTGTAGCACTTTGAGGATTGTGCTTTGTGAAATGCACCATTTTTATTGTTGTTATTCTATAGTTTCCTGTGAAGAATTGATACATAACGATCTGTTTATTTCTGTAGAGCAACTGAACTAAAATTGTAAGGCCCTGATCTTGATGACATAAGCAGACCAGGGGAAGGGGAGGAGAGTGTATGTGTGTGAGTGTGAGACACCCGCTGGCTTGTTCTCTGGTGAGCGATGATTTTTGTCGCTGTTTATGATGCAGGCAGTGATCTTTGCTCTTATTTTTCCAGAGGTTTGAACACTCAGCCAAGTTACGACGAAAGATCACGACCTATGTCTCATTCCCACTGGAGCTGGATATGACGCCATTCATGGCTTCCAGGTACTTGAGAACGCAATGCATAGCACTCGTGTTTAACACTTAAACACCACAGTGAAGCGGACTCTATTCACTTGTGCTTTTGATAGCTTGACTATCACCTTTTCATGGCACTGTGTGTTCTATATGGCTGTCTTTCTATCTATAACAGTCTTTATTTTGGGCATGTTCAATCTAAGAAAAATCAGCAAATCCTCTCAATAAAACATCCAATAATAGTGAACTCTAGCAAACAAATAGGGTTATGATTTTGAAAATTTTCGTATTTTGAAATCTTCCTGCTTCATTCCGCCTCAAATTCTAATGACTGTCATGGGTGGGGGGTTCCCAGCACAGGCAAGAGTAGAGGTCACCATGCCAACTACGTAGGAGGATCTGTGCACATAACGTTCAACATTTTTCTTGAATGCAGCACCCGGTCGTTGCTTGTAGAGTGTTGTTATTCGCTCTGATCTTTTGTCCGGCTGCTGTTGGGTTCAGTCAGTTCATAGCTGAGCTGCTGGCCATTATCTGTCTGACCAGTGCTTTACTATAAAAATATGTTATCTTGATTATCATTGTTGGGAACACTTGATTGATTATTAATAAACATGAAATGTTCCCCCAAAGGTCTGTGCTCAGTGCACTTGTTCAGTTATTAGCATCACCAGCATTTTTCCTGTTTTAAAACTGATTTATTTGGGTATTTATCTCCTGAACTAACTCCCAATACAGAGATGAGTTGCAGTGGCAAAATAACCTTTCCTTGGCCCTGACATTTCTTATAGTTTTACTTTATGAACCTTGAATGTTCAAGTCTCTTTCCTACACTCGGCTCAATCAGGTTTCTGTTGCTTTTTGAGGGATCCTGGTTCCTGCTTACCAAACCCAGGCGCACAACCTGCAGGTTTTAAAGCCATTTCTGTGAAGTTGACCATAATTCCATAAATTACAAAAGGACACCAGACCAAAAACATTGCCTTTCGCACACCCTACTGTTTCCAATCCTTACACAGAAGTTTCATTGGAGTCATCAGCAGCAAGGCATTGAATGATTTGCACAGGTCCTGCTGCGGAGTTTTGTAATGCTTCTAGAACAAAAACGAGTTTGTCTGCTCTTTTCCTTTCTGTGGAACGGTTTCTGCACGGTGTAGTGCTGCTGGACGAAATAGTTCACCACTGTTGAAGGATGTAGACAGTGCTGTGGGTATGACGAACTAGACCTCCCTTGTCTCCCTTGAGCCTATTTCAACACCAGATAACCCATTGAATTTATAGTAAGGTCATATGCAATATGCAATTAATTCCAGGAGATAAGAAGATACAATATAAAATCTTCAGACTATTATTTCTTCAGATCATATTAAAATAGTAGAAAGCAACAGCAGAAAGGCAGCTTGGACTATGAATCTGAGGTTTCATCACACGTTAGTTGTATTGTCCATAGATCACCCACCAGGCACAAGTGATAGAAGTTACATGAATAAACATTTGCTATATTTGTCATGTGAACTGCCAGAAAGTAGGAACCAGAGGAGGCCATTGAGTGTTTGACAGTTTACTGAACCTTCATAAATGTTTTAATCCTATTTCCATGCCTCCTCTTCATATTCTTTAATCTTCTTCCTTCCTAATTATCTATTTATTTTACTTTTAAGTATCACAATTATCCTGCTGCTATGCCCTTCTGGGGCAATGCATTTCACATTCTTACAACACTCTGCGTGAACAAATATTTTCTGATCTCACTATCTCACTTCTAACAGATCTACCGAGGCCAGGGAAAAGGGTTTGGTGTAACCAGAGAGGTTGTGTACCAGACTACCCATTGGGGGAAAGAGGTCTGGGCAAGAGTTCCCAGTAGAGGGCGAAGGTGGGGAGGTTGAAGCATTGCATTTCTAGTTTTTTTTATTTCTGAAGAAGGTTCCATCAGGAGATAGTTGGTGAGAATTGGATAGATTGTACATGTGGGTTTAATGGGACAAGGCATCTTTTTTTCATTTCATGGTCATATTGTTAAAAAGGAATTGACCAGGTTTCTGTTGAAGGATTTAGAGGATCAGGTGGCTATGGGTGTGAAGGATGAGAACTTTAGCTGACAGCAAATGGTAGAAATTACAGTTTTTGGTAGAAATTTACAGCTTTTCTCTTGCTTGCTACTGAAACTGTAGCTGCTCTTAATGCTGTGCAAGCTCAAACTCTGCGACAATACGATAATTTATTGACTTTTCTTTTCTGTATCACCTAGATCTTTATAATTATCTTTACCAATTAACACTTGCGACATCATAAATAAATTTGTATTTGTAGTTCTCCCAAAAAACATGCTGACAAAAAGTTGGAGGGAATTAATTTTCGTTATTTATGTTAGTCCCCGTTGTTGTTTGAATTGTTTTACAAATGAATCATCCCATCTGGTCTTACCCAGCAGTCTTTGCAGAGCCCAGAATGAGCAAACAATAAGCGTAGCTGTGCAAATGGCATTATCCCGAAGGTAAGAATCCCTCTTGCAGAGAACATTAATCTTGTCAATTTTTATTTAGGTTAATGTTTGTACTCCTAGGTGATGGATATTGTTGCTGGGAAAAGAACATTTCTTTACTTTTTGTTACGCAATGTCGACATTAAGCATTCTCAGGCCACCTACAGTACACTAGTTAGATTCAAAGTCAAGCTTTTCTCATGCCCATAAATGTGCTTCGTCCCCATCCCGAGAGGAGCTTGCACACTAACCAGTGTGAATTTCTCCATTTCGTATTTCTTCCATCTTTATGGACTGAATGAGGTCGGAGCTTTGAGTTTTCATGCCAAAATGCTCCATACCCATTTCATTTGCGTGAGAGAGATTCTTTAACCAACTGCTGGTCTGAATTTGAACGCAAATCCTGTCGGTAAAAAGACTTAAGTTCTAATTTCCAGCTCCACCCAGTTCCCATTGGGACTTTTAATATCTTATGCTGAGCCCAGTTTGCCTGAAGGTGCTTGGATTTTGTGGGCAAGATTGTTACCCTGTGCAGTCTCTTCTTGGTAACCTGTGCGTTTTTAGCTGGTTCAATTCTAGCTGTATAAACTACATGAGAAGAGATTGCACACTCCAGAACTGGCACACAAAAACTCTGCTTCTGTGTATTTTCAGTTGCTGGAAATAGAGACTCTAAGCAAAAGAATTGATGAATTTCCACACATTTACAAATAATGATTTCAATGTGATCTAAGAGACCAAGTGATTAAGTGAGTTAATCTCAAAACAGATCAGTTATTCTGCATTCGGTGCCTTCTGGAAATGAGGGTTAGTGTCACTCGCAGCCAACTCCTTCTTGTGGAGAGAAGCAGTTGACAATTCTAGGGCCTGCTTTTTGCCCTCTCGAAGTCCTGCACCTGTGCCCTTTCCAACGTAGGTCATTGAGCAGTCATTAGATTGGGAACCATTAAAGATAGATTTTTCCCTCTCTAGCCCAGTGCCTTTGAGGCTAATTGTAGTGGCTTTAACATCTCACCTTCAATTCTGGCTGAGATCAACTGTACCAGCACATATGGCGATTGAACCAGCGACCTTCTGGGTCTGTTTCGCAATTAGCTAGGCTGGAGATCGATTGGTTTCTGATGCATAAATAAATGTATGTTTATAATCAAAGAGATTTTAGGATGACATTTCATATCTGACTTTCAAATACTTTTAATTACTTGTATCTAGTATTTAATTGAAATTATTAAATATCTATTTAAATGATTTTTTTTTAAATTACACCAACTTGCGTAAATACATGGTATTCAGTATTAGGAAGATACTACAAAAGTCCAACATTTAACAAAATACATTGCGTACATTAAGGGTAATGCATAACTGGCATTTGTCTAAGTCAGATATTCTGAAATGTGAAAGGTGTATGTGACTAAGTGGCTGTACTGGCTGCTGTGTGTACTTGCAGTTCAACCCACAGACATTACTTGCTGTTGGGTTCTGACCAATGCAAATTGCTGCATATTTTTGCAACAAAATTGTATAAAGTGATAATTGGAGAAACTAGGCCCTGTTGCCGAGGCTAGAGGTAAGAATGTGGAGCAGACTTCCTAAAACAGTCGATGCTAATTAACTCCTTTAGAATGCTTTATAAGAACTGTTTTGGAGGTGGACGTGGAGTGAGATGGGACACGGTGTTTTCTGTGTTGACCGGTGGGTGTAAACATTGTTGTCTGTGGCCAGAGTTCAATTGGGAGGAGAAATATCCGTGAGTTTTTGCTCGATTACCTTTAGGAATCGGGATTATCTTCGGTTGGGTTAGGGTTGGGGTTAAGGTTGACATGAGTCAATTTGTTCTGGGTTTGAAGGTTGTGGGTTTTTAGGCTGTGCCAGTGCTTGGGTTCACACTCACGTGTAGTACTTTATTGGAGTTCCATGCTTCAGATGAGATGTTAAATCAAAGGGCTTTTTGTCTGGGGTTCAGGTGGACATTATTTGACGGAGAACAGGGAGTACTCCCAGTGTCCTGGCTAATATTTCTCCCTCATTCAAATTCACGCTAATCCAGATCAATTGGTCATTCATCTCACTCCTGTATGTCAGTATTGCCAGATAGATTAACTGCTGCTTTTGCCTACATCTGTTACACTTTTTAAAAGTAAAGTAACTCATTGCAAGAAACATTTTAGATGCATAAGATGCATTATCAATGGCAAGTACTGTTTGTACCGATGGTTTCCCCCTGAGATAAGCAGCTATGTCCATTGTTGAGGAACGTGAGTACTTTGTGGAGGGAATGGGCTGAGTAGCTCTTTCTCATTCCATGCTTTCTGAAGAAAGAGATAGTTAGTCTTGTTAGACACAGCTGTTTACTACACACAACAATATGGCTTCACTTGAGTTGCCCTGTATATGTACTGTGAATTACATATGAACCACTATTCTTACTAGTACGTGTTTTATGTGAAAACAATACTTTCTATGTTTTTTTGTAGTAAAGAGAGCAGAATGAATGGACAGTACCTGCAGCCTGTGGATAGTCTAAACAATGAGAATAAGTAAGTTTCAGCAGTTTCAAAATTGCATTCATCGAATTGCTGCATCGAACTGAAGTTATACATTGCTTCATGCTGTGTGTTTGACTAACTTGGAGAACATGATTGCAACTGAGTAATTGGAGGGGATTGTCCCCCCAGAGGCTTTTTCATGCCTAGGAGCTGGTGTCTTATCCAAGTCATTCTAGAAATATGGGTTCTTTGAGGAATAGGGATCAGCCAAAAGGAATTAATCATTCCAATAGGGGCTGATTTGGCTGATCTGAAATTTGTAGTTTGAAAATATTGTGGACTCATTTGAGATAGAAAGCTTTTACTTAAATAAGTTTCATATTTAATATATTTAGAAATTAAACAAATCCCTTTAAAGATCTAAACTGACTAAAGAGTCACTTTTCAGAAATATATGTAGTTTTTCCATTTTTATCATTATTATTTATTTTCTATAATTGCATGAAATCTGTTTTAACTTCAATCCTTTCTCTTATTGAATATCAGCACAGTTATAATGAAGACTTCACAACTCATTCTGAATGTGGTACACAGCAAAGAAAGGGATGTCTTCACTGTTCACAAGTCCTGTGTAGCTGGGAAGGAGAGGTAGTCAGTCTGATGCAGAGATTCCATTGATGCAAGAGGCTGATGGAGTACAGTAGAGAGCCAATTATCCACACTAAATTGGGATCGGCCCCATTGCAGATAAGCAAACAGTGCGGATAATGGGACGTCATGCAAAATACCAATTGGCTACAATGCTAACTACCAGGAGTTATAATGTCATTGGTCTCTCACTGTGCTCTTCAGTCTTTCTGCCACTCTCTCTCTCTCTCTCTCTCTCATTCTACCAGGCTCTCTTTTTCTCTCTCTGCCATTCTCTCTCATTCTCTTTTTCTCTGCCACACTTTCACTCTCTCTCTCTCTCTCTGCCACACTCAAGCAGTCTCTCTGCTGCTCTCTACGCCATTCTCTCTCTCTCTCTGTGCCACGCTGTCTCTCTGCCATGTTCTATCTTTTTTCTTTCTTTCTCTTTGACTCTTTGTTACTAACACTGGTTCTGAGTCTCCAGCTTTTTTTCTTTATCTCTTTCATACGCTAATGCTTCACTATATAAAAGTACTGTATTGTGCAGCGAGACTGACCTTTAAGCTAATGGAGGAAAATCCTGTTTTATGCATGTGTGAAGTTGTGCTAACAACACTTTTCTAGATCATGTTGTTGATAAACATGCACTCAATTGAGCACAAGCACAACTTAGCATAGGCACAGAACAGGATTTTTTTTGCTGGTATCCCAGCCCAGTGCCCACTTCCACTTCGGAGCTTTGTGTGAATAAATGGACGTGTGGATAAACAGTGCCCTTTTATGAAGAAATTTCTCCATGTTACTGGGGGAGAAGAAGATCGTTTATAGTGAGTCCATGTGTTTTCAGGTAACTGGCACAGGCTGAAAGTGTGAACAAGTGTGTGCAGCCCTGTCACCAGTGATTTTAAAAAAATTACCTATCACTTGTCAACTTGTGGGATTCCTGTAACATACTTACCCGTGATGGACGAGATTTCCTCCTGGTGTGAAAGCACACAATAAATGTTAATTGTATTGTACAAGGGCCTCTGACTCCAGTGAAGAAGAGAAAAAGTGAACCGCTAGTTTAGCTTTATACAGCGGGTAATAAATATATAGCAGCCCAGGGAGCCTCTGTTATTAAATTAAAGAGGAAACTGGCAAAAGAAGCGAGTCTTGTAGCCACATAACCAACCGTGTGGTATTCATTCAACTTGGAGCAGATTGATGGCTGCCTTTCCCATATGTTGCTATATTTATGATCCTTGTATATTTGATTCCATGTGCAATGTACATTTTAGTGAATTCTTCTATAACAGTATTAACTTGGTCACATTATCAGCAAATATGATATTCCTAGAAGTTGCCTTTCTCGTTTATAAATATTATAAACCTTAGAAGGTCTGCAGTGCTTGTCATTGTTTTATGTATTTTTTGGGTGATTTTTGAAATCCAAGTAGCTAATTTGTGATGAATTTTAATCTGTTTTTTGGAAGATTTGTGAAAACTCCTGTCTTCCTGGACTAAGGGATTTGTGTATTTTTAAATTCATGCAGTGCTAAATGACATCCAAGTGTTTGATTGTTAAAATTACTCAAAGATAGGGATACTTGTATTGTTATGATAGTAATCCTAATCCATAACAATAAATTTAAAAATGTTTTCAGTTTCCTTTTTATTCTCCTATTTATGAATTATTTTTATCCTACTTATTTCAACTTTATTAAAGTTGATTGTATACTTGATTCCATGTGCAATGTACATTTTAATGAATTCTAGATATTGATCGACTTCAAAAACTTTTATTACAGTTGAAATCAACTTTGTTAAAGTTGAAATCAACTTTGTTAAAGTTGAAATCAACTTTGTTAAAGTTGAAATCAACTTTGTTAAAGTTGAAATCAACTTTGTTAAAGTTGAAATCAACTTTGTTAAAGTTGAAATCAACTTTGTTAAAGTTGAAAACCTTTCACTTGTCTTCTCCTTTTCTTTTCCACCATCATGCACGTTGCCTTGGCTGAATCATGAACAGTTTCCTCAATATTACATCCTAGGAAAGGCGAAGGCACTGATTGAGAGTGAAGCTGCTGGTTCTGTGAATGGTGGGAAAAGCAGGTTTAATTTTGAGAAATTAAATAATGGAGAACAGGTTGAGAAATGTTTTCAACAAAATTAATTTCAAAATGTTTCTATCTGAGATGTGTACATTTTCTATGGGGAAAATTAATTGTGTTCGAATAGAATATGGATCTGTGTTTGATTAACATTAAACGCTTGTAAGTTACTGACCTGAGTAATATCTTGCTGCTTCTCTACAGGTATTCGCTATTTGCAGTCGTCAATCACCAGGGCACCCTGGAGAGTGGGCACTACACCAGCTTCATTCGGCAACACAAGGACCAGTGGTTTAAGTGTGATGATGCCATTATCACCAAGGCCAGCATCAAGGATGTGCTGGACAGTGAAGGGTACGTACCATGACTTCATCTTAACTTTAACGTATGGTGCCTACAGCTAATAGGTATTATTAGCTCTTGCGCGCAACATGTTCATACACTCGAGCGCACATTCTCTCATACCCATGTGCGCACCTCCTCATACACTCACATTTACTTCACACCTTGGTCACTCCTGTACACACATGCTTGTGCACATATTATACATATATATATATACACATGCACACACACCAACGTGTAACATGTTCTAAAGTGAAAGATTTTATACCAAATGTAAGGATTATTATTTTGAGTAACTACTGTAATATATGTATCAAAGCCGAACTTGTCAGACAAAGTCTATGGTGAAAATTATGGCACAACGTGTAAATCATCACCAAAAGGGTTTTATTGATCAATATGATAGTGACAGTCAAATATAAGACACCCTCCCACCCCTGCCCTCTGCTCTGTGACAATGGTTAGGCCCCAAACAGCCTATGGTGCAGGGGGCGAGGGTTGCCAGTGTAACTGCCCATGGAGTGTTTTAGTTGTTGATTGTCTTGCCTGGCATTTATTATTGGTTTTTATCACCAGTGTTAATTAGTATTTTACACATTGCAAATTTCACCAAGTTTTTAAATTATAAACTGTTTGTGTTCCAGGTATCTCTTGTTTTATCACAAACAGTTTCTTGAATACGAGTAGCCTTATCAGACTGGGGGACGCCTTCAGAACGTTACACAACCTACCTGAAATGACTCTCAGCACTGAGGGGCTGACTTTGGTCTGAAGGAGTGAGACTGAACAGCTGATGGAATGAGCTGAGAGAGGCACAGCCAATCAGACAGAGACCCTCACAGCTGCAGCATGTCCGCAAAAGGGGCACATTCCGCGATGCTCCACCTGACCAAGTGTATAACTATAATAACAAAGCACCCACTGATATGCACATGGGGCTGAAAGCAAAGGATGGTATTAATGACTTGCAAATACTTTTTTTTGTGGATTTAGATATTAAATACTGTATGAAACTAGTAGGCATCTATTTTCAGAAAATGGCCATTAAAGCTGAATGCAGTAATTTCTGAGACAGGTTTTCAGTATATACACATTGACAGAGGACTGCGGATTGATGCACCTAACAGACCTCGATGGGGCCAAGGTTTGTTTGCGTTCTAGCTGCGTTAATTTTTTCCCCATCAGAAGTGAGATTCAGGGCAGATGCCACAGTGAATCTGTAATGACTTGTACAAGTTTCTGCTTCTTATGTCACAGAGCTTTGGAGAAGTCTGTGTTCATGTCTTTTTTAAAAAAAAAAGTCATTGCAGTTGGAATATTGGCCATGACAACCTGTCCCAAGTCTTGCCCATTGAATTCTTTGTTAAATGTCTGAGGAAATCCACCGTGTGGGACTAATGGTAGGTCTGTGGCCTTCATTGGATGGAGTAATGTGATTGGACCAGAAAGGCCTGAAATAAGGGAATGAAACACAGCCATTAATGTGCTTGTTATAGCCAGTATTCGCTGTCTGCAGTAATCTCGTCGGCCAGTCAGCACTACAACAACACTGTGGGGAGCTTCCTGTCTAATCCTTTTTATTTCAGATAATCACGCAATCTCACATGGAAGTTTCATTATTTAAAAGCATTTTATAAAAGGTAAGGAGTAAAGTTAACCTGAGAATTGAACTTTCTGGATGTCCTGCGGACTCTCAATGAGTATTTGTCACAACTAGGGAGAGTGTTACATTTTTAATAAATTATGCTTCACAAATAAAAAGTAAGATATGTCATACATTATTGGAGAATTGATCCAAAATCAAAGGTAAAGAAATGATCTCCTTTGGGCGTCTCTCTTGGGCTACATGTTTCTACCTGTTCCCAAAAGTGCACAGAAATGTACGCCTAATATAAGACAAACTTCAGCCATGTCTGTCGGATATCTGCTGAACAAAGTCTAAAAATTTGGTTTAATGTCACAATTTCTGTGCCAACTATAGGGAATAGCTGTCGATCTGGCCAGAGATTAGCCCCAGCCCAGGGCCTGCTGCCTTATGTGAATACACCATGTCTGCCGTATACTGATACTAAATATACCAATTGATCAAGAATCGCCTTTTATTGTCTTAATGCTGCATATTTTCTTGATTTATAGTCTTCAAAGCATATTAAATAGATGGCCCAATAAGTGATACTCTGACATCTGTCCTATCGAGGTGCTGCCAATGCCACCTCTAATGCTTTGCAATTGCGACACCCAAACAGCATCAGTTCCACATTCTAACTATTTTGTTCATTGATGTTAGTAAAGGTGAGGAGCTGTTTAGATCTGAAGCAGGTTGAAGATGCATGCTAAACATGTTGAATGAACAAAATCTGAACAAAACAACATCAAGATAACCATTTAGTTTGTAGAGAGCCGCTTTGATTGTACTTGCACAGTGAGTATAATCCCATACTGTCACATTGCACCTCCATCTTTCACAGTGTTGTTTACTCAAAATTTCCTTCCAGTTTTTTTTGGGGGAGGGGCTCCGCAGAAAATGTCAAGGGTATGTTGATTCGAACATTGACAATTTTAAGGTTAGAGTATTGGATTTTGAAGTATTGTCCAACAATCATTTTCAGATTTAATGAGCTCTAGTTTGTCCGTTTAAAATGTGTTCAATTTTCTATTGTATGCTGCTCCTGAACTTTGTCATTTAATCTTCACATAGTATTTTATGATGATTTGTCCAATTCTAAAGATGGTCCCAGTAAAACTCTTCTCGGTCGTTTTTTTTTGCAGGAATTATTGATTTTTTAAATCCAAAATTCTGGCAAATTGAAATTTGCATTTTACCCAGAGTTTTGCCATTTGAATGTACTCTGCAGTTCATCTCTCCACGGGTCAGGTACGTGGAATCTCCAGTATCCTGCAAATTGAAACAAATTATTGAGGAGAATATTTTATAGGATCTTATTTTGCAGATCACATGTTATTTTGGAGGAGATTATGCTAAATAGAATGATCAGAATTTGTACTCATGAGTTAGTATTTAGACGTTGAAAATTTAAAGCTTTCAAAATAGTGCCAGTATTTGGGTCAGATATTGGGATACTAAACTCTGTGTTGACCCAAACCTTGGTTTACAATTATTTCTAAATTCAACTTCCCCAACCGGAAAATCCAATGCTCAAATCTTAATTTTTAAATGTACCTCATCAGGGCTGCTGTCTCCAGGACACTATGACTGCACAGCCAGGATCAGATATCAAAAAAACTTTGATCATTTGACCAAGATTCTCTGCTGAACTAAAGCCAAATAGTGAGAAACAATGAAGATCATCAGATCAGCTGACTTAACATTTTTTGAATGCCNTTTTTTACTGCCCCACAATGGTGTATGTGTAAACTATCTGGTTGAACAAAATACACCAAATTCTAGTCTGAATTAGAAATAAGCAGCAAGTGTGAATTAGGGACTGAATGATGGTTCTGGCTATCTCACACAGACCAGCATGTATCACAAGAGCTGAATTGTTGCATGATTAGAGCTCTCGTAGGGCTACTCTGAAGACAAGTCAAAATTTATTATGTGTGAAATTGGCCATTTTTTCAGCTGATAAACTGCTTCATCACTTCTGTGCTTCACTTAACAGAAGACATATCATATTAGAACTTACCTAGGATTTTAAAAATGGAAATGTTCATTTGGATCATGGCACAACTTCCATGACTTTACACAAAGTTAATTTGAAAACATTGAATATATTTGAAAACTGACAGTGAAGTTAGTCACCGCTGGCCTTTTTGGGAGATTTTTGAGCACTGACTCCAAATGCTGCAGATATGTTTCATTAAATCACGTATTAGACCAAGTGCACTTTCAGGGTATTTCAAAAGAAAATTTTAGAATTTAAGCAGGGTCTGACATAAGATAATATGGATGATCGATCAGTAGCCCTGGATTAGTCTCATCAATGAAAGATGTTTTTGTTATCTTGTAATAATGCACTTTGATCTCATAAAAAGTTCCACTTTTCTCCAATAGTTCCACTGTTTAGATTGTGCCGATGTGTCTCAAGGCTATTAACAAAAAAAGTTTCACATTGCTTTGCAGTACTGTAGAGCAGCCACACTCAGCTCTGAATGTCAATTGCAAAAAAGCCAATGTAAGGCTGTGTTTCATTTATATTCCTTATTTTGGAACAGGCCTTTTGTTAAATATCAGGTTTTCTTGTAACTGCAGTGAAGTGTATGACTTGTGCTGTTTACATGTAGCTGAATGCAGTTTAAGTACCATGCGGGCATTTCACTTTCTGCATCCCCTACACCTTGCGCAGTGCAGCTGAAACAAGTATTTGGGTTTCCAGGTGGGATATACGTGTTGGGGATGTCTACTACATTTGAGAATTGTTCTTGCTGTGCATTTAAGGTCAAGTGACAAGTTTCCTACTTTTGTGGTAAGTTCTCTACGTACATTCCCATCTGTACCTTTAATATTACTGTGAAGTTGTACAATCCAATCGATTTATACAACAAGGATTAATAAAAGTTACAGGCATCACAGCCTAGTTTCACTGAAATGATGATGTAATAGCTAATGATTCTTTTACCTGAAACTCTTAGAGAAACTAACTCTACAGTGAGTTCATTAGACAACAGCTGAACATTAGCTACATCATTATCCATTTTGCTAGTAGTTAAATATCAATGTTAAAAGTGAGAAATTATTTTAAAAGAAGTTTATATTTAGTCTTTTCAGTTTAATTTATCCCCAAATAACTGTCACTTGACCTTTGGAATATCAGCACTCATCGAGACTGTCACTTACTCTACTTGAACTGAACTGTTCACAGTCACAGTATGGATTTTAAAGCACGCAGAAACAAACATCCAGATATAATAATATTTCACACCTTCCTCCCCTCAAAGGCTTGAAAAACAGCCTGAGCATATAGGAGATGTGCTCAGTTTGTGATCTTGGATAATCGCAGTGCATTTTGGGAGTAGTTGTCCTTTTAATTGTGAGTTTCAGTGTATGTTATACAAAAGCTGCTTAAAGAAACTACGTTTCCCAGAATGCCACATGGTTCCAGCATATCCCATGTTAAAGATTGTTAGTTGATTCCTTGTCCTAAATTTGATATGTACCGTTCCCATTCAGGTCCTCTGGACAGGGTAATGTATATTTGAATTTCAGGCCCACTGTATTATCTACTTCTCCATGTGTGGTATTGCCTGCAGTACCGGGTTCATTTGTAATCTCATTTGATTTCTTTTCATGTTCTGAAAGAGTAAAATGTCAAAATAAATCATTTGACTGGGAGACCTGATATCTTAAGTGTAATGTAATTGGAGATCCGGTGTTCTCAAATGATGAATTTTGTGTATTTGATCTGTAGATGGAGTCCTGTAGCTCAGTGGTTAGAGCACTCGCCTCGCAAGCGAGAGACCTAGATATGCTTCCTGGGCAGGGCGAAACATTGGGCAAGTTTCCTTCCTCCACACGCCTCTGTTTTCCTAGCAGTAAGTAGGAACCCGGTTGTCAGTTGATTGGCAGATCGCTTTTCAGGGAGGAATTAATTCCTTCAAAAAATATGATAAATTGGTCACTCATTCCACGTCTGTTTGTGGGACACTGCCGTGTGCAATTGGCTGCCACGTTTCGTCCACAAAATATCCAGTCAATTCATTTTACAGTATATTCTGTGAAGCTTCTGAGGCGTCTCGAAGGCGTGATAAGACGCTGTATCAAATGCAAAGTATTATTAGATATTCTTGCACTTTAATTGACTAGACTTGTGGTTTATTCAATATCATTTAACTTACCACAAGCTTAAAGCCTCCTCCTAGTGATGTAATGTTAAATGGGGAATGCTAGTTCAAACTCAGATGTGGGAAGTACTACATAATAACTTGCATTTATATAGTGCCCTTCATGCAAAGTGAGGTCTCGGAGCACTATCAGTGGCAGATTTTGATGCTGAGAAAGGAAGAAAGATGCGATGACATGAGGCACTGTCAGTTAAAGACATGCAGTACATTGTCAGGATATGTGCTGCCCAACCCAAAACATTATCATGCTTCTGAAAAATCCATTCAGCCCAGCCAAGTCATGACAGCCATGAACACTTTCTTTAACTGAAGACACCTGAATAGCAATCCTATTTCATTGCTGTTATGAGGTGTGAGCACAGCAGATTTGTATGGTAAAGGCCAGAGGTACCGTCCTGATATGGTATTACTCTGAAAAGAATGAGAATGTTAAACCATCTGCCTAGTCAGGGGGACGTTAAAGATTACATGGCACTATTTGAAAAGAGAAGGGATATCTCCCGGTTCCTGGCCAACAGTCCCACAGATAAAATTAGTCATTCACTTCATGGCTATTTTTGGGACAATGCTGTGTGCTACTTGGCTGAGGTGTTCATTACACTTGGTCATTATTATGTTTGATAGTTAAAGTTCCCCTTAAACCACCACCTTTTCAAACTAATCCCACATCTGAGGAAAGAGAGCATTGGTCTGTAGAGCAACGTGGTTCAAGATGAGAAGGGGGAGTGGGGGGGGGGGGGGGGGGGGGGGGGAGGAGGGGAGAGAGGGAAGAGAGAATGTGAGAAGTGGCATGAGAGAGTAATTCAGAAAAAGTATGTGCACAAGAGAAGAGAGAGGAAGGAGGAGAGAAGAGAGGGAGGGGGAGAGAACAGAGAGGGAGAAAAGAAGAGTGTCTCCCCCCCCCCCCCCCCACTCCCTGCTCTCTCTCCCACTCCAATCTCTCCCTCTCCCCCGCCCCACTCTCTCCCCCGTCTCATTTTGTTCCACATGTTCCTGCTACAGATGGAAGTAATGAACAGGTGGACACACGGTCTCCCCATAGGATCTGTCATCTGGGGGAGATTGGGCATCAAAGAAAACAAATTGAATTACAAATCATATATTTTAAAAAAGTGATGCCGCTTTAGAGATCTACAACACAGGAGGCCATTCGGCACATGAAGCCTGCTCGGCTCTCAGAGCAAGGATATAGCTTCAATCTTCCCACCTCACTGTATCTCCACACCCCTTCAAGCCTCTCTATTTAATTAAGAACCTTACTTGTTAAAGCAATTATTTAATGGAGGGCTTACAATGCAGAGCAAATGTCCCATCAGAACAAAGACATGATATTTTAATTCTTGTTTATTCCAGAATTAATTAAACTCATTGCAGATGATCCTGTACTGGTTACAGCTGAGTCTCCAGATGTTTCTATATTGTCAAGCTGAAGGTTAGATGGAGGATTTTGTACCATTTCCAGCATTTCCTGAGTTACAAACTGAAGGAATTAGAATCAGAAATTACAGAACACTGAGTCATCAGGATCCAGATTTTCTTTGTTCGAGGAGATTGTTGGGTTTGAACTTTATATTCTTACAGAAAATAGTGCATGGAAAACATCTCTTTACTCCTCTTGATTCTTCACTTCCTGGGATTGGGACAGAAAGTGCCATCGCACTCCATTTGGCTGGGGATAGGGAATCTTCCCACTCCACTCCTGCTTTACAAGCTTGAGCTGTAACAGGTTGGGTGGTGTTAGCTGGACAAGCAGCAGGAAGCTTTTGCCAGATGGTGTTTTCAATAGCAAGCTGTGCAGTTTTCCCTAATACACACACACACTGGGATACCAAAGCCTTGGCTCTTGCCAATCTGCATCTAATGCCCCGTGGAACTAAGTAAACGGGGAGCGAGTGAACATTCCATGTGCAGGTGGTATACCAAGAACCATGTCTGGTTTGGATTCTCTTAACAATGATGGTTTCCCTACCTGTCAGACCAAACCAAAAAGAAAAATTGGCTGGTTCCAAAGGTTGGAAAATTAATTAAACCCTCAATCAATTTGTTCAATTAATAGCTACTTAATTCCCTCTTGATTTTCTAACACAATACACTGCTCCCTGCGCCCTCCATCTATTTGCATGACTGGGAGGGATTTCCTTATCCTGAGTTAAAAGATCTTATTTGGACTTACAAGCAGGTCCTACATCATAAAACCATTTTATATAAAGTGTTTTTTCCTCTCTGGTAAAAGCAGTCACAGATTGGGAGAACTAACTACAAGGAACAGAGTCTGGGAACAGCTCACTGGATTGCAGGTACGTGTTGATTAGGGGATCTGCTTATTAACAAATAGGAACTAATTTGCGAGTCTTTCTTAACTCATTCCTAATACAAGAAATGGGTGAAGAAGTAGTCCATTTTTCCTCATGTGCTAGCTTGTGAAGGAGAACAGATGATTTGAAACGTTTTGTCTTTGTGAGCTGGGACAGGAGCCAGTGATTGCGTTCTGGCAATAGGTGGAATTGGGAGGCACTGATGACCTGCTGGTGTGTTTGCAAATTCTTTTTTCTCTCTTTCTGTAAGTTTCCGTTCACAGCAACAATAGCTACATGTTTCTGATGGCTCCGAAGACAGACTTCGATTCTGCTCATCTCCGTCAACACCAACTTGCACCAGGCGGTCTGTGTGTGAAACATACCAGGTTGAGTAACGGAACGAGACACGATTAATAGAATGAGAAATAGGTGTGACTCTTGCTAATATCACAGTTGTAAACTTTAAAATGTAACTTTTATTCAGGAATTATCAAGAAACCCACAAATTCCCCTCATTCCCTGTAAACTTCCAGATTAATCTGTACCCTGTAAATTGACACTCTGTTCTGCATTCTTTAGACTAATGTCATAATGCCCTTGTGGTAGATCTCCAGATCAACTAAACACAAAATACAGCAGATGCTGGAAATATGAAATGAAAACAGAAGTCGCTGGGAACCCTCAGCAGGTCAGGCAGCATCTGTGTTTCTCCATAGATGCTGCCTGACCTGCTGAGTGTTCCCAGCAACTTCTGTTGGATTTTATTGCTTGACGTTCAACATGGTCTCTGTGAAGTGCTCCATGCAGTTACCCGATATGAACACCACTATACAAGTTGTAATTTCTAGGATTCCTGGTATTTGTGTGCAAATCGTCAAGTCATTTCTTACACTGTTTTTAGCCTGTCTGAATTTAGCTATAATTTATCTTCACAGTAGTAACCCTCTCCTCCATCCTATTGCTCTTTTATTTGTATCTGTATACAGTCACTTCTATTCTGCGCTTTATATCTTTTCCTGTTTCCATTTTCCCACCTGCCTTTATTTTAATGGTTTACATAATAATAATCCTTGCATTTGATATACAGCGCCTTATCATGAGTCTCAAAACTCTTTACAGGATATATTGTAAAGCGGTTTTGATCATGTAGTGGGTGAAATGTGGCAGTCAGTTTTGCACATAGCAATGTCCCACAAAAAGCTGTGTCAGCCTGGCGCAGTGGTAGCTCTCTCCCCTCCAAGGCAGAAGGTCGCCCTGTGTTAGGACTTGGAATCACATAGCTGATTCTCCAGTGCAGTGCTGGGGGAGGAGGGTGGTGCATTGTTGGAGGTGCCGTCCTTCAGATGAGATGTTAAACCAAAGTCCCGTCTGCCTTTTCAGGTGGACATTAAAGATCCCAAGGCACTAATTCAAAAAGAAAAGAGTTTCTCTTCTACAGTCATTTCACTTCACATTATATCCTGTGAAGCACTTCGGCATGTCTCAATGAAGTGATAAGGCGCTATATCAAATTCAAAGATTATTCTTATGGAATGTGTCACCAATTTTATTTGGAGTATTTGTTACTTTACCTTGTCCTTCAGTTTAATAATAATAATATTAATCCTTGTATTTGATATAATGCCTTATCATATCGTCGAGACTTCTCGCAGCGCTTCACAGAAAATACTGTAAATCCTCACTCACTTCTATTTTTGCACTCTCTGTGTCGACACTGCTGCTTCCAGCGCCTTGGGATGTCCTTCTGACGTGAAAGGCACTTTATAAATGTCATTTTGGTTGTTGTTTGTTGTATACTAAAACCCTTCCTATCTGAACAGTTTTCTCCTTTCTCCAAAACATATCTCAATGTCCCAAAACTCCAGACTTGTCCCAAATCTGAACATTGCTTATACATGTTCTCAAACTACGTGTTAATATGTTTGATTTGTTTCTCCGTGTACGATGCAGCGAATTGGCACCGACTCCAGTAAAATGTCCTGTTCTTTAATCTAACGTTTTATTCTGACTAAATGCAACCACTTTGTATTCTCTTTGTTTTCGATTTAAGCTTTTTGTTTCACTTCCTATTTTCTTTTTCTAGTCCTTTCAACTAATTTTTTCTGCATTTCATGTTTATCTTCTCACATTCTTTCAACTTGCAATTGAAAACATCCAGGAATAAGCAGCTGACCTTTTGAGGAGACATCTCTCTTGTGTCCAGTCACAGCTGCATCACGTGTGGAACTGACCTTCCTCCTAAAGCTGTAAACCAACAGCATCAAAAACACACAAGTGACAACACAGAGACTGACTGCCAGCACTGTGTAGATCAGGATGTTGAAATGCTCTTCGGTAGGTAGACAGTGTCTGAAGGTAGACACAGTGTCTGAATTGAACACCGTGTTCTCTAAAAGAAAAAAAGAATTATTTAAGAATCCCAGCCAACCAAATGAAAATGAATTATGGTATCACAGAACTGTTCAATTAATCGCAGACACTTAAAATTCTCCCTGGTCCTTGTGGCAAAGTGTTGCACGGGTAATAGATAGGAGAACTGTCTCATTACTCTTTTGGTTAAGATCAAGTGTAATATCTGTTCTTATTAGTTTAAGATGAATTGCAGTTTTAACTATGCTCCATACGTCAATGTAGTGTCTTGAACATATGGAGAAGGTCATAGCATCGTTAACACCAGACCTGCGACTGCACGGGCTTCGCTGGTTTGAGACGGTGGAATTTGAAAATGGATGTTCCTATGTTCCTATGATGTGTGACTCACTAATTGGTCAGATGAGAAATATTTTGGTTTTGGTGGCCAAGTGCAGCATTTAAACGATGCTGATGAGTGCAAATGATTCTGATTCACAGTTTTACTTTTGTCAAGTCAGTCAGTGTACCGGGTCTCCACAAAGGCCCATTACCCCATATTTTTTTTCTCTCTACAGTGCACTGTCCCAACAACTGAAACATATGGAAGAATGATGATAATTGTGCTTAGAAGTGCTTAATTGTATTCAGTACAGATGTTTAACTGTATTTACACAGAGGATCGGTGTGTGTGAGAGCGCCATCATTTTCATGGTAGATAATGATCCATTGCCATGTTTGGTGCGACATTGCCATAACATGGATGGAGTGACGAGGCGTTGTTTCATATCGATGTAACAGGGGGTAAGAGACACCCTGTGGAACAATCTTTTACAGGTAAGAACCAAGTAACTGACCACCTATAATTAAGATCTTCAAATTTACGATTAATTTGCTTTTATATAAAACTACAATGAGATTATCTATTACAAACAGCATACTACCTTGACATATGTTCGAACACTGCTGAGGATGTTGTCCACACACATCTGAGCACTTCACACATTTTCGCAACAGTTTGTCCCAGTACGATTGTGAAGCATCTTTACATCTCTGAACCTCTATGATGAGAAACATTTGAGTCAGTGAAGAGATCCAAACTGGCTCACAGTTTGTGAAAGGCAAATTATCCATATAGTATTTCCTAGAGACAGGAATATCTTTTATCGGGTATTTAAAATGATGATGAGTGAAAGGTATGAAATATAATTAGAAAAATGAAGGTTGGAGAATATTGAACAAGGTAACACTCAATGAGACCATTTAATATTATTTCTATATAATAATAATAATCCCTACATTTGATATAGCGCCTCATAGATGTCTCAAAGCGCTTCACGGAATATACTGTAAAGTGAATTGACTTGTATTTTGTGGGCGAAACACGGCAGCCAATTGCGCACAGCAGTGTCCCACAAATAGTCGTAGATTGAGTGACCACATTATTATTTTTTGAAGGGCTTATTAAACCCAGAAAAGCGATCCGCCAATCGATTGACAACCACTTACTAGTTAAACAGAGGCATGTAGAGTAAGGAAACTTGCGTAACATTTCGCTCATTAGCTTTAACACTAACTCTCTGCTTCAAAGTAAATCTTTGAAGGTGGCAGATCAGGTAGATAAAGCTGTTAAAAAAGTATACGGGTTACAAGGTTTTATAAATAGGGGCATGGAATACAAAAGTCAGGAAGTTATGATGAACCTTTATTAAAACACTGGTTAGGCCTCAACTGTTCATTTCTGGGCCCCACACTTTAGGAAGTATGTCAAGGCATTGGAGAGGGTGCAAAGGAGATTTACCAGGATGGTACCAGGAATGAGGGACTTCAGTTATCAGGAGAGGCGAGAGAAGCCGGGATTATTCTCCTTGGAGCAGAGAAGGTTAAGAGGATGCTTAGTAGAACTTTTCAAAATTATAAGGGGATTCGATAGGGTGAACAAGGAGAAACTATTTCCACTGGCGGGTGGGTTGGTAACCCGAAGACATCGATTTTAAAATAGTTGTTAAAAGAAACAGAGGGGAGGTGAGGAGAAATGTTTTCATATTGTGAGTTGTTGGGATCTGGAATGCATTGCCTGATTCGATAACACCATTTAAAAGAGAAGTAGATAATTATTTGGGGAGGACAAGTTTGCAGGGCTGCGGGGAGAGAGCAGGGGAGTGGATTGAATCGGATAGTTCTTTTCAAGGAACAGGCACAGACACAATGGGCCGAATGACTTCCTTCTGTGCTGTAAATCTTTTGATTCTATGATTTGGCCCTGCCCAGAAATCAAACCCAGCTTGTCTCGCTTACGGGGCGAGTGTGCTAACCACTACACTGCAGGACTTCCAATACATGCAATTGAAACAAATTATTTTTATTTGAGTTTCTTGTGATTGTAAATTCAAAATTGAGCAGTAGAAGGTGACCTACCACAGTAAGCCCTGCACATGACTTTCACATGTTCACCGCAATGGTTCGTACATTGAGAACATTTGCGCAGAAGCTGGTCCCAGAATTCATCGTCAGAACAGTCCTTCATATTCTCTCCTCAGGAGACAGCAGCTGTCTTAATTGAAATAAAACCGGTAATAATTGCACATAATTAACTTGTTCAAAACAGAACTGCCTAAATATCTGATAAATATCTTTATGAAACGTTACTAGAGATTTGGGGATAAACAACCAATGATTTCTGTGTGGCTGGGGTGGGAGGACCAAAGAGGATGTGGCCTTAGGAAGGTTTTTAATCCTTAAAGCTAGGATTAAATTGTGGGGTGCAAGAATATTCTGCTCATTAACACTGGCTCAGGAGCCTGTAATTCTCTACAAGTAGAGACCTTTGTGGTTAAGCAAATGTGGATAATTTGACATCACACAAAATACAAATTGACCACAGTGCTAAGTAAAAACTCAGTTAGTAACACGCAGTTAGTTAATTGACTCAGTTAGTAACACTCTCACCCCTGAGACATAATGTTGCCCCATGTCAGGATTTGGCTCCAGGTACCAGCGCAGCACTGGGGGTATCTGCATGATCAAAGGTGTTGCATTGATGGCTTACTGGGCATCAAGCCCTTTTCCCAGTCCCTTTACTTTCATTCTCAATGGAGCCAAGCTCCTGGTTCTCACTCTTTAAATAACTTCATCTTTACATTCCTGGGTTTATGCTTGCAACTGAGAATGTTCCTCTGGTGTATCTGGTGCTTTTGTTAAGATATAACAAATAAGTAACATACATGTGGAGTAATAAGCACGGAAACAGACTAGTTGTGCTGTAATGTTCTGTTTCTGTGCTTTAATGTTCTACATAATTCTACAAATTTTTCTAGAACTGTAGAAGTTCACAGCAATGAAGAAAGCCTTTCGGCCCATCGTGTGTAGCTCTTTTAAAGAATGATCCTTTCAGTTCAATTCCCTGTCTCTTCCCCTTCCCCTACATATAAACATATATATATATATAAGCTTTCATCACATTCTTTTATTCAGTTCAATTTTTTTAAACTAAAATTCTAGATAACTTTTTTAACAATAATGAACCTGATAATTACCAAAGACAAGACTTGTTTCAATATTCCTCCAATTAGACCTATGTTTCTCCATATAAAATCACAAGGAATAGAAAGGGATACATGTGGGCAAAGCAGGCTTGGAGGTTTGTGTGGATATAATAATAATAATAATAATAATAATAATAATCCTTGCATTTGATATAGTGTTTTTCTTCTAGACGTCCCAAAGTGCTTCACAGAATATACTGTAAAGTGAATTGACTGAATATTTGTGGGGGAACGCGGCATCCAATTGCGCACAGCAATGTCCCACAAACAGTCGTGGATTGAAAATGACCAATTCATTATAATCCCCACACGGACTAGTTTCTGTGCCTTATCTCTCTTTGTAACTCTATGTAAGACCTATCATTTCTTCTTTATAGAGTATCAAAAGGTGATTGACAGTCAGAACAAAAGAGCGTTACAACTCCCCGAGTTTGTGGGTTTGTCGAGTGAATAACTGAGATACGCAGATTGAGAAGGTCCCAGTTACGATCCCTTATCTGTCCTGAGGAAATTAAGCTACATTGGTCTCAGCACCCAAGTTAAGGAGGGAAAAATCTGTAAGATGATTAAATGATACTTCAAAATCATTCTATAGTCACTAAATTATACTAAATTTCTCTGAAGAAGTGCAGTGATTTACAGCTAGAAGCATTTTTACTGAAAATCTCAAACCAAAGAATTCATATACATTTTAAATCTAGAAAATTAAATGATAACAGTATATATTTTCAGGAGCATCTGGTATAAAAGAAATCCAATTGTTTCATCATAAACACACAATTTCTTTAACATTTTAAATTACTGATTTGTTTCCACATCATTTTGTAGAATCGTACTCACCTGGTCATAACACCATCTGGTTCTTAGTGCACAAGGTTGTGTGAATCTGAACTGAAACCAACTCATTTTAACAGCAAGAAGGATTTCCTGGTACTTCCCCCTTGTTTTACAATAAATATTAATCAGTCATGCCTCACAAAAAGCAAAATATTTAAACTTTTGACGGGCAATCTTTAAACAATAGTAGGATTTTGCTATTTTCTGTGAGTATCTGTAACAATTAAACATCAATAGGTGGAATAAAAATTTAATTATTGCTAGAAAGATTTAAATATTTTTCAATGTGGAATTTGTTACAAACTGCTGTTGGAAGTTGAGTCAATTGCTTCTAAAAAAGGGATTTAGCCAAAGAGTAAAGAGCAGAAAATGGGATTATAAAAATTTTTTGGGGGACACTGCTGTGCGCAATTGGCTGCCGCGTTTCGCCCACAAATATACGGTCGATTCACTTTCAGCATATTCTTTGAAGTACTTTGAGACGTCCAGAAGACGTGAAAAGTGCTATATCAAATGCAAAGATTATTATTATTCATTCACAAGAGTGCAGAAAGGAATTTCATTGAAATGTTCAATAATGGAGGGATTGATTTCCCATTTTCACAAAAATGTCTCTCTTTCAGTTTTACTCTGGGTATCGGTCTCCACATATTATAGTAAATATTTGCAGTGAGGGAATGAGCACAATGTCCTGTTCCTGCCATAAAACATCCATGTTTTTAAATTTAGAAAATGATTAATAAGATGCAAGCACTTCTCTCCTGTCACATGTCAGTTTCACTAAACATATTGGAGTCCTGTAGCGCAGTGGTTAGAGCTTTGCAAGCAAGACACCTGGGTTCTTTTCCAGACAGGGCGAAACCTTGGGCAAGTTTCCTTACTCCACATGCCTAATAATATTTCCTCCAAAACAAAATAATAATAAGTTGGTCATTTTCAATCCCCGACTGTTTGTGGGACACTGCAATTGGCTGCCGCGTTTTGCCCACAGATATACGGTCAATTCACTTTACAGTCTATTCTGTGAAGCGCTTTGAGACGTCGAGAAGACGTGAAAAGTGCTATATCAAATGCAAGGATTATTATTATTATTGAATGCAAGGATTATTATTATTATCCTGACAGAACAAATTTTGAATAAGTTACCAAGAAAGAGTAAATGAACTTGCTTCCCGTGCAACAGGGAGATTGGTTATTACTGGAATCTGATTGATCAGTTACTGGAATATAGATCAATAGACAGTCACTCAGTGTACATCAACACAGAGCACTGATTTTAGATTCATTGTTAATGCTACTACAATTACAGTAATGAATATACATTTTTGTGGTAAATCTGTTTTAAATGTTTTAATGTTTGTAAATCTGAAGCTGACTGTGCAGCACCTTGGGACTTCATCCCGACGTGAAAGGCCCTATGCAAATGTAATTTTATTGTTGTTGTTATTGCTTAAAAATAATTGGTGCTTTTGATATATTGCCTTTCCACATCATCGAGACTATTATAAACATACAATTTTGTTGCATACTTGACTTCTAAAACAGGCAGATCTTAAATGAAGAAGTCACAGTGAATGGGATAAACTCTGTTTTCTCAGTACCACCTTCACTATTTTCCACTTGGAAGGTGTATGAATGGAATGCCTTACCACAAATGACTGGTGAAGCCAATTGCAAAGTTGAAAAGGGAATTGGATAACTACTCAAAGTAAACAAATAGTAAAGAATAGTGAGAAAGAGCAGGGAATGGGATTAGAGAAGAGACCATCAGTGGGGAGTGAGCACCAGCACAGACACGATGGGGAGAGAGAGAGAGCAGGGAATGGGGTTAGAGTAGAGAGCTCCAGTAGGGATGGAGCACCAGCACAGACTCCAGTTTGCAAACGCCTGTGGCAGGAGTAGGACGGATGGGACAAGTGGCCTTTCTGTTGAAATAGACAAGTCCTCTTTTCCAGTATTGACAACCCGTTGAATACACTTTCACCAAAGAGTTTGAAAGTTTTCAGATAATTTTTAAAATAAATTGATTCTTGTAACAGTCTAGATGCAAGCCCCCAGTCGTTCACACACATGCCATGAGGAGCAGATGCAGCCCTTGTTTTCTTCTTCACTTTTTCATACAAAGAACATGAGTAAAAACTATTTAAGACTCAACATCTAAAAGCGGAAGCCTTGATGAATAAATAGAAGCTTAAATTACAGCCTCCCCACTCAGAGAGGAAACGAGACAATACAGATTGTGATAGTTTTAGTTGCATTTCCTGCTGGCAACTAGTTTAAAACAAACTACATTCTTAGCTGCTTTTAGTTTAGTCAGGTAAGGATTTAAATCTTAGACACTCATTGTGTATTACAATTGAAAACAAAACTTGCTATTAGATGTTTGATAGATATTGGATGTTTGATAGATATTGGATAGATATTTGATAGAGCATTTAAACTAACAGCATTGAAACGTCTCAACATTTCAGAGGTAATTGCTGGCAAGTGTATCAGCCACGGTGTCCTGGTCTGTCTGATGCATTTCCTTTATTCTACATAAAAATAATAATAATAATCCTTGCATTTGATATAGCTCCTTATGTCATTAAGGCATCTCAAAGCACTTCACAGGATATACTGTAAATGGAGTGACCATATTTTGCGGGCAGAACCTAGATGCCAATTGCACACACTGTCCCATAAACAGCCATGGAGTGAGTGACCAGTTTTATTTGGGGGATTGTTGGCCAGAACACCGGAAGAAACTAATTTTTCCAATAGCGCCATGGGATCTTTAACGTCCACCCGAACAGGCAGACGGGACCTCGGTTTCATGTCTCATATGAAGGACATAATTTTTTAATATTTAAAAGCCTGGTAATATGGTGTTTGCTCATGTTACAACTGGCAAGATTAACTTTTAAAGTTAAACCTTCCTCGCAAATACTATATTAGATCTGCAATAGATTTTTCCATTCAACGTAATTCTGTACAAATGTTTTAAAATTAAAATAAGTAGTAATGCTATAATAAATAAGTTAATTAAAAAATAAAGTATTATTAAAATCATATCATTTATATTGTAACTCACAATTAAAACAAATTTCATCCCCTTTGAACACTTGAATATTTACAGATTTTCAAGCTGGAATGGCTTACACTTCAAGCTCTGAATAAAATCAGAGACAAAAGTTTAAGAGAAGAAATGCACAGATAATACAAGGCAAAGAAAATTCACGTTTGTAAAGCTGCAGCGTAGACTGGACACCTGGGAGGCAGCAATCAGGTCTCTGTATAGGAATGGTCTGAGTAAAATATCATGAAGTAAAACTGATCTATTTTTGAGGGTCAGCTGTTTGACACATGTGGAAACCTATCATCCTGTTTAACAGTGTCTGATCCAAACTACCGAGAGTGCCACATTTTGTATGGTTTCAGTTTGTCTCCCTGGAGGAGAGTTGCTGGTTGGCAAGTAGCGCGTTGGGGTAATTATAGGAGTTTAACCAACAAAAAGCATACCTTTCCTTTGAGAACACTAGGAAGATACCCACTGTTTGTCCAACTAGGACCACCCTACCCATTAGGCCTTTAGCTTGCAGGATTAAAAGGTGCCAAGTCGGAAAATCCCTGCCCCATTGACTGGTCTGCTCTTCCAATCATACATATTTATCACCCTATTCCTCACAACACTCCATTGGTTCTCTCAATAGGTCAACTTCAAAGTTCTCACCTATAAATCCCTAGCACCTTCCTATCTCTGTAATATTCTACCCCCTTCTTCTCAACCCTCCGCTTGGCTAACTCAGGCTTGCTGAACGTCCCTGTCCCAATGTTGGTGGCCGAGCTTTCAGCTACTAAAGCCCTAGATTCAATCTAATTTCCTCAAACTAATTTCCTCTCTATCCATCTTTAAGTTCTGTCTAAAATACAAGCTGTTTGACTGTGTCTATGGCCACCTCCCCCTTTTTCCCTCCCCCTTTTCCCTAACTCAGCATCCCACCTTGTGATGGTGAAGCACTCTAAACCTACATGAAGGGCACTATTTAAATACACAATGTTGTTATGAGCCGGACTGCCTGGTCCATCAACAAGATGCTGTTTATCTGCTCTGCTCAGGTATTGGACTGATGCTACCGCAGGGGATTGAATTGATGGAAGTGGAAATCTGAAACTCTCCCCCAAAAGGCTGTGGATCCTTTCACATTTTCAAGATGGAGGTAGATAAATATTTGTTAGGTCAGGGTATTAAAGGATATGGGGATAGGGGGAATAACTGGACTTGAGGTATAGATCAGCTATGATCTTATAAAATGGCGGAACAGGCTCTGAATGGCCTACTTCTGATCCTTTCCGATGTCATCAACCTCTCCTTGTCCAGCAGTTCAGTTCCCACCCCCCTAAAAAAGCCGTCATCACCCCCATCTTGAAAAAATCTCTAACCTCCCATTCATCTCCAAGGTCCTGGAACGAGATGTTGTGTCCCAGCTCCGCTCCTTTCTCGCTGTTCCCTCTTTGACCCCTCCAACCCGGCTTCCGCGCTGCCCACAGCACGGAAACAACCCTGGTCAAAGTCACTAATAACATTCTGAACATTTGTGATCAGGGCTCCCTCTGCCTCCTTGTCCTCCTCGACCTCTCTGCTGCCTTTGACAATGTCGACCAATCCAACCTCACACACCTCCTCTCCTTAATCTTCACAGATCTATCCCTTGCCTGGTTCGATTCCTATCTCTCTCACGGCCTCCACTTTGTTGCCTCTAACAGTTTCTCCTCCAGCCCCCACACTGTCACGTCTGGCATCTCCCAGGGCTCTGTCCTTGGCCCTCTCTTTAATATCTACATGCTCCCCCTTGGTGATGTCATCCACAGACATGGGATCAACTTCCATATGTATGAGGATGACACCCAACTCTATCTTTCTGCCTCCACCCTCAACTCCAGGACCACTGGTGTCCTGACAGACTGCCTGTCGGACATCAAGTCCTGGATGAGGGCAAATCTCTTACAGTTGAATGTGAGCAAGACTGAGGCCGTCCTGTTTGGCTCGCGCCAGCGCCTCAGCACCTCAGGCTCTGACAGCATCAACCTCCATGGTTGCACACTTCAACTCACCAGCCAGTGAGGAACCTCGGTGTCTTGTTTGACCCGCAACTGTCTTCTTTCCCACATCCAAGCCATGACCCGCTCTGCCTTCGCTCACCTCAGTAACATTGCCCGACTCCGCCACTACCTCACCCCTCAGGCCACTGAAACTCTTGGTCATGCCTTCATCACTTCCAGGCTCAACTTTGCAAACACCCTGCTTGTCAGCCTTCCCAACTCCTTTCCACAAGCTGCAGAAAATCCAGAACTCTGCAGCACGTGTCCCCTCCCTCACCAAACTCCACGACCCCATCTCCCTCATTCTCGCCCGACTCCACTGGTTCCCTATCCCTCAGAGGATCCAGTTCAAGATCCTGGTCCTCACCTACAAAGCCCTCCATGGCCTCGCCCCACCCTATGTCTGTGACCTCCTTACCCACCTATCTACCCGCCCGCTCCCTCCGCTCAGCCAGCTCCCGCCTGCTCCATGTCCCCCGACCCACCCGCCCCACCATTGGCAGGAGAGCCTTCAGCCACTCTGCCCCCAACCTCTGGAATTCTATCCCCCAATCACTCTGCCTCGCCCCCTCCTTAGCCTCCTTCAAGTCCCACCTCAAAACCCTCCTCTTCGACCATGCCATCGGCCACCCCCCTTCCGCTCCCCTCCCTTCCCTTCTCCCCCCCCGACCCCAGCTCGGGTCTAAAATGCTGTACGCTGACCAGCGCCTTGGGATATCCTCCTGATGTGAAAAGTGCTATGCAAATCTAATCTTGTTGTTGATCTTCTATTGCCTGGTGTGTCACTTTAGAGCCAACTCAAACCCAAAGAGACCCATTTCTCCTCCCCTCCCCCCCCCCCCCATCACTGCGATCGTCACTTGTTGGGTCATCAGACATCCGAGAAGTGCAGGTTTGAGCCCCCACCCACAAGAAAGACACCCACCAAATCACACTGTGCACAACAGTCACAAAATCATGTGAGGTAACGCTACCATCTGTTGGCAGAAGTCGAGAGATGCATTACCGGTGAAATCTTGTAATTTGTGTAAAGATTCACTTTTTGAACAGCTTGGCTCTGATTTTAAGATTGCGTGCCCCCCGCCGCTTACGTTGAACTTCTCGATTCCCTTCTTCAGTTTAATTACATCAGTCAGACTTTCCCTCAAATTTCTCAGCTCTAAGGAATATAACCCAAGTTTATCCCCCGCACAACCAATCTCCTCCGTCCCAGGTATTAATCAATCCAGTGAGGGGCTTTGGCCTCGGGGTTAACAACAACAACAACATGGTTGCATTTATAGAGCGCCTTTCATGTCGGGAGGACGTCCCAAGACGCTGGACAGGTGGGTTGGGATCCGAGCAAGGGGGGAAATGGTCAGGGTGAGGGGAGGGGAGGGAGGGAGCGAGGAGGGGGGAAATGGTCAGGGTGAGGGGAGGGGAGGGAGGGAGCGAGGAGGGGGAAATGGTCAGGGTGAGGGAGGGAGGGAGGGAGCGAGGAGGGGGGAAATGGTCAGGGTGAGGGAGGGAAGGGAGGGAGCGAGGAGGGGGGAAATGGTCAGGGTGAGGGAGGGAAGGGAGGGAGCGAGGAGGGGGTAGAGAGTCGGGGAGGGAGCGAGGAGGGGTAGAGAGTCGGGAGGGAGGGAGTGAGGAGGGGGTAGAGAGTCGGGAGGGAGGGAGTGAGGAGGGGGTAGAGAGTCGGGAGGGAGGGAGTGAGGAGGGGGTAGAGAGTCGGGGAGGGAGGGAGTGAGGAGGGGGTAGAGAGTCGGGGAGGGAGGGAGTGAGGAGGGGGTAGAGAGTCGGGGAGGGAGGGAGTGAGGAGGGGGTAGAGAGTCGGAGAGGGAGGGGGAGGATTCACTGCCCCCAGTGACTGGTCTGTCCTTCCAGGTCCTGCCACTGGGAGAGCCAGACTGGGGGGAGGAGTCAGGCTGTGTGGGGGGAGGGGCCACGGCTGCCGTGGGGCGTGGCCGCCGCTGGAGGCGGGGCTATGGCTGCCGGGGGCGTGGCCGCCGCTGGAGGGAGGGGCCACGGCTGCCGGGGGGAGGGGCTGTGGCGCGGCTCCCGAGGCAGTGACTGAGCTCCGGGTCCTTCCCTCAGCGCCAGTCTTCCCTCAGCCTCTCATCAGCCTTCCCCCCCTCCGGGCTCCCCATCAGGGCTCCCCTCAGCCTCCGCCCCCCCCTCCCTCCCTCAGCCCCCCCCTCCCTCAGCCCCCCCCTCCCTCAGCCCCCCCCTCCCTCAGCCCCCCCTCCCTCAGCCCCCCCTCCCTCAGCCCCCCCTCCCTCAGCCCCCTCAGCCTCCGCCCCCCCTCCCTCCCTCAGCCCCCCCTCCCTCAGCCCCCTCAGCCTCCGCCCCCCCTCCCTCCCTCAGCCCCCCCTCCCTCAGCCCCCCTCAGCCTCCGCCCCCCTCCCTCCCTCAGCCCCCCCTCCCTCCCCCCCCTCAGCCTCCCCCCCCCCTCAGCCTCCCCCCCTCCCCCCGTCATCCTCCCCCCCCCCTCCCCCCGTCATCCTCCCCCCCCTCAGCCTCCCCCCCCCCCTCAGCCTCCCCCCCCCTCCCCCCCTCAGCCTCCCTCCCCCCCCCCCCCCCTCCCCCGCTCCCGGGATCATGTCGGCCCCAGACCAGGCCTGTAGGAAATTCCAGGCCAACTTCTTTAACCGGAGCAAATGTCAAAACTGCTTCAAAGCTCGTGATTCGCACCCGGTGTCAGACCGCGACCGGAGTCAGGTGAGAGGCCCCCGCGGCCCCCGCTCCCGGCACCGTGTTATATTAATGTACATTACTGGGGGTCACATTGGTCCATATTGTGTTATATTACATTATTATAGCACACACTGTGTTACATTGATACGATGTACTGTTGTATTTTATCATAACGTGTTGCTGTATGGCTATTTACATGATTATTATATTATTATTGTGTTGTGCTATTGCGTTGTGTGTTGTTATATTGACCGATGTGTGGCTCCCCGGGGCCCTGACCCGTCGGCCTTGTCCCGTGTCGGGCAAACGCACAAACTCAGACTTGTGGCCTCGGGGGTTAACGCTAATTAATTTATCGTGGAATTAACTGACTGTCGTCGCGGCCTCGGGGCCTGAGGGATTTGTCGGCTCAGCCCGTCACGGCTGCCCAACCCGCAAGTGCTCAGGAAAGCTCCACCCTTTGAACTCTACGGTTGCGATGTTTACGGCGGCACCGAATCCCATCCAGAGGCCACCTCTGTCACCATCGTACTGTGTGTGAGACGCGGCGCGCCCGGGAGAGCCAGGCGGCGCGCCCGGGAGAGCCAGGCGGCGCGCCCGGGAGAGCCAGGCGGCGCGCCCGGGAGAGCCAGGCGGCGCGCGCCCGGGAGAGCCAGGCGGCGCGCCCGGGAGAGCCAGGCGGCGCGCCCGGGAGAGCCAGGCGGCGCGCCCGGGAGAGCCAGGCGGCGCGCGCGGGAGAGCCAGGCGGCGCGCGCGGGAGAGCCAGGCGGCGCGCGCGGGAGAGCCAGGCGGCGCGCGCGGGAGAGCCAGGCGGCGCGCCCGGGAGAGCCAGGCGGCGCGCGCGGGAGAGCGACATAGTGCATGCGTGCGTGAGAGAGAGACACCGTGCATGTGAGAGACACGGTGTGTGCATACGAGAGAGACACGGTGCGTGCGAGAGAGACGTTGTATGCGAGGGAGACACACGGTGCGTGCGCAAGAGAGGGACACCGTGTGTGCACGAGACACGGTGCGTGCGCGAGAGAGAGACACACACACACGTGTGTGCGTGTGGCTGACATGTTCGCGTTTGTGTGACGCTGCGGGTGTGTGTTCACAGTGAGAAAACTTAAGAGATTGTCCATTTCCTCATCAATTACCGGTTGTGGTTTTCACTAAATTAGGTCAAAGTCAAATGTAAACCGATGCCCATCTCCAGAGACCTACCATCTGATCTTGTTGGCCTCAGCAATGCAATATTTACACAACTCGTTTCATTTTGAGGGAGGGGGAAATTATCTGATAGTTGTTTGTCTTGAAAGATGATTGACAATCTGTATAATTAAACATTGCGATCAGGATCACAATGTGTGATCTGATCATGAAGGTCCCAGGAACAGGACATTGTGCTGTGAGGTAAATGAATGTAACCAAGGATATCAGCGGGAGGCAGAAGTGTTTCGGGCAATAGATGTTAAACTCTGTCGTTCAGAGCAGCAGATACTCTTCACATAAAGACTTTGAAAAATGGCTAAATTAGTGTCGCCACTGATGTGATTAGAGCGCTCGAATTAAGTGATTCTGCAGATTTCGTTCTGATAATCGTGCAGTTTGTCCAGCTAGAACCACCCTACAATTAGTACGATCAGAGCCTGCCCCCACCCAGGGTTTGGTCATCAGCGGGGCTCTGGATGTAATTAGATGATGAGCTCTCTGAGCCGCTACCGTGTGTGAGGGGGCGCCATATAAATGCAAGTTGTTGTTGCTGCTCTGCTTGGCTCGGGAAATGGGTCACCGAGACCCATAGAGAATTAACTCGATTTCAACATCCTAGTACCAAGCATGTTACCTTGGAGCCAGCTCAGCCCCAAGGAGGCTGTGCTTACATTCCCCTCCCTCACCCCCAGCAGCAGAATAGTCACCAGTTGGTTATTTGACAACTCATCACCTATCTGACAGCTTGTGATATGCCAGGCACCATTCATGTTCTATAAATCCAAGTCGTCCAATGCCACATACCAGGCTGGCTCAGCACCAGCTGCTAATGAAGATCCTTATTTGAGGGTCTTGGGCAACTAGATGTGTTCGTTGTGAAGCCAAGTCTGTCTCCGAAGTAGAGCCCTCCCTCCCTGCTACCGCTTTCCCGTTTAGCACAAATCCACCTCATTGCTTGCTGCTGGATTTCACAACTGGGCTGGGAGAGCTCGCTTACTGCAGCCCCATTAAGGAGGACTGGACACTCACCTCAGGCACACATCTTTCAGCACTTCAAAATGCTGCCTCATGAGAAAGGCCCTATATATAACTGCAAGTTATTGTTATGTACCACAATCTTAATCTGCATTGGGACTTTGCTGTCATTGAAGAGAAACAATGACCAGAGTGTCCTTTGTTCTGCGATGCTGTCGGACAATGTTAGTTGTTGAGTTAGTTCAGTTAGTTGAAGTGTTAATGAATGTTGGGATATAATAACAACAAATAACATTTGTATAGCGTTGGGAGGAGGATATACACCATTTTCTTGATGCCAGTAACCTGAATCCCAGAGATTGACTTTTTTTTAAAAAATCAGATCTAGTGAACCACTCGTGGTCTGAGTAGCGCCCCTTGTATATGATGTTTTCACACCTCAGTCTCGTCAGACAAGATCCCATTTTAGGCAGTGTCAAAAGTAGATTTTTGGATTTCAATATCGTTGCCTCAGTTGGAGAAAGGGAGTGAGAATGAACATCAGACACTGGGCCTCACGATAGAGAAGTTAGTGTGTGACAATGAAAATCAATCTAATTTTGTCTTTTGTTTATGTTTTAGGCAAAACCTATCTATGGAGGGTGGTTGCTATTGGCTCCTGAAGGGATTAGCTTTGACAATCCAGGACAGAGGTCAAGAGTAAGTCTGAATCTTTCCCTCTTCAGTGCTTCATGTTGGGACGTCTTGTTTAATTAATAAACAGCAATTTGCAAGAACAAACTTGTGCATCTCTGACCATCAGCAATAACTGGTACAAACTTGATTGCTATTAACAGAAATCTAGATTCTTTGTGTACAGGCAGATGGAACCTACACCTCATGGCACCTCTTAATTGGGTTAGTGCGTGAGATATTTTAGCTGTTTTTCCTCTTGTCTTTTCACATTCTTCCACATAGACATTGGGTGGAGCAGAGCTTGCACTACTGATTGATGAGAAATGTTCTCCCTTTGAACACTTCATCAGCATGAATGTACCTCTCACTGTCCTGGGTGAGAGAATGGTCACAGTCATCTGGGTGTGATGCTGTGAATGATGCTGCTTTGCTTATAAATTGAGAACCACCTGGCACTCCACAACCAGGTCTGACTCAGACTGTGATGCAATCAGTTTCCGTTCAATACTAAAAATTATATTTTAAAGTTTCAAAATAGGTTTCAAGTTTTCTGGTTCCAGCATTTAACGTTGTTGTGACTTCTCGCACAGACAGATTTAATTTCCCTTTCTCTTTCACAGAAATGGCAGAGACGATTTTTCATCCTCTATGAACATGGCTTGCTCTGCTACGCATTGGATGAGATGGTAAATTTATGCCTGTGTTTCTCTTGAATGAAGGGATGGGGTCATTCTTTGCTCAGAAAGTTTTCCTGCACAATCCAGGGACTGGTGGTGGCTGTTAACATGGTACCTGTACAGTCCTTGGACTCCTCTCCTTAGGACTGAGTTGGCTCCATGGTGAATGTTGGCAAGTCTGCAGTGTTGCTGATGGATCAGCCAACCTGACTTGGCTGGGATTTCCCAAGCCTTGGCTCTTGCCAACCTGCGCCTAATCGTCTCCAGAATTAGATCAACATGATGCGTCTCTCCAGGGAGAGTGCAAATTCCATTGCAGACATGGTGAAGTTTCATCCTCTGAAGCATGGTGATAGGTTCCTGGGTGAGGCAGAGATTTGACTGGCTAATAGTGAGTTCAGGATTGTACATCCTTTACAAGAAAGCTTCCTGTTTGCCTGGGTTTATGCTCCACGTTTTCTGGAGGTTCTACAGTATCTGGGATTAATAGAATAAAAGTTCTGTGATTTGAAGCATCCACAGTTTGAAGTCTTGCATTAAAATTATCCAGTGATGATTATCATAACCCATTTTAATGCTGGACTTGGAAACTGTTTTTACTGTAATCCCAGTTTTGGCACAAGGTGTTTGTTTCTCTGCGGTGACAATCTGGGGTGAAATGTACAGCCTCTCATGACAGATTCAGAATGATAATTATTGCATTGAATCTATCCTGAAAACCATTAGTGAACGATGGGAACTCGAATGTTTCTCCAGTACCTAAATGCAAGCGTCCAAAAGCAACAACAATAAAATTACATTTACATACTAAAATAGTTTTTAAAAGAAACAGAGGGGAGGTGAGAAGAAATGTTTTCACACAGCGAGTTGTTCGGATCTGCAAATACGTTGCCTGAAAGGGTGGTGGAAGCCAATTTGATAACAACTTTCAGAGAGAGGTTGATAATTATTTGGGGAGGACAACTTTGCAGGGCTATGGGGAGAGAGCGGGGGAGTGGGATTGATTTGGGTAGCTTTTTTCAAAGAGCCAGTACAGACACGATGGGTCGTATGGCCTCCTTCTGTGCTGTGTAATTCTATGATTTGTATAGCACCTTTCACGTCTGGAGGACGTCCAAGGCATTGGACAATCGATATTTCGGACCCGAGCTGGGGGTTGAGATCGGGAGGGGTGGAGTGCAGGGTGGGGGGATAGAGGGTGACCAAAGGCACAGTCGAAGAGGAGGGTCTTGAGGCGGGTCTTGAAGGAAGCAAGGGAGGGGGCGAGGTGGAGGGACTGCGAGGCGGAGTTCCAGAGAGTGGGGGCAGAGTGGCAGAAGGCCCGCCCGCCAATGGTGGTGCGGGCGAGGCAGGAGACATGAAGCACTGTTATTTCAAGAGCATCAATGCTGCATAGTAGTTAATGTGGGACTATAAGGATACAGGCCAACTGCAGACTAGCTGTCATCTCTTCAGCTACATTTATTTAACACTTTAACCAACAGAAGTGTTTTCCAATGTTCTTGGGTTTTTGCTAGTCATTCCTCAGACATTCTTGAATATCCTTTTCATCATTTGCATGACCCTGTTTATTTTTCCCCAACTGCATCCTTTCACTCGGGGTCATCCAACTGGTGGTTAAGTGGGATTTGAGGCCTCGGGAAGAATACTTCATCAGGTATCGGTCTGTGGGAAAACAGTGAGAAAGACGTGCGATCTCCCAACTACAATATGATGCAAGGCTTTTTGTCCTTGAATGGGTTTTCTGAGGCTGAGATACCCATAAGCAGAGGATCGTTCTTGGTGTGTTGTAATAATCTTTACATTGTGTGCAGTTCCTTTCACGTCAGGAGGACATCTCAAAGCGCTTCACAGAATATATTGTAAAGTGTAGTGACTGTGTGTTTTGTGGGTGAACGCAGTAATAATAATAATCCTTGCATTTGATATAGTGCCTTATCATGTCTTCAAGACATCTTAAAGCGCTTCACAGGATATACTGTAAAGTGCATTGATTGTATATTTTGTGGATGAACGTGGTAGCTGATTATCCTGATATTTTCACATCAATACGTACATTTGTAATTTCTCTCCTCCTAAAGCACTGACTGGTTCTGGAGGAGAGACATTGGCCTCCGTACCAGGCGGAGGCCAAGGCTCTCACAAGGTGTCATTGTCCACAGCTCCATTGGCCTTTTCCACAGTAAACTGTGGCCTGTTCAGAGAAACGAGCATTGCATTTGGAGTTAGCCTTGGAGTAAAGTTGCAGAGAGGATTGTGCCACCAGATTGGTGTCAGTGTTGGCAGGACACAACAGCTGATATGCTGATGATAAACACCAGGGCTACATCAGTAATATTCTCACTCACTGTTTCATCTCATTTCAGTGAACTAAGCACAATTTGAACTGCAATATTTTTGTATTCTCAACTGTTTAGTTTTAACGTTTAATAATGTGAACTGAAAGCAGATGTTTAATCTCTGTATAACTGACAGAGTGAGTTTGTGGGAACGACTGAATAACTAATTTCAACGTATACATGTCCCATCACAAATCCCATGTGAATCCAGAGAGGCTGGTTCACAGCAACTTAGCCAAGGATAAAAATGAGTTAATATTTTCCAGATCTTAAACCCATTAAGTCTGAGTTGAAACACACCATTCAATTGTCTGATAGACCTTTGAACTATCTGATTAGGAACAAGGATAGTTTTATAACTCAAGCCTTTTTGTTCTTGATTGCCGGTTCTTGACGTTAAACATTTACATTGGAATTAATTACCCTCAAGCAAGGATTGCAACATTTCCTTCACCTCTGTTCTGTTTTCAAGCTCAACCCCAAACGACAAGATTAAACATTTTAAACCACAGCAGGAGCTTGTGTTAATTTCACTCTGAGAGGCCACACATTCATCGGTCACACTCCTCCAAGAGGGAGAACTTCTGAATTTGGGATTCAGACTGAAATGTTGGGTTACAGTATTCATAATTTTGGGACAGAATAAAAGGAACTTTATTCGGAGGTAACCTGTACGGTAGCAAACCTAGATTTTGGAACAATTTTGATAGTCGAGAGATTCATTCATAGCAGCTGAAATGGAATTGAATTGGAAATTGATAGGCATATATAGAGTTGGTATAAAAAGGACATTCTCTGATTGGGGCTGGCCCACGGGTTTTGTAACATTAATCACACTGAGTTGGAGTTGGAAGGTTTGGGTTCGAGCCCCCAATTTGGACTTTGAGCTTGCAGTCTAAGGTGACTGCCTTCCTTGGGGGAAGGAGGTAAGCAGGGTCTCCTTGGAGCTGAGCTGGCTCCAAGATGACGTGTTTGTCGATAGAATGCCTCTGTGGCAGTTTTGGTAGTCCATTTCCAATCTTTGAAACAGTAAACTTTAGGTTTTGCCTCAAAATTTCCTGTAACCAGGTGGTGCTTCCCAGACCAGCTCTGGAATGTGTTCACACATGTAATAATCACTCGTTTTTAATGTTTTTGTTTGCGAGGGTGTTTGTTCCTTACAGGGTGGGGGACAAGATAGTGTTCAGAGCAAAACAAACAATGGGAGTGTTTCCTGGGTTACAAATCCGGACGTAAAGTAAACACTTGAGAAAAAGACACATCTGTTAAAATTGCTTCTTGTGCCCACTAGAGCTGGTGTTTCAATCATTGCCAATAATATAACTGGTGAATGTAGACTAAGAATGTTTAGTATGTTTAGTCTACTGAGTTATTTTATCTCGCAACTGGGTTGACAAATCAGCCAGGGTTCCTGCTTCTGATCGCTATTCCCAGGCGGAAATTGTTGATGAGGATAGAATCAGGCCAGGGACAGATAGCAAACATCAATGCCGTATTGCTTGTGACAGAAGATCCCATTTCACCAAATCAAGTATTTCAGCAACTTTCTAGTCTTGTCTAAACCCTGCACAGCCGGGTCTGATCACCTGTTTAGATCACCGTCCTCTTGACTATGGCTCTTTTGTGAGCAGTTTCATCTGTTAATCCCCACCATTAATCATGCTCTGTGTGTGAGTACACGTGTGATTGTGCACGCGTGTGTGTGAAGTATGGCAATCGAGTAAAATCTGTTTCACTTTTAAGACCATATGCTGAGCTGGTGCCTCCTATTGTCTGTTTACCCATTCGCATGTGGCTATTTTGGGGGTAAACATCAACAAGCAAAGTTAAATTTGCATTTATACAGTGCCTTTCACATCGAGAGTTGAAGGTGCCATGGATTTGATTGGAGAGGAGCTGGCAGAGTATCCCCTGGATGCTCTATAGGAAACACGGGCCCCGGTTGACCTTCTCGGCCTTTTGGCAAAGATCAAGTTTAGTCTCTGTTCTTATTTCTTATCAGTTACTCCTTTGGGACATGCAGCTTCCAGAAAGATCAGTTGAGATTGTCTTATGTTTATGTGTCCATGACCCAATCTCCCCATAGAGTTTATGGGAGGATGAACTCCTGCCTGCATCTCGGCTCTCAGTCCTCTGTTGGTTGGGGTGGATATTGCAGGAGTGAGATCGCTGTCACACCAGAGGAAGGCGCGACACTGGAATCACTTGAGCCCCTGGTCACTAGGCTCAGGCCCAGTTTGCCCTGTCAGAGAGGCCATCCCTCACCTGACCTGCTCAGGTGGTCGTGAAGACATGGTTCAGGTCCACATTGATGTTTGTATGAACACCTCCATCGATAAACTGAAGGCAGTGCTGGATTGGTTGTAATTGCCCTGTGTATGCTTCCACTGACTCCTGTAAGTAAAAAGGAGGATGAGATGGCGGACACTAGCCTGCTTTAGGTCCTCCGCACTTCCCGCACCACCATTGGGGGTCGGGCATTCAGCATCTCTGCCCCCGCACTCTGGAACTCTATCCCGCAATCCTTCCGCCTCACCCTGTCTCTTGCCTCCTTCAAGTCCCGTCTGCAGACCTTCCTTTTCGATCGTGCCTTCCGCCACCCTCCCACCCCCACCCCTACTGCCCTACTCCCCTTCTCTCCTCAACTCCCAACTCAGGTCCAAAATCCCTGATTGTCCAGCGCCCTGGGACGTTTTTCCAACGTGAAGGGCGCAATACAGGTGTAATTTGTTGTTGTAAACATCATCAGGAAATGAGTAACTCTGCACAACAACAACTTGCATTTACATAGCGCCCTTCACCAGCATAGCGTCTGAGCGCGCTTAACAGTGGGGGAACCTGACTCCGAGCTGGGGGGAGATAGCCAAAAGCACAGTCGAAGAGGAAAGTTTTTAAGCGGGGCCTGAGGGAGGGGGCAAGGCGGAGGGATTCAGGGAAAGTGTTTCAGAGTTTTGGGGCATAGTGGCTGAAAATACAACCTCCGATGGTGGGCCGGAGGGCGAGAGGAATGAGCAGGTGCCAGTGGAGTGGAGGTGGTGGGTTAGGGAGTGAGGAGGTCGGAGAGATAATGAGGTACCAGAGAGTGAAGGGATTTGAACACGAGAGTGTGAGGATCTTGAAGTCGATCCATTCAGCAATGGGGAGCTAGTGCAGCCTGGGGCAGAACTGGTGTGATGTTGGTAAGAAGTTTGGTCTGGGTCAGAAAGCGGGTGGCAGAGTTCTGAATGAGCTGACCTTGTGAATGGTGGAGCTGGGGAGACCAGCGAGGAGTGCATTGCAGTAATCCAGATGGGGGGTGACAAACGCATGCACAAGGGTTTCGGCTGCATTTGGGGTAAGGTACGATCGGAGGCGGATAATGTGGCAGAGGGAGAGAAAACGGATCTGGTCAGGAACCGGATGTAGATGAGGTAGGTTATTTGGGGGTCGAACCAGACACCTACATTGCGCATTGGTTCAGAGAGCCTGAGGGAGAGCCCAGAGAGGTTGTGGAGTTTAGAACTGCAGGAGTGAAGACGTTGATGGGAGCCAAGGAGTATGGCTTCTGTCTTGTCCATATTCAGCTGCAGGATGTTTACACTCATTCAGGCCTTGATGTCTGCCAGACAAGCTGATCGGCGGACCAGGAATTAGTGCTGGAAGAGGCAAAGTAGATTTGTGTGTCATCGGCATATAAGTGGAAGTTTACTCCATGTCTGCGGACGACATCGCCCAGAGCATATAGGTGAGGAAAAGAAGAGGGCCAAGGATGGAGCCCAGGAGTACCTCGCAGGTGACCGGGCATGGGCGGGAGGATGAAATGGAGGCTGGTTGAGTAGGACTCAAACCATGCAGCAGATGAGAGAGGAGAGCCAATGGAGGAGGATGGCATGGTCGACTGTGACAAACTTGGCAGAGAGATCCAGGAGGATGAGGAGGCAGAGGGAGCCCTGGCCACAGACCAGAGAGAATGTCGTTTGTGACTTTGACAAGCACTGTCTCTGTGCTGTGGGCAGGCAAGGCGAAAACCAGACTGCAGGGGCTCGAGGAGAGAGTGGAGGGAAAGGTGTGACTGAAGTTGACCTGCAACAATAAGTTCCAGGACTTTGGTAAGGAAAGGTAGGTTGGAAATGGGATGGTAGTGTGTGAGATTAGAGGGATCGAGGGTGGGTTTTTTGAGGAGGAGGTGAAGGCAGCGGTTTTCGGGGGAAGTGGAACAGAGCCTGAGGAGAGAGACTGGTTGACCAAGTCGGCCAGCAGGGGGGAGAGAAGGGGGAATTGAGTGATCAGCAGCTGGGTAGAGAGGGGAGTCAAGATAGCAAATGGTGAACTTCATCTGGGTGATTGTGGTTGAGAGGGAGAAGGGAGAAATGGTGGCAAAGGGTAAGCAGGAGGGAGTGGCAGGAGCCATGGTGGAGGGAGAGGTGGTGTGGATGGTCTTGGTGGGGTGGAAGCGGAAATCGGGGGGAGGATGATGCAGCCAAGTGGATGGTTTCCATTTTTGAGGCAAAGAAGTCGAGGACCTCTTTGCACTTGGCGTTTGATGTGAGGATAGAGGGGGTTTGAGGGGGTGCACGGAGGAGGTGATGGATGGTGGAAATCAGCGTCTTCGGATTGTTGTTTGCCTCCAGGATAACTTTGGAGCTCTCTCGCATGGAGTCTGAGAGTTCCTGATGGAACAAGTGAAATAATAATGTGGAGAACCAAATACACAATACAAACTTAAATTGATGTATCACCTTTCAAGTCAGGATGACATCCGAGGGCTTAATAATTTGACTTGACACCCAGGATGGGGGTGGGAGCCAAGGAGGGATTGGGAGAGGAAAAATGACCGAATGTGCAGTCAAAGCAAAAGGGTAGTTTGAGACGGTCCTCAAACAAGGCGAGGCAGGGAGCAAGTCAGAGGGAATCCGCGGTGGAGTTCCAGAGTGGAGGCAGAATGGCTGAAAGCTGCTGGTAGGGAGGACTCAGGCCTATACTCACTGAGTAATGGCTGGGCAGATTGCTCAGCTTTCAGGAGGTCGGGTTATTGAGACTGTGGAGAGATTTAAAGGTGAGATTTGTAGATTGGCTCACCGAGACTGGTAGGCAAAAGGACACGGGCTGCAGGGTTCTGAATTGTACGATGGTCTCCATTTCATGAAATGTTTACATTGTGTGTGTAATGACACAGTGCATGTGTAAGATGGTCAGTGTGATTAGACATATAATGTAAAGGTATAATGTAAATGTTTAGCCAATTCCTCATTTATCAGGTTGAAAATCTGCTGAGTTTCAGGCTTGCACCTCTGCTGCAACATGCCTGCACGTGTGGGCAGTGTGCCGGGTGTCTGTCAGTACACATGTGTGCGGTATGCCGGGTGTCTTGTCAGTACACGTGTGCGCGGTACGCTGGGTGTCTGTCAGTACATGTGTGCGCGGTACGCCGGGTGTCTGTCAGTACACGTGTGCGCGGTACACTGGGTGTCTGTCAGTACACGTGTGCGCGGTACTCCAGGTGTCTTGTCAGTGGAAGCCTGCCCTCTCACACTGACACGTGTCCCTGGACGAGTCACACGGGATCTGAAACAACAGCTTTCAATGTTATAAGAGTTTTTGAACACTCTGTTTACTTTGCTTACTTTAAATGTTGCTGCTGTTAAAAGCGACAACAATTTGCACTGTTTACAGTCATTGCGAAGTCAATGGCAAAGTTAGGTCTGAAACAGATACAATGCTCCTTGTTGTGTACAGCCCAGCACCCTGCCACAAGGCAGCATCAACATGAACCAGTCCACCGATGTGCTGGAGGGCGAGAGCACCACTGCTCACAAATATTCACTCTGCATTTTAACACCAGAGAAACAACACTTCATCAGAGCTGAGAACCGAGAGACCATCAACGGGTAAGAGTCAAAGTGGGGCAAAGGGTCAGCACTTGGTCAGTGGCTTTGTGCCTGGCATGGCTGCCCTGCGTTCCGTTCTCTATAACGGGGGAAATTCCACCCAAATCAGGATTTCCTCCAGGAAGGTAACATTTCAGACTGATGGGTTTTGGCAAATGAATAAATTCAGCCTTAATTTTGAAGCTGATTTTTTTTTCTCCAAATTCTTTTTATCAAATTTAGCGTTTTGCATTTACCAAGTTCTGGTCGCCTCTTTTATGTACTCCTTCATTCCAGGCAGTCCGCCCACCCCCCGTCTTACCCCTCCAACCCACTGTCTGCCCCCTTACCCCCAGCCAACCCCCCCCCCTCATCCCCCAGTTTCCCTCCCATCTCCCAGTTTACTCCCCCCACCCTACTCCCCAACCAGTCCTTGTCACTGGTGATGTTTAATGTATTTCTTATTTCTGTAGCTGGTTTGAGACGCTGATTGTGTATCCACGCGCCAACAAACAGAACCCAAAGAAGAAACGTAAAGTGGAGTCTCCCCCGGCCCAGGTACCAGCGCTGGGACAGCCCAAGTCTCTCTGTGACAGGCGAGCGATCAGCTATCGGTGTACCCACAGCATGGAAGCAGTCCTGATCAAAGTCATTAATGACATTCTGTCCATCTGTCACCAAGGCTCTCTCTGTCTCCTTGTCCTCCTCGACCTCTCTGCTGCCTTCGACACTGTCGACCATTCTATCCTCTTTCACTGCCTCACCTCCCAGCTCAACGTTCGTGGACCTGCCTTTGCCTGGTTCAAATCCTCTCCTTTTCAACATCTAAGTGCTCCACCTTGGTGACATCATCTGTAGACATGGGGTCAATCTCAACATGTATGCAGATGACACCCAACTCTACTTCTCCGCCTCCACCCTCAATTGCAGGACCACAGCTGTCCTCACAGACAAGCCCGAGGACCTCCTGCTTGGCTCCTGTCAGCGCCGCCATAACTTGGGCGCTGACAGCATCACCCTTCATGGATGCACTCTACATCTCACAGAGCCAATGATGGTGAGGACACTACCTCCGTGTCACCTCAAGCAGCAGCTGAAATGCTGCAGTTGGTGAGGATGGCCGCTGGTCTCTGAGTGATTCCCATGCAGATTAACTAATTTCTCCTGGAAACATTCACTACACTTTACAGTGATTCTTGTGAAAGCTTTGAGGCATCCTCCCGATCTGAATGGCACAATAATAAATGTAAAGATTTTTTTATTGACATTTATACGTTGAACTCAGAAGCTGAGCTCCAGTGATTGGCGCTACTATGTGCCCAGGGCCAGGGTGGGGAGAGCACTCGGCATTCAGTTGATTATTGATTACAATAACAGAGGGTAATAAACTGCTGTGGTGCCAGCTGCTTGATACTCTGTGGGTATCACTCATTCTCTTTAGGAGCCCGGACCGGCAAAGATTGCAGTCACTCAGTGCCACATTCCAGGTGTTGAGAAGATCCCCAGCCAGAAGTCAACATTGTGGCAGAAAGAGCTTCCGGAAACCAGGAATCATCCCCAACATTGCCCCCAGGGCCCGGCACCCATGGCTGTGTTTCCTAGAACCCCTGCACTGGATGAGGGTTCAGGAACCAAGGGTAATGTTGCTGCTCGCTGGCCCCTACATCAGGCATCGTAGGGAAGATAATTCAAGTAGAACTTTATTTCAGGGTCAGCTACAGGATAGAGGATGTGATAGGTCCACGTGGGTTCAAGAGGCAAATAGACATCTTCCTGGAGTGATTGAGTCAGACCTATTGCAAAACACAAGCTTGTTGTTAAGCTTTGCTTCTTTAAAACTCTTGGAAAGGTTGAGATTTTAGCCTAATCAATTGTTTATAAGGAGTCTGATTGTGTTGTCAGGCGTGTTATTGGTTTAAGAGAAGCTGGATATGTGACTGGTATGTGGGTTGCAGCGATCAGTAGAATGATACCAGGGCCGGGCTGGCTGGAAATTTCCCAAGTTCCCTATGAATAATTCCCGAGCACCCCTGTGATTGGCTCCCCATCAACCTCATTCAGAAGTTCTGTTTAAGCCCCGACAAAGTTTTTAATAGAATCAGAATATTACAGCATAGAAGGAGGCCATTCGGCCCATCATGCCTGTGCCGGCTCTTTGGAAGAGCTACCCAATCAGTCCCACTCCCCTGCTCTTTCCCCCGTACCCTTCATACCCTTTGTAAATTTTTCCTTTTCAAGTTCCTATCCAATTCTCTTTAGAAAGTTGTTATTGAATCTGTTTCTCTTGCCTTTCAGGCAGTGCATTCGAGACGGTAACAACTCTTTGTGTGAAAAAAAAAGAAAAATTTCTCCTCATCTCCCCTCATAATTTTGAACACCTCTATTAAGTCTCCCCTTAACCTTCTCATCTGAATTATCTTCCCTTTGCCTCACTTCCTCCCTTGCCTCCTTCAAGGCCAGTCTTAAGATCCTTCTCTTCGATCGTGCCTTTGGTCACCCTCCAACCTCTCTGCCTTCCCTCAACCCTACACCACCCCTCCCCTATGCTTGGGTCCCGACACCTGACTGTTCAGCACTTTGGGACGACCTCCCGACGTGAAAGGCGCTCTATAAATGTAATTTTGTTGTTTTTATTGTTGTTCTCTGCTCTAAGGAGAACAATCCCGGCTTCTCTAGTCTCTCCACATAACTAAGGTCCCTCATCCTTGGTGCCATTCTGGTTAATTTCCTCGGCACCCTCTCCAAGGCCCTGTTATCATTATGTAGAGATTTTATACAGAATCGATGGCCCTGAGACTTGGCTCTGATGTTACCTGATCATCACAGCCCTTTGTGGAGCCTCGGCCACTGGTTGATGCTCATGTGATCTCAGAGCTCTAAAAACTGGAACCAGAGAAATTAAGTGACAAATGCTCTTCACAGGAAATTAGCAAAGTTGTAGGTTAGGAGGAATATTTCACACAGAATTGTTGGGATGTGGAATGCCTTGACATTTCCGGGGCTCAAGGATACATACTAGCTTTCAAGACAGAATAAGATAGATATTTAACCAGGTGTCATTTGTTGGTGTAGAGGGAATGGGGCAGGAGACAGGTAAATGGAAATGAATGGATTGATCTTTCAAAGAGCAGCACAGACAAAAGGGGCTAGTGCAAAAACAGGCGTTGGGGTTGATAGTTCAACAAAAACAACTTGCTTTATTATAGTGCCCCTCAGGCAGGGTAGTGCCCCAGACCGCTCAGTGTGTGACCGCAGTCCGAGATGTTTGAGTCACTGCCTGATCTTCATGTTGGGAATTAATGCCATTGACTGAATGAGGTCCTTTCCCCTCTCTACAGAGACCTTCGGCACAGCCAGCACCAGCCACAGAGGTGGGCAACATAGGAACGACTGCTGCTCCCTGGAGAAGCTTCCTGCCACCTATAAACCGCTGGGTTCCTTGCCAGGCACTGGCACTTTCAGCAGGTATAGTTGCCCTGAGAGTGGCAGTGTGGCAGCCTGTTCCCCTCAGCTCTCCTGCCATCCTTTCCCTCCCACAGATCGCAACCTCTCCATTAGCTCGTCCCAGAGTTCCTTGGGCTCGGACACCAGCAGCAGCTCACTGAGCAGTGCCAGCCCCCTGGACACTCTGGGGCCGGGGCTGGAGACGAGGCACACTGACTATGTCACACTGGCTGACATTCCCAGAGTCAAGAGGAACAGTCACCGGGAAGCGTTCAGAGCAGAGCGTCAGGCCAGGGCTCGAAGTCCAGGCAGAGAGGAAGTCATTCGCTTGTTCGGGTATGAAAGAAGGTAAGAAAGATTCTGTAATTTTATTCATGCTTAACCTGAGCAGATCCACAGCCAGTAATGAGCTGTGGTCTGTGGCTGTGTGTGTACATCCCATCTCTGCCCTGTGTCGGTCAGACTCACTGTTACTGCTTCGTGCTGATTATTTGTCTCCAAGTTAATCTGAAGTTAAGGCAAAGGTTTAGGAACGGTTTCCTTCCTCATGTCACCACATGTCCCTCGTTCTGTCACGTGACAGGAACCGAGTGATGACAACTTTCTGCCAACCTCAGCCCAGGAGTGGGAGAGGTGCCCAGTGGGGGAGGCACCAGGGGTAAGGGTGCCCGGGGCTGGGGGAGGAGCCCAGGGTGGGGGGGGTGGGAGCTTTGACAGTTACACACAGTCATGTTGTTGCTTGTCCAGTTGCTGCCATGTGTCTGACTGTCCAGGTGTGTCTTCCAGGTGCTGCTGCTGCCCGACTCTGCCTCCCCGCCTGCTCCCAGGACTGATTCGCATGTGGCTCCATACAATCCAACCCCACTCATTCATTCAAATCTCTCTGTGCTTTCAGCCTGTTACCAGTTAAGACTAGACCACTGTCGAGCATTGTAAATGGGTATGGGGGGGGGGGGGGGGCGGGGGGCGCTGAGGTTGTGCCAATGGTGGAATCATCAACTGAGAATTATTCCCACCCTCGGAGCTAATGTGGCTCCTGGTTGAGGTGGGCAGTGGTCTGGCCTTCCCTGGGCAGTGTTGTCTGTGGCTGAATTGTCGCTTTGTCTGAATCATCATTTAATCGCATTACTTTGATTGTGACGACAGAACATTTGTGTGTTACTGATCCACTAAACTAGTGTAGTAACCTAGAACTCAGATTATACTGGTGTTAGTAACCTAGAGCTCAGACTATACTGGTGTTAATAATCTAGAGCTCAGTCTACACTAGTGTTAGTAACCTAGAGCTCAGACTACACTAGTGTTAGTAACCTAGAGCTCAGACTATACTGGTGTTAATCATCTAGAGCTCAGACTATACTGGTGTTAATCATCTAGAGCTCAGACTATACTGGTGTTAGTAACCTAGAGCTCAGACTGCACTAGTATTAGTAAGCTGGAGCCAATGCAATGAGGTAGGCGATGGGCAAGGTTTACCCTCAGTTTCTGGTTTTCATTCTCACTCTTCAAAGAACTCCACTTGTCTGACGAAAGTGAAAAGTGTTTGATGCCATCTCACTGATGTCCGTTAGTGCTGTTGCTGTTGAGCGGGAATTACACAATTACCCCATCATGCCATTACGTACATAATACGGCTCATTCCCCAAAGAGGCAAAACACTCTGTAATAAAACATTATGTAATATGGCGTAACCGGGGGTGAACCTCACCTCCTGCCTCCTCCCCCCCCCCCCCCCCCGCTCTCCTCCTGCCTCCCCCCGCTCGCCCTCCTCCTGCCTCCCCCCCTCACCCTCCACCTGCTCTCCTCCTGCCTCCCCCCCCCCTCTCCTCCTGCCCCCCCCCCCGCTCTCCTCCTGCCCTCCCCCTTCACTCTCCTCCTGACAATCCTGACAAACGCGATTGTTGTGGCCGAGGATTCAGTAATAAAACAGTGATGAGAAAATAGCCAATTCACAGCTGACGCTGATGGGGCTCCGTGAGCAAAGTTTACTTTGATGTAAAGTGAACATGTTGTTGTTGGCTGTTTTCCGATAATTGCTGTTCACAGTGACCAGAGGAGGTTTTATCTGATACTGTAAATGGCCACAGGAATGTGTTTCTGTTCCTCACTCACCGCAGAGGCTCGTTGCTCATCCTGTTACTCCCTGAACATGGCCGAGAAGTTTTGTGGCTGTGAACAAGCGGTTTCGCAATTGATGTAAACTCGGTGTGTGCTCCTCCGTTGCGGTGCTCACTCCTCTTGTCCCCACGTGTAGGAAGTCCCAGGTCATTGAGCAGTTTGAGGCTCTGCAGATGGAGGCCAGCTCCCCAGGCGATACGAAGATCAACAATGAGACTCGACAAGGTCGAAGTGAGACCAGGAACTTCTCAGGAAAAGGGTACGTGGAGACCGGTAGCTCAGTGGTTAGAGCACTCGCCTCACAAGCAAGAGACCTCGGTTCAATTCCTAACAGGGCGAAACCTTGGGCAAGTTTCCTAACTTTACATGCCTGATAATAATCCCTCAAGAAAAAAACCAATAATAAATTGGTCTCTACAATCCACGACTGTTTTGTGGGACACTGTTGTGCGCAATTGGCTGCCGCATTTCGCCCACAAATTATACAGTCAGTTCACTTTACAGTATATTCTGTGAAGCACTTTGAGACATCTAGAAGATGTGAAAAAGTGCTACATCAAAATGCAAGGATTATTTGTTTATCACAACATTCACACATTCCTTTTTCGTTGGTGATTCGGTTTAATCGCTCCAAAACGCACCGAGCATGGAGGCACTATGAAAATGCACAGACAGAGGCAGAGCTATTGTGAATGACGCCTTATTGTTATTAACCCCTTCAGATCTGGTGATGTTATTAACCACTTCAGATCTGGTGATGCTGATGCTCTGGGCTGTAGCAGTGATGATGTTGGTTTTTGTTGCAGGAATGTGTGTCTGAGTCGGGCAACCTGAGCTCAGTACATCCTCCCCTGTGTTCTCGGGCAATGTCACTGGACAGGAGAGTAACTGAGTGTGCAGTGACGGTAAGGACAGTTCTCAACTGATGGGAAGGATTCAGCTTGCTTCGTGTGTGTTTATGTGACTAGGCGTGTCACTGTGTGTGTTTGTGTGTGTCACTGTGTGCGTTTGTATCACTGTGCGTGTCACTGTGTCTATCGCTGTGTGCGTGTGTGTCGCTGTGCACGTGTCACTGCCCGTGTGTCACTGTGTGACTGTGCGTGTGTGTGGTGTGTCACTGTGCGTGTGTGTGGGTCACTCTGTGTGAGTGAGACTGTGTGTATATGTTTGAGATGCTGAGTTTGTACTGAATTTACTGATTTACTTTGATTTGTGATGTACAGCTAACTCTCCTTTACTTTCCTGCAGCCAGACCTGCTGAACTTTAAGAAGGGCTGGATGTCCAAGCTCTCTGAAGAGGGTCAGGTACAAGACTCCAGTTGGTCAGAGCTCCCTGCCCATTCCCGTTACACAGCCGCACAGTCTCTCTTTCTAAAGTGTGATTTCAAGCCAATGAGAATAAAACATAATTTTTTTTCACATTAAATTATGGATAAATCAAAATATTAAGAGTTACTGTGTAACCTATCCAATTACTATGTAGCTTACCCTACTTACTGTGTAGCTTACCCTACTTACTGCGTAGCGTACCCTAGTTACTGTGTAGCTTACCCTACTTACTGCATAGCTTACCCTAGTTACTGTGTAGCTTACCCTACCTCATGTGTAGCTTACCCTACTTACTGTGTAGCTTACCCTACTAACTGTGTAGCTTACCCTACTTACTGTGTAGCTTACCCTACCTCCTATGTAGCTTACCCTACTTACTGTGTAGCTTACCCTACTTACTGTGTAGCTTACCCTACTTACTGTGTAGCTTACCCTGTAGCTTACCCTACTTACTGTGTAGCTTACCCTACTTACTGTGTAGCTTACCCTACTTACTGTGTAGCTTACCCTACCTCCTATGTAGCTTACCCTACCTCCTGTGTAGCTTACCCTACCTCCTGTGTAGCTTACACTACTTTCTGTGTAGCTTACCCTACCTTCTGTGTAGCTTACCCTACCTCCTGTGTAGCTTACCGTAGTTACTGTGTAGCTTGCCCTAGGTACTGTGTAGGACCGTGTGATAAACGTCCCTGCTGGTGAGAGACTGGCGTCTTTATCAGATATCTGACCTCTTCCCGGGTGATTTACAGCACAAGGCGACTCCCTCCGAGTGTACGATCCCATCCCGAATGTGTCATTTTCATTCCCCCCGCTAACACAGTGCTGAAAGCTGCTGTACCGAATGAGCGAGTGACATTGGATTTCTCTTCCAGTGGAAGAAACATTGGTTTGTTCTAACTGATCGCTTCCTGAGGTTTTACCGCGATTCTGTAGCTGAGGAGGTGAGACACTATCTGCACAGTCACCGTCACGTTGTCGATCACCTTGTGTCTCTGGGAGGAGGGTTCTGGGGGCAGTCCCTGAATCAATACCATCTTCAATTAAGCTCTCAGAGACACTGCCACACATGAAGCCTGCTATACGCGAGCTTATTGTTGCTGTTGTTGTCTCTTTGCAGGCAGTGGATTTAGACGGTGAGGTTGATTTAAACGGCTGCTCCGAGGCGACAGAATGTGAAGTGCAAAGAAACTACGGATTTCAGATCAACGTAAGTTTGTGATAAGAAACGTCTGTCAGACTGCGGGATCACAGCACAGACACCAGGAAGTATTTCCTTACTAATGATTGAACAGGTTAATAGGAAAGAAGGTTGAGGCCAGCACTCAGTGCTAGTGCTGTGTGGGGTCAGGCATTGATTCTAGACTGATGTCAACAAAGCAGTTTCAGGGTTTGCTTCTTGTTGCAGACCCAGGCAGGTGTGTGTGTCTTGTCCGCGATGACGTCAGGAATTCGAAACAGCTGGATCCAGGCCATCATGAAAAATGTGCGTCCAGTGACTATGCCTGATGTCGCCAGGTCAGTGTGGTTTACACGAGCGTGATTTGTGCTGCTTGCCACAGGCGTGTTAGTCACGAGCGGGCGAGGCACTTGTGACAAGCGTCCTGTCCCCAACCGTGTGACTGACACCGCACGTGTATTGGGATCTCTCAGGTTGCTAAACAGCTGCTGCTTTGATTCTTGGCTGACTTTTTCTTACTTTTTAACTGCAAATGTCTGATGAAGCCAAGGTAGAAGTCAAATTATCCCCCTGCACCTTTAGCACCAGCCCTCCTGCACCCCACGCCCCAGCAACCTGCCCCCCCCCTCCCACCTCCCCACTGCCCCTCTGGGGGTGGGGCATTTTTGCTGATTGAGGGCGGGGACTGCAGGACAGATGATTGTGTGGAGGTTACCAGAGACTGAGCGTGAGCAAGTGCGGCGAAACCAAAGACTGAGTTTGAGCGAGTGTGTAACCGGAGGCTGAGTGTGAGTGAGTGTATAACCGGAGGCTGAGTGTGAGCGAGTGTGTAACCGGAGGCTGAGTGTGAGCGAGTGGGAATCGAGCATGTGTTTGGAGGTCAGGAGTAATTCACTCTGTTGTTGACAGCCATGTTTCGGAGGAGAAGCAGAAAGCCAGGACTCTGTTTGAAGGTTCCTTTAGAATGAAAACAAAAGCTGAGACGGGAACATGTGTAGAAACGGAATCAAAGCGCAGCCGCACGCGGGAGCGGAGGCGAGAAGGAAGATCCAAGACACTCGACTGGGCTGAGTTTTGTCGAGACACAAAGGTGGACTTGGATCTGAGTAACAGCAGCGCGACTGAACCAGACCCTCGCGAGCTGGAGAGAGACCGAGCCCGACGTCGGGAAGAGAGACGCAGACGCTTTGAGACAGCTGAAGATTCCCATTCGCTGCATGATGAACCACTGATGAAGCTGGAGGTGGACGGGTCAATCAGGACCCCCAAAGCTGCCAGACCAGAGAATGTTTCCGTGGAGATTGAGCAACGATGGCATCAAGTAGAAAGTGCACGGCTTTGTGAAGAGAACCAGGTCCCAATCCCAATCCACAGCACCCAGGCTAATGGGCAAGAAAGGCTCCCGGCCCAGGAGCCACAGGCACTCAGCACAGAGGTACGGGCCGGTGAGCGCTTACTCCACCATTAGTTGTTGAAACTGTTCATTCCACTCAGATTAATTCTCTGTTTACTATCCAGATAAACAGAAGCGTATCGCAAACTGGCTGACAAATCCGGCCTGTGATTCGTATGAATGTAGGAACAGTAACCGTCTCCCATTACGTTTCCTCCCACAGTTGGAGCAAGCACAGCGGGAGCTCCGGAATCTGAATGAACAAAATCGACAACTTCAGGGTCAACTGCAGGTGTCGCGGGAGCAGACACAAGCGGCCCGCGATGGTTACGTCCTTCAGGTAACAGCAAGTGAGGGTGGGGCGGGGCGTGGTGAGGGCGGGGAATGGAGAGACAAGGGTTAAGGTGAGGAGACGAGTGGGTGAGGTGGGAAGGCGAGACAAGGTAGCGTATGGAGGTGAGGAAGCGGGGTGAGGTTGTGTATCGAGGCGTGAGGGTTTGAGGTGTCATGTCGAGTGGGCGAGGTGTCATGTTGAGGGGGTGAGGCTTTCTGAGGAGGAGGAGGGGTGAAGGGGAGTGGTGAGAGGGTGAGGTGTCATGGTGAGAGGGCGTGGCAAGGGGTTGGGCGAGTGGTGGCGATGGGGGTTCAGTCCACTGTTGCATGGTATCGAGAGTCACATCTCCAGCCTTTCCTACCAGGAAACATTCAGCTGGACAGAAGCCTTGGGCTGTTTATTGCTCCTTTATCCATGCGTGATTGCATGGCTGGGTGTGCAGGGCTGGGTGTGCGTGCTGCAATGCTGCTGCATGGCTGTTATGTTGTTGACGTGCTGCATGGTGATGGTTAATATGATGATTATGGTTAAGGCAATGGTTAAGGTGATGGTGATCTGCATGGCTGTATTTAGCACGTATTGTTTCTGTTCATTTCAAATTTAGTGTATTAGGTGGTGGCTTTGTTGTAATCTACACTTTCTTCACAACCTGCCAATGGGAATCTCTCCCTCGCTGCTCCTGTGTTGAGTGACGGGGAGCAGGTACTAAATTATCTAACCTGAAAAAGCACAACTACAGATCAGATCCTAAAATGTAAAAATCTTCCATCAATTCTTCCTGGTCCAGTTTGGGCAGAGTGTGACACTCAATACCTGGAGAGAAGATGGTTATTAACATGATTTCTGATCAATGTCTTAAAGACAAAGGTGACCTCTCCACCCCGATCCTTGGAAACACACCAGTCAGCCAATCCCCATCTGCCCATCGAGTTTGGGGCCGAATGTGAGAAGCAGGCTCTGAACCATGACCGTGAGGAAACCAGAGGTTTAATCCACATCCATAAAGGATCGGATAACGGGGAGCCAACCACTGAGCAACAACTGGCCAAATGGCAACAAAAGAGCACAGTGGAGTGGGAGCAGGAGAGGACCTTAAACTTGCAGTTGAGGGAAAGTGAGGAAAGGCTGGAGGCAGAAGTTCTGTTTTTAGAGAAAACTCAAGCTCTTTGGGAGTTAGAAAGACAACAGATTTCACAAAGAGGCGACATGCAAACACTACAATACAGCAGACAGCTCCATGCCAGTGAGCAAGGTATTCTGAACGAAGAAGAAATGTTTCAGAAACATTACGAGATCTTTAAACAAAATTATGTAAAAGAAAAGGCGATCCAACTTCAAACTCTGAGGAGGGGGGAAGAAAGCCTGGAGCAATACGAGAACTGTTTGGGTGATTTTAAAGAACAACTGGATGATTTGCAGAGAGGAAAGCCCAGAAACTCGCTGCAGGGAAGCCAGATGTCACAACTGCTGGAGGAGCAAGACATCACCGTTCAGATCTTGTCCCAGTCGCTGATGCAATGTGAGAAAGAGCAGCTGGTGGAAAAGGTTATGAACAAAGCAACCAAACGGCAGGATCAGCCAGCGGAGATTCTAATGGTGAAGAACTCTCACAAACAGCTCACTCAGCAGCTTCAGGTGGCTCACAAGCTGTTGGATGAGAAAAGCAGAGAATTGAATGAGGTGAAGGATGTGTACGAGAACCTTATTAAGAAGAAGGATAGAATGCTCAATGAGGCCATGATTAAACTCTATGCCCTGGGAAACAGTTTAGAGGAAACTGAGAAACAACTCCAAGCCCAAACATCCCTGCTTCAGCAGCTCAGCCCACAAGATGCCAGCACACATACACTGAATCAACAAGACAACTTACAGAACAAATTGTCCACTGCAGAGAAGCAGATTAGTGAACTAAAACAACAATTAGATATGCTGCAACTTGAGAACGAGGAACTAGAGCTAAAAAATACAAGAATGGGTAGTTTGCAGCAATATGAAGCATCTCAGGAAAGTGAATTAAAAGCTGAACTGACTTCAACAGAGCCTGACCTTATACTGAGCGGTGTGGATAATGGTGTGACAGGAGGAGAATCAGATTCAGCTTTTCCTAAATGGCAAAGGATCAGATTCTCCAGAATTCAGTGTCACAAGTACAGAGCTGGAGATGGAACAGGAAAACTGTTGGGGCTCGGCTTAGCATCTGATATTAGTCAGGGAAGGTCCCTATCTGTGGATGGGTACTTTCAGCTCCATTGTACGCTGCTTCCTCTGCAGGGAGCGAAGCAGGAAAAGAGCTTCTATCTTCTGACGAGAAACTAAAAGCTGCAACTTTGATACTGGAAAAAGAGGCCGACCAAGATGTTCCCAATCCGAAGAGGATGAAACCGGAAGCGCAGCTTCAAGAACAACTGCAGGAGAGTGTGTTTACGGCTGATTCCGTAAACATCCGACTGGAAGTGGAAAAAGCAAAGAGATGGAAATTAATCCAAGATCTGAACGGCCATCTGGGGGCAATTGAGCTGCAATACGGGCAGGTCTGCTCGTTGATGGAGACGTGTGACCACAATGTCCAGGTGCTGCTTCGAGAAAGTAACAAAGCAAGCAGTGTCCATCTTCACACCTTGTTAGAGGTGCAGAGCAGCCTTGCTAATGCTATCCATTGCTTGGAGAAAGTGAGAAGATCCTTAGAGCAGCAGCACATGGAGCTGCAGGACGCTCACGAGCAGATACACAATGGTCTGTCAGACAGAGCGATGCTTCTCCGAGGCCAGTTCCTGCTGGCGAGGGAGAGGGAAGTCTTCCAGCAACAGGAAGCATCCGACCAGGACAAGGTCAAGCTCTTTGCTGACAAATTGGCTTTTGAAGCCTTAATCCTCAATAAGATGGCTCAAACGTTGCAAAGTGAAGCGAGTGACTCAACGGGATTGGGAGGACTCTGTGAAGAGTTTGAGGTCTTTGTGTCTGAAGCTGACAATGTTGCTGATGGCACAAGTGAACCATGCAGCACTGTTGACTTTGCAGAAATCTTATTAAAGAAAATAATTTCAGAAGGAGAATTCTGGATTGAAGTGGAGAAGTTGAGAAAAAATATCAGACCAGAGGAAGATAAAGACAAAAAGGAAGAATGTGATGCTGTTTTAATTGATGCGTTTGCTAGTAAAGTAGCGCAGAGTGCTTCACTAAAAGCAGAGCTAACTTTATCCGTGCAAAAGGTCGCAGAGTTCTTCAGACTAAAAGTTCAAAACCTTGAACAAGAGATTCAGACAGCTCGGCAGGAAATCAGGGAGAAAGACAAGATATTGAGCGAAGTTCTAGATCCCTCCAAGTCTCCGGCACACAGTGAGTTTGTGCAGCTTTTAAAGGAAGTTCCCGAGAGAAAGATGTTCAACATAAGGCACCCAGAGTTGATTTTAGCACAAATTGAAAGGGAAGAGGCCAGGAACCCGACTTTAAATGTTGTTGAAAAACATTTAAATGACATTTCCGGAAAGAAACAGGAGGAATGTGACTTTTCAGCCAGAGCAGAGTTGTCAGATCAGCTGAAGGAACGTGCCAACATCCTGCAGCAATTAGCGGAAGGTCTGCAGTCGCTGTCTCAGGGGGAAACAGAGACAATCCGTCAGAAACTACTGGAGGTTTCACAGGTTCTCTCATCCTACGTTTACATGAAAAATATCAACAATTATGCTTCGGTGTTGGTGCAGGAGGCGGGGATTCAGGCTCAGATTAGCTACATAGTCTGTAAAATACAAACCGACTACAAGGAGGAGCACAAAAGATACAAGGATTTGTGCAGTGACATGGATGCCTTGTGTCAGAAACATGCCAAAAATATTGCTTCTATTCAGCTGAAATACGAGGAGGTTCTCCACAAGGAATGGCAGGGTTACTCAGAAGCACTGGCAACGCTTGAGAAAGAAAATGAAGCCCTTAAGCATCAGAACTCTTGTTTGGACGCTGAACTCGCCCTGAAACAAACATTACTGCAAGACATGGAGAAGAAACACCAGGACAGCTTGCAGCAGGTCCAAGCCGAGCATGAACTGGAGTTAAAATTGATTCACAAAAACCTAGAGGGACTGGAAACAGCAGATCAGAACACGTTAGGTGTTGCTCCGAGGGAAGCTGAGTCCCCCAAAAACTGTCAACAAACAAAGATCAAGGACCTGGAAGAATGTTTCCACAATAAAATGCAGGAGCTCTCGAGAGTGCGTGAAGATGAAAATCATCTACATGCCCAATACGAGCAAAGGGTCAGAGCGCTGGAAAATGCTCTTGAGTACAAGAGGGAAAATTCAGAATCATTATTTCAGCAGAGCTTCCTCAGGAAGAGGAGCAGTGGCACCAAGGAAGATACGGGGCCCAGGAGAAGGCAGCTCCTGGGAGACGTGGGCCAGGCTGAGGGGAGGTTTCACCTCGACAGCATGACCGTGCTGCAAGAGCGCATCGAGGACCTGGAGACCCAGATGAATCTAATGCGCGATGAACTGGAGCAAAAAGGCCTGGAGGAAAACGCTGCAGATCTGAAGGAGAAAAAACAGAAAGACTTTGACAATCTTAAGGTTTCTGGTCACTTCGCCCCAGAGTTAGGAGTAGCAAATCTACCATGAATGTACTCAACCAGATAGTGTGTCACCATTGATTCCAGCTGAAAGTTTTGAATTTGACGAAATGCCTCACATTACCTTGACCTCACCTAGAGTGACCTCACTCTCACCGCCTGTTCAGTATTGCGCCATTGCACTGTAGTTCAGCCAAGGTGTCAGCATTGAAAGTTAGTTCAGAAATCACATTTCAACTAATTTCATCCTTTCGCCCAAAGAAAGGATAAAACCTAAGTTGAATCGTGGTTCCCACACACTCTGTTCTCGGTACAGTATTGTACAGCACCCACAACTGGCTCAGTGCGGGCAGTGTGAGCTCAGTGCGGGCAATGTGAGCTCAGTGCGGGCAGTGTGAGCTCAGTGCGGGCAGTGTGAGCTCAGTGCGGGCAGTGGGAGCTCAGTGCGGGCAGTGGGAGCTCAGTGCGGGCAGTGGGAGCTCAGTGCGGGCAGTGTGAGCTCAGTGCGGGCAGTGTGAGCTCAGTGGGGGCACAGTGGAGGCTCCGAATCTTAGCTCTTGTTCCCAGCCACTCCAGGAGCCTCAATCTTTTTAAACGACAGCCCTCCCTCAGCCAATACCTAATAATCAAATGGTTTTACAGATATGGATCAATTGTAGCTATTGACCACGATAACAAAGACACGTGGTGTTTGTAAACGTTTCAGCCAGATTTGCCATGTGGTTTTGCCGATCACTGTTGAGAATAACGCTGATTTCCACCCTCAGGCCACGTGTGAGCGAGCGTTCGCTGCCATGGAGGAGTCTCACCACAAGGTGCTGGAGGATCTGCAGCGTCGACACCAGCGGGAGCGGGAGACGCTGGAGAGGGAGAAGCAGCAGCTCCTGGCGGAGGAGACGGCAGCCACCATCGCGGGTACGTTCACACCAACAGCCGAGGGAAGTGAAGCTACAATGTCCGGTTGTTGGTGTAACCGCTATCTTCCATTTCTCCTCAAGCTATTGAAGCCATGAAGAATGCTCACAGGGAGGAGCTGGAGCGGGAACAAGGGAAAACCCAGCGATCTCAAATCAGTGGCATGAATTCAGATACAGAAGCTTTGCACAAGCAGCACATGTGAGTTTTTGTCTCTCTCCCAGTCCGGGAATCAGACTGCACACTGGACGACAGTTACTCTGAGAGAGACGGCACTGAACATCCAGTGCACGATGCTCATAGTCAAAGTTTATTCTAAAATTGTAAATGGCCTGAGTGACATAGCATCTAGATGACAAGACTAATTCCGATATTCAGTGAACAGAGAGTTTTGAGGAAAGGTTAGTTCCTCAGGCTTGATGTCAGACACAGCAACAGTCCAGGAATGAAAGGCTGTGAGAACGAAGCAGAGTTAGAGAAAATGCTGACCCACATTTCCATGCAGTGTAAAGATGAGGAACAGTAGAGAGAACCCCATGTAACTCATGTTCACTATCTCTCTCTATCCTCACGAGCCACTGATGGTGGCTGTTATGGATCTGTGAGCACAACTGGACATTTATGTTAATAGCAACTGACAATCTGCCTTTCTGTCAGGGAGGAAATTGAATCTGTTCAGCGGGAGCTGGAGGTTCTGTCGGAACAATATTCCCACAAGTGTTTGGAGAACGCTCACCTGGCCCAGGCGCTGGAGGCTGAACGCCAGGCGCTGCAACAGTGTCAGCGGGAGAATCAGGAGCTCAACACACACAACCAGGTAACAACAAGCCGTTCGTTCCTGTGTTAGCCACATCCAAGATATCGGCTCCTCACAGCCTTCACTTTAGTCGTTTGGCCATTTCTAGGATTTGAACAAGCGCCTGGCTGCAGAATTTGCACGTTTACGGGAGCTGGTGACGGGGGAGGGGCGGGGAGACCGTGCTGGCTCACCAAGCTCACAGGGGAAAGATGGCTATGAACTAGAGGTAAGGACTGGGCGGACAGATTGCCAGTGTGTGGGGGCAGTGTTGGGGTCAGTCTGGGGAGGGCAGTGTTGGGGTTCAGTCTGGGGAGGGCAGTGTTGGGGTTCAGTCTGGGGAGGGCAGTGTTGGGGTTCAGTCTGGGGAGGGTAGTGTTGGGGTTCAGTCTGGGGAGGGCAGTGTTGGGGTTCAGTCTGGGGAGGGCAGTGTTGGGGTTCAGTCTGGGGAGGGCAGTGTTGGGGTTCAGTCTGGGGAGGGCAGTGTTGGGGTTCAGTCTGGGGAGGGCAGTGTTGGGGTTCAGTCTGGGGAGGGCAGTGTTGGGGTTCAGTCTGGGGAGGGCAGTGTTTGGTTCAGTGTGGGGGGAGTTTTGTGGTCAGTCTGGTGGGAAGGTGCTTGTTAAGATAGAAATTGTTACAGTAACTAGTGTATAATCTGCTATAGACATAATTTCTACCTTTAATCTTTCAGGTTTTATTGCGGGTCAAAGAATCTGAAATTCAGTATCTTAAACAAGAGATTAGTTCAGTAAAAGATGAATTGCACACCGCCCTGAGGGTAAGAGTGTTTGTGACTCCCTACGTTGCTGTGCAACCATATGTGACATTGATTGCAGTCGATGCTGAAGCAGATTCATTAAATTAGCCACGACAGTTGGCAGTAATTCTCTGTTGCTGGTGACCTGCCATTTTATGCCCATTTAAAATGTTTTACGTTTTGTCTCTAAGGACAAGAAATACTCGACAGATAAGTACAAGGATATTTACACAGAGCTGAGCATCGTTCGAGCCAAGGCCGATTGTGACATCAACCGGTTGAGAGAACAGTTAAAAGAGGCGACTGAGGCTCTGTGTGGCGGCAGTGGACATGTTCCTGTTTATGGTAAAAAAAACACGAGCACCCGAGACACAGTTTGCTGTTCCTCCATTTTAATGTTTTACAAATTGTCCAGCTTGGTCACTGAAACAGTCTTGTTTGTTTTAATCTTTCACTTTCCTCAGACATAATGAAATCTAAAAGTAACCCTGATTTCCTGAAGAGGGAGAGACCTCAGTACAGCCGTCCCCTGCGCACCCTGAGGTCGAAGGTGAGAACTGCCCAATACTCATAAATGCTGCCGTGTGTATCCCACACAGGCCATCCCAGGGGATCAGCCTCGCTGCTCTCCTCTGTAGCCCTAACGCAGCCCAGTTTATGTCGCAAAGACCAGCATGTGCTCACGGAGGTGGGGTGGGGGCAGAGAGAGCGCTATATCGTGGGCTTTGGGTCTCTGATGGGGACCAGGTCACTGATCAAACTTGTGGGTTTTTACAACAAAATAACAATAAAACAAAATCTGTATGGAGGAAAAGGTAAGCACTCAAGTCAGCAGCTGCAGATAGGAGAGACGGCAATATAAATTAGAAGAGATTTTATGATGAGCAATAATGCAACATTGTGATTATAGGCACTGGTGAAGTTAATGAAAAGTGTTTGAGATGGATTACGGGAGAACACGAGGCGTTTCCTGTGGGAAAGCTGTAGACGGAACAGTTGAGCCGTCAGTGTTTGGTGAGCGTGTCTGACCCTGGTGTTGTGCATGCTGGGAGCCAAAGGCATTTGTTGGTCATGTTAATTGGAAGGTGGAATGGGTTTGAGCTTCACCGCAGATCAAACACCTTCCTAACAAGTCTGTCTGTGACCAGGGGCTGGTCTGCATGAGGTGCTGATTGCAGTGCTGGATGCATGTGATATTGTAACTTGCCTCCCACCAGAGTCCGCATGCTGGAATGTGGGGCTTTGTTTGTTTGTTTGTTTGTTTGTTTGTGCAAATGTTTTATCTGCATGAGGAGGGGGGAGGAGGGGGTTTCATTAAAACAAAATGTTGGATGGTTTCTATTTACCAATGTTCTATGAACTTTGAGGAAAGAGAAAATACAACAAACGTAGTGCCCCCAACCTGAGGTCACTGACCCCCCCCCCACACCACCCCATCATCATCATTGCCACCTTCCGTGAGGCCTTACAAGAGGGTTTGTGTTGCCGTTGAGACCAGGAGACCTTTCACTTAGTGACAGTAGAGATTAGTGTAGATTTGTCACAGCAATAACCCAAACATTTATAAATTGTTCTGTTTTTTATTTAAAATTGTCTTTAGTTCAGACAGAATAGACTGGATGCAGGTTGAGAATTCACTTTTAGAGCCTGCGATATCAATATTATTATTTCATTATTATTATCTCACTGTCGGATCGAGACCTGAATCCACTTCAGTCTCAGACCCAGAAAGAGCATCACGCATTCACTCATTTGAATTGTCTAAAACATGTGGGGAAAACTCGTTTACAATGTTTGTTTTCTGGATGGTTCTTTAGGTCGGCTCTTGAATAGTTTCTGCATTAATGGAAAGCCCAGTTTTCTGTCTCACACACACTCACTCAATTTCACCCACGCACTCACTCTCTCACATACTTTCTCACATTGTTTCTCTCTCACACGCTGTTTATGTCACACACTGACTCTCTCACACACTCAGTCTCTCTCTCACACATACTCTGTCTCACTCGCACACTGTCTTTCTCTCACTCACATTCTGATACTTTCTGTCTCACACACTGTCTCACGCACACTCACGCATACTCATACACCTGCTGTCTCTCTCTCACACACACACACACACACTGTCTATCTCTCACACACACCATGTTTGTTTCTCACTCACACGCTCTTTCACTCTTTCCACAGAGTTTGAAGGAAGGTCTGACAATACAAGAACGCATGAAGCTTTTTGAATCCAAGGATTCCAGGAAACTATAACGAGCTTTGAGACCACATCACTATTAGCAGCAACACCAAGTCACAGTCTGTGTAGCCACTCACTGTGTTTAGTAACACCACTCACTGTGTTAGTAACACCGCTCACTGTGTTAGTAACATCACTCCTGCAGATAATGAATCCGGTTCAGCCTAACTTTGCACATTAATTGCTGCACAGTTAAAATGGTTTGTAAATTATCGTATAGAATTGTAGTTGAGAAAGCAGATTACCTCTGTCATTAAATACAAATTATTCACATTAGTAAAGCAACAATAAAAGTTGTTATAATCAGGGATCTCTTTACCATTCCCTCAATCTATTATAAAGTTGAATGTAGGACATTTTATTTATCTGTTTGCCATCAAGCAGTAGATGAGAGCAATATTTAATTCCTACCTTTGATTCTTTATTTCCCAAATGCTGGCCAGTTCCACAGCATGGACTGTCCTTGCCCACACCCCCATTGGCGGGCAGACCATCAGCCTCTGTCCCACCCTCTGGAACTCCATCCCTCAGTCCCTCCGCCTCTCCCCCTCCCTTGCCTCCTTCAAGACCCGTCTCAAGACTCTCCTTGACCGTGTCTTCGGTCACACTCCTACCCTGACCCTCCCCATCCTCCACCCCTCCTGATCCCAACCACCAGCTCGGATGCAAATCCCTGACTGTCCAGAGCCTTGGAATGTCCTGACTTGAAAGAACCTGTGTAAATGTAATTTTGTTGTTGTTGTAAATGTAATTTGTTGTCCTGATCTCAATCCCCAGGGTGGGGGGGGAGGTTTGGGCTCATCGTTCGGAGGCTTAAAATTTGGTCACAAATTGAAATGGTATGTAAACAGCAGGAGGCAGGCACACCATTCAGCTTGGAGAGTTTTTCCGTGAAGGTTTTATCTCTGAGGTTCCCCCAGCAGATGAGCATCAGTGACGAGCAGTGGCTTCAAGATGGGGTGACTGAGGAATGGGTGATGCAGTGAAATTGTCCTGCAAAACATCTGGGGAAGGTCAGCCAATGACTTCCTCTATCTCATTGCTGTAAGTCTCGCAACTTCAACACAATCCTATGAATATGTTATGTCCCAAAGGACAAGATGTCAAACTGACTGGACCTCAGACAGTTGCTATTCACATCAACATGAAAGATCCCATGACACATTTCATGGGAAAAAGTTTCTCCCTGTGTCTTGGCCAACGCTCCTCCAGCAAAACTGGTGATTCACTTAATAGCTGTTTGTTGGATATTGCTGTGTGCAAATCAGCGGCTGGGTTTACTTATAAATACTGTAAATACTATAATTACTAAATAAATTTGCAGAAACCACAGCACATGATGCTGTGAGGAGACACTGAGATTCCGTCCAGTAAATATTGCCAGTAGACGGCGCCCTTACAGGCCTTTAAACACGTGGTTTACTTCCTGAATGTGAGCAGCTTCAGTGGGTGGCATAAGTGGCTCCTATGCAGACTGAGGATAGGGTGTGGGGGGACGTTGTGTTAGTGCTGCCTCCAGGAAATAGGAATGGAAATAATTGTTGGTTTTAGTTAATGGCTGAAAACAAACACATGGTGAACATGAACCGAGGTTAGGTTTTAGTGCAGCAAACAGCAACAAAAGCCCAAATGTGTTTCTGACTGAGTTCCAAGTATAAATGTGTATGAATGTGCCTGGTGTCATTTAAAGTTTAGTGAAGTTCATACAAATTTAGTAAAAATGTTTTTATTACAAAAAATCATCGTATTTATCATTAAATAGCCACATAAAATCAGCAATATTATTACATCTGCCAATGTTATGAAGCTAAAGATTTGTTTATATTCTGTTCAAAGCATTTAATTAAAGAGGGAAAGTTGCTAAAATATGAAACTTGTATTAACTGTGCTTGTTCCCTGACAATCTGAATGATTGTGTCATTGAAAATGCCAGCTCAATACATTCATTTATTGTCAATTCATAAATCAACATTCATAAACCTTGATCTCTCCCAACACAAATGAATGATGAGGCCATAAACTGAGCTGGGGTTTCAGGGTCCATGCGGTATATTTCCGCAACTGAGTTATGTATGCATCACCCACTGAGTAAATGCTTTTACTGTGTAAATGATCTGCAATTTGAGGAGCTTCATAAATGGTCAAAGTTCTCATTGCTGCAAAATAAATCAATAATATCCGCTTGGTTCCCCTGTCTGTAAACATAATGTATTGATCAATCTGCATGTGATATAACAGGACAATGTATCATTATGGCTATCAAACCACCATGTTTCACATACGTGACATCCTTTCCTATGATGAACTTCACCCTATAGAATAACTTAAAATTTATTCTTCTTACAATACAAAATTACATTTACACAACGCCTTTCAAGTCAGGAGGATGTCCCAAGGCGCTGGACAGTCAAGGATTTGGACCCCAGCGGGTGGAGGGGTTGGGATAAGGCAGAGTGGAGGGCAGGGGTGCGTAGGATGGTGGCCAAAGGCACGGTCAAAGAGGAGGGTCTTGAGATGTGCCTTGAAGGAGCAAGTGAGGGAGTGAGGCAAAGCGACTGTGGGATGGGGCAGAGAAGCTGAATGTTGGTATGGAACATGGGCTAGAGCAGTGAGCTCGAATGAGGGAAGGGAGCACCAACATTAATGTGAGGGGAAATAACAAGAGAAAAGCATTAGAGCAGATAAGCTCCAGTGAAGGTGCAATGAGCCAAACTGCCTCCTGCAAAGTCAACTTTCGTTTGCTGCTGAAACGCACGCACACAATCTGCACCTGTTATGACAGCTACATATGACAGGTTTGTGCCACGTGAAGGTGAATGATTCCGGGGGAGGAAACATAATTTTTGTGACGAGATCAGACAATGAATAATAATAGAGTATAAAATCATCAGGTTCATCATTCTTCACTGTTTATTCTCACAAGCTGTTTGATTAAAAAACAAACGGCCTCAGCTGTGCAGCATTCTGTACACATAGGGCCAATAAAATATAGTTTAACATCAATAAAATTGTAAGGAACTATCAAAGACCTGCGACTTCAAATTTGTTACCACACAAACATCATCGCTGGAGAATTGAAAAATACAACATCTGAATTTAATGCTTTGAAAGAACAGAACAGACTATATCCCAACAAAGTCTATCAACCCTGGAGTTTGGAACAGAATGCAGTAAGAAGTAGTAATTCTAACACGTGTCCAGCTAGGACTGTGTTAGTGAGTGTTGGCAGCCTATTGAACACCATCACCAGCCTCACCTCCCCGAAGCCACACCAGCAGCAGTGATCACTTCTGTCCGGCCTTGTTTGTCCATTACCTTCCCTTTCAATCTTCCTTGCCTTCTGTTTTGGCTGCAGGATTCTACAACAAATACCAGCTCTGAACTAGGATCAAATTTGACATTTCAATCGAAGTCCCTGAGTGAACAAAGATTCCTCTCGATGCATGTATATTCTACGTGTAGGTGTAAAATGCCAGTATGCAATGTGTGCAAATGTACATGACACATTATACCAGAAATCAAATAATTACCATTTTGATCACTGATCCTGGTCGAACAAAACGTAAGATGCAACAAAACAGAAATGTTGCTTATTGAGGCTACACATTATCGCACCACAAAGCAGTGCTTCCAATTGTCCATCTGACTGATGCCTACTGTCCCCCAAACAGCAGCAGCCAATCTCCTTCACTGGCACAATGTCACCATTTACTTTTGTGGAGAAAAGATGAACTTTGACGGATCATATTCATTCCAAAGACTTTCAAATTCTTCCACAAACGGATTCACAATATCGGGAAGTTTTACAACGATGACATTTTCTTTGTTTCCGTAAATGGCTTGGGAGCTCCAGTTGAGCGATCCGTTCAGAAGGATTGATCCATCAACGATTGCGAATTTGTGGTGCATGTAGTTTGTGTCTTGGTCGTGTCGAACTTCTATTCCTGGTGGTGAAACAACGGATTCATAAATCATCTCCAATGAATTTCACGGGAAAATAAAACTGTGCGAAGTAATGTAAATTAGCGATTTACTGCACAAAGACTGTGTATTTGTTGCGGAGAGACCAGTGTTCCAGTGTCGGTGACCCCTGGTGCAGATGTGCCCCTGGTGTGGGTGCAGGTGTGCCCCTGGTGCGGGTGTGCCCCTGGTGTGGGTGCGCGTGTGCCCCTGGTGTGGGTGCGTGTGTGCCCCTGGTGCGGGTGTGCCCCTGGTGTGGGTGTCCCCCTGGTGCGGGTGTGCCCCTGGTGTGGGTGTCCCCCTGGTGCAGGTGTGCCGCTGGTGTGGGTGCAGGTGTGTCCCTGGTGTGGGTGCAGGTGTCCCCCTGGTGCGGGTGTCCCCCTGGTGCAGGTGTGCCCCTGGTGAGGGTGTCCCCCTGGTGCAGGTGTGCCCCTGGTGCAGGTGTGCCCCTGGTGCGGGTGCAGGCGTCTTCCTGGTGCGGGTGCAGGTGTCCCCCTGGTGCAGGTGTCCCCCTGGTGCAGGTGCAGGTGTCCCCCTGGTGCGGGTACCTGCTCTCCGGAAGTTGCCGACCTGGGAGGCGGCCAGCGCCATGTGACCGGAGTCGGTGATGACGCGAACGCGGACGCCGCGGCGGTGGAGGACGAGCACCGCGTGCGCGAGCTCGCGGCTGGAGATGGTGAAGACGCAGACGTCGAGCGTGCGCTGGGCGGTGAGGAGGAGCGCGCACAGGCGGCACGCCGCGCGCTCCCGCTGCCACAGACCGCACTCACATGGGCCGCGGCCCCGAGCACACAGCGGCCGCGCGCACATCACCGGCTCCACCGGGAAGAACAGCACCTGAGCGCGCTCCCGCTCCCGCCGCCTCAGCAACCGGTACAGGAGCGCGCTCAACACAGCCAGGGCGCCCAACAGCGCGGGAACGCGCATCCCGTCCCCGCCCCACAGCCCCTCCCCACAGCGCGGCCCCGCCCCACAGCCCCTCCCACCGCTCGGCCCCTCCCACAGCTCGGCCCCTCCCACCGCTCGGCCCCTCCCACCGCTCGGCCCCTCCCACCGCTCGGCTCCGCCCCTCATGTAATAACAAAGTCCTGGTTTGGGTTGATTTTTATTGTGGCCCCGCCCTCAGCAGTGGCCCCGCCCCCAGCAGTGGCCCCGCCCCCAGCAGTGGCCCCGCCCACACACACACCCTACATTTCAATAAAATCACAATAAGTTTCAGTAAAAACAACCAAACCCCCACCCAGCGACCACCCTGACACACCCACACAGTGACCCTGACACACTGCTGCTCACACCCACACAGTGACCCTGACACACTGCTGCTCACACCCACACAGTGACCCTGACACACTGCTGCTCACACCCACACAGTGACCCTGACACACTGCTGCTCACACCCACACAGTGACCCTGACACACTGCTGCTCACACCCACACAGTGACCCTGACACACTGCTGCTCACACCCACACAGTGACCCTGACACACTGCTGCTCACACCCACACAGTGACCCTGACACACTGCTGCTCACACCCACACAGTGACCCTGACACACTGCTGCTCACACCCACACAGTGACCCTGACACACTGCTGCTCACACCCACACAGTGACCCTGACACACTGCTGCTCACACCCACACAGCCCCAAGTCACAAACGCTGATTATCTTTAACATAAAAAAGGGAATAAATCCTTGTTCAGATCTGTGTTTGCAGAGATTATCAGATTTCGCCAATGGGCAGTGAGGGCAGTGAGACCACGGTTTAACCATTTGAATTGGAACCACAATTAGGAACAGAAACTCGAGACAGGAAATTGAGAGAAAGAGAATGTCTGTCCGACCCATCACCAAATTACACGCAAATTGCTTGTTCAATCCTGATCATTCAGCTCCACTCCAGAAATACTAATTCCCTGAGATTTGTGCTCTCACAGCTCCACTCACTGCTATTTGTGCTTGGGCTTAGCTTGGAGCTGCACGATCTTCTTGTAGTCCTCCACAAACACTCGTAGCGCATCCATATACAGGTTCACATTCTCCTCCATCCACTCCTCCACTGTGTCAGGGAAGTAAATGTTTTCCATTTGTAAGCGCAGTTTTGCCAGGTATTCTTCCCACTTCTGGTGAACCCTGGAGAGGCAATGTTTATAATAATAATCCTTACATTTGATATACAACAAAAAACTTGCATTTATAAAGCACCCGTCTCGTGGGGAGCATCTCATACCTTATATTATCTAACCTCCTCCCACCTCTGCACATGATAAGATTGTAAACACTGGTGGTCCACCGAACATTCACACCAGTTTAGATCAGTCAGTGTTACACCAATATTTTGTTTCCCGCAACGATATTTACGGCGTGGCCATCAATCAAGAAATATTCAATCAAAAAAAATGTATTTGGTTGGCTGCCCAAAAAGGTAAATAATAATAATAATGCTTGCATTTGATTTGGCGCCTTATCACATCTTCAAGACGTCTCAAAGTGCTTACTGTAGTGACTGTTTTGGGGGAAATCGCCTTCAATTTCTCGAACAGATTGTGACCCACTTACTTCAATACTTTATTTCCAAATCGCTCCAGGTTTCGTGGGTTTGCAAAGTGGTATTTCCTGTGATAGTTAGTGAACCAGCCTTTGATATCACTGGAGAAAACACATTCAAAGCATCAGGGAAAAAAAAACTTTGTTTACACCAATTCAGCAACTGTTGGTTGCCTAAAATTCTGCTCTATTTTATACCAGAGCAATTAATAAGTCTGAGAACAAGTCTGGCTTGTCATTTTCAGTCACTAATCACCTCAAACTGTAAATGGAAACAGACCAAGGCACATCTGGGTGAGAATTCCAAACTTTTGATTTTACTTTATCAATGTGAAATAACTAAATGTTTCCAACAAACTGTCAAGTGTGTTAAGCATGTGATTGGTTTCCTGGTGAGCCCGTTCTGAGCTGTCACTTTTAAATTGCTGAGCGAGGTTAGGCTGCTCACCCCCATTACCCCAATTACACCCAAACGTCCCACTTTGTGCACAAGGGTTGTCCCCGCAGACCAGCCCCTTCCCCCCCAAACTCTCTAGACCCCAAATTGTCACAGGACGATGTGGACCTGAACCATGACTTCACCATCACCTGAGCAGGTCAAGTTGACTGGATGGCCTCGCTGACAGGGGAAACTCAGCCTGAGCCTCGTGACCAGGGGCTCAAGTGATTCCAGTGTCTCCCCTTCCTCTGTGTGACAGCAGATCCTGCAACAGAGGGCTGAGAGCAGAGCTGCAGCCAGGAGCTCATCCTCCCATAAGAACCTTTAAATTATGGGTGCGATTCAATTGTGCCAGTGTATTACAAGTGAATTTCAACAAGAAAACGTTTCTGTCAGGTGCGAGCCCGAGAGGAGGGGAAACAATTGACAAAAAAGTTTGTGTAGTTTGCGTGTGACTGACTAACCTGTTGTCCTGTAGAACATTGGTTATTTCAGATTTTAGATTGTCATGAATATGACAAACCATTTCGTAAATTTCAGCTCCTGCAAACGACCCGGTTCCTTCGCTGCCGAGGGTGAAAAGGCAAAGTTAGCACCAGGTACAGTAATTCACACCTGGCTCCAAACAAAGTAATCCAACTACAACAACACAATCACCCCCACCACACACACACACGCACCCCCACCACACACACACACGTGCACTCCCACCACACACACACACGTGCACTCCCACCACACACACACACGTGCACCCCCACCACACACACGCACGCGCATACCACCACATGCATCCCACCACACAACAACAACAACAACAAAATTACATTTGTAAAGAGCCTTTCACATCGGGAGGACATCCCAAGGCTCTGGACAGACAGTTACGGACCCGAGCTGGGGGTCCGGGTAGGGGATGGTGGAGGGCAGGGGTGGGGGGGGGGAAGTAGGGAGGTCAAAAGCACGGTCGAAGAGGAGGGTCTTGATGTGGATCTTGAAGGTGGCGAGGGAGGGGTCGATACGGAGGGACCATGGGATGGAGTTCCAGAGGGTGGGTGCAGAGTGGCGGAAGGTCCGCCCGCCGATAGTGGGCGAGCAAGGCGGGGGAACATTACACAGGCCGGAGCCCACTGAGCGGAGGGAGCGAATAGGATGGTGGGGGTTAGGAAGTTGGAGAGGTGGGGGGGAGCAAGACCATGGAGGGCTTTGAAGGTGAGGACCAGAATCTTGAACTGTATCCTCTGTGTGATGGGAAGCCGGTGAAGTTGGGCAAAGATGGGGTCATAGGGTCACGGAGCCTAGTGCGGGAGAGGACACGGGCTGCAGAGTTCTGATGATCTGCAGTCTGTGGAGGGAGGAGTGGGGAGGCCGACAAGCAGTGAGTTTGCATAGTCGAGCCTCGATGTAATGAAGGTGTGTGTAAGGCATTCGGTGGCCTGCGGTGTGAGACAGTGTCGGGGCCAGGCGACGTTGCGGAGCTGGGGGAAGGCAGAGCGGGTCATGGCACGGATGTCGGGTAGAAAGACTAGTTGAGGGTCAAACAAGATCCCAAGGTTCCGGATGGCTTAGCAAGGTGGAGTGTGCCACCATGGATGGTGATGCTCTCAGTGCCTGAGGTGAGGAGGCACTGACGGGAGCCAATCAGGAGAGCCTCAATCTTGTTGACGTTCAACTGAAGAAAGTTAGCTCTCATCCAGGACTTGATGTCTGACAGACATTCTGTCAGCACAGCAGTGGTCCTGGAGTCAAGGGTGGAGGCAGAGAGGTAGAGTTGGGTGTCATCTGCATACATGTGGAAGTTGCCCCCATGTCTGCGGATGATGTCACCAAGAGGGAGCATATAGATATTGAAGAGGAGGGGACCCAGGACAGAGCCCTGAGGAACATCGCACAAGCCCCTCTCCCTCCCACAACAGTAAATAGCAAAGCTGAGAATAACAAACCTGACATTTTTTTCCAGGTCAATATCCTTAAATCCTAGAGTTTGCAGTGATGTGGTTTTGGCCTCAGTGCTGAAGGAGCCTAAGGGTCCAAGTACACAGGTATGAGAGACACAGAACATCCAACAAACAAGTAAGTAAGAGAGCAAGAGTGGTACTCACCATATCGCACGGTCTGGGCACAAATCACCAGTGATGGGATTGCCACGGGCAGCAACTCACACAGTGCAGAGTAATGATCGTACCTGGAAACCACAGCAATCAGTTACCAGCCACGTAGTCTATCCACCCCTCATACCTAGTAACTAGTCTATCTACCTAACTATAACCTCTCATACCTGGTAACCACAATAATCTAAATATAACTTCTAATATAATGACAGATTGCATTTATATCGCGCCTTTCAAGTTGGGATGTCCCAAGGAGCTGGACAGTGAAGGGTTTGCACCTCAGCTGGGGGTTGGAATCAAGTGGGCAGGGAGGAATTGAAACAGGCCTTGAAGAAGGACTGGGAAGGGGCAAAGTGGAGGGACTCTGGGATGGAGTCCCAGAGGGTGAGGGGCAGAAACACTGTAGGCACAACCGCCAATGGTGAGGTGGGCTGGGTGGGGGATGTGGAGCAGGCCAGTGCCCGCCGAGCAGAGGGAGTGAGGCTCTCAGCGGCCTGAGGGGAGGTATTGATGAAGGTGGGCAAAGTTGCAAAGGTGGAGGAAGGCAGAAGCAGGTACCAACAAGCTGCTGCTTTTGGGGGGGGGGGGGGTGGGAGAAAGGGGTTAACGCAGATGTATTAAAGCGACGTGCACCATATCACAGAAACATATTAAATATTAATGAAACGAGCAAACAGCAGGCATATCTGACCTTTGCCAGCCAGTTAATGCCAGTCCCTGGAAGTGGAGTGACGGAAACTTGGGCAGAGATTTAATGACCTTCAGCCATTGGAGCTGGTTCTGCAGATGCAGGTTAATGGGGGTCCGGTCCTGAGCTGCCCCCGAGGCTCCTTTGAAGGCGCTGGCGAACCAGACATTGCGGAATCCGCTCTCCAAGTACTTGCTGAGAATCTCCTCTGACGTGAAGATTGAAGATTTATTGTAAAACTTAAAAATTAGTTTATTCAAATTATTTCTTTTTACCAGTTGCAAATATTTCTCAGACACGCAACGATATTAATAATGGAGAAAATTGAGACTCAGTGTTTCTGTTTCTTACCGACGGAATCAGTACTGAACTGAGCAGCGTAAAACCAGACCATGGGAGCCACGTACTGAGCGATCCCCGTCTCTGTGGAAAATACAGTGAGAACCTTTAACTAACAACAATTTACATTGTGCTTTTTCCATCAAGGGGAAGCTTCACACAGCTGACTCTGAGCCAGGTGGGGTGGGTGGAGACGGTGACCAAAAGCACGGTCTTAAGGTGGGCTTCAAAGACAAGACGGAGAAACTCCAGGATAGAGTTGTAGAGAGTGGTGACAGAAAGCTCACCTGCCGATGGTCAGGCAGGGGATGTGAAGCAGGTGTTAGCGGAATGAGGGGAGCGACCAGAGCAGTAGGAGATGTGAGATGGGGGAGGAGGACCTGTAATTCAATCCCCTGGTGGATTGAGAGCCAGTGTAGATGGGTGGACAGAGCAGGGCTGGTGGGGTGGGACTGGCGGGCGGGGTGGGGCGCCAACTCAGTTGGCAGCAGCCACCGGACTCGATCACGTACGCTGGATCGTCTCTTTGCTAATTTTCCGCATCATGTCGTCCCACATGATGACCTCAATCCCCGGGTACTTGGTGGTCAGGTAGCTGCTGACCGCCATCACATGGTCCAGGAAGAGCTTCCCCCGATCCTCTTCATGCTCGCTCAGCCACTGCTTTGTCTCAACTCCTTCCCCCAGATAATAAACCTGTCAACGTAAACAGAAGAGACACTCTTTACCACATCGCTCGCTGAGCATCCTCCACCACCACCACATCATGTATATAACTACATAACACAGCCTTCACACAGCATTGCACTCGGAGCCCTGAATATACAATATTCAGCAAGTGGGCATTAAACATTACACCCTCTGCCCTCCCCTGGTTGGGGGGAGGAGGGAGAGGGGGGCAGCCCTCTATGTCCTGCAGCACCGCACGGGGGCCCCTCACATCTCTAACAACAGTAAATACAGGAATCTCCCCATGGCAACACAATACCATAAATTACTGAATTGAGGACCATAATACCATGAAGGAGCTGTCACTCCCACAACTAAAGCTCTGTAGTTATTGCCTCAGCTCCGCCCTGCAAACACGAACCTCGTCCGCACCAATGTGGATCCGAGAACAGGCGGGATGCTTATCCAGGACCTGACTGATCATTTCCTTCACCAGCTTCAGGGAGTCAGGCAGATGCGGGTTCAGGCTGTTGGGATAATTCTCCACCTCCCGTAGAGTCAGATATTTGTCGTGTTTCAGCACAAACTGGAGGAAAAACACACATCACTCAACACCGAGAGACGTACGGCAGTGGCGCACGGCACGGTGACGGGAGGAGAGATAAACCCTGAGGGATAAACAGCCACTGAGCTCACTTCCATATGTCCAAATGTCTGAACCAGAGGAATAATCTCCAGCTGGTTTCTGTCCGCCAAGTCCTGGATTTTTTCAATATCAGCAGAACTGCAGAGAAAACACCACAGAATTATTGCTTATAAAGAACAGCACCGTATCACAGTGTTCTCCCTCTCTCGCTGATTTTCCTCTCACTCATGTGACCAATCTTGATGTGTGTGCAGTGACATGTTGGAAGATAATGGCGTCCCCAATCTCCCTGTATATAAATCGAATCCTGATCTTACCTGTAAGCATACGTGGATTTAAGGACTTCAAGATCACCCTCAAAAGGAAACATGTCTTCGTATTCCATCAGAACACCATGGACACCAAGTGTGTGCAGGAGGGAAAATATCTGAAAAATATTACACCCAAACTGCATTTCATTTCATAGAATTATGGAATTATACAGCACCGAAGGAAGCCATTCTGCCCATTGTATCCGTGCCAGCTTTTTGAAGGAGCTGTCCAAATTAGTCCCACTCCCCCGCCCTCTCCCCATAGCCTTGCAAACTTGTCCTCCCCAAATATCTTTCAACTCTCTTGAAAGTTGTTATCGAATCGGCTTCCACCACCCTTTCAGATCCAAACAACTCGCTGTGTGAAAACATTTCTCCTACCTCCTTTCTGTTTCTTTTAACATCTATTTTAACTCAATGCCCTCGGGTTATCGACACACCCGCCAGTGGAAATAGTTTCTCTTTGCTATGTTTTTTTAAAAAAACCAGCTTTACCTACCTGTCCTGACACCTTCAAAGATTTTCTCAGGTGGAGCCCCAGGTCTCTTATGCCCTTTAAGATTGTACCATCAGCTTACATTCCCTCTCCTCATCTTCTTCCCAAAAATGCATAATTTCGCAGTTTTATCCGCCATGTGGCTATCCATTTTATCAGTCTGTCTATGTCCTCTTGCAGTCTGCAACTGTCCATCTCATGTTTACTACTTTTCCTAGCTTAGTATCATCTGCAAACTTGGAAATTGTATTCTCTATACCCAATTCCCAGTCATTTATATAGATCAAAAACAGCAGTGGTCCCAATATTGATCCCTGGGAGACACCACTGCACACTTCCCTCCAGTCAGAAAAATACCACCACTCTCTGCTTTCTGTCTCCCAGCCAGTTCTGTATCCATGCTGCCACTGTCCCTTTAATACCATGGGCTTCAATTTTTTCTATTAACATGTCTATTATGTGGCACTTTATCAAACGCCTTTTGAAATTCCATATAAACTACATCAACGGCACTACGTTCATCCACCCTCTCCGTCACTTCATTAAAAAACTCTACCAGGTTTGTTAGACATGATTTGCCTTTAACAAACCCAGGTTGGCTGTCCTTTATTAACCCATATTTTTCAAAGTGAAAATTATTTTGTCCCGGATTATAGTCTCTAGAAGTTTCCCCATCAGGCTGCCTGTAATTCCCAGGTTTATCCTTCTCCCCTTTTTGTTCAGAGGAGTAACATTTGCAAACCTCCAGTCCTCTGGGCACCTCCCGGCATCCATGGAAAATTGAAAAATTGTGGCTAGAGCCAATGTTCCAGGAACCTAAAGTCCTCCTTTCTGCACCATTTCTCAAGCCACATATTAACGGGTTTTATCCAGCTGTTCTTATACTCGCTTGCACACTGGGAGTAATCCAGCGATCACCACCATTGAGATCCAGCTCTTTAGTTTACTCCTAGCTTCTGAAACTCTCCCTGTAGGATCTCAGCCCTTTTTTTCCCTATGTCATTGCTCCCAACATGGATTACGACTTCTGAAAGGTCCCCTTCCGCCCATAGAATGTTTTGTACCTGTTCCGTGAAGTCTTCAACCTTCACACCAGGAAGGCAACATACCATTTAACACCACTTACCAGCATCTCTCTGTACCCCCTCCCTCAGGGTGCTCACTCACTGACATCTCTGAGCCCCTCACCCAGTATACCCTCACCTGCTCCAGATATAAGAGTTTTGGAGCAGCTCCTTTAAGGTCCAAGTGCACAATTTTCATCCCTGCGGCTCCGTACTGTTTGGGCTGTCGTCTATTTTCTTTGTTGATAGTCTGTTCTGTTGTGGTTCTGTGCCGAGCCTCCCCCGTGATTTCCCTGCTCTCCAGTGTTGCCTTGGCCCTTGGGTCTTTTGCCTTTTTCCAAAAATCTATGTGGCTTGGGTCATCCACTGGCTTTGATCTTAAACACAGATTAAAATATTTATCTTCAATCAGCTCAGTAAATATACTCGATTGGCTTGCGCCAGTGCCTCTGCACCTCAGGCACCGGCAGCATCAGCATCACCGAACCAATCAGGAACCTAGGCGTCTTGTTCAACCTTTAACTGTCCTTTCTTCCCCCACATCTGTGCCATGACCCGCTCTGCCTTCTCCCACCTCCGCAACAATGCTCTACTCCGCCACTGTCTCACCCCTCAGGCCGCCAAAACCCTCATATGTCTTCACTATAACCAGGCTCAACTATGCCAATGCCCTGCTTGTCGGCCTTCCCAACTATTCCCTTCACAAGCTGCAGGTCATCTAGAACTCTGCAGCTTGTGTTCTCTCCCGCACGAGGCTCCGTGATGCATCGCACCCATCCTCACCTGGCTCCACTGGCTGCCCATTCCTCAGAGGATAGAATTCAAAGTTCTCGTCCTCACCTTCAAGGCTCTCCATGGCCTTGCCCCCTCCTACCTCTCCAACCTGCTAACCCTGTGGAGTCCTATATCTCAGTGGTTAGAGCACTAGCCCCACAAGTGAAAGACCTGGGTTTGATTCCTGGCAGGTAAAACCTTGGGCAAGTTTCCTTACTTCACCCGCCTGATAATAATCCCTCAAGAAAAAAAATAATAGTTTGGTCACTCAATCCACGACTGCTTGTGGGGACACTGTTGTGTGCAATTGGCTGCCGTGTTTCATCCACAAATATACAGTCAATTCACTTAACAGTATATTCTGTGAAGCGTTTTGAGACGTGCCGAAGACGTGATAAGGCAATATATCAAATGCAAGGATTATTGTTTATTTTATTATAACCCCTTATCAAACTGTCCACTCCCTCCACTCGGCAGGCTCCAGCCTGTCCCATGTCCCCTGCCCAGCCTGCCCCACCATCAGTGGTCGGGTCTTCAGCCTCTCTGCCCCAACCCTCAGGAACTCCATCCCACATTCCCTGGCTTCACTCCCTCCCTTGCCTCCTTCAAGGCATGTGCCAAGACGCCCTCTCCAACCGTGCCTTCAGCCACCCTCCCTGATCCCAACCCACTTTAACAATGTAATTTTGCATTTTTCGTCTTGTACTCAACGCAGAAACCCCAACGCTGGCAATCGGGCTATACTGCTGCAGCTCTGCACTGGTTATTCAGCTGAAAGCTTTTCACAATAACAACAGCTGCAGATTGCAGGTTGCAGAGCCCCATCAAACGGAATAACAATCCTCGCGTTTTTAGCGGTACCGCTTCGTTGAGACATCTTAAAGCGCTTCACAGAATACGCTATAAAGCGGATTGACAGTGCGGTTTGTGGATGAAATAGCAAAGGAGCAATCCTGCCCTCTCTTAAGCCTGTGGTTCAGATGCTATCGTGTGGTGCTCTGTGAGCTGCACCCCGCAACCTGCCCCATCTCGCGCATCACTGCGGCACAAACACCCCGCAACGCCTCCCGCACGGAGAAGCCACTTACTCTGATGGGTACAGGAGGCTGGCGCCCACCAACAGGGCGATCAGCAGCACCAGCAGGCGCAGGACCTGGAGATACGGTCTCCGCACCATAGCTCTCGCACTCCCCACCGGGAACGATGTCACTCACTCCTGAGAAAAGTGACAGCGAAGTCAGCGGCTTTCACAGTAAAGAGCAGACGTCCGGGAACGCTCAGCAGGTCAGGCGGCACCTGTGCAGCTGTTACACCGGGGCAGGAGGGCTGCCATGTGGCGGGTTTATGGGCTGACTTGCCGGTTGCCAGTGAAACTATTTAACGTGCCAGTTTTTCAGTGACCGTACCGAGATGAACGTGTGATTGCGCGCACTGCCTTTACCACGGTGGCCGCCCCCGTCACGGTTTTACCAAGATGGCCACTGGCTCCCTCCTGCCTCGCCATGCATTGCTCGCTCTGCCTTTACCAAGATGGCTACTGGCTCCCCCCCCCTCCCCGCCATGCATTGCTCGCTCTGCCTTTACCAAGATGGCCACTGCCCCCCACCTCCCCGCCATGATTGGTCACTCTGCCTTTACCAAGATGGCCACTGGCTTCCGCCCCCCTCCCCGCCATGATTGCTCACTCTGCCTTTACCAAGATGGCCGCACTCTCCCTTCGATATATTGCGGACGATGGCTTTACCAAGATGGCGCCAGCGGAGCCTTGCAGGGCGCCGGTGGTCGGTTTTTTTTCCGTGGCGGAGGTGACGGCCGGTCACCAGCAACTCACAGCGTCCAGTGTAGGTGAGCGCGGCAGCCATTAGCGCACAACAAGGAGGCACCGCTCGCCGGCCCTGAGCGTCAGAACCCCGCCTCCCGCCGGTACAATCCCCGCTCGCCCCCCACCCAGGCCCGGGCCCCTCGCTCCCCCCCCCCCCCGGGTCCCTCGCCCCCCGGGTCCCTCGCTCCCCACCCCGGACCCCTCGCTCCCCCCCGTCCCGGGCCCCTCGCCCCCCCCCGTCCCGGGTCCCTCGCCCCACCCCCGTTCCGGGCCCCTCGCCCCCCCGTCCCGGGCCCCTCGCTCCCCCCCCCCCCCCTCCGGGCCCTTAGCTCCCCCCCGCCCCTCGCTACCCGGGGCCGCGCAGCCACTGCACTGACCTCGGCCATTTGTGTGTCCGCGGCGGAGCTACTGCCGGGCAACGCCCTGGGCGGCCCTGGGGGTGGGCATCAGCAACCTGTAAACACGGTGGCTTCACAGGGGAGAGGGGGAAGTGGGGGAGGAGTTGTGTGGGGGCAGAAGAGGAGGTGGGGAGGGAGAAGGGGTGATGTGGGGGGAGACCCGTGGGGGGCGGTGGGTGGGGGAAGGGGCTGTGTGGGGGGGGAGAAGGGGAGGGGAAGAAGGAATGTTGCGGGGGGGGAGAACCGTGAGGGGGGAGAAGGGGAGGTGGGGGGGACCCGAGGGGTTGTCGGGTTCTCAAATGCCCGGGTTGATGACCTGGAGCCGCCACTCTCACTGATGATTTAATGTTGCAGGCGTGAGCGAGCGTGAGCAGCCGTGAGCGAGCGTGAGCAGCCGTGAGCGAGCGTGAGCAGCCGTGAGCGAGCGTGAGCAGCCGTGAGCGAGCGTGAGCAGGCACCTCCGACATGAACGTGAACCAAGGCACCGTCGGCAGTGACCCGGTCATCCTGGCCACAGCCGGGTACGATCACACCGTGCGCTTCTGGCAGGCTCACAGCGGCATCTGCACCCGCACCGTGCAGCACCAGGACTCCGTATCCTCGGCAGCAAATGCCCGCACACACACGCCCGTACACAAATACGTGCCTACACACACACACACACACAGGCCGGTGTGCCCGCGCACACGCGCCTGCACACACACAGGCCAGTGCACCCGTGCGCCCACTTGAACACAGGCACATCTGTGCTTGTGCATAATAATAATAATCTATTGAATGCAGGCGTATGTGGCAGTATAAAACAAACAGTTCCTATAATTATTAGTGTATCTGGGACTGTTAAGATTATTCAATATGATTTGATAAAATACCCGGGGAGCAAAATATCAACTTCCTGCAGAAAGTAGCTATTCTCGGAAGCTCAGATTTACTGAGCAACATAACATCCATTCATATGTGGCAGTGTATTGGTCTGGCTGACCACACACAGGCTGCTTAGAAACTTCCTCGATCAATTGATGTAAACTGTAGTAACATAATAATAATAACAGAATCATAGAATATTACAGCACAGAAGGAGGCCATTCTGTGGGGCAAAATGTTGGGCAAGTTTCCTTTCTCCACACTCCTATGTTTATCTAGCAGTAAGTAGGAACCCGATTGTTAGTCAATTACTGGATTGCTTTTCCAGGGGTAATAATTCCTTCAAAAATTTGGTCACTGTTTGTGGGATACAATTGGCTGTCGCGTTTCACCCATAAAAAATATATAGTCGATTCACTTTCTGTTATATCCCTTGAAGTGCTTTGAGACGTCTCGAAGATCTGATAAGACACTATATCAAATGCAACGATTATTATTACTCGGCCCATCGTGCCTGTGCCGGCTGTTTGGAAGAGCTACCCAATCAGTCCTACTTTTTCGCCATATCATTGCAAATTTTTCCTTTTCGAGTTCCTATCTAATTCCCTTTCGACAGTTGTTACTGAATCTGTTTCCAGCCTTTGAAGCAGTGCATTCCAGACTGTGACAACTCTATATAAAAAAAAACTGAATTTTGAAACCTAGCATCATCATAGTAATAAACTCTCAGGGGAGAGGGGCAGTGTGTGAGTTACAGTGAATATTGAGGATCAGTCAAACATTTTCTTAACCAAGTGACCAGCAAGTGAACTCACTGGAAATCACCCCAGATCGTAGTATGATCGCAGCTGCAGGTGAGCACAAGGTCTCAAGGTACAATCACCCCAGTGTGTGATACAGCCATTATTTCTGTCTATACCCAGGGGGGGTATGTGGTGTTTGAGAGTGTGTGTGTGGGGGGGAGCTATGTGTGTGTGATGGGGTGGGGGTGTATGTGGTGGTTAAGAGTGTGTGCGTTTTGGAGGGGTGGTTTGTATGTGTATGGGGAGGTATTTGTGTATTGGGGGCTATGGGTACGGATGTGTGTGGGGGGAGGCTGATTGGCAGTGAGGGCAGCTTTGATGCTCCTCGTCTCTCACAGGGTATCAGCATATCCGAATGTATGACCTGAATTCCAATAACCCGAATCCCGTCATTAACTATGACGGAGTCAGTAAGAACATCACCTCAGTCGGGTTTCACGAGGACGGGCGGTGGATGTACACCGGCGGCGAGGATTGCATGGCAAGGATCTGGGACCTGAGGTATTTGATGGGAGAAGAGTACACACAGGGCGATTAGGATGTGGATTCACCAAGTGGGAATTTGATAAACAATTAGAGTAGAGAGCTCCAGTGGGAGAGTGAGCACCAACACAGAAACAACAACAAGATTACATTTGTATAGCGCCTTTCACGTCAGGAGGACGTCCCATGGCGCTGCTGGGAAGAGAGCAGGGAATGAGATTAAGAGTAAAGAGCTCCAGTGGGGGAGTGAGCACCAGCACAGACATGATGGGGAGAGAGCAGGGAAGGGGTGCTAGAGAGCTCCAGGGGGGAACGAACACCAGCACAGACACGATGGGAAGAAAGCTCCAGTGGAGGAGCGAGCACCAGCACAGACATGATGGGGAGAGAGCAGAGATTGGGATTAAAAGACCTCCAATAGCTTAAAAAACTCGTTCTAGAATTAAAATGCTACCTCTATCTCTGGGCTGTAGTGACTCTCTCTCTCTCTCAATAGGTCACGTAATTTGCAGTGCCAGAGAATCTTCCAAGTCAATGCTCCCATCAACTGTGTTTGTTTGCATCCGAACCAGGTAGAGTACAATACCCGGGCCTGACTGCCACATGTCACTTCCTCCTCAATCTTGGTCCCTTGGTCACCGTGGTGCTGTCCCTGCAGCCAGGCCAGCATGTCTCCTCGTGCAGGCTGACCTCCGGCATGGCTAGGGAGAGCTGCACTGTTGGCAGTGATGTCCTCTGAATGAGATGCTGAACTGACATTTCTTCTACCTGGTCATGTGGATGTAAAGATCCCATGGCATTATTGTTCCAGTGTCCTGGCCGAGGAACAGGAAGAGGCCATACAACCCTTCAAGCCTGAGATTGTGGCTGATTGATTTACTTACCTTATCCTGTAGAGTCCTGTAGCCCAGTGGTTAGAGCACTCACCTCGTAAGTGAAAGACCTGAGTTTGATTCCTGGGCAGGGCGAAACTTTGGGCAAGTTTCCCCTCAGCACGCACACGCCTCTGTTTACCAACAGTAACAACAACAACAAGATTCCACTTATAGAGCGTCTTTCACGTCAGGAGGACGTCCCAAGGCGCTGCACAGTTGGGTCATGACCCGAGCAGGGGGGAAATGGTCAGGGTGAGGAGAGGGAAGGGAGGAGAGAGGAGGGGAAATGGTCAGGGTGAGGGGAGGAAGGGAGGGAGCGAGGAGGAGGAAGAGAGTCGAGAGGGGAGCTGAAGGCACGGTCAAAGAGAAAGGTTTTGAGACCGGCCTTGAAGGAGGAAAGGGAGGAAGCAAGGCGAAGGCACTGGGGGATGGAGTTCCAGAGCCTGGGGGCTGAGAGGCTGAAGGCCCGACCACCGATAGTAGGCGGTTGGGGCGGGGACGTGGAGCAGACCGGAGCCAGAGGAACGGAGGGTACGGGCAGGTAGGTAGGGGGATAGTAGGTTGGAGAGGTAGGAGGGAGCAAGGCCGTGAATGGCCTTGTAGGTGAGGATGAGGATCTTGAAATCAAAGTAGGAACCTGGTTGATAGTCGATTGGCGGATCGCTTTTCCGGGGATAATACTTAAAAAAAGTAATAATTTGTTCACTCAATCCACGACTGTTTGTGGGACGCTGCTGTGCGCAATTGGCTGCCGTATTTCGCCCACAAAATATAGTCTTTACAGTGTATCCGATGAAGCGCTTTGAGACATCTCGAAGACATGATAAGGTGCTATATCAAATGCAAGGATTATTATTATCTACATGCCACCAGATACCCTCACTAGACAAGTATTTACTCTTCTCTCTTCTCTGACTCACCACTAACAGGTTTTAGAGGAAGTGAATCTGAGTGAAAAAAATCTCTCACTCTCCCTCTCACACACACACACACTCTCTCTCTTGGCAGGCTGAGCTGATTGTAGGTGACCAGAGTGGAGCCATCCACATCTGGGACCTGAAAACAGACCACAATGAGCAGTTGATCCCTGAGCCGGATGTTTCTGTCAACGCTGTTCACATTGATCCTGATGCCAGCTACATGGCAGCAGTCAACAGCTCAGTGAGTAGCGTGGTGGGGGGCTGGGGTGAAGAGCGCTGAGGGTTTGAAGAAACAAAAGTAAAGGCTGGGAGGGAGTAACCTGCAGAAGAGCAACAGCTTTGCATTTGGGTTAAGTGGCGTCGCTCACATTTGCTCGCTCACACTTTTTCACACTCGCTCCTTCACACTTACTCACACACTCTCTCTTCTTAGGGGAATTGCTATGTGTGGAACCTGACAGGAGGTATTGGAGAGGAAGTGACACAGCTCATTCCTAAAACCAAGATCCCAGCCCACAAGCGCTACGCTCTGCGCTGCAAATTCAGCCCCGACTCCACGTACGTACGTTCGGTTGGAATGTTTAAAGAGGTATTGGGTGGTGTGTTAACAGGGTGACTCCTGGGCTGCATTACGTGCTGAAGTTCCTTTAAGGTTCAAATCAATAGCAAAACCATGATAAACTGAGTGAGACTGCAGCTGACATTGTTTTATGTAATATTTAAAGTAACTTGGTCATTGTGGGTGAAGCTCTATCCACTGTGGCTCGCGCTCTCGCCAGAGGCTTGTGGATTACAGCCCACCGCTCACAGTCTAGGCTGATGCTCCAGTGCCGCGCTGGCAGAGCACAGCTTGGTCGGAGGTGCTGAACTTCAGATGAAACGTTAAATCAAGGACTCATCTACCCGTTCAGGTGGACATTAAAGATCCAATGGCACTTCTCAAAGAGAGGGGGCTTTCCCCCTTATTGCAAAAGGGATTAAGGAATATGAGGATAAGGCAGGGTCAGGTTATAAGCTGGAGTTAGAAGATCATCCATGATTGAATGGCGGGGCAGGCTCGAAGGGCCGAATGGCCTACTCCTGCTCCGACATGTTATGTTCCCCGGGTCCTTTCTGACAATCCCCCACATATAGTCACTCATTCACGTCATGGCTGTTTGTGGGTCGTTGCTGTGTGAATATTGGCTGCTGTGCTTGCCCATTGTGAGGTGTGGCTTTTTAAGCTTAACTAGTTGTTCCTCCACACGGGGATCTTCCTTATCACAGAGGCTTTGAGCCGGTATCACACTTGTCCTGGTGTAGGAGCTGATGTTATACCCAGTCTTTGTCCTTTAACCCACCCCCAGGCTCCTGGCCACCTGTTCTGCTGATCAAACCTGCAAAATCTGGAGAACCTCAAACTTCTCCCTGATGACGGAGCTCAGCATCAAGAGCAACAACCCCGGGGAGACGTCGCGGGGCTGGATGTGGGACTGCGCCTTCTCGGGGGATTCCCAGTACATCGTCACAGGTTGGCTCCCTCTCTGGGCAGTAGTGGATCTCAACCAGGCTGTGGGATGGGGTTCTGCTGGCTCTGGATGGGGTGGTCTGCTGACTCTGGGGTGGGGAGAGATGCCTACTGTAGAGGCTGGGGTATCAGTTGGATGTATAAAATGTGTTCATTGTTTCCTGGCTCGAAAGCTGACGTTCCCCTCTCTCTCTCTCTCTCTCTGTGTCTCAGCTTCTTCTGATAACTTGGCCCGACTCTGGTGTGTGGAGACTGGAGAGATTAAGCGTGAATACAGTGGCCACCAGAAGGCAGTGGTGTGCTTGGCCTTCAATGACAGTGTGCTGGGCTGATGTTACCAGGAGACAGACATGGCTTTCCTGCCTACGTGTTTGTGAACTGATCCCCGTCAAGTCATTGGGCAACACTGAGGCAGAGTTGTAATAAATAGTGAATGTAGAATGACCTGGTGCTGCCTTCTCCCTCTCGCCTCTCGTGCCTGTGATGAGTCTGACAAGGTCAGTGGGCTCGTTACAGGTTTTTTCACTCCAAATTTGTTACAAAGGTCACACTTCCCTCACCCAATCCCCATGGGTGTGGGCACTGATGATAATAACCTTCACATTCCATGTCAGGAGGTGACCTCAGAGCCCTTCACAGGATATAAAGTGACTGTAAAGTGTCTGTTTCATAAGCAAACATGGCAGCCAATTTGTCTACAGAAATGTCCCACAAGTCATTAAGTGAATGTATGATTTTATTTGGGGAATTGTTAGCCAGGACACCGGGAGAAGGAACTCCCTTCTGTTTTGAATAGTGCAGCAGGGATTTTTAATGTTCACCTGAACAAGGACCTCGATTCAATGTCTCATCCAAAGGATGGCACTTGCAACAATACAGCCCCTCCACCTCCACCCCTAAAGCTGCACAGGAGTGTTGGCCTGGACTGTGAGTTCAAAATCCCCAAATGTCCCTTAACCCCCCCACCCCCCCAGGCTCCTGGCCACCTGTTCTCCCAACTCGGAGGCATCAGGACTACTGACTAAGCCTGACTGAGGGTTGGGGTGTGAGCCTAGCTGGGTCAGGCTGGGTGTGAGCCTGGCTGAGGGCTGGCTGGGGTGTGAGCCTGGCTGAGGGCTGGCTGGGGTGTGAGCCTGGCTGAGGGCTGGCTTGGGTGTGAGCCTGGCTGAGGGCTGGCTGGGGTGTGAGCCTGGCTGAGGGCTGGCTGGGGTGTGAGCCTGGCTGAGGGCTGGCTGGGGTGTGAGCCTGGCTGAGGGCTGGCTGGGGTGTGAGCCTGGCTGAGGGCTGGCTTGGGTGTGAGCCTGGCTGGGTTGGGCTGAGTGTGAGCACTGGGTTTCTTCGAGTGAAAAGGAGAAATTGAAATCACAAAAATACCACTTCAGTTGTGATGTTACACGTTTATTGTATCTACGTTTATAAAAATATGAAAGTGTAAAAATGTGTGATTGTGAGAGTTGCTATTAGTCTCGTTGTGGGAACCCTCTGTTTACGATGGTTTAAACAATGTCACACAGAGACTGACGTGGGCCTAAGCCTCAGAGGAGAGGGAATTGTGGTAGCTGCGTGGCAGCTTGTCAAGGGTGGGGGGAGGCGGAAGGAGCTCACCGCTGGCTCCAAGGGGAGTGAGCTGAGCACAGTGTCCTTCCTCTCTGGTGCTGACACTGGTCAGTGCAGAGTCAGGTACAGGAGTGTGGTTGGGAAGGGAGGGCTGTAGGTGGTTGGTCAGTAAGGATTACATTAAATGAATGTTAAAAGCAGCTACGAGGCATTATAGTGGTGAGGCCGTCGTAGAGAGCAGCTAGTCTGGGAGGTAATAGAAGCACACAGACACGCAGATGTTGTTTGGGAAGCAGATATCGATGCAGAAGTAGATTAGCCGCTGTCTCCCGGGACCTGTGGAAGCAACACATTGGTGAGAGACGAACATATCAACTGAAACACATCGTATCGACCGACCAGTGAGATTTAGGGGGAGAGGATTGAGCAGGTGCAGGTCAATGTCCAATGGTCTCCAGGGACAGGGCAGCGAAGTGACCGTGTAACCTACACTAAACATGGCGTGTCGTGTTCCACACACTGGTGAGTGAGATACCGATAGGCATCTGCAGAGAAGAGAGAGAGCATTGTGGTGGGGAAAGAGAATCCTATCATTGAACGTCTTGTCACAGGTAGAAATGGAAAGTGGAGAGTGAAGATATAATGTTGTTAATCTCAGAAAGTAGGGATTTGGAAATGGATTTGGTTAATGTTTGAAGTGCAGTAATGTGGGCCTCACCGTTGCGTTTCTGCACCCAGTAAATGCGGCTCTTGTCACAGAGGCTGTTGATGTGCTTGCCCACACTCAGGCTGTCCACCACACGGCCACTCAGGATCCCCAGAAATTCTTTGGAGAATTGTGTTTCATTTCTCCACAGCAGTAACTGGCTGAACTTCAAACAAAAGACAGTTTCTTTCACTGAACGTAGCTTGTTCCTGTCGGATTACCCTAACGTTACACAGGCCGCTGGTGGGGCCATGTTTTGTGCACTTTTAGATTCAGGATTGGCAGCTAATAACAACGAACATGTTTACAGTAAAGCTCTCTGTGCAGGTGTGGCCAGGAGACACGCTGTGGGCTTTGAGCACCGTAATCACTACTGTGAGCAGGTTACACCGAGCATTTACTCCCGGGGGGGGGAGTGGGGGAGTTGGCGAGGAAGACGGAACCTCTCCTCGGGGTGAGTGGGTTGTGGGAAGTTTAGGGTAGAGCATGGGGTTTGGCTTCCTGTTATTCCTTTTTGGTTGGCAATATAATCAATGTTTCTTGAATGAATATTTCTTGATTTATTGCATAAATCTGTGTTTTTTTATTTCTATGTTATTCTATTGCTCGCTCCCCCACTGCGCCTATACCTGCTATACCTGAATGTTCCATCCAGTGACTTACCTGACCAATGGCATGTGTGATTGGGCAGATCTAGCCGGGGGTGGGGAGAGCAGGAATAACCCCAGGGACAGGGTCAGTATAGAGTCTGTGCAGTGTCTTAGCCACGGTAACACCTGCTCAAATGTTCCTTGAAAAGGCTGAGAAAGGGTATCACAGTTCAGCACATTCCTTCCCAGGGTGGGTGGAACAGGGGAGCTTTGTGTCCGCTCCCCGGCCCGGAACCACAGCTCTCAGCAAGATAACACAGCCATTGCCCGGGATAGCACTCCCGTCTGCCAACCTCCAGTGTATCACTGCCATAACAGGTTACATTCCATCAAATGTTAAATATTTCCCCAATAGTAAAAACCTGCATATTCATCTATTGCTCACATTGTGCGACTGGAGGCTACACAGTCTATACTTTTTAAAGCTGCCATTGTTCTTGCCCCCGGCCATTTGCTATGTCAGAGGGACCCAGCACCAGCCCGGCTCCGGGACACCATTAGATGTTCCAGAAATTACTGTCTAATCACCTGCTGACATGTCGTTTGATGATCATTTGACATGTTCTTTCATGACCTGAGAAAAATCGGCTGGGGGAGCGAGCACCAGCACAGACACGATGGGGAGAGAGCAGGGACTGGGATTAGATTAGAGAGCTTCATTGGGGGAGCGAGCACCAGCACAGACACGATAGTTGTGAGGTCAGAGACGTGGGTGCTTACCCTGTGCTCCATTGTGGTGAGAAATGTTTGAATATTCTCCAGCTCATTTGTTGTCATTTGTCGGACTAAACAGATGTTCCCTCTGGGCTGGTAGCAGACTAACTCCTGCACAGAGAAATAAACCAATTATTTACTGCCCAGTTATTATTGTTTTAATCAGCTGAGTGTCTGACACATATGGAAACCATTCCTCATGCTTAAGAGTATCTAAACCACACAATGCCACATATATATGTCACTTATGTATGGAAATATCCTTCTAGAATGGAGTGGACATTCTCTCCCTGGAGGGTCTACCCTTCTTACCTAGTTTTGGGAAGTATTTGAAGCAGGTTGACACTGGCTCAATTCATCCTTGTATCTGAAGGAATGTTTAGTCCCTCAGAGTCCGAGGTAAAGGCTCTGCTTGATCAGTACTAAGACACCTAAGCCTGTATCAGTGTGTAATGCAGAGAGGGGCAAGCGGGGATGGGATGTACTAAGACAGTCAGGCAGCAATGCCCTAAGACTCACAGATACAAAGAAATAAGCACAAAGGAATTCAGTAAGTGATTGCCTGGTTAAGTGGTGATATGTTAGCGGGAGATAGTGAGGATTTTGCCTCGGGTGGCTCTGGGATGCTGTCCTGCCTGAGGGGCACTATATAACTGCAAGTTGTTGTTGTGGCTACTCACGTTCTTCCCGTCAAATAGTACCACAGCAGAGTGGTTTGCGAGTGATTTGATGGAATAAGTTACAACATTTTCCTCTGGGTCAACGCGAGCCGATTGATTCACCCAGTGACCCTGCGGGTCCTGGAATGTGATCAGCACAACCTGTCGAGAGAGCATCAGTCACACACACGCCCAGCCCTCACACATGCGTACACACACACACACACACTCGCGCGCGCAGTGTGAAGGGGGGGAGGTGAAGTGTGTGAGTGTGGGGCAGTGTGAAGGGGAGGCGGTGTGAAGGGGAGCGGTGTGAGGGAAGGTGGTGGGTTTAGACAGAGTACCGAGGGAGGAGAGGAAAGGCGGTAGTTACCTGGGGAGTGCCTCTCCTCAGAGCCACGATCCCTGTCGCCGAGACCCCAATAACGGCTAATGCGAGCAGCAGCAGCCCGAGCCCCCGGACAGTGCGGCCCCCGAGCCTGGCTGTGGCCCCCGGGCCGCCAGGCTGCACCTGTTGGGACACAATCTGTGTTAGTCTTCACTGTTCCCCTGCAATCAGCAGCTCGGGGGGGGGCAGTGGGCTGATAGACCCGTTACTAATGGGATTCCCAAACCTACAATCCCACAAAGCAGGGAGATTGAGTGCTTACACATGGCAGTATGCGCTTCAGGGAAGCGAACATGGCTGTGCCTCTCTCCTGCTCCATGTCTCCAGGTCTGACTGTCTGCCTGAGTCTCAGCCCCTGGAGCCAGGCTGCAACCTGATGCCACCACAGGACCGGGGGGGGGGGGGGAGGGAGAGGGGACTTCAGGTGCAACCCTTTTGGATGAAATCCTGGATGTTAGCATAATTTCTCACTTCAAATCTTGCTGTGTTCATACAGCGAGATTTATTTGAAGTGCAATGAGTGCAATACAATTGGTTATTGTCTGTTTGAGCTTCTGCTTAGCAAGAGGGTAGGCTAGTGTAGTCCTAGCTGCCAGACAGCGATATCAATAGCAAGTTATGCGGTTTTAACTGGTTAGACTCCAGCAGTTACCCCAACGCACACTGTGGGATCTGCGAGCCTTGGCTCGTGCCAACCTGTGCCTAATACTCTCCAGAATTAGTATTCAGGATGCCCTCTGTCGCAACTAATTTTAAAATCCTTGCATTTGATACAGTGCCATAATCGAGATATCTTTGAGCCCTTCCCAGGATAGTTAAGTCTGCTTTGGGGGTGAAACAAGGTTGTTTGAGCTGCGAACCCAGGCTGATGCTCTGGCCCAGGGCGGGAGTGGTGGGGGGGTTGGGGGGGTGCCGTGTGCCATCCATTAGAGCAGAGATTACACTGAGCTTCAATCCAGGTGAAAGTTAATGATCTTTTTGCAAAATCAGTCTCCAAATTATTCAGTTTGGTCATTCTTATTGTAGTGTGTGGGACTTCGAAGGCGGTGTGTATCACACAGTCACTACACTGGGACACAATGTACTCCATCAAACACTTTGACGTGTTTTGTACGGATCCGTTCTGAGTTAATTTTATCAAATGAATAAGGAATGGAGAGAAAAAAAAATTATTAATGGTAATTATTGGGTATTGAGAGAGGAGACCTGTAGCTCAGTGATCAGAGCACTGCCCTCACAAGTGAGAGAGAGACCTGGGTTCGATTCTCAGCAGTTTCCTTACTCCACACACACACACACACACACATGTGATTACCTTGCGGTTAAGTGGGAACAATTGGCGGATCGCTGGGTAAAAGGCAATTGGATTGAGTGACCAATGTATTAATAATAATTAATCGATGACAAAAAGGACAAGCAAGACTCGAGCAAACTGATCAGTTTATTTTCAGTGCACAGTAAAGGGTCACTCACATCACAGTAATAAATAACACGGCCGCGCTCTCTCTCTCTCTCACACACACACACAGCGCTCTCTCTCTCTCTCTCTGTGTCGCTCTCCGCAGGAACCTGAAATCTTACAGTAAAGTGTTCAGACAAATAATTCAGACAACAACGACGACGACAACACCGCGTTACCCCTGAGCTGAGCCGAGCCGCGGCCTCAGTCCAGCGCGGGCAGCAGGTCGGCCACGCTGTGCACGTAGTAGTCGGGGACGAGGCGGCGGCGGTCGGCCTCCCCGCTGTCCCGGTGGCTCTCGGCCTCCTGCAGCGTGGAGACGCCGGTCAGGGTGAGGATGGTCCGGAGGCCGCAGTTGGTGCCGAGGAGGATGTCGGTGTCCAGCCGGTCGCCCACCATGATGGTCCTGGCCGGGTCCAGCCCGAAGCGCTCGGCCGCGCAGCGGAACATGAAAGCGCTGGGTTTGCCGATCACCGTGGCCGTGCGCTGGGCCGCGGCCTCCACCGCCCGCACCAGGCAGCCCGTACCTGCGGGAGGGGGAAAGGTTAGTGCCGGCCGCTCAGCCCGAGGCCCCGCGCCCGCCCCGGCCTCACGCTGCCACCCCCCCCGCCGCCGGCGCCACTTACCCGGGATGGCGGCGCCGGCCTCCAGCGGGAGGCGGGTGTCGGTGTTGGTGGCCAGGAAGCGGCAGCCCGGGTCCCGCAGGTAGGCCGCCGCCCGCACCAGCTTCATGTAGCTGAAATGCGGGTCGAAGGCGACGAGGACGGCGCCGACGTCGCTGTCTCGGGGCAGCGCGGCCCAGTCGCCCATGGCGCCGCACAGCGGGTCGGGGCCGGGGCCGATGCAGGCGATGCCCAGGCTCCGCAGCTCCTCGCTCACGGCCTCGGCGCCCAGCACGTACACCTTCCCGCGCTGCGCGGGCTTCTGCTGCAGGTACAGCGCCGAGCAGAAGGCGGTGGCGAAGACGTCCTGGGTCTCAGCGCGGAAGCCGAGGCCGCGCAGCTTGTCGGTGTACATGGCCCGCGTCTTGGTGCTGTTGTTGGTCATGTACAGCACCCGCTTCCCGCGCTCCTGCAGCCGGTTGATGAGCTGCGCGGCGCCGGGGATCGCGGCCTCTCCCCGCCAGATCACCCCGTCACAGTCGAACAGCAGCGTGTCGGCGGCCTCCAGCACCGCGGAGGCCTCGGGGCCCGAGAGGAGCCGGCATTCGGCAGCGGCCATAACAGACTGAGGCCGCAGGTCGAGCGCTTTCTCCCGCCCTTCAGGAACTCGAGCCCGACGTCTGTCCCCCGTGAACTGCAACTCCCAGTACGCACTGCACCGCGCAGCCTCAGTATCGCTCATCAGCGCACTACAATTCCCAGCAGGCGATGCTCTGCGCAGCCTCAGTGTTGCTGTTTGCCGGCACGGAACTACAGCTCCCAGATGTCCCCGGTTTGTGCGCAGCCGCAGTCCCCGCTTGCCGCAGCCGGGCGGCTCCACCTTTGGCGGCAGGTCGTAAAGCCGCCATTTTGTCCTCCTTGCGACAAGTGGGAGGAAGTCCTGATGAGTTCAGCACATACGGCAGCCGCGGCGCCGGGGGCCGGCGGGGAGGAAGGTAATTGGGTCCCGTCCTTGTTTCCAGGCTAAACCCCGGCCTCGGGCCCAGCGCTCGCGCCCGGGCTCCGGGCCGCACTGAGGAGAATCGTCTCGACCCCGAGCCCACAGTGAAGCTGTTATTGGGGCCGGTCTAACCCGGGACGCTGTGGCTGTGGGGGCGGGAAGCGGCTCAGCTCAGCCTGTGAGTCAGTCCGGAGGTTCAGGTTGAAGCCCCAGATCAGGGCCTGTCCATGGCGCCGCTCAAACTGGCTGACAATCCCCCCCCCCCCCATAACATTGCTCCCTCACGTCACGGCTGTTGATAGCGCTCTGTGCTGCCAAACTTGCCCACCAGATCCACAGTCACCACACTTTATAGTAAATCTTGGGAAGCGCTTTGAGCCGCCCTCTCAACGTCACAGGCTCTGTACCAATATCGGGCTATCATTAACATCTCCTCCTCAGCTCATCAGTTGGATTCCAGCTGTCATTCACTTTTCTGTCTATAAAACACCTCCTCTTGTCTGTACGTCACTCGCATTCATCATCTACTGCTCTGTAAAATCTACCTCTGGTACTGGGTTTATTTGGGGAATAGTTAAGCTGTGCAGCTGTGTGTGGAGTTACAGATCTCGCGAGTCACCAGAATGCGACATTAAACATGGTACAATAAAGTTGTGTTACTGTTTGTGCTGCGTTCCAAAGCACATTCACAATGCCGGGTGGTCAATGGCATACAAGATGGGGGTGGGAACCTGGGTGATAAGTGTAAGAACAAAAGGTGATGAGTAAATATTGTATCTGAATATTAGTGTGAACGAGAGACCACAGGTGCAGGGATTATTGTGGGATGGCGTATATGATGATGCTGCGGGAGTGGTGAGGTAGGAGGTCTGTGAGTGAAGAGAGACTGATGGTGTGTGTGTGTGTTGGTGGAGCAGGTCTGTGAGTGGTGAGACACTGATTGTATGTGTTCAGGGAGGGGGTCTGTGAGTGGCGAGACACTGATGATTTGTCTGTGCATGTGTTACAGAGGATGTTGATCTGCACAAGTGCGGCCGGTGTCACACTGAGTTCCATAGCCTGGAGGATTTCATTGGTCACAAAGTGCAGAAAGCATGTCAGAGGCTGCAGGAACAGTCTGTTGTTTGTCCTGACACCATACCTGTCAGCAGCCAGTCACGACAGGTCAGTTTCTTCACACCCACCCCCTCCTTTTCCTCCCGCATTACAGTTAGGATTCATTAGTGTCTCTTCAAATCTCTTCATGTCCTGGCCCCTTCCTACCTCTCCGACCTGCTTACCCCACTACCTGCTGCTTCTGCTCGACTGGCATGTCCCTCATGCCCTCCATTCCACCATTGGTAGCTGCGTTTTCAGCCACTATGCCCAGAAACTCTGGAACGTTCTTCCTCTATCCCTCCACCCTTCCCCTTCCTTCTCCATTTTCAGGTCGCGGCTGAAGATCTTCCTATTCAACCGTGCCTACGTCGTGCTCCGCCACTGTCGAGCACTTTGGAACGCTACCCTGCATGAGGAGCGTTGTGTAAATGAAAGTTGTTGTAGCGTTGACTCTGAGACTCCAACCTCTGCATATTTCAGGAGTCTGATCCAGTGGGTTCATCGGTAGCAGTCGCTCAGTTGGTTGTGGCAACACCTGAAACAACCTACACATTGCACTCAGATGAGACTGGTAAGCAGAGCTGTGTGTGTTCCCAGGTGATAGAGCTGTGTGGGCATGTATGTGTTTCTCAGTGATAGCTGTGTGTTGCAGGATAGTAGATTGATGAACGCTGAGCACAATGCAATAATCATGCATCTGCTCCAATTTGAGAGCAATGGCTTCATCCCCTGATGTGTGTAGTCATTGCTGGGGGGGTGGTGGGGGGAAAGTATCACCGCCCAGCTATCTATCTGAACAATGTCCTGTTTTTCAGGCAATGGGTGTGAGAATGGGGGTCAGAGTTCAGAAGAGCGAGTGTCGGGCAGTGCAGAGCAGGAGGCGAGTGAGAGCGAGGAGAGCCCAGTCAGCCCCGAGGCCGGAGACCACAGGGTCAAGAGGAACAGATTGGATACTGTTCTGAACGAGGACGGACGGTTTGTGTGTCAGATCTGTGTCAAGACTTTCAAAACAGTGGGTATTGAGGAGGGTCCATACGTGTGTGTGTGTGTGTATGTGTGTGAGAGAAAGAGCTGGAGTATATCGACCTCACACACGGGTCTCATTACAGGCTGTTATCCTGAAGGCGCACATGGTTACTCACAGCGACAACAAGGCTTTCAGATGCAAGATGTGTGGAATGGCTTTCAGAACAAAGGGATCCTTAGTGCGACACAACCGGCGGCACACAGGTCAGACAGGAGTCTGGGTACCAGGCGCCGCTCGGTCACTGACTGTTTGCCAGGGGGGTGCGGGTGTCTGGCTCTGTGTAACCCCTGTGACTGTTTCAGACGAGCGACCCTACCGATGTCAGATGTGTGGGATGAGTTTCCGGGAATCGGGAGCACTAACCCGGCACCTCAAGGCCATCACTCCGTGTACAGAGAAAAACAAGTTTCAGCAACTGCAGCTGGTGTCGGAGCCGGAGACAGAGGCCACAGCGATGGGCAAACCACAGCCACAGACAGGTACTGGTGTCCGCTGGGCTGGGGTGTGGGTTGGGAGCACGACGGAGCTTTGACTTCTTTCTTTGATTGTTGTAGTAAGCGAGAAGCAGAGTGAGGAGCTGGTGTGCCCGGAGGCCACAGCTGTGATCAGTGTACTCACTAACGCTGAGGGCACCATCCAGGAGGTGCAGGTACACAGCGTCCCCGAGACACTGCTCCCCGAGACCCAGCACAGAAGCCAGGTACAGCCTGCGTTCACTCACTGACTCACCACACTCACTGACTCGTTCACTCACTCACGCCCACGCACGCACACTTACGCCCACGCTCACTCACTCACGCCCACGCTCACTCACTCACTCCCAAGCACACTCACTCACGCCCACGCACACTCACCACTATACTCACTGACCCACCCACCCAGGTCTGTCTCCGCTCACACCACAGCCTCCGCACTCCACTGCCCCCACTGCCCCTACGTGAAGGGGCAGCAGTATTGCTGTTGTTGTGATGCTCTGTATGACTGAAAGCTCTAATCGGGGTGGAGGGGGGGAGATGGCTCTGTCACTGTGGTGTCTAAGACACCGCATGTGTGAGGGACACAACATAATTACAAGTTGTTGTTGTGTCATTGACCTGCAGTCGCCCACCCCAGCAGAGATGGCTTGTTCCGGGGAGGCTGCCAGCGAGAGCCTCATCTGCCAAGCCATGAGAAACTCCGGCATCGTCATCGAGACTGTAATAATTGAAGATGCGGAAAAATGCAGTGAGTCTGTGTCCCTGGGTGAGGACGGGGACAGCCCCGAGCATGAGGCACAGACACAGGAGGTGGAAGAGGCTAACGAGGTGCGTTTGTTACATGTACAATTCACAAAAACAACATTAAAAGTAGCTGTTTGTCGTGACTCCCTGTTTAACATGGCTGCTGCAGTGAGTGATGTTTGACACCCGAGTGCTCAGCGCAAACCCAGCTGGCCACACGTTCCCAAGTTGTGGTTCGCTTTTGTACCTCACTCCTGGACGCTCACGACGGGGAATGAGGGTGCGGAGTGCGGCTTGGGATTATAAGGTGCAGTTTGTGGGTTTCTGTCAGTATCTCAGTTGGATCCTTTTGTTACAGTCGGATTCATCCAGCAGGAGAGGCTGCAGGAGGTTTAAGTGTCCTCATTGCAGCCGGGAATTCCGGGGCTCCAGCTACCTGCGGCTGCACATTAAAGCACATTTAGGTAAAGTGTCTGCTCCCGGCCTCGGTGTGAGACAATTATACTCTTACTGGCTCCTAGTGGGGGATGGGGCTGCCTGGGAACCGTGCTGACATGCTTGTGTCTGTAGGCTACAAGCCCCATCGCTGCTCGCTGTGTGAGAAGGAGTTCATGACCGCGTACATCCTGAAGAAGCACCTGGAGTCGCACTACAACGAGCGGCGTTTTAAATGTGGGGAGTGCGGTAAGCTGTACAAGAGCATCGCCCACGTGAAGGAGCACATGAGGGCCCACTCCGACCACCGGCCTTACCCCTGCCCGTGCTGCGGCAAGAGCTACAAAACCAAGGTGAGGGTTTACGGGGCCCCCCAATCTCCACCGCCCCCCCACCCCGCCTGGCTTCCCGTTGCCCCCCCACGGGGTCTCACTGTTACTGACCGCCTCTCGTTCTCTCACACAGAATGCACAGCAGGTGCACTTGCGGACGCACTCGGAGGCCAAGCCATTTGTGTGTGAGCACTGCCCGCGGGCATTCAGGGAGAAGGGCTCGCTGGTGCGGCACGTGCGGCTGCACACGGGCGAGCGGCCGTTTCACTGCTACAACTGTGGCCGCGGCTTTGCCGAGCACGGCACACTTAACCGGCACCTGAGAGCCAAAGGTGGGTCCTCCTCCGCGGCCCGTTCCCCCCCTTCGCTCGCATTTGCTGTCAAGTGTGGCTCCAAGCAGTGACTCCTCGGGCTGGCGCAGAAATGATGCTCCAGGTCAACGCTGGCTTTAATCCTATAATAATTCTTCTTAATATGGCAACAGTGTCTCGCAGTGTGCCCCTGATACCACAGTATCTGAAAACAGTCATGACTGTATTGCATGCAAAGTAGCAGCCAATTTACACAAAGCAAAGTCCCACATGAGGTCAATCTCGTTGACTGGTGTCCAGGACATCAGGAGAAACTCCCTTCTCTTTCTAAATCGTATCACAGGATCTTTAACATCCACTTAAACAGAGAAGAGGTGGGTTTAATGTCTCACTTGAAGGCTGGTGTCCCTGGTCCTGCACTGGATTGTTAGTGGACTCTGAGCCCACAGTTTAGCCCAAATGTCGGGGAGCAGTGAGCTGAGGTAGGGGTGTTGGCTGACTCTGCAGAGTAGCACTGAGGAGCTGTGACAGGTTGAAGCTGATGAGTTTTCTCCATCGCCAGGCGGCTGCCATGTGCTGGAGCAGGTGGAGATCTCATCGGATGGCCAGTCAGTGGATGGTGTCGCTGGGATCAGCTCTGACGACTCTCACACGGTCCTAGTGGAGTTCTCCTCGGTGGTTGCTGACACGCAGGAGTACATCATCGAGGTATCCCAGGCGGCTCAAGTGGGAGAGGTGTAGCCGTCGGGGGGAGGGGCGTGGTGGCCACTGGGAGGGATGTACTGATCAGGGGAGGGGTTTGTCCAGGGGGAGGGCGTGGTGACCGGGAGGAAGGACTTAGGGACAGTTTTCAGGCTCCTGATGTGTGTGTTGGTCTGTGTGTGTGTAGAGCCCGGCTGAAGCCGTTGGAAGCAGTGATGTGGAGACGCTGATCCGAGGTTCCAAACACCAGGTTAGTCAGCGGTGTCTATTCGGATGCGGGGAGGTGGGGGGGAGCTCTCTCCCGTCTGCAGCTCTGATGTCTTGTTTCTGTCCTGTCAGGTGGACAGTCACATTATGAAGGTTGTGCAACAAATCGTGAACCAGGCGAACTGTGGCCAGCAGATCATTGCCGAGAGCCTGTCGGCAGAGGATGGTGCTGACACAATTACCATAGCAACGCCCGACAGCCTGACCGAGCAGGTGGCCATGACGCTGGCCTCCACCATCAGCGAGGGCTCCAGCCTGGAAAGCAGCCCCTCCACCCTCACCATGGTCACTGCGGCTGACCTCCAGGTGCTCGGCCATGCTGAGGAGTATGTGGTCACTGGCCAGGAGGGGGAGGTGGAGATACAGACAGTAGTGGTCGGTGACTGAGACCAGGCCATACCATGGCACCGGCGGCTGAAGGCTGCACAAAGAAGTTGGTTAATTGTCGTCATCATCACCATAACTCTCCAGCGTAATCCACAGGGAGAAGCACAGGACCGGGCACAGACAGTTTGGTGAGACTGGGCCTCGGCTCTGATCTCTGCACTTTGCCTTTCAGCCATTGCTGCTTCCCGGCTTTGTGTCTCGTGTGCAGACTGCTCCATTGCTGCCACTCCTGCACACGCACAGCTGCTACAGACCCCACGTGTTACACAGAATGAAGCGTTGATGTTCTTTGAACTAAGATGAGTGTTGGTATATGAGACACCGCCTGTCACACTGCCTGTCCACAGCCCTAGTAAACACTCACTACCACCATCTGTGGAGTATGATTTGCATCATTGGACAAGACAATGCGTTTGGCATTGAAGCTACTGATTTCACAAGTATCTGCTGCTCACAGCGGAAATCCCAGACAATTCCACCTCGATGTTGCTTCCAACCCACTGCCTTAAGAGCCTCCTGTTCCTGAAACTTCCAACGCAATGTCCCGGGTGGGGCCCGACTCCCGCTGGCTATGAGGCATCTGGTGACGTGGTTCTGGGTGGGGGTGTAGTGTCCTGGTCTAGATCTCTGAGCTCATGTCTGTCAGGGATGAGGAGTTGCTCACTGGGACCTTACAATGGTGTGTGTGAATGGCTAATGTTAGGTTATGTACAGCTTATTTTAAAGCCAAACATTTCTGCACAGATGTCTTGTGTGACAAAGGTTTCTTCCACATGGCACACATTTATAATTGGCAATAGTGTGTGTGAGGCCTTTCAGCCTCTCACTGTTACTGCATGTGCCAAGGTCACTCACTCCAAGCTCCCAGCAGATGCTGAAACCATTGCAAATAAAAACAGTATTTTTATCTCTTGGTGTGTTTGCAAACTTGAGCAGCATTCTGGTGCGGGGACTAAGCCACTGGTTATTACAGGATAACACAGACCTGAGAGCAATCGGACAGATCTCTGTTACAGACCTTTTGGTTGCTTTGGAGCAGAATTCCTCAGTCTTCCATTTACAAAACCACAAACGCAGGGTATCAATGTGATTCCGGGGCCCTGCCCTGAGTGAAAGCTGCTATATGAATGCAAGTTGTTGTTGATTCACCTCTAGATTTAGCTTCTGTTCTGGCCTCCCTTTTTCTCTGCCCCATGAGCAGGATGTGAATCATAATTCCTGGTGACTCCTAAGCAGCTAACACTCCTAAGTGTCAGACCGATGTCCAGTCTCATCTCCCTGCCATCTACCACCCGGGGCTCAGACCGACCAACAGGAACTCAGACCTTCTCTGGTGTTTGCCGTGAGACCTCTGTCATAGACGTTTCTCGGGTTAACCGCTGACCAGTGGCTCTGGCACCACTCGTTGGCAGTCTGGTCAGCACGATGCCCAGCAAGAAAATGATCCGGGAAAAAAAGCCAGGAACAGCTGCTGTGAGAGGGGAGGGACTGAGGGAGAAGCTGAGACAGCAGTGAGACATCCTCACACAGAGAGTGAAAGAGGGAGAGCTGAGAGACTCTTACACAGTGTGAGCAGGTGCTTGTAGCTGTCCCAGAAGACGGCAGAGGTGGAATCAATGTTTGTTTAAAAGGAGGAATTTAGGGATAAGGAAAAAAGCCAGAAAATTGTGATTAGTAGACGTTGCACAATTTATTAAACTGACAAGATTAAGCTCAACGGCTGAACGTAAGTAAGTGGCTGTTGATCTGTCAGTGGTGAAGGTACTCTCTGAATGCAAGTTCAAGAGACAATGAGGTACATGAGAAAGTGAAGGAGCAACAGCAGAAATATTGGGCTGAATGTTTCTAACTGGACACACACACTCCCACTATAGGCAGGGGCAGTGTGCAGGGGTGGGTGGGAGGGGGGCAGGAACAGAGCAAGCTCAATAAACTGGAAACCGGGCACTGGAAGCGCCAACACCACCACAGCAAAAGACACAAGACCTTCCCTCATATTCGCCCACAACATATACTGTCAATTCACTTTATAGTATATCCTGTGAAGTGCTTCGAAACGGCCCAAAGATGTGATAAGGCCTATATCAAATGCAAGGATTATATATAATATATATACCCTCATAGAGCCCCCCCCCCAACCTCATATACCCCCCCCCCTTCACATTCCAAGCTCCCCCCACACACACATTCAGCCCTCATATCCAAATACTCCAACCCTCCCACTCCCCCAATATATACCCCACCCCAAACGCCTCTGAACACCCACCCCTAACACATCCAAACCTCTCTCACCCCAAAATACCCCCACCACTCCTCAATTACCCCCACATCTAGTTACCCCCCACACACACACACACACATTAGTTGATTAATGGATCGCTTTCCGGGGCTAATAATCTCTTCAATAAATAAACAAATAATAATGTAGTCACTCAATCCACCACCATTTGTGGGACACTGCTGTGCGCAATTGGCTGCTGCACTTCGCCCAAAAATTATACAGTCAATTCACCATCCAGTGTATTCTTCAAGGCACTTGGTGACTTCTCAATGACATGATAAGACGCTATATCAAATGTAAGGATTATTAAATTTAGTCCCCTCACATCCCAATTACCCCCATATCCCCCATCACAACCCCACCCCCATTTACCCTCTCCCCCACATCCCCATTTACCTCCCACTCACTCATCATCTCCCCACACATACACAGTGTGTGTCTCACACGCGTGTCATACTGCCTGTGCTGTGCTAGTCCTATGCTGTGGTTATTGCTGGTACGTCACGTCTTGTCTTGGTTACAGGAGCTGCTCATTCAGCCGCTGACTGTAACTGATCCACAAAAGAGTTGCGGCTCCGCAGGTAGATTTCTGGGTAATGTTCAGGCGAATTTCTGGCTGATTCAGGACCAAACGCTCAGGTACCAGGTAAGAGTGTGTCCTGGTGCAGCCAGTCGTTGTGTGTGTAACCAGCTACATGTGAACTGGCGGAGTCAAGGGGGGGTCAGAGTCGAGGACACTTGATATAATGAGGGGGAGATATAATAATATAATAAAGTAATAATAATTCTTGCAGGTGAACAAACCAATTATGTCAAAAAGTCTTGCAGCATTTCACAAGTAATTGCTGTCAAGTGTAGTGACTGTATTTGTTGACAAACACAACAGCCAATTTGCAAGGTGCAGTGAGTGACCAGATTGATGGCCAGGACACTGGGAGAGAAACTCCCTTCTCTTTCCCAATATTCTCATAGAATGTTTAACAACCAGTAGACCAGGCACAGACAGGATCTCAGTTTAATAACAATTTGTATTCACCCCCGGCAGCACTGTTCACTGCTGCGGTTGAGCAAGAGAGGAGGGGGAGGTGATACATACACGTAGTCAAAGAGATAAGTCTTAAAGTGGGATTTAAAGATAAAGAAAGAGCAAGATGGAGGGTTGGAGATGAGTAGTTCAATAGGTCAGGAGCTGAAGGCACTGGGGGTGGACCTTGGTTTAACATCTTATCTGACAGACGATGCTCTCCCCCCCCAGGATTATGCTAGAGTGTCAGCCTAGACTGTCTGACCCAGAGGCGAGAGAGAGTTCCCAACTGAGCCAGGCTGAGGCCTCTACACCAATGATTGTGGGATCCGAGGGTTCCTTGCACAGAACATCACTGCTGAGATAAAGTTTGTAAGAAGTTAACTTTCTGCTATCAATCGGCTGTGTTCTAGTTGCGAGAATTCCTGATTTAAACCTGCCGTGGAAGGGAGAAAAGCAGGTCAGCGAGGCGGCCTCATTAGCAAGAAAGGCCCTATGCTCCACAGGGAAGGCAGAGGCCAGGCAACAGCCCAGAATAGGTCTGTGTTCTTTACATAATCTTGGTATCTAGGCCGGGCCCAGGAATTGGGGCAACGCTGCCCTCAGGCAGGCTCTGGGTTGTGGCCTGGCTTCTCTCAGGCTCTGTTCTGATATTCAGCCCCTCAAGGTGTTTGGATTAGACTGGCTGAGCCAGTGCTAAATTAGTTAAAATTCAGTTAGTTATTCTCACTCTGAACCCAGTGATTCACTTTTCTATTTAACGTACATGTTGTTGATTCTCTCCCGTTTCTCTGACCCAGAAATCGCTCTGTTTCCACTCATGTTGAACACTCGCTGCTGCTCTGGTTAATTCATCTCTGTAATTTCAACACAAATATTCTCCAAACGCTCTGAAAATGGGTCAAAATCAGAACAACCTGAGCTAGAGCACCAGCTGGTCTCACGAACCAGCTGATGGTCTCACTAACCAGCTGATGGTATGGATTGGATCCTTTGACACCAATTGTAGGAACTTAGGGTCGAAGTAGGAAACACAACTGAGTGATCGATCATTTCTGTGCTCCTCACTGAACGCTTTGATCCACCCTCACCAAGTGTAAACATGTATTGTGCAGTAACATGGTGGCACATTCAGACTGATAATCGTTGGTGCAATTAACCTGGTAAAGCAATACAACACAACATATAGCGCCCTTCACCAGGTAGCATCTCGGTGCACTTCAATATGGAATACAAGATTATGTGATAAGCAGTCTGCAGTCGAGAGTTTATTGTAGGTTTGTACTGAGGTCGGCCTGTTTTTATATCCTTTTCTCCCACTTAACCCTCTCAGTGCCAGGACCTCCCTTTGTGCATCGCACTGATGCCCCTGCTATCACTGCTGAAGTCACTGCTGATCTAAGAGTGTAACAACAACAACAACATTACATTTGTATTGCGCGTTTCAAGTCGGGAGGCGTCCCAAGGCGCTGGGCAGTCAGTGCTTCTGACAGGAACTGGGGGTCGGGACTGGGGAGGGTGGAGGATAGGGGAAGCAGGATGAACGAAAGCATGGTCGAAGAGGAGGGACTTGGGATGGGTCTTGAAGGAAGCAAGGGAGGTGGGGAGTTGGAGGGACTGCGGGATGAAGTTTCAGAGGGTAGGGGTAGAGTGGCAGAAGGCTGGCCCCCAATGGTGAGGCAGGCGACACGGGGACTTGAAGCAGGCCGGAGCCCGCTGAGTGGAGGGAGCGGACAGGGTGGTTAGGGGGCTAGGAGGTCACAGAGGTAAGGGGGAGCAATCACATCTAATGAAGTTACCGGAATTCTTTTAGAAAGTAACTCGGATATCTAGTGGGTATAAATCACTTGGATTTTCAGAAGGCGTTTGATAAAAGTTCCACACGTGAGAATTATAAAGATGGTTGTAGTTTATAGGCAGGTTGGCTGTTCCCGGGCCCCTCAACATTGACCTCAAACATCCAATTGTACTGTCAGTAACCTCAATGCTATCAGAGATGTTTCAGTCACACCCTTTGGGGCTGTGACTCTGAGAGAAGCAGCTTTAGGGCCAGATAATAATCTGGAGAGTGAGTGAATGTGGTGGAGCTGGTGTCAGAAGGTTTGAGTGTGGCTTCTTGTACAGATATTGACAGAATGCGGTGGGATTGTGAGGGTCGTTGCCCTACTTCTCCCTCAGCCACACTGTGTAATCCGGGTTAGCAGCTCCCGGCTGTCACTCCATTCACAGCTTTGCCATCCCCAGATGCTTCTCTTAAACCAGGAATTAATCGGCTGCTGATTGGGGTCTGAGCGGTGTGTGTGTTGTATCTGTGTCTGTGTGAGTTTTACTGTTTCTTCCTGCGTTGAGATGAAATTTGAAGGATAAAGTGTCCCCATTCTGCACGCGGAGTTGGAAGGGACAGTTTCACTGATGTGTGAGGCTCTTTCTCACCAGGGGGGGTAGAGGCAGAGCCCAGAATAGCTCTCAACACTGCTGACTATCTCAGTGTAGCGCAGTTGGTAAAGTCTCTCTCCGTGCTCTCTGAGCGCACAGCGCTGTGTGCAGGATTCCCGGTGCCGGTGCTGCCGGCCTCAGGGCAGTGAGTAGTTATGGCCAAGAGAGAGAGCTTTGTAAACCGGGTCCGCAGGCTGCTGAGGAGCCGCCGATCCCGGCCCCGACGTTCCCTGAGTGTGGGTCCCGCTCGCCGCACCTCCTCGCCCAAGGACATCTGTAAGTACCTCGGCCTCCGCACACAGTCCCTCATCTCCGTTTCTGTGTGTAAATGTGGGGGCCGCGGCCGCTGGGAATTCAGCTAAGATCAATGGGCGGGGTGGGGTGGGGGGGTCGGGTTGATGGGGGGGGTGTTGGAGGGGGATTATGGATTAACAACATGAGCTCAGATGTGTGTTCCTCCAGTGCTGCTCACACTGGTCACTGACACCATACACCTTGCGTTTACAGTCACTCCTGGTCTTGTCACTGCCTCTAGGGGAGGTGGCGGGGTGGGGGGGGCTTTGGAAGCTTCCTCGGAGCAGCTACAACTGCAGGGACGATGGTGGTGGTGGGGGCTGGCAGTGAGGGAGGGGCCTGGCAGTGGGGGGCGAAGGGCTGGGCAGGAGCCTTGTCAAAGGGGGAGGAACCTGGCAGTGAGGGTGGGACCATGCAATGGCGAGAGCAGCGCTAAAGCAAGGCCTGTGTGTCTGTCTGTCTGCGCAACAACAACAACAACAACTGACATTTACACCGAGCCTTTCATGTCGGGAGGACGTCCCAAGGTGCTGGACAGTCAGGGATTTGGACCTGAGCTGGGGGTTGGGATCAGGGAGGGTGGAGGTCAGGGGGTATAGGAGGGTGGCGGAAGGTGCAGTCGAAGAGGAGGATCTTGAGACGTGCCTTGTAGGAGGCAAGGGAGGGGGGGCGAGGCAAAGGGTGGGGGCAGAGTGGCCAATGATGGGGCGGGGCGGGCCGGGCGGGGGACATGGAGCAAGCCGGAGCCTGCTGAGTGGAGGGAGCAGACAAGTTGATATGGGGTCAGTGGGTCACAGAGGTAGGAGAGGGCAAGACCGTAGAGGGCTTCAAGGTGAGGACGAGGGTTTTGAGCTCTATCCTCTGGGGGGATAGGGAGCCAGTGGAGCAGGTCGAGGGTAATGGGGTCACAGAGCCTGGTGCGGGAGAGGACAAGAGTTGCAGAGTTCTGAATGATCTGCAGCCTGTGGAGGGAAGAGTTGGGGAGGTTGACAAGCAGGGAGTTGGCGTAGTCCAGCCTTGATGTACCAAATGGGTAGAAGACTGTAAGGTTTATTAATGATAAATGCACATATGTATTAAATGTCTCCTGATGTTGATTGTGGAACAAACCGTTGGGAATTACTGAGCTTTCAAGACTTTTAAACCCTGAATATCTCAACCTGAGTAACTCACAGGCCTGTGTCAGTGTGCAAAAGGGCAGGTAAAAGGGACTGAAAGTGTTGCTCATTAAACAACCTTGATGGGCTGAATGGCCTTCTTCTGTGCTGTGAGATTCTATGGTTCTAATCTTCTGCTATGTCTCCTCTCCTCCCAGTTGCCACAATGCCACTGGACAACCAAGGCTGGCCGGAGGCGTTTGGGTTCCGGATCGGAGGGAAAGGACCGAGTTACATCCTGAGTGTGCAGGAGGGAGGCAGCGCCCACCTGGCCGGGCTGCAGCCGGGGGACCAGGTGCTGGAGATCGAGGGCGAGGACGTGTCGTGGCTGAGCTGTGAGGTGCTGAGCAGCCTGGCCAGGCGCTGCCACAATGTGCCCCCCAGTATCGGGGTGGTGTCCCGCATCGAGCAGGTGGACCTGCTGCCCACTCTGGAGGGCAAGTTCGGCATCACCCTGAACGGTGGGAACCCCTTACAGATAGCTGACTGCGTGCCCGGCTCCCCCGCGGCCGAGGGCGGGCTGCAGAGCGGGGACCTTGTCCTCGAGGTCAACCAGGTCCCGGTCAAGCACTCCGAGGTGGCCGCGGCCATGATAAAAGCCAACCACGGCCGCCCGCTGCAACTTGGCGTCCTGTGCTTTGGAAGGTTCCGGAACCAGGACTCAGACAGCAGCGACATCCGCGAGTACGTCCAGAACACAGAGGCTGTGCATCAGGAGCGCAAGAGCAAAGCTTTGGAATTCAGCAGGAAGGTGAGGTGTTTACCTGCCCAGGCGAGGCGGTGGCCCGCCCGGGCGAGGCGGTGGCCCGCCCGGGCGAGGTAAAGGTGACCGTATGGTTAAAAGGAAAAGTCCTTACGGCATGTTTTAAAGGTGGGCGGAGTGTGTGCGTGTGTAAGTGGCAGACTCCCTGCCGGCAGCTTGTGTCCCTGGGGTGGAGATGGGGCTTTGTGCGGGGTGGTGGTTTGGGGGGGGAAGGGGGTGGTTTGGGGGGGAGGGGGTGGTTTGGGGGGGGAGGGGGTGGTTTGGGGGGGAGGGGGTGGTTTGGGGGGAGGGGGTGGTTTGGGGGGGAGGTGGTGGTTTGGGGGGAGGGGGTGGTTTGGGGGGGGAGGGGGTGGTTTGGGGGGGGAGGGGTGGTTTGGGGGGGGAGGGGGTGGTTTGGGGGGATGTGAGAGGAGTAGATGGTGTGTGTGTGTGTGGGGGGGGGCGGTGGGTGGGGGGGGGGGGTTGAGGTGTGTGTGAGGTGCAGACCCCCTGACGCTGGCTTGTGTCCCTGGGCTGCAGATGGACGAGGTGTTGGGGGAGCAGCCGGCGGTCAGGGAGCAGCTGCTGACGGTGCTGAAGCAGTACGCGGGGGAGCGCAGGGTAGAGTACTTGGCCTACGCACTCCCCATGATCCTCTGCTCTGAGGAGCAGCGCCAACTCATACAGGACATCAGGTACGTTCCCATAGCAAAGAGGGTCTGGGTCAGGGGGGTAGGGTCAGGGGTAGGGTCAGGAGGTGGGGTTGGGTTCAGGGGGGTTGGGGTCAGGGGACTGGGCATGTGGTGACTATGTATTGGAGGCTGTGTCACTGTGTGCGGTGTAATATAATCCTTGCATTTGATACAGCGCCTTTTCGCGCTGAACCATCTCAAAGCGCTTCACGGAATACACTGTAAAGTGTAGTGACTGTGTGTTTTGTAGGAAACAGTGTGTGTGCTGGGGTGTCGAATGCATACAGCCCCCGCACTGAGCTGGATTGGATTATGGTTCCACTCCTGCCTCTCCTATGCCAGGCTCACACTCACTTTCACTCTTACATTCACTCTTACATTCACTCACACTTACTCTCACTCACACACTCTCACTCCCTCACTCTCTTAACCACACTCACACTCTTCTCACACACTCCCTCACACTCACTCCCTCTCATACTCACAATCACTCTCATACTCACACTCCCTCTCACACTCACTCAACACAGTCACACCCTCTGGGATTCAGTGCTGAGCATTGCTCCCTATTATCCCACTATTTATTTCCACAACCTTTTCGTGATCTTGTGACAGTGTCTCACCCAGTAGAGTCTGGCACCCACACTGCCCAGCCTGGCACCCACACTATCCAGCCTGGCACCCACACTGCCCAACTTGGCACCCACACTGCCCAACTTGGCACCCACACTGCCCAGCCTGGCACCCACACTGCCCAGCCTGGCACCCACACTGCCCAGCCTGGCACCCACACTGCCCAGCCTGGCACCCACACTGCCCAGCCTGGCACCCACACTGCTCTCCATCGGTTTTGGAGCTCTCAGCTACCACGTCCATTGTGTCTGAAACCCTCAAAATCCTTCAAAAAAAACCTCACACTTTATGACCATTTGCTCACCTGCACCGCACCCCCCCCCACCCACTCCCCCCCACTGGCCCACCTGCTCTCTCCCCCCCCCCCCCCTTCCGGCTGCTCCATTGGCCTGTGTGACAGACGCAGTTTAAGCACAAGCTGTTGCTCAGTGTGTGATTCCGGTCTCAGTGATTCTCTGCTGTGCTGCAGTGAGAACACGAGCTCGGTCTCTGACATCAGCAGCACAGTGACTGACTGTCCTGGGCAGCGGGGCAGTGAGTGGCAGTGCTGGAGCTGCCAGTCTGACAGCCCGGCAGCTCCCGCACCTCCTGCTCCTTCACCGTTTGGCTCCGACGTTGTCCGGCGCCCGAGCTCCGGACCGACCACGGTTGAGAGATGGGGAAGGACAGGAATTTCTCCAGACACTTTCGGTACGAGTCTGCGCAGGGGGAGAGGTTGGTGGGGGTGGGCTGTGTGTGGTCAAAGCTGCTGCTGTTGTTGTTGTTGTTGTTGTGTCGTATTGTTGCCGTGAGAGGCTGGAGCCCGAGGCTCGGACTGATGCTGTGGTTGTGATGTGAGGCTGAGAGGGTAGAACCAGAGGATAGCGCCCGTGCTCTGCTGTGTTGTATTGAGGGTGGGTGGAGGGGGGAGTGAGGGAGGAGGGTGGGAGGGGTGTGAGTGGGAGGGAGGGGAGAGTGAGGGGGAGGAGCGAGTGGGGGAGCAAGTGGGGGAGCACGGGGGAGGGGGGGAGCAAGGGGGAAGGGGGAGCGAGTGGTGTGGGGAGCAGAGGAGGGGAACGAGGGGGGAGGAGCGAGCGGGGAAGCGGGGGGGAGTGAGGGGGAGCAAGGGTGGAGGGTGGGAGGAGGATTGAGGGGGGAGTGAAGCTGCTCAGTGTTGATTGTGTTCACTAACAGATTGAGTCTCAACTGTCGGTCGAGACGAGGATGACTAATGTTGTGAAGATCACCCTCACTCCCTCCTTCACTCCCTCCCTCCGTCCATCCCTCACTCGCTTTGCTGTTCCGATGCTAATAACTCATTACATCCCAACATTACATTTGCTTGTGTCGATCACGTAAATATTACCGAGTTTCAATTACTGTGTCCTTCCTGAGAGCAGGAATAATACAAACAGTGCCACAGTGCTGTTAATCCTCTCTCTCCCTGCGAGCACATAGAAATGTGCTTTAGGGGTTAATTGATTGGCATTTTATAGCTCAGCAAATTAAATAATTTGGGTTAATTTGATCCACTGAGGCCATCTCACTGTCTTCCTAGTCACCTGAGGCTCCTGGGGGGGGCTGGGTTTGGGGTAGGCGGTGGGGGGGGGGGGCACTGATGCTGTGCTGTAGTTTGATGAATTGGGGATTATAATAATTTACTGACGATCACAATTACAGAGAAGGTGACATTTCTGTTGCACGCGTTGGTGCCTGTCACGGCCACCATTTGTATCTGAGCTGCTGATGCTTCCTCCACTTTCATCCTCTCTCTGCCCCTCGCTCCACACTCCGAACATTGCTGCTACTACAGGGTCAGACCCATTAAACAAACCCTAATAATAATAATAATAATAATAATAATCCTCGCATTTGATACAGTGCCTTATAGTGACTGCGAGATATCTCAAATTGTTTCACAGGATACACTGTGTGACTGTGTATTTTGTTACTCACAGTCGCAGACTCCACAACAAGAGACACAGACACCAGCTCGGGGAAGAGATTTAATTACTTTAAATTGAGAGCACGGAGGGTGGGGAGTGGGCCCAGGAATGGATTGCATCAGCAAATTCAAGAAGAAATTAGGTGATTGTTTAGCGAAATTGTTTGTGGGATCTGAGGAACAGAGAAGTGCAGGATTATTGTTAAAATAAAACTGAGGCACACACACACATATGCACTCACATACACGTACACCAACAGGCACATGCATACACCCACACATACCCACATACACGTACACCCATACACGTACACACACACATATACCCACACACACCCATACACCCACAGGCTCATACACCCATACACCGACACACATACACACATACATACAATACATATGCAACAACTTTTCTTTTTATAGAACCTTCACATGGGGTAGTGTCTCGGAGTTTAAATACACATACACAGAGACTGGAGATAATAATAATAATAATAATCCTTGCATTTGATATAGCGCTTTTCATGTCTTCTAAACGTCCCAAAGCGCTTCACAGAATATACTGTAAAGTGAATTGACTGTATATTTGTGGGCGAAACGCGGCAGCCAATTGCGCACAGCAGTGTCCCACAAACATTCGTGGTTTGAAGTGACCAATATATTATTGTTTTATTTTCTTGAGGGGTTATTATCAAGCGTGTGGAGTAAGGAAACTTGGCCAAGGTTTCACCATGCTGGGAATCGAACCACTGAGCTACAGGATTCCACATATATACACACACACATATACACACAGACTGGAGATACATATGTACACACACAGACTGGAGATACATATGTACACACACACAGATTGGAGATACATATTTATACACACACACACAGACTGGAGATACATGCATTACATGCACACACACACACATACTGGAGATACATATATATACACACACAGACTGGAGATACATACACACACACACAGACCAGAGATACATATATATACATACACAACACAGACTGGAGATACATACATACACACACAGACTGGAGATACACATATACACACACATACAGACTGGAGATACACGTATACACACATACAGCCTGGAGATACACATATACACACATACAGACTGGAGATACTCATATACACACAGAGACTGGAGATACAAATATACACACACACAGACTGGAGATACATACACATTGACTGAAACACACAAACTATGATATACACATTGATGTGCCCTTGCCGCTGAGATACACACACACACACTGAGGTATACACTCACATACTTATACATAAAGCAAGATCCATACACATTCTCTCACATTTGTCTCCAGCTGAGATATATCATTGAGGTGTGTGAAAGCGTTTCACAGGATTACTGTAAAGTGGTGTGACTGTGTTTGTGTGAAATATGGGGGAAGTATGAGCACACGTATGTGAGTGACATACTCACCCATGATCAATGATATACACACACATATCTAGGTACAAATACAAAGACTGACACAGATGTACTCGCACACATGCACAGTTGCCCTAGATACACAGACCGATACACAAACAGACACACTCACAGATGTACAAACAGACGCACACGCGCGTAAACGAACACACACACAGGTGCACAGAATATGTCCCCACATATACAGACTGACCCCTTTCCCCCGGGTGCACACATCTGTTTTTACAAACACGTATGTGAACTGATACACAGACTGGTGCGTGCATCGGTGCACAAAACACACGTGAACATACTGCGCACATAAACACTTGCGTGTGAGCAGAGATTCGGCTGGTAAAATGCCCCCAGGTGTGACTGCCTGTCACTTTCTCCAGGTGTGACTTCCAGTCACCAACTCCAGGTGCGATCCCTGACGCTGCCCCCAGGTAGCGGGTAGCGAGCGGCAGCCTGTGAAAGTGCGTGAGGCCCTGAGCTTCACAGCGAGGTTCATGACAGAGCACGCTGAGCTCAGGAGCAAGATGGCATTGAGGAGGTGGAGAGATAACATGTCACATGAAAAGGATTCGTTGATGACAGAATGGGGCTGCGAGTCACATGGAGGGTTTGTGTGGGAGGTTGTGCTCACACCTGCTCAGCTTGGTTCAGTCCATCCCTGGATTGTGTGTGTGTGTGTGTGTGTGTGTGTCTGTGTGTGTGTGAGTGGCGCTGTGCGCTCATCTCTCTCTCCTCTCCCGCCATGTTTGCCAGGATCTTCATCCCCAAGAAGCATCGACAGCGGTTTGACGAGGTGGTGTCCCAGAGCCTGATCAGCAAGGTGTGCAGCAAGACCCGAATCCAGCACAACAGCCGACTGCGGCGGAGCCGGAGTGAGGACCACCAGGAGCGGCTGTTGGTGTCCACGAGGGCCAGCTCGGCCCCCCAGGCCCCCGACCCCCCGTGCAGCATCCGCAAAACCGTATCCATCCCCAGCGGCAGCATCCGCTCAGCTCCTCCCCACAGGTAACTCAGCCCCTCCCGCAGGTACCTCAGTCCCTCCCGCAGGTATCTCAGCCCCTCCCGCAGGTACCGCTCAGCAGAGCCCTTCCCAACTCAGCGCTGCCCTGGCTCCCGCTGTGTGGCCGAGGCCGGAGCCCGCTCTGTAATGCAGCCAATTTCTGTGTCACTTCAAATATTGCATTCCTCTCCTCCACCTCTCTCGCTCCGCCATTCTCTCTCCTCCTTTCCGCCCTCTCTCTCCGCCTCTGCCCCTCCCCGTCTCTCCTCCCCCCCAATTCCACACCTCACAACCGTGTGCTCTCGTCTCTCTGGCACCTTGTCACAGGTCTTGTTAAAACCCAGGTATGCAACTTCCCCGAGAGCCAGTCAGGCCCCGTCAGCCGCCCTCCCACAAACCCACTGACCCAGCAGACTTGCCAGGAGCTGAGCACACACACCTGTACAGGTGAGGTCAGCAACACTGGGGGTAGGATTCACCTGTACACGTGCTTTTCTTTGTCTGAATTTATTTTATTTGGTTTATTAGAACGATACGAGTTTACAAAGGGCACAAAAGTTTCGGGTTCACACTGCGAGGCCATGGGCCCGTCTGGATCGAGTCCATTATTCCAGGTAAGCGGAAATCGCCATTCTCAGCCACTGAGAAGCCGTCTCTCAGCCACGCACTCAACACCCTGCCCTGCCTTCCCCTAACATCTCTCACAAGAGATAAACTCCATATATTCCACCTGCTTTACCCTCACCCTTTCCTCACAAAGGTAGGTGTGTGCGCTACAGGTGTGTGTGTGTATTACGTATGTGTGTTACGGGTGTAGGTGTGTGTATTACAGGTGCGTGCGTGTGTCACAGGTGTGTGTGTATTACAGGTAGCCCAGCTGAAAAAGCTGGACTGAAACCAGGGGATCGGATCCTTTTTCTGAATGGCCTGGACATGAGGTACCGCATATTAACATATAGTGTCCATGTAACATGCATGTGTTGCCCATGTAATATACATATACTGCCCGTGTAACACATGTACTGTATTTGAGCCGTGTTGTCACCACAAAGCTAGCAGGGAGTTCTTGGTACCTGACACCAGTTGAGGGCTCTAACCCATACTTGTCAGATATCAAATAACCAACTAGTGACTGGGGAGGGTGGGCGGGGAGGGGTGGGGGAGGTAGGTAAGTGGGGTCTCCTCGGAGCTGAACTGGCTTCAAAGTGACATGTCTGGCAATTGAATGTTAGACTCGAGCCAGGCCTTTGTGCCTCTCTCCAGTCTGGTTCCTGAGCCAGGTGGGTCTGCAGTATTCCAGTCCGCACAGCCCAGCCCGGCTCATCGGCAGAACCTGGAAGGACAGACTAGTGACTGGGGGAAAAGAATCCTCCCACTCGGCTCCTGTTAACCTTGCAGACAAAGCCCTAACTAATGGGGAGGGTGGTCCTAGCTGGACAAGCAGAGGAAAAGCTTGCCAGACAGCAATATCAATGCCCAAGCTATGTGGTTTTAGCTGGTTAGACTCCAGCAGTTACCCCAGCACACACTCTGGGCTACCCCTAAGTCACAGCAATAGTGTCACAGCAATGATGTCACAGTAAATAGTGTCACAGTAATCGTGTTGTGTCCGTGTGTGTTTCAGAAACTGCTCCCATGAGAAGGTTGTTGCCATGTTACAGGGCAGTGGGGCGATGCCCACGCTGGTGGTGGAGGAGGGGCTGTTTAACGTGCCTGTCGGTGAGTCAAAGCGTCAACGAGCGGAACCTGCACGTCGCTCCTGGCTGACCTCGCTCTCTCTCTTTCTCACTCTCTCTCAAATACTCTCTCGCACACAGAGCGGGAGCGAGCGGAGTCGCCGGGTGGCTCCTCTCTGACGTCGCTGCAGTGGGTGGTGGAGATCCTCCCGGCCAGCATCAAGTTCCAGGGACGAAGCTTCAGCCAACAGCTCGAGCACCTGCTCACCCCACCCGAGCGCTACACGGTCTGCCGCGCACTCGAGGCCTTCTTCCAGCACAGGTGTGCGTGGGTGCATGCGCGGGTGCACACGTGCGCGTGTGTGTATGTGTGTAAGGTGGGCAGGCTGTGTGTGTGCACACGTGTGCATGCGTGTGAGCAGGCTGTGTCATGTTGTCACCTCTCTCTCCCCGGCAGGAACATTGACACGCTGATTGTGGATGTGTACCCGGTGCTGGACACGCCAGCCAAGCAGGTGATCTGGCATTTCATTTACCAGCTGCTGACGTACGAGGAGCAGGAACTGTGTCACCAGAAGATTGCTCGCTTCCTGGGCTACAAGACAGCCACTGGTAGGGGGGGAGGGTCAGTGCGGGGGGGTGGGATGGGTAACCTCAGAGTGGAGGGGTCAAGGCCGGGGGAACTCAGGGTAGGGGGCTGATGGCGCACATGAGGCCCTGTTTGGGAGAATGTAATGCAGGTGATGAGTTATAGCGAGTGTCACAGTATTCCTCCCCCTCTTCTCTCCGTCTCTGCTGCAGAACCCGGAGACGCAGAGCCACCGGCTGAGGCCACTCACCGCGATTCCATCAGAACCTCATCGTATCGCAGCAGTGTCCGGCTCCGGCCAAGCGAAGGTACAGTGGGTAGGGATAGTCTCTGTGTCATGCGTGCACACACACCACGAGCGCACACACAAGAACAACTTGCAATTATATAGCACCCTCCACGCAGGGTAGCGTCTGAGAGGGCTTAACAGTGTCCGAGCCGGGGGAGGGGGGAGGTGGCCACAAGCACCCATGCCCCACACACACTACACACACACGCCACACACATACACACCACACACACACACACAAAAGTCTAAACACACCACATGGACACACACACGCCACCCCCCCCCCGCCACCCCCGCCTTGCCTACACTTGCCAAGGGAGACGAGGCCTCAGTGGGTGTTTGCTGTGACAGGTGCTGGAGACGCTGCGGACACGTACCAGCTCCTGGCCCCAGGGGAGCGACAGGCCGGCGACGGCACCTCCCTCCCTGAGACCCCCAACATCAAAAAGGTGGGTACATTCCGTCACTGTGACAACTGTCTGCAGCCCACCGACAAGCCACGACTGTCACCATTGACTGTATCTCTGTGTCTCTCAGGTATCTCCAATCTACGCTGAGATAGAGACCAGAAGAACCTCAGTCACCAGCTACCCGGGGAAGGGACTGAACCCACCCCTCAGCAGGAGCTCTCCAGTGGCTGAGCCCCCCAACCTCGCAGGTACCACGCTCCCCCCAGCGAGCACTCACGGTATTTCCTACAATGCAGGGCAGGTGATGGCAATGGGATTAGAGATTGACACCAGCACAGACACCATGGGGACAGAGCAGGGAATTGGGTTAGAGAGCTTCAGTGGGGGAGCGAGCACCAGCACAGACACGATGGGGGGAGAGAGAGACTGGAGAGCTCCAGTGGGGGAGCGAGCATTAGCACAGACACGATGGGGAGAGAGAGAGCAGGGAATGGGGTGAGAGTTGTAACGGTTCTAACCCGTTGTAACACGTGAATTTTTATTAACACAAAATGTACCAAGTGCCTCTGTGTCTGTAAGTACAAGTCCTGACTCTTGTGGAAACTTCACCAATTAGAGCAACGTACGGTCAGGTATTCTCAATTTGTTACTGCTCTTGCGATGGAGATGCCACACTCTACTGAGCCTGGAATTCCAGTGGACTACTTGCTTATGTGTAAATCCGTAGCCCTAAAGACCCTAATACCTACTTTTACTTCACAAGGCAAGACAAAACACGCCAGTGCAGATAGAGATCCTAAACTGTAACACCAGCAGCACTGACACTAAAGTTAGTAAAAAAAAGACTATATGCTCGACTTGCTATGGCCGTCCCAGAGGACCACATGTTGAGGACCAAAAACCAGCGACAACAAGTTAGGCCGAGCATTGCCTTATATAGCCACCCGGCTCGGCCCACTAAATGACGCGTGCGCAAGGTTTTTTTTTCCCACGCTCCCAGCCCCGTGGTCCAACACACAAATGTTGCCGTACACTGTCTAGACAGCGATCCCGGCAGGTTTGATTATCACAGACTCTTAAAGAGCCAGGCATCCCCATACAGAACAGAACACTGTGTGTAAAATATATAGATTAGGTACACTTTAACACTTTGTGGAGTCCTATAGCTCAGTAGTTAGAGCACTTGCCTTGCAAGCGAGTACACCTGGGTTCAATTCTAGGCAGGGCAAAACCTTGGGCAAGTATTCCTTACTCCACACATCTAACAATAATCCCTCCAAAAACAATAGTAAATTGGTCATTTCAATCCCCGACTGTTTGTGGGACACTGTAATTGGCTGCCGCGTTTCGCCCACAAATATACCGTCGTGAAAAGCGCTATCTCAAATGCAAGGGTTATTATTATATTTTTACATATTATTTTACACTTAAGGATACGAGGAGTGGAAAAATAGGATAACTGTGGCATACTAGAGAGAGCTGTGGTGGGTGAGCGAGCACCAGCACAGACACGGGGGGTGGGGGTGGGGTCTGGGCTGTGTGTGTGGGTGTGTGGCTAACGCTGTGTGTCTGTAGGGATGAGGCCGACACCGTTCCTGTGGCAGTCGGAGCCGGTCGCGGTGCCCCCGTGTCCCTGTCACCCTCAGGGCAGCCCCTCTCCCAGCAGCTCGGACTCACACGCCTACGCTAGCCTGGACGGCAGCCCGGACCCCTCGCCCCAAGCCACGGCCCCCGCCAGCCCTCCCACCCGCCGCAGCAAGCTCTTCACCTTCTCGCGGCCTCCCCGCAGCCGCGACACTGACCGCTTCCTGGACGCCCTGAGTGAGCAGCTCGGCCGGAGAATCACCGTCCTCGACGACTTCATGAGGCCAGAGAACGACTATGAGGAGGTGGGTCCCTGGGGGCAGGGCTGGGGGCATGGCTGGTGCGTGGAACTGGGTGGAGGCGGGGAGGGTGAGGCCGGTGGGCGGGATTGGGGCTTGCGGCGGTGGGCTGGGCTGTGGAGGTGGGGCGGCACTGGGCAGGGCGAGGGAGCAGGTGGGTGGGCATGACTCGTGGGCGGAGGCAGGGCCAAGGGACGGGGCAGGGAGTGGCAGAGAGGGCGGGTCTGTGGGCAGGGTTGGGTGAGCGGAGGAGCCCGGGAGGACAAGGCTGGGGTGGGTGGGTGGGGGGAGATCGGGCTGGATCACTCCTCACTCCTCTCTCTTCCCTCACACCGCAGATGAGCTTCCCGGACGAGTCTGGCCCCTACGCGGCGAGTGAGCCGAGCAGCGGGAGCGAGGGCACGAGCGGTAGCGAGGACGGCAGCTCCCTCACCTACTCCTCTTGCTCGGACCCCATCCCCCCTCCCCCCCAGAGCCCCCCGCCCCCGCCCCCCATTCAGTTCCACGACCCCAAACCCGTCACGTTAATCTCTGACCTGAAGCGAGTTCTACCGCCTCCTCCTCCGCCCCCACTGCCCCCTCCCCCATCTTACTCCTCCTCCTCCTCGCACCTCCCCCTGCCCCCACCCCCGCCTCCGCCCCCACTGCCTGCTGCCTCCTCCTCCGCCCCCCCGCCGCTGCATCGTGGCTTCCATCGCCGCAGCGAGTCCAGCCACATGAGCGTGAAGCGTCTGCGCTGGGAGCAGGTAGAGAACTCCGAGGGCACCATTTGGGGTCAGGTATGTGGAGCCATCACCCAGAGCCATCAGCAAACACAGCAGTGACGCTTGCATTTATATAGTCTTCACACGGCTGTTTGTCACATTCTCACCTCTGTTTTAGAAGATTGTGGGTTCAAACCCCACGAGGGGATTTTCCCTCGGGGATTGTTGGCCAGGACAGTGCAAGAAAAACTGCCTCCTCGTTTCCTATAGCGTCGCTAGATATTTAACCTTCATGTAACGTTTTATCCAAAGAACGGGATAAACCATGAGAATATTTTCTGGAGTTTTCTTGGAGCATGGGGGTAGGGGGAGGGGAGACAGCGGGGGGGAATTGGGTTGGGTGTAAACACCTTGTGTCTCCCCAGCTCGGTGAGGACAACGACTATGACAAGCTGAGCGATATGGTCAAGTACCTGGACTTGGAGCTTCACTTTGGAACCCAGAAACCCAACAGTGAGAGACACACATCCCCTCACCCAGACAGCGAATCACCCCCACACACGCATCCACTAAACCCCACCCTCACATCGTCCCCCCACACCCACACTCTCCCCACCCACACCCCTCCACCCACATTCCCCCCTACCCATACACACCCCAACACTCTCCCACCCCCATACATCCCCCCCACACAGCACAGCACCCCCACCCATCGGCACCCATCCACACAGTACCTACCCCCCACCCACACGTGTAGTTATTGGCTGATATGTTGCTCCCTGTTGCAGAGACCATGTTTGCGGCTGAATCATTTAAGAAGAAAGACATGGTGGAAGTGCTTTCTCGGAAAAAGGCCTATAACACGTGTAAGTACCGCTCCCCACGTGACCATACGTGTATGTACTGCTCCCCACGTGTACGTACCAACGTGTACGTACCACTCCCCGCGTGACCGTGCATGTATGTACTGCTCCCGTGACCACACGTGTACACACCGCTCCCGCGTGACCATACGTGTACGTACCGCTCCCCGCGTGACCACACGTGTAGGTACCGCTGCCAGTGGACACTGATCACATGTCTCTGTGTGCGCGGCAGCCATACTGATCGCCCACCTGAAGCTGTCGGCCCCGGAGCTACGGGGGGTGTTGCTGACAATGCAGAGCGAGCGCCTGGAGCCCTCACACATCAAACAGCTGCTGCTCTACGCCCCCGACGAGGATGAGGTCAAGAGGTTCAAACGTTTCTTGGCTGACCCCAGCAAGCTGAGCGAGCCAGACCGCTTTGCCCTGCAGGTAGGGGCTCACCCACCCGTCACCCCCCACCCCCTTCCCCCCGGACCCTGTGCCCCGCCCTGACGAGACGTTTTGTTGCAGATGATGTCAGTGCCGGAGTACAAGACACGTCTGCGCAGTTTGCATTATAAGATCACGCTGCAGGAGAAGGCTGAGGAGATCCGGGCCGGGCTGCAGTGTATCCACACGGCCTCCCTCGAGCTTAAAAACGGCAAAAAGCTGGCCAAGATCCTGGAGGTAACAGCACCCCACAAGCACATGGGACACACTGGCTAGACATGCAGCTAACACGCCATGGAAACTTCAGGAAGCCATTCAGCCCCTTGAGCCTGTTCCGCTATTCTATAAGATCGTGGCCTCAAGTCTAATTATCCTCCCTTGCCCAATATCCCTTAATAGCCTGACCTAACAAATATTTCAGTCTTGAAGGTGTGAAGGGATCCTGCAACCACAGCCTTGCATGACACTCACAGCCTCAGCGTGTCCTCATTCTCTGCTCCTCACTCTGCTCCTCACTCCCTGTTCCTGCGTCTCACTCCCTGTTCCTCACTAACCTGTCCTCCCTCTCTGCTCCTCACTAACCTCGCTTCACGCCCGGCTCCTGCTCTCTCCAGTTCGTGCTGGCGATGGGAAATTACCTGAACAACGGGCAGCCCAAGAGCTCCAAAACCACTGGTTTCAAGATCAATTTCCTGACCGAGGTGAGTGACTGGATCTGTGTGAACATGTGTGTGTGGGGGGGCGGTCAGTGTATGTGGGTCTATGTGAACGTGTGTGTGTGGGGGGGGGGACGAGTGTGTGTGGGGGGGGGCGGCATTGTGTGTGTGGGGGCAGTGTATATGTGGGGTGGGGGGGGCAGTGTGTAGGGTGGGGCTCAGTGAGTCACTGTATCTCTGTGCACAGTTGGACACTACGAAGACAGTGGATGGCAAGTCCACTTTCCTGCACATTTTGGCCAAGTCACTGAGGCAGCATTTCCCCGAACTCCTCACATTCGCCATCGAGATCCCCACCGTACCCCTTGCAGCCAAAGGTTAGTGACAACACCTGCTCACACACACCCCTCCCTATACAGGCTCATATAACCCCCACACATACCCCGCACAACACCCCCCACACACACACCTCCCGCGCGCACATACCCCCCGCGCGCACATACCCCCCGCGCGCACATACCCCCCGCGCGCACATACCCCCCGCGCGCACATACCCTCCGCACACACATACACCCCACACACATACTCCCCCCACACCCCCTATACACACTCGCATGCTCACACAGGCCGTGAGGAGCTGCAGTAACTAACCACAGACATTGTGTGACCACTACCGATTGGGTTGCAGTGAATCAGAGAACCATCACAGCCGACATCAATGACATCCACAGCACGAGGAAGGAGATCCAGGCGGCGTGCGCGAGTATGCCCAGCATAGAGGAGGACCGCTTTGCCGACGTCATGACTGTATCCTTCCATGCACAAAACACACCGCTATAATGGGGAGGTGCCCCTCAGGAGTGGGCCTCGTCTCTCAGAGGTGGGGCCTGTGTCTCGAGGCGGAATCTCAGGGCAGGTCCTGCGTCTCGGGGCTGGGCCTCTCAGGGCAGGGCCGGGGCCGGTGCTGTTGTTACCTTGACGATGACGGAGGCCTTCCTGGCCGAGTCGCAGCCGCTGCTGATGGCGCTGGACTCGCTGCAGCAACGGGCCGTGGAGGAGTTCAGCCGCGTCTCCGCCTTCTTCGGGGAAGATTCGAAAGCCACGATGAGCGAAGCTTTCTTTGGCATCTTCGCTGAATTCATGACAAAGTTTGAGGTAATCAACATCCCAGGGGAGCGGGGGATGGGGGAGGGTGGTTGGGTGTGGCGGGGAGGGGTGGGGTGCAGGGTATGTGGGGGGTGGGGCAGGGTGCGTGTCACTGACGCTGTGTGTTGTGGTTGCAGCGAGCACGTACTGAGACGGCGGCGTGTGAGACGCAGCGCAGCCCCCGGGTGGCCTCCCCACTCGCCTGGTGATGCCGAGTGAGGACCTGGCACAGCAGCCACCGGCACCGTGAGTGACACGGCAACTCTGCCCTGAAGCCAACTCGCAGGCTCGTCCCTCTTCTTGTAATAAATACGCAACACATAGGCTTCCCCTCTCCTGCTCTTACTCCCCCTCCTCACCCCCCCCACCCCACCGCCCCACCGACCTGCTCACTTCCTAACAGCTTCTGGCAGCCTGTTACATGCCCCCCTCCCATTGCCAGTTTTTTAAACGACTTTCCTGGTGTTGGTTGCTGGTGAAATGAATTAACGTGTTTTTTTACCATGCTCACACACGTGTGTCCCTCTTTACCCCCATGCATTGCTTGCTCTGCCTATACCAAGATGGTCGCCCTCTCCCCTCACCACCATTATGGACGATAGTTTTACCAAGATGGCGCCATAGGAGCCCGCCTGGAGCGCCAGTGGCCTTTTGTATGTCTGGGAGACAACCCAACAGGGTGACCACATTCTGTAAATCAAATCCGGGGGCACATACACAAAGCGTTGAACTCCCCGCAATTGCTGATGCTGGATGTATTAATGGCTGTGATTCTCTGACGAGTGTCTCTGTTTTAGAATGTTATTCTTGCTCAGTTTGTTGCTGAACTCTTGACAGGGCAAAGATTGGCCCCAGAGACACAATACCCTCGGGGATGCATGGTTACCCTCCCCTATCCCCCTCCCATTCCCCCACCCCTCCCCACCACACATACACACTCACACATACGTATATGCAGAAAAACATACACACACTAACACACACAAGGTCAGCCTGAACGAGTTGCTGGGCTGGTTGTCATGTGAGCCTCATGTTTAAGTGCAGGGGATGTGGCATATATTTTTGTACGAATTCAGGAGTAAAATCCTGGATAACTGTTAGCCAGAGAAGGGAATGTTTCTTGTCTCTGTGTATCGCTCGGGGGGGGATATCTCCAAACCAACTACCAGCTCTATTTTATGCAGGGCTCTCACCAAGACACTACAGGGAGTCCTGTAGCTTATGGGTTAGAGCACTCGCCTCACAAGCGAGAGGATCTGTGTTCGATTTCTGGGGAGGGCGAAACCTTAGCCATGTTTCCTCACTCCACACACACACCTCTGTTTACCCAGCAGTAAATAGGAACCCAGTTATTAGTTGGTTGGCGGATCGCTTTCTGGGTGTAATATACAGTCAATTCACGTTACAGTATATTCTATGAAGCGCTTTGACACTTCTCGAAGACGTGATAAAGCGCTATATCAAACGCAAGGATTATTATTATTATTATTACACATTACAACCTCCCAGGAGCAGCAGGTTAGAAAGGGAAGCAGGTGTATGAGGTGTTGACCGGACCATAATAAATGTAAAGTGATCCCAGGTTGACTGTGTCCCCAGAGTCCTGGCCGGGCAAGTAGTCTGGTATGTCTGCCCAGGGCCAAGATTTCTGTGGATACCGTGTGCTTGGGAGATCTTGCAAGGGCCTGTCTGAGAGCAGGGCCGTGTGTAGTGCATGCACCGCTGCCATCACTCTTGAGTGGCTGGCAATCCTGCCCTGTGACACCCGCTCCTGACCTGCCATGTTAGATATCAGAGCATTGAACAATAACCCATCATTTCCTTTCTCTCTGAACGTGCTGCACCAGGACCCTGGATTTTTGCTGCTTCTCCAGGGCCACAATCTGTGCTGTTTGTATTGTTCACACATCACTGTAACTGGAGCTGGCAATAAACGCTTTTCATCTGAATTTCAAATCGTGCGTCTGTGAAATTAATGTTGAAAATCAAAGAAAGACGACTGTGAGAGAGACTGAATATATGGATAACGCTCCCTCTACACTGGCCATTCACACTCCCGGGTCAGAGAGTAACATTCCCTCTACACTGTCTCTCGCCTTGCTATTTCACTCGAGTGGCAATTACTCAAGTCTGAGGCTAGACAATGAGGGATTCACTGTGGGCATATCTTCCCCGACGGTCACACTGTGAGCACTGGGTCTGTGGACGGTGACAATCTGATTTATCCTGAACTAATACACAGTCCGACACGTGCTGCCTGCCGAACCCCATCCCCAGCTCACGGGAATGCTCGGCCTCAGGCCTGGCTCTCACTGGCTCGGTCCGGTCTGTCACTTCACTGGCTCCCGGCAGGGACGTCAAGGCCACGTTATCTCCTTGCTTATTGCAAAATTATTTTATTTCTATTATTGCAGCTTTGATTGGATGTTAATCTATCAGCTGATATTGGGCAATCGTCATAAACTGCTGTTTGTAATGTGATCAATCTCCCAATCCTCCAGTCAGTCACTGATGTGAGCATCACGCTAGCCCCTCGTGTGTTGCCCATGAAAAGTCACTACACTTGACAGCAATTATGCGTGAAGCACTTTGAGATGTTTTGATGTGATAAAACTTACAATGAAAATGTGTATTTTGTTTCCTTGTGTCAAACCCAAGGTGAGTATGGTTGATAAACAGCAACCTTTGAACCCCCGATCACAATCCAGTTCAGAGTGAGCGACCCAGACTGTAATGTTTGGCAGGTTCGAGCTCAGTTCACAGCAAGGCCAAGACAAGCAGGCGAAGCAGGACAAGCCGAGGCGAGGAGATCACTGGCTTCGTGGTTAGAGACACTCAGATACGTTTTGAACTGAATGGAACAGAGAGGAACCGAGTGTGTGGGAGACACAAGGTCAGTGCCATGGTAAAGCATTGATAAAGCTGAGAGCAATGGGTGACAATGGGGAGACAGAGGCTGTGCAGCCACACGTGAGGGGAGGAAACATCTGCTCTCCCTGTGTGAGAGGAATTAACAGAAATCAGAATTATACAGCATAGAAGGAGACCATTCGGCCCATCGTGTCTGTGCCGGCTCTTTGAAAAGAGCTATTTAATTCTGTCCTTGGCCCTCTCCTCTTTAATATCTACATGCTCCCCCTTAGTGACATCATCCGCAGACATGGGGTCAACTTCCATATGTATGGGGATGACACCCAACTCTATCTCTCTGCCTCCACCCTCAACTCCAGGACCACTGGTGTCCTGACAGACTGTCTGTCGGACATCAAGTCCTGGATGAGGGCAAATTTCCAACAGTTGAATGTGAACAAGACTGAGGCCCTCCTGTTTGGCTCGCGCCAGCGCCTCAGCACCTCAGGCTCTGCAGCATCAACCTCCATGGTTGCACACTTCAACTCACCAAAGCCAGTCAGGAACCTCGGTGTCTTGTTCAACCCTCAACTGTCTTCTTCCCCACATCCAAGCCATGACCCGCTCTGCCTTCCCTCACCTCCGTAACATCGCTCGACTCCGCCACTACCTCACCCCTCAGGCCACTGAAACTCTTGTTCATGCCTTCATCACCTCCAGGCTCAACTGTGCAAACACCCTACTTTTCGGCCTTCTCAACTCCTCCCTCCACAGACTGCAGCAGAACTCTGCTGCTCATGTCCTCTCCTGCATTAAACTCCGTGACCCCATCTTCCCCACTCTCGCCCGACTCCACTGGCTCCCTATCCTCCAGAGGATCCAGTTCAAGATCCTGGTCCTCACATACAAAGCCCTCCATGGCCTCGCCCCACCCTACCTCTGCGACCTCCTAACCCCCTACCAACCTGCTCGCTCCCTCCACTCAGCAGCTCTGGCCTGCTCCACATCCCTGACCCACCCACCCCACCATTGGCAGGAGAGCCTTCAGCTGCTCTCCCCCCAACTCTAGAATTCCATCCCCCAGTCACTCCGTCTAACCCCCTCCTTAGCCTCCGCCTCAAGACCCTGCTCTTCGAGCATGCAATTGGCTACCCCCCTTCCCTTCCCCTCCCTTACGCCCCCAACCCCAGCTCGGGTCTGAAATGCTGTACTCTGTCCAGCACCTTGGGACATCCTCCCGACATGAAAGGCGCTATACAAATGTAATCTTGTTGTTGTTCAATCCCATTCCCCTGCTCTCTCCCATAGCCCTGCAAACTTGTCCTCCCCAATGCCCATGTATGTAGCAGGCATCCCACGCTCCCACCCCATCCCAACCCACCCTCCTCGCCCATTCCAACCCACTCTCCTACCCCATCCTAATCCACTCTCCTACCCCATCCCAATCCATTCTCCTACCCCATCCCAACCCACCTTCCTACTCCATCCCAACCCACCCTCCTTGGGTTGTGGTAACCATGGGGATAGGAAAAAGAGGTTGAGTTGATAAGCAATTGACGTTTAAAGCATTTAAGCGCGTCTGCACTCTGATTGACTTTGTATCAGGTAATTTGGTTTTAAACTTTAATCCCATTTGTAGTGGTTCCTTCACTTAATAACAGCCGAGGTTGGAGTTTGCCCTTGTGGACTAGAGAGCCTTTAACTGGCAGAGTGTCAGAGACTCTGCTCAAGACGGTCACTGGCTGCTCTCTCCAGAGGCCAGAAACCACAGCTCACGCATACCCTGTGCCCAGGTAAGCAACTTCCTCTCCATTTCCTGACTAAAGACCAGAATGTTCCATCAGTGCAATCGTCTTATCTGGCCTTCTATCAAGTAAAATCATTTCCTCACTTCATGGCTTGTTTGTAGGACATCGCTGTGCACAAATTATCTGCTACTTTTGTCTACAAAACTCACAGTCACTATACTTTATAATGAGTCCTGTGAAATGCTTTGAGATGATGACGTGATAAGGCACTGCATCAAATGCAGGAATTATGTATATATTTCATCATATGACTTGCATTTGATATAGTGCTTTTCACGTCTTCTAGACGTCTCAAAGCACTTCACAGAATATGCTGTAAAGTGAATTGACTGTATATTTTGTGGGTGAAACGCAGCAGCCAATTGCACACAGCAGTGTCCCACAAACAGCCGTGGATTAAGTGACCAAATTATTATTGGGTTTTTTTTTCTTGAGGGATGATGATCAGTAGTGTGGAGTAAGGAAACTTGCCCAAGGTTTCGCCCTGCTGGGAATCGAACCCAGGTCTCTCACTTAAAAGGCAAGTGCTCTAATTATTAGAGTCCTATTATTGGAGTCCTGTAGCTCAGTGGTAAGAGTACTCACTCTATAATACAGGTGTTTTTATTGTTGTAACTCTATCAATAACCGATTGTGATAACTGCTCTCTTACTGTTTCACAGAATAACTCCATTGGCTTTGGCCCCGAGTCCCAGGAAATCCCTATGGCAATGAGCAGCCCCACCCCCACTACGGTGCCCCCCCCGGACAGCCTGTTCCCCTCCAGCTCCCTCACTGTGGTGGATATTGTGGTGCTGGTCCTGTATTTTGTATTTGTTTTGGTCGTGGGACTCTGGGTAAATATTCCTGGTACAGATCATTCACTCACTCACTCGCTCGCTCACTCGCTCGCTCACTCGCTCACTCGCTCTCACATTCGCTCTCACATTCGCTCTCACATTCACTCTCTCACTCACATTCACTCTCTCTCTCACTTACTCTCACATTTGTTCTCTTTCTCGCTCACATTTGCTCTCTCTCTCTCTCACTCACTCACTCACAATCAGTCACTCTCTCTGTCACTCACACCCTTTCACACTTGCTCACACCAGCCCCTTTCACGGGGAGGGAATGTAACACTCTGTTTCTCACAGTCTATGTGCCGGACCAAGCGGAGCACGGTGCAGGGCTATTTCCTGGCCGGCAAAACCATGTTGTGGTGGCCGGTGAGTATTGTCCATGGCATTTCGCTTGCTCAGCGCTGTTGGTGATGGAGCCGCAGCCAGTCTGACCCGTCTGTTCTCCCCCCCACCTCCCCCGCAGGTGGGAGCGTCGCTCTTCGCCAGTAATGTGGGAAGTGGACACTTTGTGGGGCTGGCGGGGACTGGAGCCGCCTCGGGAATCGCAGTTGCTGCCTATGAACTAAACGTGAGTCTCGGCTAAACCATCACCAACCAGGAGGGTGGACACCAAAACATTTCCAAATCACTATATCCGTCACCACAAAACCGCCAATCGTTTCCCAGTATTTACTGCCCAGTGTAGTGACTGTTTCATAGGCAAACGCACAGACATTTTGTGTACACATTGAATTTTCAATCCATGGGATTGTTGTCCAGAAACTGGGAGACAGAAACTTCTATTTCTTTTCCAATAACCCCTGACCATGTGGTGTCAGCTCCAAACTGGGAAATGAGACTGAGACCGAGTGGGGCCAGGGTGACTGGGGTATATCCTGGTGTCTCAGTGCCTACAGCCCTGGAGATGGTTCCTGCCTATCAACAAGAGACACTCAGTCCTCCTGACCACACCTAACCCTGAGCAGCTCGCTGTGTCGCTCTGTGTAACTGTGTCACTGTGTTGTGGTGTAGCTGACTCTAACGTCACTCTCTTTGCCAGGGAATGTTCTCGGTGCTGCTCCTTGGATGGCTTTTCCTCCCGATTTACATCACAGCCGGGGTAAGGCTCCCTCCCACACTGTCAATATAGGCCAAGCATATGGAGTTTGTGATTGGGGTGTCGGGGTGTTTGGGGTGGGGAGGTTGGGGTGGGGGGTATGTGGGGGGCCGAGGGTGTGGTTGGGGTGGGGGATGGTTGGGGTGGAGGATGGTTGGGGTAGGGACAGTGATGTATGTCTCTATTGCCCACAGGTGACCACGATGCCCGAGTACCTGGAACGTAGATACCGGAGCCCGAGGATTCGTCTCTTCATTGCTGTCGTTTATTTGTTCATTTACATTTTCACCAAAATCTCAGTGAGTGGTCACTCCCCCACCCCGCGCCTCCGCCCCCACCCCGCGCCTTCCCCCCCACCCCGCACCTCCCCCACCACCCCTCCCCCTCCACCCCGCCTGCCCACGGGTCGAGATCACGATTCCAGAACGAGGAGCTCGGGGCTAAATTAAACAACAGAATAGGGCTTTGAACCAGTAAATGCGGGGTGAGGGTTCACATAGAAATAACAGGAAACTAAAGATAAGAATAAGAAAGAATAAGAGCAAAGATCAGAGTACAAAAAGTAATAAAGAAAACATAAATACTCCCAAGAAGAAAAAGGGTTATTGGAAGTAAACACAAAAAGGGTTAGAAAAGTACACATCAGAGCATATGGGCAGGTGAGGACAGTCACCCCACACAGCTAAGTGTCTCGAATACATGCAGCATAAGAAATAAAACAAGTGAGTTAGAAGCACAAATTCAGCTTAAAGGATTTGATGTAGTAGCCATTACAGAGATCTGGTTACAAGCTGGGCAACAACAACAAGATTACATTTGTATAGTGCCTTTCACGTCGGGAGGACGTCCCAAGGCGCTGGACAGAGTATAGCATTTCAGACCCGAGCTGGGGTCGGGAGGGGTGGGGGAGGGGAAGGGGGGTGGCCGATGGCATGGTCAAAAAGGAGGGTCTTGAGGCGGTACTTGAAGGAGGCTAAGGAGGGGGCGAGGCGGAGTGATTGGGGGATGGAATTGCAGAGGTTGGGGGCAGAGTGGCTGAAGGCTCTCCCGCCTAAGGTGGGGTGGGTGGGTCGGGGGGCGTGGAGCAGGCCAGATCTGACTGAGTGAAGGGAACGGGCGGGTTGGTATGGGGTTAGGAGGTCGCAGAGGTAGGGTTGGGCGAGGCCTTGTATGTGAGGACCAGGATCTTGAACTGGATCCTCTGAAGGATAGGGAGCCAGTGGAGTAGGGCAAGAATGGAGGAGATGGGGGTCACGGAATTTAGTGTGGGAGAGGACACGGGCTGCAGAGTTCTGGATTATTCTGGAGGGAGGAGTTGGGAAGGTTGACAAGCGGGGGTTTGCATCGAGTCTGGAGGTGATGAAGGCATGAACAAGAGTTTCAGTGGCCTGAGGGGTGAGGGAATGGTGGAGTCGGACGATGTTACGGAGGTGAGGGAAGGCAGAGCGGGTCATGGCTTGGATGTGGGGGAGAAAAGACAGTTGAGGGCATAAGTGGGAGCTAAATATTCCAGGCTTATAAGATCTTTAGAAAGAATAGGGAAATTGGGAAAGGAGGAGGAATAGCAATATTGATAACAGACTTAATTATAGCAGTGGAAAGGAAGAATTTCAGTAAAGGTGATCAGGCCGTGGAAACACTGTAGGTAGAATTAAGGTACAGCAAAGGAGACAAGACTCTGGTGGGAGTTGTCTACAGACCTCGAGACAGTAGTGATGTAATGGGGGGATATATAAATACAGAAATCAGGGAAGCATGCAGCAAAAGCAATGTGGTTATAATGGAAGATTTTAATTTTCACATAGACTTGGAGAAGCAGAATAGCTCAAGTGGGCAAGGCAACGAATTTCTAGAATATATTCAGGACAGTTTTCTGGAACAATATGTTTTAGAACTGACAAGGGAACAAGTCATACTAGATTTGGTGATGAGCAATAAGCTGGAATTAGTTAACAATCTGACAGTAAGGGAACGTCTTGCAAATAGTGACCATAATATGACTGAATTTGATATAAGGTTTGAGAGGCAAAAAGGGACAGTCACCAACCAATATTTTAAATTTAAGTAAGGCAAATTTCGGAGGAATGATAAATAAATTAACTACGGTAAACTGGGCTGAACTGTTAATGGGTAAACCCACGGACATACAGTGTATTCAAAGAAGAATTTTGTACAATACAAAATCAGGATATACCCCTAAAACACAAAAGCTCCACTGTGTAGGTCAACAATCATGGTCGACAAATGAGGTAAGAGGCAGCAGCCAACTGAAGGAAAGGCTGTCACGACTGCGAGAAAAAGTGGAAATTCTGCAGACTGGGAGACTCATAAAAAGCAACAAAGAGATACAAATAAAATAATAAAAGGTGCAAAAAAGGGAACATGAGAAAAACACTTACAAGGGTTTTCAAGGGCAATAGTAAAAGTTTTTATAAATATACTAGCTGTCCCCATTGCAGTTATGCTTTCAACCAAAGGATGATCCAATATGGAATGTAGATTGACACACAGACAGACACTTCATCTCTATCTATATTCATCTGGGAGGACTCCTGACTGTCCAATGCCCTGGGACTTCTTTCCGACGTGAAGGGTGTTATACAAGTGCAATTTGTTGTTGTTGTATATACAGCCTTGGTCAGGACTAAGACCTAAATGTACATGAATCATGTGCACACAACTTGTGAGGTGCTTACACCCCTGTGTCTGTCGTGTAAATCCACCTGGGGACAGCTTGTTCAAGGCTGTTCACTGTGTTACTAATAGGAACATAGGAGCAGGAGTAGGCCATTCAGCCCCTTGAGCCTGTTCTAGAAGATCATGGTTGATCTGTACCTCAAGTCCAATTACCCGCCCTTGCCCTGTACCCCTTGATACCCTGACCTGACAAATATCTGCCCACCTCAGTCTGGACAATGTGGGGAAGAGAGTACCAGATTTCCACTATCCTTTAGGTGAAAAACTGCCTCCTAATTTCACTCATAAACGGTCTGGCTCTAATTTAAAGATAATGCCCCCATGTTGTGGACTCCCCACCAGAGGAAATAGTTTCTCAGTAGTTATCGAACCCTTCATTATTTTAATGACAAGTCTATCTGACGCAGGTTGACATATACGCAGGAGCCATCTTTATCCAGCAGGCGCTGCACTGGGACCTATACATCGCTGTGGCCGGGCTGCTGCTCATCACTGCTCTCTACACGGTGGGAGGTAAGCCCGCGAAGGGGAGGGGAGGGGTCGCACACTCACTCACTCACTCGCCATAAGCACACTCGTTCTCACTCAAAACAAGCACTTTGGGGCACTACCCTGCGTGAGAAGCGCTACATAAATGTAACTTGTTGTTGATGGCGTGTTTGTGTGTGTGGGTGCAGGAGGGCTGGCGGCGGTGATTTACACGGATGCGCTGCAGACAGTCATCATGTTGGTCGGGGCTCTCACTCTGACAGGATTCTGTAAGTGATGATTCCCCCCCATTCCCCCCCATTCTCAAGATCACAACAGGAGCAGCCTTTCCCCCCCAAACCCCACTACTCCCCACACCAACACCTCCCCCCCCCACACCTCTGCCACTCCAAATCCCCCACACACCAACCCCCCCACACACCAACACCGCCCCCCCACACCTCTGCCACCCCAAATCCCCCACACACCAACCCCCCACACACCCACACACCACCCCCCCCACACCCGCCACCCCCCCCCCACACCTCTGCCACCCCAAATCCCCCACACACCAACCCCACCACACACCAACACCGCCCTGCACATCTCTGCCACCCAAAATCCCCCACACACCAACACCGTACCCCCCCCACACCTCTGCCACCCCAACCCCCCACACCAACACACACCCCCCACACACATCTGCCAACCCAACTCCCCCACACACCAACACTCCCCCCCCACCCGCCTGCACACTGTCACTGTTTGAGTTCCAGGCTTTGCCCGTGTGGGGGGGCTGGAGGGGCTGAGGCTGATGTACCCGGAGTCGGTGCCGCGGGTCAGAGACACCAACACCAGCTGTGGCCTCCCCCGAGATGATGCTTTTCACATTTTCCGGCACCCGGTGACGTCCGACTTCCCCTGGCCTGGCGTGGTGCTGGGCATGGCTGTGCCCTCCCTCTGGTACTGGTGCACAGACCAGGTAATCACACTCATACTCACACCCGCTCACTCACACCCGCTCACTCACACCCGCTCAAGCTCACACCCGCTTACACTTACGCCCGTTCACACTCATTTATTTACTCGCAACCGCTCACATTTACACCCACAACGGCGGGTTCATATTGTTGTGACAGGCGGCACTGGTGAGGGTGAGTGTGAGGGCAGTGACGGGGTGTTTGCTCACTGCTGCGTGTTTGGTTACAGGTGATTGTGCAGCGATCTCTCTCCGCTAAATCGATGCTTCACGCTAAAGGTGGCTCCCTGTTTGCCGCTTACCTGAAGATCCTGCCACTGTTCATCATGGTCATTCCCGGCATGGTCAGCCGTGTGCTGTTCCCTGGTGAGTGCGAGTTGTTCCCTGGTGAGTGTGAATGTGTGCTCTTCCCTGGTGAGTGTGTGCTCTTCCCTGGTGAGTGTGTGCTCTTCCCTGGTGAGTGTGTGCTCTTCCCTGGTGTGTGTGGCCGCTCGGGGCAGCGAGGTCAATGCTGTATGTTTGTTTGACCTGATGTCCTGGAAGTTGGACATATTTTAATCATGAAAAACATCCCCCAATAGAGAGGCAAGTGAACTCACATTCTGCTCCCCCCCCCACCCTCACCCCACTGTGGCTTGACCGGCGTGTCAGAGCTGGGGTGAGGGTGTGTGTGAGCTGGGATGAAGGTGTGGATGTTCTCTCGGTGTAGATGAAGTTGCCTGTGCCAATCCTGACGAGTGCCAGAGGCTGTGCGGGAATTCTGTCGGCTGCACCGACATCGCTTACCCCAAACTGGTGATGGAGCTCCTGCCAGGCGGTGAGTGTCAACTGTTCTCACACACACAGTATCTCCTCACACACACACAGTATCTCCTCACAAACGCACACACAGTCTCCTCCCTGACCCACACACCCTAAGGGACTGTAACTCTCTTGATCCAGGGAATCCCTTGTTTGTGCTGTATAATAATAATAATAATAATAATGTGTGTGGATAGGAGGCTGTGCGGCTGTGTGGGGTGGGGGCTGTGTGGGGGTTGGGCGGGCTGTGGGGCTGTGTCTGTGCCCCGAGCTCACACTGCTTGTGCTCTGCTTGTGTTGCAGGGTTGCGAGGGCTGATGATGGCGGTGATGGTTGCCGCTCTCATGTCCTCGCTCACCTCCATTTTCAACAGCTCCAGTACCATCTTCACCATGGACCTGTGGCTCCGTTTCCGGCCACACTGCACAGAGTGGGAACTCATGGTTATCGGCAGGTAACCACGGGATGGGGGCGTAACCGACTGCGCTGTGTGAGGCTCTGTGGGGCTGTGTGAGTTTGTGTGGGGCTGCGTCTGGCTGTGTGAGGCTCTGTGGGGCTGTGTAAGTCTGCGTCTGGCTGTGTGAGGCTCTGGGGCTCTGTGTCTGGCTGTGTGGGGCTGTGTCTGGCTGTGTGAGGCTGTGTCTGGCTCTGTGGGGCTGCGTGACACTCTGTGACCTCCGCTGTGCTACATTGCAGGGTATTTGTGCTGGTGTTGGTGCTGGTGTCTGTGCTGTGGATCCCGCTGGTGCAGGCCAGCCAGGGAGGCCAGCTCTTCATCTACATCCAGTCCATCAGCTCCTACTTGCAGCCGCCCATCGCCATCGTCTTCATCGCCGGCTGCTTCTGGCCTCGGGCCAACGAGAAGGTTGGCCCGAGGTCCTCTGCCTCTCCCTGCCCTGTGCTGCACCCCCCCACCCCCCCACCTCCAATCTGCATTGACACTGTTTGCATGTTTCTGTGTGTTGGCTGCTGTGATTGATGGAGTGTCTCTCTCTCTCTCCACAGGCTGCGTTCTGGGGGCTTCTGGCTGGCATTCTGCTTGGCTGTGTGCGGATGGTTTTGGATTTTATTTACGAGGAGCCGGTGTGTGGTCAGCCTGACACCCGCCCGGACATAGTGCGCTGTGTTCACTACCTGCACTTCTCCATCATCCTGTCCCTCTTCACTCTCATCATGGTGGTCTCCATCAGCCTCTGCACCGAAGCTCCTTCACCAGAGAGCGTGAGTCATTCCTGACGGGACACCAACACTCATTGGGCTCCCCGCCCTACTCGTTCACCCCCACCGGTCGCCCCCACCCCCCCGCCACCCACACACACTGCCCCCACCTCCCCCCCCACCCACACACACATTGCCCCCATCACACGTTCGACTCCACACACACTCCCCCCTCACATACTGCACTCCCCTCTCCCCCTCACACATACTCCCTCACACATACTCCCTCACACAGTCCCCTTCACACATACCCCCTCACACGGTCCCCTACACACGCTGCCCCCCCAACACACAAAGCCCCCTCCACAAAATGCCCCTCTACACAGCCCCCCCCACACTGCCCCCTCACACACTCACCCAAACACACTGCCCCCTCACATCCTCCCCTCCTCACATACTCCCCCCTCACACGTTGCTCCCCTCAGCCCCCCTCACAAACTGCCCCCTTCATACGCTGCCCCCCTCACTGTTATCCTCCCCACACCAACCCACTGCCCCCATTCACAGCTCCCCCCGCACACTGCTCCCCTCTTGATCCCATATCCTTGCCTGTGCAGCACTTGGGACTTCCAAATTTGTTATCGTTGCCCCAGTCTCTCTACCCTCCTCTCCCCCATCACACAGACACACACACATGTGGTCTCACTGCTCCGCCTGTCCCTCATCCCTAGGTCCGACAGCTCACCTGGTTCAGCCGCTACGAGGATCCAGAGCATCAACCAGCACCAGAGCCTCCTCCACAGGAGATTCCCAGCAGCAGCTCTGACACAGGTGAGAACCACCCCCCCGCAAACAGCGTATCTAACCCTGACTCAGGAATGTGGATACACAATGTAGAGGGAGCTTTGTGTCTCTAACCCTGACCTGGGACTGTGGACGGACAGTGCAGAGGGAGCTTTACTGTGTCTCTAACCCTGACCTGGGACTGTGGACGGACAGTGCAGAGGGAGCGTTACTGTGTCTCTAACCCTGACCTGGGACTGTGGACGGACAGTGCAGAGGGAGCGTTACTGTGTCTCTAACCATGACTTGGGAGTCTGGACGGACGGACAGTGCAGAGGGAGCTTTACTGTGTCTCTAACCCTGACCTGGGAGTGTGCCCGGGACACAAATGTTGGGGCCTGAGTGAGTGAGTGATGTGTTCCCTGTAGATGGTGGGCGGGGGCGATGCTGGTGGCTGTTGGCCTGTGTGCTATGGTTCTGTGGGATGGACAAACAGCAGAAGAGGCAACAAGTGGTGGCGGTGAGAAGGAGCCGGAAGGAGAACATGGAATTGCTGTGGGAGGAGCCAGGCCTGAGAAACCTCGCCAACGCCAGCCTCCTGCTGTGTCTTAGCGCTGCCGTCTTCCTCTTCGCTTATTTTGGTTAATTTAATAAAATATCCCCTGAGCGACTGTGTCTGGGATCATTATCCACAGCAGTCTGTGCCCTCTGTGAGTGAGTGTGAGTTTGAGCGTATGTGAGTGAGTGACTGCGTGTGTGAAAGAGTGTGTGTGTGCCAGAATGAGTGTGGGTATGACTGAGTGTCTATGAGTATAAGTGCATGTGTTTGAGCATGGGATGTCTGTGAGTGAGTGAGTGTGTATGTGAGAGTGTGTGTGAAACTATCTGTGAGAGTATGTGTGTGTGAGTTTGTGTGTCAGTGTGTGAGAGAGTGTGTGACTGTGTGTGAGTGACTGTGTGTATGTGTGAGAGAGTGTGGGTGAGAGTGTGTGGGTGAGTGAGTGTGCGTGTGCTATGGAAAAGGAACCCAAGAGAAAAGTCATACAGGCCGAAACATTTACATAAGACCAAATAAGCCACAGAGAACACGATAGTGCAAATAAGATCAAGGCAATATGAAATAAGGAACAATTCTGATATGGAATCTGGAAGAAGGTTATAATATTGATGCAATACGAATCATTAAGAGAACTGCACACAAAAAAAGAAAAAAAGTGTTTGACATCTCTACAGTGCACAGAAGAAAGGAAATGGTTAAGATGGATAAAGGAGCTCTGGCCAGCGCTGCGTCGCTAGGAGAGAATATATAGCTGGGAGAACCCAATAAAGACAAGTTGGAAAAAGGGAAGAGTAGACTATTGGCATTCAATAAAAAAGACATTGAGACAGTGGGTAGAATAGCTATAGAAGTGGTGTCCAAAGACAGATCATATAAGATAACGTTTCACATTGTAAAATTAAAAGCTGATACTCTGCTTGGACTACAAGATATCATTGAAATGGGATTGCTCAAAAGAATTCGGAGTGTGGGGACAAGTCTACAAATAAATGGAGACGGAAGAAATACTGGAAAAATATCAACACATTTTTGGGAAAAGGGGAGTGATGAAAGGGGAATACACAATCAGATTAAAAGAAATATGAAAAATAGTGATACTGCTGCTGAGAAGAGTGCCAGAAGCATTGAAAAAAGAGACTAAATGAAACATGAGATAAAATGGAAGAGGACCTGATAATAAAAAATGTAGAGAAACCCATTGTTTGGGTAAGTAATGCAGTCATTGTAGAAATTTGTGAGACTTTTTCCAGGTATCGGAAATAGTAAAAGCAACAAAACATAAGAAAGAGATGGGATAATTCAGACAATGCTGAAAAAGGGATGGTCTAAAAACAAGAGGAACCAGAAGAGATCCGGCCATATTGGGAATACAGAAAGGAAAATACCAGCAAAAATGCATCATATATCGAGGAGAGAGAATAATTATACCAAAAGAATTAAGGAATAAAGTATTGAGAAACATACATGAAGGACATTGTGGAATAGAAAAAGCAAAAAGAAGAGTGAGAGGAGTCTTGTTTTGGCCAGGTATAAATAAGCAGATAGAGGACTATATAATGGGAAATGGGAAATCTGTGCAAAATATCAAAACCGGGAAAGACAAGAGCCAATTATATGGTACGAGAAACCAAGTAAAGGCTGGACCAAAATAGGAACTGATTTGTTTTATTATAATAGCAAAAACTGCTTAATAATAATAAGACCATACATCGAGATATAGTGAATATACGGAGTTGAATGATACAACATCCAAAACTCTAGTGGAAAAAAACAAGGAAATCTTTGCACAGCATGGAATACCAAGAGAAATAATTAGTGATAATGGACCCCGAGTTTCAAGCAAGGAATACAAGACATTCACAAACCTCGGGAAATAAACCACAAAACAATATCACCAGGGTAGCCCTAAAGCAATGGTCAGGTTCGGGAAATACACACTATAAAGAAAATGTGGAAGAAGATAGACAATGCAAAGGCAGATAAATAAGCACATGGCAATTCTGGCCGAGAGACAATGAGGGACATTCACCAGCACAAATACTGATGTCAAGACGCTTAAGAGATTTGTTAATCTTGGAAGAAAAAAAAAATTGAGACCCGCAGGTACAACACAAGAGAAATGGAGGGAAACCACAAAGTGAACCAGGAAACGAGAAAACTTTTCCAAGAGGAGAGAGAACCTGGTTCAGGAAAAAAACTAAAAACAGAAAGTTGGACAAAAGGAGCAACATGGAAGAAGATAAAAACCCAAATCATATTGGCTTAAAGCGATAAAGGAAAATATATAGAAGAACATCATGGGAAATACGCCACACAGGGACAGATGAAGAAAAAGACCAGAAGGAAGAAGGAAGGTGGCAGAAACATCGAGACCCATCGGGTCAGGAAAAACCAACACGGAGATTAATTGAACAAGACTGAGATACCGAGAGAAAAAGAGAAGAAACCAAAAAGGGGAAGATGTTGGATACCCTTTTTGAAGAAATGACCAATTAACTTGGAACCAATGAAAGGGGATCAGGAAGTATAACGCGGGATCCAGGGGAACTAACTGAGTGTGTTTGGTTGGATTGGAAGCGGAGAATAAAATAGTGATTTCGACATTTGAGTTGTGAGAACATAACACAGTTGATGATGTCACCGCTGTTTACATACAAATTGGAAGTTGTTGGCGGTTCAGCCCCAGTGACAGCCCCCCCCCACCTCCCAGGCACACATAGATCCCGCCCTGTGATAGCCCCCCATCCCTGATACACAACTTCAGTGACAAACCCACCCCCCACCCATCACACATTCCCCGACACACAGCCACAGCATCGATACGGAGCCACAGTGACAACAAGCCCCTGACAGACAACCGCCCCCTCCCCCAGGGAGATGCTGTCTAATCTGACTGTCAGCTTCGCCTCCACTTGGGGAGGGCCACATGTAGCCGACAAACCTGGAGACAGAACCTCCCTGTTCCTCCACCTGTTGGACATACAGCGCTTCCTCAACAAGGTGAGTGTGTGTGAGACAGTGTGAGTGTGTGACTGTGTGTATGTGAGAGAGTGTGTGAAAGTGTGGGTGTGTGACAATGTGTGTGTGTGTGTGTGAGTGTGAGATTGAGTGTGAGAGAGGGTGTCTGCGCAGAGGGGGCTGTGTGTGTATGGGTGTGTGGGGTGGGGGGGGAAGAGGGAGGGTGCCTCAGCTTTACAATTGTTTCAAAATGAATGATAATAATACTAATCCTCACATTTGATACAGCGCCTTATCACGTCTTTGAGATGTCGCAAAGCTCTTCACTGAATTGACTGTCTATTTGTGCAGGAGTTTAGAAGAGTTTCCGGCCAGAAAAAAACAGTGAAAAATCAGCTTTGTTATTGAGTCTGTGTTCTTTGACTTCACATTTTTTAAAAATTGCTGAGCGAGGTTAGGCTGCTCACCCCCATTACCCCAAACATCCCACTTTGTGCACGAGGGTTGTCCCCGCAGACCAGTCCCTTCCCCCCAAAACTCTCTAGACCCCAAATTGTCACAGGACCTGAACCATGTCTTCACCATCACCTGAGCAGGTCAGGTGACAGGATGGCTTCGCTGACAGGGCAAACTCGGCCTGAGCCTCGTGACCAGGGGCTCAAGTGATTCCAGTGTGTAACAGCAGATCCTGCAACACCCAACCAACAGAGGGCTGAGAGCAGAGCTGCAGCCAGGAGCTCATCCTCCCATAATGATCCACTTCTGGGTGAGATTGGGTCCTGTTAACAATCCAACACAAGCCAATCTCAACAGGAGATGAACGTTTCCAGCGTTGCTTTATCTCAAGGAGTAATTGATGTGAACAGAAACTACATTTGATCTGGGCCAAAAGCCTAAGAAGCGATCCCATAATCTTACATTTTAAGGTAAAAGATTTAATGCAGAAACCATATATGGCCTGAGTGTCCGTCACTAACTCCCACTCCTACACTGCACCCCTCTTTTCCCCTGTCCTCTCCTCACAGAAATTCATCCTCCACAGGTTCGTTTACATCACACAATACAACTCGGCTAATACAAATCGCAGGAAGGTCTCAGGTGAGCAAATAGCACTGCCATGTGTGTGTGTGTCTGTCTCACAGTGAGGGTGTGTGTGTGTGTGCATGTGTCCCAATGAGAGTGTGTGTGTGTATGTGTGTGTCACAGTGAGAGGTATTGGGTGTATATCAGTGTTAGTTGGGGGTGAGGGTTATAATGCAAGTTATCGCAGTGATTCAGTCTTTTGCTGACAGACGGAGGCTGTGGTTTCGGTCAGTCAGTCGGTCAGTGTCTCACTGACCTGTTTCCCTCCCCTCTCACAGATTATTATGAAACGCTGTTTCACAGGATTCAGGCAGAGCACCAGGAGGAGACGTTGACAGGGTTAATGCTGCTGCACCCGACATGTGCTGTCCACCTGCTCGAGGCAAGTGACATCCCCTCCCACCATCCTCACCCAGCTCCCCATCGGTGGTCGGGCTTTCTGCCTCCACCTCAGAACCTCTCTGCCTCAGCCTCTCCCTCACACGTCTCAAGACCTTCCTCTGTCGGTGCCTTCGGTCATCTTCCCACCTCCCTTGCCCTCCACCCCTCTTGAGTCCAGCACGTAGCTCGGGTGCAAACCCTTCACTGTCCAGCTCCTGAGACGTCTTCCCGACATGAACGTTGCTGTGTAAATGCGATTTGTTGTTTAAATGGGGGAAAACTCACCAGTCATTTACTGACTGATCATTTCCTGACTGTTTTCCTCATCTCTTTAGTCTTCCACAGATAGGCTGTACGCCGTGATCCGGGATCTCGCCAGGACATCGGAGGGCGACCAGTGAGTGACCGCGAGCCTCAGAGGGAGTAAATAAATAATAAAAATAATGATAATAATCCTTGAGATTTGATATAGCACCTTATCACATCTTCGATACGTCTCAAATAGCTTCACAGAATATACTGTAAACTGAATTGACTGTACATTTTGTGGGCAGCCAATTGCACACAGCAGTGAGTGTCCCACAAACAGTCGTGGATTGAGTGACCAAGTTGTTTATGTTTTTCCAAGGGATTATTACCCCCAAAAAAGCGATCCACCAATCAACTAACAATCGGGTTCCTTCTTGCTGCTAGGTAAACAGAGGCGTGTGGAGTAAGGAATCTTGCCCAACATTTCGTCCCGCCCAGGAATCGATCCCAGGTCCTCTCATTTGTGAGGCGACTACTCTAACCAATGAGCTACAGGCCTAAGTAGTCGCTCTTCAGCACCTGGTAGAACGTAAAGAGATGGGGACATGTTGATCAGTTGCTCTCAGTGTCCACATCCGGCCATTACCCAGCGCTCAACCCTGAAAACCACAGTCAGCAGCTAACTGTGCTTCTCTGTTTGTGCTTGTGTTTAGAGCAACCATGAAAAATACCAAGATTCTGGTTCTGTCACACAACATCCCGAGTCGCCTGTTTCAGCAATGGCACGGGCGTATCATTAACCTGCCCGTCACCCTGTTGATGGACAACATAGAGCAGGAGCCGATGGACAAGCTGGTCCCCGAATGCCTCAGCCTCCTGCTCAAACTCGGAGTCCACCTCCTGGCAAACCCAAAGGTGGGAGCTCACTGGCTGAGGTCACAGTAACAACAACAAATTAGCATTAATCCTCGCGTTTGATATATCACCCCTTCAAGACTTCGCAAAGAGCTTCACAGAATATACTGTAAAATGAACTAACCATATACTTTGTGGGCAAAAACGCGGCAGTCAGTTGCGCACAGCAACATCCCACAAACAGTCGTGGATTGAGTGACCAAATTATTTTTTAAAAGGGATTATTATCCCTAGAAAACCAATCTGCCAATCGTCTAACAACTGGGTTCCTACTTACTGCTGGGTAAACAGAGGCACGTGGAATAAGGAAACTTGCCCAAGGTTTCGCCCTACCCGGGAATCATACCCAGGTCCTCTCGCTTGTCAGGCGAGTGCTATAAACACTGAGTTACAGGATTCTACAAAGTTTGTGGACCTGACTCCACACAGTCATAGTGTCTGAAATTCTCACTGCCTGGACATGCGGCACAGGTTAGAGGCAGAATAAAGCTCCCTTTATTCTGCTCCAGTGTAATGTGCTTCAGCTTTTGCCAATGTCACGCTGTCCCCCTCGAAACTGGGTTGGCCGGTTGCCCTGGGGACCCCCTTTGTATCACAATGACAGGCCCGTGGCTTGGCTTTGTCGTATGTTGACCAATTTGTTTTTCTCATTGAGGGACAATCGCCATGGCGCTGGAAACATTAGGCATTTTCAAATTTCGGGAGTGTTTTAACAAAGACACCAGCCAATCCCGTTGCTTGTTGGGCTGTGGTTCAGTGGGAATGCTGTGGGAATTGTGGAAGGTCCATCGCTCAAGGAAGCAAGCTCCTGACTTGTCATTAATCTGGCCTCTGGTGTGGAATCACAGCATCTAACACTGCTTTCCCCCTCAAAAGTAAACCTCCTCACTCACAGCAAAGCTGAACCGCTGGTCAGTCAGTCTCACTGCTGTGAACTTGTAGCATTGATGTGCAAGAGCCAGGAGCCCACAATGTGTTGTCTACCCTGTTAACAGAAAGCCATCATTGGGATGAATGACTCTGTGGCCGAGGAGGTCAGACACCTGATCATTAAGGAAAACACCATCAACTACCTGTGTGAGAGGCCAGAGTTCGACACCCCCCAGCAGTTCCTTGAGGTCTACGACAAACCCGTCTATGTGCTCCAGGAATCGGGTAATAATAATAAGTCCTTGCATTCGATACAGCACTTCATTACGTCATTGAGACGTTGAACCCAGGTGCTCTCACTTGCGAGGCAAGTGCTCTTACCACTGAGCTACATGACTCCACATCTTCCCAATTAATCACGTCTTGGCTGTGTGAGGGACATTGCTGGGGGGAATTTATTGATGTTACACTGGTCATTGCCAACCAGTGACTCGCAGGATATTCAATATCAGGTGAAATAGACCCCCCCCACCCCGAGGTCAGGCTGATCCCCACCCCCCCCCCCCCCCCGGGTCAGTCTGTGTCTGACCTGTGCCGTCCTCCCTCAGTGAGCTGTTATTGACAGTGCCGCACATCGCTGTACATACCACCACCACAACAAGTTACATTTACACAACGGGAGGAAGTCCCAAGGCACTGAACAGTCTGGGGTTTGGACATGAACAGGGGGTTGGGATCAGGAGGGGGTGGAGGGCGGCGAGGGTGGGGTTAGGAGGGTGACCGAAGGCGCGGTCAAAGAGGAGGGTCTTGAGATGTTGCCTTAAAGGAGGCAAAGGAGGGAGCGAGGCGAACAGACTGTGGATGGAGTTCCAAAGGGTGGGGGCAATATTATAAACTAAAACATTCCCTTCCCTGGTCTCTGTTTGATTGACATTAAAATCAATAACCTCCATTAAATGATTGTATTGTTGTGTTTATAGAATTGGTGTGGCCAGCTCCACATCACCTGTACTCCAGTGGCTAAACAACATGGGCCCCTGGCCCCCCAGATCCAGCGAGTGCCAGCAGCCCCCCCACCCCGTGGCCCACCCCCCAATTACACACTGAAATTTGTCAAAATTTTAAATAAAAGATTGTTAATAAGACCTCGCTCTCATTGTTTCTAGATTGCTGTATGCATCAATGTCTCTACTGTACACTGTTATCAATGATCTGAATGCAGGACTTAATAATAATCTACATTTGTGGATTTTTTTAAGTCAGTCTCACTTGTGGAAACCCAGTACCTTGTTAACAAATATCCAGGCCACATACACAGCTGTTTGGGATGGAAATGCTTGTCCAGCCATAGGACCCATTGAGTGATGGAATGTGCCGGAAACTCCAGGCAGATACTCGCATCTTAGCAGGTGTGTGAGAAACACATCAATATAGAAAAAGGTGAAGTGGTGGATTTTGTGAGAAACGGGGTACAATTATTTCCTGAGCGAGTGGAGTGTCAGCCCTCCTCCCCCCCCACCCATCCCAGCGCTGTAACCCTCCCAACTCTTACCACATCCCAGCGCTGCAACCCCCCCAACTCTCCCCCACATCCCAGCTTTGAAATCCCCCCAACTCTCCCCCCCCATCCCAGCACTGTAACTCCCCAACTCTCCCCCCTGTGCTGCAACCCCCTCCAACTTTCTCCTCATCGCTGTAATCCCCCAACTCCTCCCTCCAGCGCTGTAAACCCCAACTCCCCACCCCCAGCACTGTAACCCCCTCCAGCTCCCCCTCCAGCGCTGTGACGCCTCCACCTCCCCGCACCACAGTAACCCACTGCCCACCTTGTTCCCTTTCTCTTTAGTGTGTGTAATATTTACACATTTGCAATTTTTCAGAAATCGTTTATAATTCAAAAGATTTTCGGACAAAGGAAAATTACAATTGCGGAGATTAATTACTGGGTGAAATGTAATAAAATCTGCCTCATATAAAATAACAAGAGCTGAGGCAAGAAAGGAAGTGCACTTGTGTTAAACCATCAAACAGCATCAACCCAAACTGAGTGCAGCCCGCGTTCACTTCACCAAACCCCACCCCCTCCCACCACCTCACTCTCCCTCCCCCCACCCTCACTCTCCCCTCCCGCCCCCCCTTCACTCTGCATTAAGGATAGAAACAAGGCCCGTAAATGACTGGCCTCCAGACATATGTCACGCCAACTCATGGGAACTCTCTTCCATTCGCTCTCGCTGCAGTTCCCGTGGGCTGGGTTGACGTCTCCCTGGTTACAGAGCGGTCTGCCCCCCATTACATGTTGCCGTGATTTAGACTCCAGTGTGTACAAACTGACCGTTTCAGTACCATTGTCCTGCAGCTGCAGAGCTGAACACAGGAATAATTAACTCGTAACACGGAGCTCGGCTCCCAGAGCACAACAATAACAAATAAAGAGAAATAAACACACAGGAAAGAGAACCACAGTGAGTTTCTCTGCAGAGGCAAGGTGACAGCTACACAAGGCACTTATAGAAGTGTGACCAGCCGAGAGAGAGAGACTGTTATCCCGCAGTCTGTGTGCAGTACACCTCACACCGCAGATCAACAGTGCAGGCAGAGCCTCACATGCAAAGTGAAGAGGTCAGTGGCATTGCCAAGCTCTCAGACAGTTCCCACCCAATGTCAACATCCAGGGCAACGGAACCAAGAAACTTGCTTTGGATTTGGTTTTGCATTTGGCGTTTCCGCAGTAGAGCAGCAGTGAGAAGCTGGGGTTCAGGTACAGACCACGCTGGAGGCTCTTCACAGAGCTGTGCTCTCCAAGCCGTTCTCCAGCTCCTGCGCTCCCAGGTCCTTGTCTGTCGTCGCCCCTGCAGAGCCCGAGCGATCAGAGTCCTGCTCCCGCTGCACGCTATCAGAACCTGCAGCAAAACACAAACAGCTCAATCAGGGAGAGGGAGACGTGTCCCCATTAAAAACATCCACCATCGCAACAAGGGCCAAGGTTCAGAGGTGAAACATCAGGAACGGATTCAGTGATGAGGCAACAAAACAGAACCAAAACCCACCAAAGCATGTAGCATAGTGGCCACCGGGATTCTTCACTTCACTGCCTCACCCCCACACCAGGAAACACCAGGAAAGGTGAGTCCCATAGAACATGCCGAGATGGGACATAAGTGGTGGTGTCAGCAGCTGTACATCAGCCACCGAATGGCCCGTGTGATAATGTGAAGGATTGAAACATGGATGTCAATATCACCTGAGATGTGAAACCCTGGTTAACTATTAGTACAAGTCAGTCAAGCAATGAGTCTAGTTAGTAAGCATGCGTTAACATTGCTCATTAGCAGGGTTAGTTAGCCAATCACTTGCCTAAGTCTTACCATAATTCCCCTTTCCTGCACAAACAGCCCCTGACTGGTCAGACATCTGTGGTTTTTGACAGAATAATTTACAATTAGAAAGTACAAACGTGCTGCAGGTCGGAGGCTGTAGTTGATGCACCAGGAAACATGGAGACGCATATCTAATACATGCGTATCCTGTGGATCACATTTGCTCAACACATCATGGTACAAATGCTTCCCAACATGCTACAGGCGTGTTCCCCACCTGCCAGCCCGGGCGGGGGAGTGGGGCTGTGACAGCGATGTGAGGTCAAGAATCCAGATCCTTTACCCTCACTGAGCAGCAGCAGCAAGTAAAACTACAGCATTTCTGAAGTTCGGCTTTTGCGGAAACACCTCAGTTCCCCATTTCTCCTCTGTGCTCTATCCTGGAGGCCAGCTCCATGCTGAGACCCAGAGTCTTCACACTGACCTGCTGGGACCTTTGGCCACAATGGTACGTGCATTAACCTTTTCCCATGAACTCTTGTGTCTGTAACCCAGTGCCACCCACAACACAGAGCTGCCCTGCGCTGGGAGCAAGAGCTCGAGTTGGTTGTGAACAGCAGCTGAGGCTTTAAGAAAGGGTTAATCAGCCTTTGAGAAAGTGACTGTAGAGCAGCCAGTGGCGGAGCTCAGATATATGGTTACACTGTGAGCCTGACTCACAAGTAACCCCTTCACGTGAGCCCACAACTCACTGCCTCTGTTCAATAGCTTCGTCAACAAATTGAACTGCAGGTAAAAGCTCTCATCCACTTCCTGGTGTGGCAGAAAACTGTGACCCGGGCAATCAAGAAGAAAATAAGTTGTCAAATTAACCCATCCTTTGGATTTGTTACACATGACATAATGGACCTCACTGGCTGGCTCTGGCACTGCACGTATAGGAGTGAATGGGACAAGTTTGGGCAGAACCATGTCACACAATGTACCTTGTGATGAGCTCGCAGGGTTAGGGTGTTACAGAGGCTGCAAACACTGGCAAGCTCACATGCCCGGAGCAAGCTGAAAGATGGCAGAGGTTCTGTGCGTGGTGAGAGGAGGAAGGCTCATTCCCCATTACAACATGCTCTAATGCTCCATGCAAATCCCCACATTAATTACAGAAATACACAAAGTGTTGTTTGTCTCAAGAACAATTGATTTCTGCGAGAAAATAATATCTGGGGATACAGAATATAGTTTCGGACACGACCTGTCAAGCGATTGCCAGGATGGTGGAAGGAGAACTAGATGAACCTTGGTCTTCTTTGGCCCAGAAAATTGTTATGTTCTTAACATTGCCACATGCGGTCAGCGGTGACCACAAGCCGACAGTGGGCAGGAAGCAGGAACAATGTTGGCTAAAGGAAACCTGGAGAAGCAGCTGGGATTTTAATATCCAAATTGTAAACAATCAGCAAAGGTTAAAGACTCCCTGAATGTGTCCCAACTGGTGAGACACCGACACCGAGAAGGATTCTGGCTTTTGGTGAAACAAATCATAGAATATTACAGCACAGAAGGAGCCCATTCGGCCCATCGTGCCTGTGTCGGCTATTTGGAAAAGCTGCCCAATCAGTCTCATGCCTCTGCTCTTTCCCCATACCCCTGCAAATTTTTCCTTTTCACGTTCCTATCTAATTCCCTTTTGAAAGTTGTTATTGAATCTATTTCAACCAGCCTTTCAGGTAGTGCATTCCAGACTGTAACAACTCTCTGCCTATGTAAAAAAGTCTCCTCATCAACCCTCTGGTTCCTTTGCCAGTTATCTTAAATCTCTGTGCCCTGGTTACTGACCCACCGGCCAGTGGAAACAGTTTTTCCCTATCTACTCATCAAAACCCCTCATAATTTTGAACTCCCTCTATTAAATCTCCCCTTTACCTTCTCTGCTCTAAGGAGAATAATCCCAGCTTCCCTAGTCTCCCCACATAACTAAAGTCCCTCATCCCTGGTACCATTCTGATAAATCTCCTCTGCAGCCTCTCCAAGGCCTTGACAAATGGGCAAATAATAATAATCCTTGCATTTGATACAGCGCTTTATTATATCTTCGAGATGTCTTAAAGAGCTTCACAGAATATACTGTAAAGTGAATTGACTGTATGTTGTGGGCAAAATCTCCTTGTGTGAATAGTTACCGTGACTCACTGGTGCGTTATGTTATGGTGCTGGTATGTTTCTAAGCTGCCACGCACAGATTCCTGCAAATGTCAGTCAGGCACCAATGTTTAGAACAACGAGGCAGTGCCTGAGCGTTACACAACAGAAAGGTTTGAAATGTCACCAACCTCAGTACAGAGTCAACACCCACACCTGTGAAGGTATGGGCAGGTACAACAATTAGTCATGCAATCCTCATTGAGGTAACATCAGAACCTACCTGTCATGCAATCATAATCCCAATTGTTTCAAAAGATTAAAACTAGATTGTATTTGTTGGTGTCTATTTACCCAATTGAGTATATAACAAGAGACAAATAATGTCTAGTTCATCCTGCCCAGGAATGGTTTCTACTTTTGCCCCAGGTGCTAATTGCAATGTCGATGCACAAAACAAAGGCTCAGTAAAGCTCCCCCTTCCCAGCTCCTCTGCAATTTCCACTGTCCACCACCTGGGGCAGCTCACCTCACCTCCACCTGTCCCCCACCCCACCCACCTCACCCCACCCACCTCAACCCCACCCCACCGCCTCACCCAACCACCTCACCCCCACCCACCCCAGCCCCCCTCACAGCACCCCCCCTCCTCCCACACTGGTGATCTAGCAGCTGGTCAATCACTGACCAGTGGGTTGAGAACAGACACGAGGGGCCATGCGGCCAGTTTATCTGCTGTAAATCTCTGTGATTCTAGAGCAATTTACACAGTTGTTGTGGGCTGTACTCACCGGTAACTATTTTTGATGCTGTAGCAGACGTGCCGGCCAGCAGGTGGTCTGTGGTGAGGGAGGGGGTGGGGGAGGGCAGAGCGGGCTGTGGTGGGGGACGGATAGTGGGGCGGATCCGTGGCTTGGGCGTGGGGCGAGGTCGCTGCAAGCTGCCAGTCGGGCTGGGCAGTGAGGGGTGGGCAGGTGGGTCCTGTACAAACTGGTAGCCAGAGCTGTGTGCTCCTATGGTGGGGATCCCGGGGGATGTGGGGATCCCGGGGGATGTGGGGGTGCCCGGAGGGCTGTGAGAGCCCTGCTCCCGCCCCTGAGCTGGGGGCTGGGGCGGGGGGTGACTGGGGGCGTGGATGGAGGTTTGATTGCTGGAATGTCTGCGTGGCTGTACGACGGGCTGTCCGGGACTCAGGCCCCCAGATTGCCCCCCAGGCTGAGGATTAGCTCCTTGTCCTGCTGGCTGGCCGGGGGGAGGGTTTGATGTCTTCGGAGGAGCTGGAGCAGGCTTTTTTGTGGCTAAAAGGAAAACAAAGTTAGTACGTTGCTCATTCAAGTGTTTCCCACGATAGTTTGCTTTCTTTTTGACCGCGCCTTTGGTCACCTTCCCCCCCCTCCCCCTGGCTTGGTCCCGGGATCCTAAACTGTAAAGCGCTCTGAGACGCCGCCCGGCGTAGAGGGCGCTGTATAAATCCAAGTTGTTGTTGTTGTTTGCTGTTGGCAGGTGGGAGCCGGGCACTGCACTGCACAGCCTGCAGGGGGAGCCACTCACATCTGTCCAGCAAATCACACCCTCGCCACCACCCACACCCCCCTACCATGCCCAACATTGGGGAAACCCCGTTCAATCAAACGGCAACACAGGAAGGCGCGAGGCTCACCTCTGCGGGTGACGTGTGGGCTGGGTCCTGTGCCCGTGCTAGGGGGGGCACCGAGCTGCCCGTGCCCGGTCCCCATGCCCAGCCCTGCGCTGGCGTTCCTCACTAGTGGTGGAGTGCTCCCAGCATCTTTGGACTTGGCTGAACTGCAGAGGGGAACGATCACTGTGATCAGTGGGAATCAGTTACCCTGATCACACTAGCATCACTCACCATCCCCAGCACTGGAGACACCCACTTGCACACCCACCCGCCACCGCCCGCCCACCTGCACCAGCCCCCGGACCCCCAGTACCCCCCCCCCGCCGCCCACAACCCCCCGCCGCCCACAACCCCCACCTTGTCTGGTTTAGAAACACAAACATTGATTCCCCGATTTTACCAACAACAAATCTGACTTCCTTCCAACATGGGAAGGTCTCCCTCAGGCCGAGGGCCGGTGTTGGCTGGTTAGTGATCACTGGGCAGGCGTTACAGTGACTGACAATAGTTAGACAGTAACTAGAACTTACTGTTGTCTACCTGAAGAATTTTCAAATCTAAAAACAGCTCCACTCCCTAAGCTCAAAGTCTCTCTTACTCAATCAATCCACATTCCTCCAGAAGTCAGGAAATCTGCTCCATCATCTCCTACATCAATGACATCAGCACCCACAGTGACTGGCTCCACACTGCAGGTTTGGCTAAGTAAAAGCAGGGATAATGGGGCACACTGCCTAGCGTTATAATGGGGCACACTGCCTAGCGTTATAATGGGGCACACTGCATAGCGTTATAATGGGGCACACTGCATAGCGTTATAATGGGGCACACTGCATAGCGTTATAATGGGGCACACTGCATAGCGTTATAATGGGGCACACTGCATAGCGTTATAATGGGGCACACTGGATAGCGTTATAATGGGGCACACTGCATAGCGTTATAATGGGGCACACTGCATAGTGTTATAATGAGGTTACACTGTACCAGGGCCGCACTGTATAAGGGGGCGCCATTGCTGCTCACGGTGAAACCTTCGGCACAGAACGTGCTCCAGCTGCTGGTTCCTTACCTGGGTTCAGTTGTTTCTTGTGGCTGCAGTTCTAAGGCACTGCCAGCAGGGGGCACACTGCAGGCCGCTGGGACAGGGTCAGGCTCGGAGCCCGGGAGTGAAGGGTCTGTTAGACTAAGAGCCTCCCCTGGCGGTGGGGGCGGGAGGACAGACGGGGACATGTGCTTCCTGCCCAGAGTGCTAATCCTGCGAGCATTCGGCGCCTGATCTGGAAGCTTTAGACTCAGGCTACAGAGAGAAGAGAAAGTGAGCACACAGCAAGCTGACACGCAATGAACCCCCCCCAGAGCAAGTGTACGGCAGCCGCCTGCCTCACTGGCACAGCTACAGCTTTCAGACGCCTCGTCGATCGTGATAAGGCGCTATATCAAACGCAAGGGTTATATTATTGTTATTTGTGTAGCACAACAGACAGTGAGCGTGCGCTTGTTACCTCCCGCCTGGATTACTCAAACACACTCCTCGCCGGTCTCCCCAGCTCCACTATCCAAAGGATCCGGCTCATTCCGAACTCTACCGTCCGCGTACTGATCCCGCACCGAACTCCACACCCACATCTCACCAGTTCCGGCTCAGGCGCCACTGGCTCCCCATCACCGAACGGATCGGCTTCAAGATCCTCACTCTCGAGTTCAAATCCCTTCACTCTCTGGCACCGCCCTACCTCTCCGACCTCTTCACTCCCCAATCCACTACCCGGTCAGCACCTCCGCTCGACTGGCACCGGCCTCTTGCTCGTCCCTCGCACCCTCCGCCCCTCGCACTCTCCGCCCCACCATCGGAGGTCACGCTTTCAGCCACTACACCCCCAAACTCGGGAACACTCCCTCAATCCCTCCGTCTTGCCCCCTCTCTCAAGTCATACCTGAAAACTTTCTTCTTCACCTTGCTTACGGCCACCTTCCCCCTCCCCCCGCCTTGGAGTCAGACTCCGCCACTGTTAAGCGCTCTGAGACGCTGCCCTGCAGGGAGGGCGCTATATAAGTGCAAACTGTTGTTCTTGTTCAGCACGAGCTGGGAGTACAAGTGAACTCAGGCGGCCTGGGGACTGATTGCTTTGACTCAAGACACTAACGAGACAAGTGTAAATGTAGCAACAGACTCTGCACAATACATAGTTAAGCAACATGTAAAGGCTGCAAATGAGAGAGAGCCGGTTACTGAAAGGATCATCTGGTCTGAGCATCAGTAAGCAGAGTTGGACAAAGCTTGTATTCAATGTGCTTTGCAGCACTTCAATTGCAAAGACCTAGAATGTAACGAGGAGCGTTAGCCCAGCCGTGGCCACACACACGCACACCCCTCAGCTCTCAGCCTCCTCACACCCCTAACCCTAACCCAGGCACCTGCTCAGTGACCTCACTGGCCATCCTCATGCCGAAGGAAGTGTTGGGGGACGAAGAGGAAAGAGAGCAGTAACAGCCTGCGGTGCACCGCATGTGTGTGTATCTACTCAGTCCCGTTTAGTGAGTGAGGGGCAGGGGGTTGGGGGTGGGGGCCTGAGCTCACACACGGTTTGCTCACATTGTTTACTGGCCGCCCTGCTGACAGATTGTCCTCATTGGCCTGTGTTTGAGGAAGCCGCCTTTGCCACCCTTGCTTCTCAGTGATGGGAACACAACATCGGACAGTAAAACAAGATGGCGGTGGAGAACATACCCGTCTTTCTTTCCAGGATCCTCAGCAGCCGGCAGGCTGACCGGCCTCTTCCTCTCCAACGTGCCGCTCTCACACTCGCTGTTTAGAGAGGCCGGAGCCATGGGGCTGAACATCCCCGACTTGTTGAAATCGATTTCTGTGTAAATAGCAACGCTCGGGTGAGAACCACCAACACAGCCATTGACTACACTGTGTGCACAGTCATCAGCCAGCACAGAATACAGCGGTTCACCTGACAAGTGATCCAGCCAAGACTACATCAGAGAGAGAGAATCTCACACACACACACAGAATCATAGGGAAAGAGAGAATATCTCTCTTTCTCGCACAGACACACACACACACATTTACCATCTGGGAAGAACCAGTCAGCATGGTGCAGGATGGGCTCGATCACAGTCACTGCTTGTACAGAGGTGGCGGCCGTCATGTCTGACATCGTTCTGAGAGTGAGAAACAACAAGTTTACATTTACACAGCGCCTTTCACATCAGGAGGACGTCCCAAGGCCCTGGACAGTCAACGATTTGGACCTGAGCAGGGGGTTGGGATCAGGAGGGTGGAGGGTGACCAAAGGCATGGTCGAAGAGGACGGTCTGGAGACATGCCTTGTCGGAGGAAAGGGAGGGAGCGAGGTGAAGGGCCTGTGGGATGGAATTTCAAAGGTTGGGGGCAGAGAGGCTGAAGGCTCGACTGCCAATATTGGGGTGGACCGGGCAGAGGATGTGGAGCATGTTGAGCAGAGGAAATGGACAGGTTAATATGGAGTCAGCAGGTTACGGAGGTAGGAAGGGCCAAGGCCCTGGAGGGCGTTGGAGAGGACGAGGATTTTCAACGCTATTTTCTGCGGAATGGCGAGCCAGGTGATGGTGGGGTGATAGAATCATGGAGCCTGGTGCGGGAGATGATACACGATGATCTGCAGCTTGTGGAGAGAAGAGATGGAAAGGCCGACAATAATTTACCCCTCGCTTTTCGCCCACAGGAGGTTGGGCCCCAACACGATGGCGATGTTAGTGGGAGTCATCTTGTTGATATCTCTGTTCTGGGCCAGTTTTGCCAGGAACTTTATAAGATAGCTGTTCACCAAGGAGGAACAATATAGGTTACATTTTGTGAACAACCTCCTTCTTGCCTGCACTCTTTTTGTTTGCGTGTGAGTGAATGCGTGTGTGTGTGTGTGTGCGCACACGCGAGTGTGGTGTGTGAATGTACGGGTGACGAGTGTGCAACTGAGCGTGCGAGTGTAAGTATGATCGAGTGTGTGTGTCTCTTTCGCTGTGTGGGAAGGACACACACCTCAGGTTGGTGTGGTTGGGTTGGGGCAGTTTGTTGCAGACTGTCCAAAGCGCCTGCAGCTTCCTCTCCGGGTCTGAGAGCCTGGAGCACAGAGCGACTCTGTTAGTGTGTGCTCCAACTTGGAGATGTGACCCATAGACACTCCACCCCCCCCAAAAAAAAACCTCCGTACACACTCCCTCCCACCCACTGCACACACATACCCACAGCCCCCGCAAACTCCCCCCTCCCCCACCGTACACTCTTCCCCCAGTCACCGAACACATACACCCCCCACTGCACACACTCCCCCCACAACCCCTGAAAACTCCCACCCAACCGTACACGCTCCACCCCACCGTACACACTCTCCTCCCCCTCCACCCTCGTAGACACTCCCCGTCCACCCCCGTACACACTCCCCCTCCACCCCTGCACACCCCCCCCCCCCCACCATCCCCATACACAGAGGTGGGGAGCGAGCCCCAGTGATTACCCTGCAGCGTGAATCCACTCCTCGTACAGCTGATATGTCATCAGTGGCTCCGGCAGTTCCCGCAGGTAGGATTTCAAGGCTCCTGGACACAGGGAGAAGCTGTGAGCACATGAGGATCCCACCCACCGGGTGCCCTCCAGCCCACACACCCACCCTGCCCCAGCCAGGCAGACAGGGAGAGCAGCACTGCAGCAACCAGGGGTGGTGGGGGGAAACAGCCACAGCTGAAGGGAACGGCAGGGAGATGGGAAGTGAAGTATCCTGCCTCAGCATTGATTCAAATGGACCCGACGGCAGAGTAACTGTATTTATTCAGCAGGAAGGGAGGGGAGGGCGGGAGTGAGGGGGGAGGAGGTGGAGAAGGTCTGTGGGATGGAGAGACTAACAGCAAACAACTAACAAACATACCTGCCACAGCGTGTGGATCAGAATAAAACTCCTCGAGCTGTGAGGTGGAACAGTCTAACGCGGCTTTCAGCTTCTTCAGCTTCGAGGCTCCAGCGGCGATTCTGAACAGCCCCTGTCACAGCAACAGCTCGTCACACTCGCACCAACCCCCACCCCAACGCGCGTGCACCCACCCCCTCCCCAACACGCGCGCACCAACCCCCTCACCAACACGCGCTCCAAACCCCCCACCCCCCAAAAAAACACACACACACCCCAAACCATGTCCAAATCCCTGACTGTCCAGTGCCTTGGGATGTCCTCCTGACGTGAAAGGCGCCATGCAAATGTCATGTGTTGTTGGTGGGTGGGAGGGGGGCGGGGGGCGAAGGTTCTGTGTGGATATACAATGGGAGAGCTGCATATGCACTATCGAGTGGGGTGGGGGGGGGGGGGGAGGTAACGATTGAGAACGCTGGCCAGATCCTGTGGCGTGAGGCTGTGTGGAGTGAGGGACATGTTACTGGTTGAGGAGCTTCTCACCTCTTCCTTCATCCCTGTCTCCAGCAGCATCATTACACAGGCCTCCAGGGGCAGTGCAATTTCGCGCCCGCTCCGTTGTAAATGCTCCTCCAGCGCTGTGCCAAAGGCCGGCTTCTCTGTCCACGTTTCTGCACACAGTACAGCATTTATACACACAATATATACAAATTACTGCATTTATCCTCACTCTTGTGTTCAAATCCATTCACTCCCTGGCACCTCCCTACTTCCCTCTCCGACCTCCTCACTCCCCAATCCACCACCTGGTCAGTGCCTCCGCTCGACAGGGACTGGCCTCTTTCTGGTCCCTCGCACCCTCCGCTCCACCATCAGAGGTCGTGCTTTCAGCCACTAAATCCCAAAACTCTGGAACACTCTCCCTCAATCCCTCCACTTGGCCCCCTCTGTCCCCTCTTTCAAGTCTCATCTGAAAACTTCCTTCTTCGACCATGCTTACAGCCACCTCCCCGCTACACCTCCCCCCTGGCTCGGAGTCAGGCTCCACCACTGTTAAGCGCTCTGAGACGCGACTCTGTATGAAGGGCACTATATAAGTGCAAGTTGTTACTTATACACACACACACAATATACACAGGTTACAGCATTTATACACCAGCTCATTCAAACAATAAAAAAAATCCAAACTGAATTGATTTCCTGAGTTTCTATTTTAATGCACAATTGAAATGTTAATTGAATTCTTCGAGCAAATTATTAATCCAGCAGAACAGCGCACAGTCTCATCACTGAGCTGCCTTGGTTAATCTGTGAGAGACCCACATCAATACAGAGTCAGAGAGAATTAGCGAGAGGTGCTCAGCGGGAAAGGACAGGTAGAAAAGGACTTGTCCAGAGTTAATAGATGTAAATTAATAAAAAAAAGAAGGGAGGTAAAGAGCACAGGCTGCTGCCGGAGGCTGGCGTGCAGGCGGGAGCGAGTGAGCGAGCGGGTACTGTACCTTGCTGTGTGTGGATGGTAGGGAGGACTCTCTCTAACACTGCTAATGATTTTCTATGGTAATCAGCTTGTGCTTCTAATAACTGAGAACAGAACCCACAGCGTCAAGAGAAACATCCATCACTTCACAGCGTACAACAGCGGCAACCTTGTGGCTACCAAATACATCCTCACAACTGTCAGCAACAGCTCTGCGTACAGAGAGGTAAAAGGAGCCATGACTACCAGAGAGTCTGTAACAATGTAGAACACTCACCGTTACATAATAGTTGGCATAATCACCTTCCTTAGACGTGAAATTATACATGTCGGAAGCTAACTGGTCCTGTATGGAGAGAGACTTCATTATCTGAATGCCACAAAGCAAATAACACAGCCTCCTGGACTGAAAACACGTTCACTTTACTGCCACTCAAGGCGTTTCCATTTCACATCTGAAATAAATTTGCCCACAAAGTACAATCAATTCACTTTACAGTATATTCTGTGAAACACTTTGGTACGTCTCAAAGACGTGATATGGAGCTATATCAAATGTGAGGATTATTATTATTATTATTATAAATATCTTGTGTCCTGAAAATGGTTTCCCACCCGACCTCACCCCATCGCAGTCAGTCACACCGCACACTGGGAGATAACTGGACAAAACAGTACTTAGAAAGATCTAGACCTAATATTCATACAAGCACAGAAGTTACTAAATCTCTCTTGCACTCTACCCTGCCCCATAATAATAATAATAATCCTTGCATTTGATATTACGCTTTATCACATCATTGAGACATCTCAAAGCGCTTCACAGAATATACTGTGAAATGGAGTGACTGGGTATTTTGTAGGTGAAACGCCCATATGAAGATAATTACTATATTATAATAATATTGACCCCAAAGCTATGAAGTGAGAGAAGACAGGTCTCCCTAATTTTACCTCCTGTTCAAAACGAGTTTGGGAGTTTCACCACATCAAAGCACTGTAAATGAGCTGACCGCCAGACCCTGGTGATCAAAGGGGTGAACACGGCTCCATATACATCCATTAGACATCCTGGTTCCCATCAGGTACAATCCCACACTGACCTCGGTCTCAGGCTACACACACACCTTGCACTGCTCCACCTTGTTCCCAGCTTCTTCCATCTCCTCCCGCAGCGAGTCCACCTTGGCCGCCACAGCTTGGATATTTGCTCCCGAAAATGACGTTTTTTGCATTTGATAGTGTCTGTAATCAACCCGAGTCCATCAGCCAGACAGTCACCCCCACCCCCTGAGCCCCCAAACCACGCCCAGACAGTCAACCCCACCCCCCGAGCCCCCAAACCCGCCCAGACAGTCACCCACACCCCCCGAGCTCCCAACCCCCGTTCAGACAATCAGCCCCACCCCCAGAGCCCCCAACCCCCGCCCAGACAGTCACTCACCCCCCCCGAGCTCCCAACCCCGCTCAGACAATCAGCCCACCCCCTGAGCACCCCAAACCCGCCCAGACAGTCACCCCCACCCCCCGAGCTCCCAACTCTCGCTCAGACAATCAGTCCCACCCCCTGAGCCCCCAACCCCCCACCCCACACACAGCCACACTTTTACCTTATTTTGGCCGAGTCCCAGTCCAGGACTAGTCTCGCCAGCTGCTTCCTTTGCTTCTGAATGTTGGGAATATCAACCTGTAATAGTGTAGCACACACATGCGTGTTAGCAATCAGTATAGCACACACGTGCATGTTAGCAATCAGTGTAGCACACACGTGCATGTTAGCAATCAGTGTAGCACACACGTGCGTGTTAGCAATCAGTGTGGCACACACATGCGTGTTAGCAATCAGTGTGGCACACACATGCGTGTTAACAATCAATGCAGGCGAGGGACCCGCTGCTGGTCACTCACCTCCACTAGCGAGGAAAACGGGTCAAGGACGTCCTTCTCGATCTGGACTTCGTGCTGGGCGAGCTCCCAGGCCAGCTTACTTTCAGCCTCGCTGCAGATTTCCAGCAACTTCCTGCAAACAAAGTGTCCACTGTTAACCTGACTGTCATTCAGTTAATTCCAGCTTCTCTTTGCCAGCACTAATATCAGAACTTACCAACACTGAACCAGGCAACATTGGCAATGGTTTTACCATCTGCAAACAGAAGAGGACTATACCCATTATTGGAGACTTATCTCCATTACTGTAGCATCTGACTACCTGGTGGTAGAAGGTGAACTAGATGGACCTCAGTCTTGTTTCGTCTAGCAATCCCGCTGTCCCTATACAATTATGAAACACACCAAAAATTATATAGCACTGCAGTGTGTGTGTGTATGGGGTGGGGGGGGGCGCGAGTGAAGGTTGGAGCCTGATTGGTTGAGTGGTGGGAGGGGGCAGGAGTGTGGGGCAGGAGGAGGGCAGTCATTGCAGAGAGGATCCTTTCCCGAAGCGGCCAACATGATTCAGGACCTGCAGAAAAACTGGTCATCATGAGCAATGCAGAAATCCTTACCAGTACCAATGAACATAGGAACATAGAAACAGGAGTTGCCCATTCAGCCCCTCGAGCCTGTTCTGCATTCTATATGATCATGGCTGATCTGCACCTCAAGTCCAATTACCCGCTCTGGCCCCATTTCCCTTGATACCCTGACCTAACAAACATCTATCCACCTCAGTCTCAAAAACTTGAATGGATTCATTCATAATTCACAGCCCTTTGGAGGAGAGTGTTCCAGCTTTCCCACACGAGGAACATGAACCTCTCTTTCAGGCTGTGTCATCTGCTAGCAATGACCTTCTCTACTCTCCTTGTTCTGTGCTCTTTCTCAACCAAAGCAAGAGAAGGTGAAGCTCTCGGTCTCCAAACCACCTGTTCTGATAAGACTGCAATATCCTGACACAGCAACACTTACCCAATAAGTGAGTCATCCCCCATAGATGTGAATCCTTCCTGCATGCACTGGGACAGGCCCATCAGAGGTATTTTTTTCTGTTGAGATAAAAGGAACCATTATAGAGGGTGAATGTGCTGATCCAAGCCAAGGTGCAAAGTGTTTGTTTATGTGAGTGGATTCTGGAAGATGGTTGCTGTGTTCGGCAGCTCTGTACGAGGAGAGTCACAGTCAGTCACTGTATTGACTTGGTGACAAGGACTGCAAAGCCAAATGTACCACTGGTGCTCAGGATATCAACGCTCTATGGGTCTCCAGCCCGAAGCCTCCGTCAAGAGGTCACTGGAAGCTTCACTTCACTGATGAGAAACAGTCAGAGCTAGAGACCAAATCATGTAGGAGCAGCCATTGTGTACAGGGCACAGGGACCACTGAGTAACTGTGCAAGCGTCACTGGGTATCCAGCACATGGTGAGGAGACCTCATTACAGCTGCAGGAGGAGGACTCATCACTGTGTGACTGTGCAAAGTGTTCTGTATGAGGGCACTATACAAATGGAAGTAGTAGTTGTTTATTCCAGAGATGGCCACCACTTCCCTCATTCCCTCGCCATGCAATGTGTTCATTGAATGCAAGTTCAATATAAAGCCTCAAGGCAGATACTAAACATGAGCTCTCTCTGAATTCAGCACTACATGTTTAGTAAAGTCTACCCGTCAGTTTCTCTCGTATATGAAAGTAAGACAGATTTACACACATGACGTTTTTCCACCTCTGTGCCTTGAGGCACCTGCAAACAAGTGAGCAGCCTCTTGTGGGTGTTGTGGGAGACCACTCGGATGGTGTCTATGCGCTTCTCAATCTGAGCAAATACAAAACAAACAGAGATACTCAGGTCAGATTTCAGCCAGTCACTGGCAACTAAACCATTTCCCCCACTTCCTCAGCCACAGCCCAGCCCCCCACTGCCCCCGCCCAATCCCCCAACACCAATAAAGCCCCCCACCCCTGCCTCAGTAAGCCCTGCCCCAGTGCCTCCTCCGATTTACCTGTAGCAGGTCATCACTCAGCACTTCAGTTTTCTCGGCCCTGAAACACAAAGCAATAGTGGTCAGTACAGATAGGCGAACAGTAACAGGGCTGAACTACACACAGCCTCACACTGATGGTCACTGCCGTGGAGCACAGGGAGGGAGGTCATTCCAGGGAGATGGGGTACAGGAGCCGAGAGCTGCCTCCAATGTTGGGTTGGGAGTGAGGAACATACAACGCCTGCCCAAGCCAGTGAGATCAGGATCATCTTCACTTTCATTTTTAGCCACAGCTAAAGTGAAAGTGGAACCAGCAGATAAATAACTTTTGGGAGACCTCAGAGCTCTTTTAAGAGTCCAAACAGACCAGAGTATGAACAACAACAACCCTCACATTTGATACAGCACCTTTTCCACTTGGCAGACGTATAGTGGCGGGGTATTTGTGGGTAAAATACTGGAGAGGGGAGTGCAACGGACAGAGTCTGGCTCTCTGGACTGACAACTCCTGAAGGTGGGAATGTTTGGTTGGGAGCTGGCCAGGCCGCCTCGTGCAGAAGGAAGGAAACAGGAATCAGAGGTTCCAGGCCACTGTTCCCTATTCCCAGCCATTCATATGTTTCCTCTGCCTTTATTGCCTTCAATAATGGAAGTCCCTTTGCCCACTCCAGCACGTATCCCTGGGAAAGGGTGGGTGCTCTGGCCTGTGACTGAGCTCAGTGATCAGGAGTCAGCCAGGAGACAATACTGTGCTGGTCATGAACAAGAGAGATGGAGAGCAAAGGTGGAAGGGAAGATGACCGAAGGCACAGTCAAAGAGGAAGGTCTTGAAACCAGCCCTGAAGGAGTTAAGGAAGGGGGTGAAGCAGAGGGGATCCGGGATGGAGTTCCAGAAGGTAGTGGCAGAAACACTGAAGGCCCAACTGCCGATGGGGGAGTGGGCAGGGAGGGGGACATGGAGCAGTGCAAGAGGAGGGAGTAGGCGGGTTGATATGGTATTAATAGGTCGCAGAGGTAGGGTGGAGCAACAGGAATGATAGGCGTGATATGGCCCGAACTTTGGAACATGTAGGTGAGAGCAGTGGTCCTTCCCAACCCTGTATATTTATTTGTTTCCATGCGATAAACCGTATAACTAGAAGGTTTTGTAATAGTTGTTATCTGACGGGAGACTCACACCTGCCCTAGTTACTGTGTTCAGCAACTGCTGCAAACATCAGCAAAGCCTGACGGTATAGATGATGATAGAATTAGATCTGATGTCTCGTACTTTCAGCATTAGATGAAAAGTATCAAAAAAAAATGTGGTCGCTCAATTCATGACTGTTTGTGGGACACTGCTGTGCGCAATTCGCTGCTGAGTTTTGGCCACAAAATATACAGTGAATTCACTTTGCAGTTCCTCCGCCTCGCCCCCTCCCTTGTCTCCTTCAAGACCCATCTCAAGCGCCTCCTCTTTGATTGTGGTTTCGATCACTCCACTTCCCCACTTGCCCTCCACCCTCCCCAATCCCAACCGCCAGCTCGGGTCTGAAACACCGACTGTCTAGCGCCTTGGGACGTCCTCCCGTCATGAAAGACGCTGGTCAAACGTAATTTTGTTGTTGTATATTCCGTGAAGCGCTTTGAGGCGTCTGGAAGACGTGATAAGTGGCTACATCAAAATGCAAAGATTATTTTATGCAAGGAAAGCACTTTATAAGCACTTCACTCCCTCGGCCACATTCTTCTAAAAGGAACGCAAAAAAAAGGAATTCAGTTATTTGTGTTTTATAATAATAATAATAATCCTTGCATTTCAGGTGTCAGGTAACCAAGGGGTTATTATTACAATTGCCTCCAGGGTCACTAACGTGCTCAATCATTGCCACAACATGTGAGCCTGCCTCATGTCAAACATACCGGTGATAAGCAGCGCCTTGGGATGTCCTCCCAACGTGAAAGCACATTCTGCAGTAAATGCAATTTGTTGTTATGTTACCCAGCAGAGCACGCAGCAGCAGCTTATTTGGGATTCATCACAACCTCAGAGGCCTGCTTCCAGCTCCAGTGATAATAATAATAATAATACTTTCATTTGATACAGCGTCTTTCATGTTTGGTAGGATGTCTCAAAGCATTTCACAAGAATTTACTGTAACGTGTAGAGAGTGTATTTTGTAAGCAAGTAAGCAAGTTGTGTTCAGCAATGTCTCATAAACAGCTGTGACGTGAATGATCTGTTCTATTTGGGGGATTGTTGGCCAGGACACTGAGAGAGAGAAACTCCCTTCTCTTTTTCAATAGTGCCACAGGATCTTTAAGGTCCGCCTGAACAGGCAGACGGGACCTCAACAACAACAAGATTACATTTGTATAGCGCCTTTCACGTCGGGAGGACGTCTCAAGGCGCTGCACAGTGAACAGCATTTCAGAGCAGTCGGGGGGGGAGAAGGGAAGGGAGGGGAAGGGGGGTGACCGATGGCATGGTCGAAGAGGAGGGTTTTGAGGCGGGACTTGAAGGAGGCTAAGGACAGGGCGAGGTGGAGTGATTGGGGGATGGAATTCCAGAGGTTGGGGGCAGAGTGGCTGAAGGCTCTCCCGCCAATGGTGGATTGGGGGATGCGGAGCAGGCCAGAGCTGGCTGAGTGGAGGGAGTGGGCAGGTTGGTAGGGGTTAGGAGGTCACAGATGTGGGGTGAGTCTATTGGAGGGCTTTGTAGGTGAGGACCAGGATCTTGAACTGGATCCTCTGGAGGACAGAGAGCCAATGGAGTCGGGCGAGAATGCGGGAGATCGGATCACGGGCTTCAGAGTTCTGGATTATCTGCAGCCTGTGGAGGGAGAAGTTGGGAAGGCCGACAAGTAGGGCTGGAGGTGATGAAGGCGTGAACAAGAGTTTCAGCGGCCTGAGGGGTGAAGTAGTTAGGGAGGTGAGGGAAGGTAGAGCGGATCATGGCTTGGATGTGGGGAAGAAGACAGTTGAGGGTCAAACAAGCCATTTAACATCTCATCCGAAGAACAGCACCTCTGAAGATGCAACACACCCCAGCGCTGCATTGGAGCATCTAGACTGAGTTCAAAGTAATCATGTGGGGTTTGAACCCGGAACCTTCTGACTCAGAGGCAGGAGTACTCCTGACTGAGTCAGGCTGACACCTCAGCAGTGCTGAACGGAGAAAGTACAGTGATGTACGTACTCAGTCTTTCTGTTTGACAGAGTTGCTGAAGTAATGTCCCTTCCTGAGGAAACATCAGCACAAAGGCTACAGGACCTCACACACCTAACCTCTGACTCAAGACATAAAACCAAAACAAACAAACTTCACTCAGTGCAGTTACCATTTAGCTAAGGGAGTCACTGAGACAAATGTCTGTCTGCTTAGCTTTGGCTGCATACATCTGCTTGGAAACCAATCTGTTTCCTGTCAGATTCAGAGAAGTGGCTTCATTCAGCCAACTTCCACATCACTGCTGACCCCGAGAGCATCCAACCACCTCCACCACCAGCCTCACTTTGCCTCTTAAACGTGGAAGGGGGCACCAAGCTGCATATAGGCAGCCCATGGGCACAACATACTGTGTGGAGGAGAGACAAACTAATACACATTACTTCAAAAGACGTCCTTGTGACAATGCAACCCAACAGTATTGAATTTATCTCTAGCAACAACTCCAGCTAAGCCAGAACTATCCCATACAAGACAAGGGAGCGTCGCCAGCCCTCACAGATCTATATTGAGAGGCTTAAGCCCTCGACTGCCTGTGACACACTAGCTGCTCCTTCGCTATTAAGTCACATCCAGCGGTTAACAGATAATAATGCTAATAATGCTGGCATGTGATAAGGCACGTTAATCATGTTGAAGCATCACTTCCTAACTCCTTGTGGGACTTGCTGTGTACAAACTGGCAACTGTGTTGTTCTGTACACACAGTCACTACATTCTGTCACTGCATCCTGCGAAGCGTTTTTAGATATCACGATAATGAGATAAGGCTGTATATCAAACACTAGGATTATTATTCAGACCCCTGTTTCCTGTATCCCTACACAATACAATGATAATAATAATAATCCTTGCATTTGATAAAGCGCTTTTCACGTCTTCTAGACATCTCAAAGCGCTTCACAGTGTATACCATAAAGTGAATTAACTGTATATTTGTGGTCAAAACACGGCAGCCACAAATAGTCACAAGCAAAACAGAAAGCACACAGCAGTGTTCCACAAACAGTCGTGGATTGAGTAAGCAAATTATTATTGTTTTTTAAAAAATATGGAACGCTTCACAAATTTGCATGTCATGATGAACATGAATCTGGTTTCACCGAGTCTGCAGTAGGTTGATAATGAGATAAGAGAAGCGAGACCCTAAACAAGAAGGAACAGAGCTGCACTGCGATTGATATTTTACTGACATGGAACTGATTCTGACAGCACTGCTTCCTCTTACACTGCCCTGTATGACAGGCTTGACAGAGCTGCCCTGGTTTAAGGAATAAACCCACTGAAAAAAGCTTTCAAGATGATTAACTGGTCTGCTGAGCAGGGCAAGCCAGACTGCCCCATGTAACTCAGGCTTCCCTTTTCTATTCAGGTCAAGACATAGAATCATAGAATATTACAGCACAGGAGCCGTTCCGCCCATCGTGCCTGTGCTGGCTCTTTGGAAGAGCTACCCAATCAGACTCACTTCTCTATTCTTTCCCCATGCCCTTGAAAATGTTTCCTTTCCAAGTACCTATCCAATTCCCTTTTAAAAGTTGTTACTGAATCTGTTTCCCCCAGCCTTTTAGACAGTCCATTCTAGACTGTATCAACTCTCTGTAAAAAAAATTCTCCTCATCTCCCCTCTGGTTCTTTTGCCAACTATCTTGGATCTATGTGCCCTGGTTAGTTTCCACCCGCCAGTGGAAACAGTTTCTCCTTATCTACTCTATCAAACTCCCTCATAATTTTGAACACCTTTATTAAGCCTCACAAGTCTAAGGAGAACAATCCCAGCTTCCCTAGTCTCTCCGCATAACTAAAGTCCCTCATCCCTGGTATCGTTCTGCTAAATCTCCTCTGCACCCTCTCCAAGGCCTTGATATCCTTCCTAAGGTGTGGTGCCCAGAATTGGACACAATACTCCAGCTGAGGCCAAACCAGCGACTTATAAAGGTTTAGCAGATCTTTCTTGTTTTGCACTCTAAACCTCTATTTGTAAAGCCAAGGATCTCAAATGCTTTACTATTATTTACTATTCTTATCCTCTATCAACCTGTCCTGCCACCTCCAAAGACCTGTGTATGTTATGTAAACCCCCAGGTCGCTCTGCTCCTGAGCCGCCTTTAAACTTGTACCATTTATTGTATATTGTCTCTCCTCATTCTTCTTTCCAAAATGCATCACCTCACACTTTTCTGCATTAAATTCCATCTGCCATGTGTCTGTGTATGTCCTCCTGCAGTCTGCGACCATTCTCCAATAAACAATCTCATTCAACCATGAGCGGAAACTAGCCCTAACCCTCTACACACAACTCACATTCCCTCATCCACTCCAATTTTGGAAGGGGCTTCTCCTGTCTGTTTGCTCTCTTAGAGTGGGCAGAGAGCTCCTCACAGAACATCTGGAAATACTTTCAGATTGTGTCACTAAACACAAGAGGTAGGTCATTGCTGCTTCACAGCAATCACAGGAGGGGATGTCCCAAACCTGTCCCCCTCTTTGTACAAGACCCTGGGGATATTACACCTTGTTCACCTTCAAATCCCACTGACCCATCCCAAAGATGACAGGAGGTCACAAGACACAGGGATGTCACTGGAAGAACTAAGGCAGGTTTTTTTTCACAAAAAATGTTTTTCATATAGAGGGTTATTAGAGTTGGATCAGTATATCACAAGTGACTGTGGAGATGGACTTCATAACATTCACAATTCAACTAGGTCAGCGTTTTAAGAGGAAAAGCATTTCAATTAGGTCAGCGATGCCACCAGTTTCTGGAGCCCAATAACAAGTCCACAACAAGCAACAAACCACCTGCCACATACCCTCACCCCGAAAAGCAAGTCAGTCTGGCATGCAGTGACAAGAGGAAGCATCCTTCATACTCGGGTGTGAAACCTGCCCCGGCTTGTGCAGACAGTTACTGAGCGCAGCACAGAAACACATCACAAACCACTCAGCTCTGCCATGTCCTTCTCTACAGGCGCCTCGCACCATTACTGTGACACAGACATCAACAACAACAACTTGCATTTATACAGCGTCCCCTCAAACGCGCAGGGTAGCGTCCCAGAGCGCTCGACAGTGGCGAAGCCCGTTGCTGAGCTGGGGGGGGGGGGGGGAGTTGACCGTAGGCGCGGTCGAAGAGCAAGGTTTTCAGGCGTGTGATCTGAAGATGGGAAAGGGAGGGGGCAAGGCAGAGGGATAGAGGGAGAGGGTTCCAGAGTTTGGGGGTGAATGATTAAGGTGGTTAGGTCCTGCTGCGGGGGCCCAGGTTTCAGGTTGACTACAAAGGCTGGAGGAACAGCTGCGGCAAACAGGATCACATAGCGATGGCATGAGCCAACACGCCGATGGGAAACGTTGGGTAATCTTTAACAATATTGCTGCACACAGTGTACACCCCGAGTGAGTGAGGGCTTGTGGTGCTGTCTGGTCTGTTGTGGTGCGGTCTATCCCCCAGCGCCTTCGCCGCCTCCTCCCTCTCCTCCTTCAAGGCCGGTCTCAAGACCTTTCTCCTCGACCGCGCCTCTCAACTCTCTACCCCCTCCTCGCTCCCTGCCTCCCCCCCCCCTCTCACCCTGACCATTTCCCCCCACACCCCCCCCACACCCCCCCACTGCTCGGGTCCAGGACCCAACTGTCCAGGCGCCTTGGGACGTCCTCCCGACGTGAAAGGCGCTCTAGAAATGCAATCACGTTGTTGGTGTTGGTGTTGTTGTTGTTGTTGTTGAGAGTGGCCATGAGACCCACCGCATCGGCTGCGAAAAGATGACAGCGCGGATTTTCCTTCCAACTTTCCAACGTATCTTTTTAAGTGTAACGCGAGAGAAAGGGCCACACAGTAAAAACTACGGTCAACGAAGAATGTCGAAGAGTTTGCGTCGGGATAACAGTGTCACCGCACAGCCGCACAGCCCGAGAGCCGCACAGCCCGAGAGCCGCACAGCCACTCACACACAGAGAGAGAGAGAGAGAGAGGGGGAGAGAGAGAGAGAGAGAGAGGGGGTTTCGTCCCTCCGCTGTGGGACTGGTGACGGGAGGAATAAGGAACAGCTCCGGGTGTATCGGCCCTATTTGTTCTCACTGACCCGGAGCCGCCGCCCGACACAGCGGCCGCTTTACCCGAGAGAGGGGGACCCCCGACCCCCGGGACCCCCCGACCCCCCCGGACCCCCGTCACAACCGCGGCCCCAGGTTACCGCTTCAGACAAAGAGAGAGGTTCCGGGAGGCGATGTCGCCCACTCCCCCCCCCATCCCGGGGGCACAGCGCCCCCCCACCCCCCCCCCCATCCCGGGGGCACAGCGCCCCCCCCACCCCATCCCGGGGGCACAGCGCCCCCCCACCCCATCCCGGGGGGCACAGCGCCCCCCACCCACTCCCCCCCATCCCGGGGGGCACAGCGCCCCCCCACCCACTCCCCCCCATCCCGGGGGCACAGCGCCCCCCCACACCATCCGGGCACAGCGCCCCCCACCCCATCCCGGGGCACAGCGCCCACCCACTCCCCCCCATCCCGGGGGGCACAGCGCCCCCCCACCCCCCCACCATCCCGGGGGCACAGCGCCCCCCCACCCCATCCCGGGGGCACAGCGCCCCCCCACCCCATCCCGGGGGCACAGCGCCCCCCCCCATCCCGGGGCACAGCGCCCCCCCACCCCCCACCATCCGGGGGCACAGCGCCCACACCCACTCCCCCATCCCGGGGGCACAGCGCCCCTCCCCTCCCCCCCGCCGGCTCCCACCTGCCCACGGTCTGACTGGCCAACTGCTTCATCCGATTGAACTGTTTCTTCATGGCGGCCTCTGGTTCCTTCCCTCAGCCCCGACCTCAGGCGCGGACAGGCGTCAGCAACATAGTGTGTGTGTGTGTGTGTGTGTCGGCCTCTCTCTCTCTCTCTCTCCTCTCGGCGGCGCTCCCCTCACTCCCCCTCCTCCTCACTCCCCTCCCCCTCACTCCCCCCTCCCCCTCACTCCCCTCCCCCTCACTCCCCCTCCCCCTCACTCCCCCCTCCTCCCTCACTCCCCTCCCCTCACTCCCCTCACTCCTCCCTCACTCCCCTCCCCCTCACTCCCCCCTCCTCCCTCACTCCCCCCCCTCACTCCCCTCCTCCCTCACTCCCCTAGCGCCCCCTCACTCCCCCTCGCACGTGCCTCCCTCACTCCCCCTCCCCCTCCCTCACTCCCCCCTCCTCCCTCACTCCCCTCCCAGCGGATACTGTGTAACAGCCCCGGATACACTGTAACCAGCGCCGACACTTTGTAACCCCCTCCTCCCTCCCTCCCCGACTGATACACTGTACCCGCTGCCCCCCCCCCCCCTCCCGGCGGGTTCTCTCTCTCTCTCTCCTCTCTCTCTCTCTCTCTTTCAGTCTCAATCTTCTTTATTCTTCAATCAAATACGTTATATTTTAAAATAAAATCCCCCCCTCTCTCTCTCTCTCTCCTTCTCTCACTCTCCTTCCCTCACTCTCCCCTCCTCTCTCTCTCTCTCTCCACTCTCCTCTCCTCTCTCTCTCCCCCTCCTCTCTCACTCTCCTCTCTCTCTCTCTCTCCACTCCTCTCTCTCTCCCCTCCCCCCTCCTCTCTCTCACTCTCCTCTCTCCTTCTCTCACTCTCTTCCTCTCTCACACTTCCTATTCTCGCAGATATTTTACTTACAAACGCCTCTGCCCCCCCCCCCCCTCCCCGCCCCCCCTCTCCAGCCCCTCCACGGCCCTGAGATAACCTGCCGTTCCCTCCCTGCAGACAGACAGACACTGTGTAAGTCTCTTTCCGCAGAGACGGTTGTACAGTCACTCGCCTTCAGTCAACCCTCTGCAACTCCTTCCTCCCTAACTCTTCCCCCACCCAAGGAGTAGCACGAAGTGACTGCACATGCGTGGCTGACCAGAGTGGGGGGGGGGAGGCAGCCTCTGACTGACTGACTGACTGACAGAGAGAAGCTGGTGATCCCAGGCCATTGTACCGCAGGATCGTCATCGGCAGCAAAGTCCAGCGCAGATAACCTCGGTAACACAGTTACTACAGTATTGCATGTGTACCTTTGTGCTAAAGTATGTGCATATATACGGTCCAGTTGTAGTTCCTGAGCCAAGCGGGTCCGTAATATTCCAGGGCACGGCTGATGATGGCCCAGCCTGGAAGGGCTGACCGGTCACTGGGGGCCAGGTAGTCATCCCACTCAGCTCCGGTTAACCCATGCAGCCAAAGCCCTAATGGGTAGGGTGGTCCTAGCTGGACAAGCAGCGGGAAAGCTTGCCAGTTCTGCTTTATAACACCCTATACAGAGTGTCCACAAAGTCCTATTTCTTTTAGGAAATAGCATTATGGGATATAGTACATGGGGTGTTGGGGACATATGTCCATGCGACCGCTAGGAAGGTGGAAGGCGAACTAGATGGACCTTGGTCTTTTCTCGTCTTGCATTTCTTATGTTATTATGGGATGTCTCAAAGATGTGGTAAGGTGGGCGGGCCTTCAGCCTCACTGCCCCCAGCAACAACAAAATTACAGACAGAGATAAAGCACGGTCAAAGAGGAGGGTCTTAAGGTGAGTCTTGGAGGGGGCGAGATAGAGGGACTGCGGGATGGAGTTCCAGAGGGTGGGTGCAGAGTGGCAGAAGGTCCACCCGACAATAGTAGGGCGAGCAAGAAGGAGCACGTGAAGCAGGCCGGAGCCCGCTGAGCGGAGGGAGCGAACAGGATGGTAGGAGGTTAGGAGGTTGGAGAGGTAGGGGGGAGCAAGACCATGGAGTGCTTTAAAGGTGAGGATCAGGATCTTGAACTGTATCCTCTGTGTGATGGGAACCCCACCCTCTGGAACTCCAAAGCACAGTCCCTCCACCTCGCCCCCTCTGTTGCCTCCTTCAAGACCCTCCTCTTTGACCATGCCTTCAGTCACCCTACCCTCCCCACCCTCTTGATCCCAACCACCAGCTCGAGTGAAGATCCCTGACTGTCTTGGGACGTCCTCCTGATATGAAAGGCATTATACAAATGTAATTTGCTGTTGTTATATCAAATACAAGGATTATTATTATTTAGGTATACATCAGCCATGATCTAATAGAATGGTGAGACAGGCTTGAGGGGCTGAATGGCCTACTCCTGTTCCTATCTTCAAAGAGTGCTCTCAATGGCAAGCTATATGGGTTCAGCTGGTTAAACTCCAGCAGTTACCTTAACCCACAGTGTGGGTTGCCAAGCCTCGGCTCTGTGCCTAATACTTTCCAGAATTAGGTAAACAGGATGCATCCTCCAGGGATAGACCGTTCCATTCTAACAATCATAGGCATGGTTGAAGAGGAACGTCTTCAGGCGCGATCTGAAGATGGGTAAGGTGGAGGGATAGAGGAATAGCGTTCCATAGTTTTAGGCCGTAGTGGTTGAAGGCAATGGCCACCAATGGTGGAACAGAGAGCACGAGGGACCCGTAGGAGGCCTGAGCCAGTCAAGCGAAGGCAGCAGGTGGGTGGGGTGTTGGGGAGTAAGCCGGTTGCAGAGGTGCCAGGGCGGGAAAACAAGCAACACTGTAAAAACATGTGAAATGAATGCCGCGAGGGAAGCAGGAAGGAAAATCAGGAGTTTGATCGGGCACACACATCGCCCTTAGAATTTATACAGCACAGAAGGAGGCCATTCGGCCAATCCTGTCGGCGTCCGCTCTTTCAAAAGAGCTTTTCCAAATCAATGCCGCTCCCCCGCTCTCTCCCAACAGCCCTGCAAACTTGCCCTCCTAATTATAGGATTGATACAGAGGATTGATTTCAAGATCCTCATCCTCACCTACAAGGCCATTCACGGCCTTGCTCCCTCCTACCTCTCCAACCTACTATCCCCCTACCTACCTGCCCGTACCCTCCGTTCCTCTGGCTCCGGTCTGCTCCACGTCCCCCGCCCCAACCGCCCTACCATCGGTGGTCGGGCCTTCAGCCTCTCAGCCCCCAGGCTCTGGAACTCCATCCCCCAGTGCCTTCGCCGCTTCCTCCCTTTCCTCCTTCAAGGCCGGTCTCAAAACCTTTCTCTTTGACCGAGCCTTCAGCTCCCCTCTCGACTCTCTTCCTCCTCCTCGCTCCCCTCCCCTTCCCTCCCCTTACCCTGACCATTTCCCCCCTCCTTGCTCCCTCCCTTCCCTCCCCTCACCCTGACCATTTCCCCCCTCCTCGCTCCCTCCCTTCCCTCCCCTCACCCTGACCATTTCCCCCTCCTCGCTCCCTCCCTTCCCTCCCCTCACCCTGACCATTTCCCCCTCCTCGCTCCCTCCCCTCCCTCACCCTGACCATTTCCCCCCTCCTCGCTCCCTCCCTCCCTCCCCTCACCCTGACCATTTCCCCCTCCTCGCTCCCTCCCTTCCCTCCCCTCACCCTGACCATTTCCCCCCTGCTCGGGTCATGACCCAACTGTGCAGCGCCTTGGGACGTCCTCCTGACGTGAAAGGCGCTTTATAAATGGAATCTTGTTGTTGTTGTTGTTGTTATAGCGCCGTAAACCCTTCGCCTGCTTTATATTTGGGAGCAATTCACATCCTTTCCCGCCAACAGTAGCACAGATCTGTGGGGCTCCATCACAATATGTTTTTATTCGCATCAGAGAGTGAATCGCTTTGCGCTCACGTGGTCAGCCAGGGCCGGGCTGGGCGCATGCGCAGTCTTCTGTTTGAGTGACAAGGCGTCTCTATGACGTTGTCGAGGGGCGGGACGGGAGCGCGCGGGCGGACCAATCAGCTGCTCGTGTCCTCTGCGGCTGCGGCGCTGTGCAGCGACAGGATGTGTCACGTGGGTGGAGGGCCCTCTCACTGAGTCCTGTAACAGCTGAGTGTGTGGTGCGTGTGTCTGTGTGAGGGGGGTGTGTGTGAGGGGGGGTGTGTGTGAGGGGGGTGTGGGGGGTGTGTGTGAGGGGGGTGTGGGGGGTGTGAGGGAGGGGGGTGTGTGTGAGGGGGTGTGGGGGGTGAGGGGTGTGAGGGGGGGTGTGAGGGGGGTGTGTGTGAGGGGGGTGTGTGAGGGGGGGGTGTGAGGGGGTGTGGTGTGTGAGGGGGGGGGGTGTGTGTGAGGGGGTGTGAGGGGTGTGTGTGAGGGGGTGTGTGAGGGGGGTGTGAGGGGGGGTGTGAGGGGGTGTGTGAGGGGGGGGGTGTGTGAGGGGGGTGGGGGTGTGAGGGGGGGGTGTGTGAGGGGGTGTGGGGGGTGTGAGGGAGGGGGGGTGTGTGAGGGGGGGGGGGGGGGTGTGAGGGGGGGGTGTGTGAGGGGGGGTGTGTGAGGGGGGGTGTGAGGGGGGTGTGGGGGTGTGTGTGAGGGGGGGGTGTGTGTGAGGGGGGGGGGGTGTGAGGGGGGGGGTGTGTGAGGGGGGTGTGTGTGAGGGGGTGTGTGAGGGGGGGTGTGAGGGGGTGTGTGTGAGGGGTGGGGGTGTGTGAGGGGGGTGTGGGGGGTGTGAGGGGGAGGGGGGGGGGTGTGAGGGGGGGGTGTGTGAGGGGGGTGTGAGGGGGGGTGTGAGGGGGGGGGGGTGTGAGGAGGGGGGGTGTGAGGGGTGTGTGAGGGGGGTGTGAGGGGGGTGTGGGGGGTGTGAGGGGGGGGTGTGAGGGGGTGTGGGGGTGGGGGGTGTGTGAGGAGGTGTGTGTGAGGGGGCTGTGTGAAGGGGGTGTGTGTGAGGGGGGGTGTGTGAGGAGGTGTGTGTGAGGGGGTTGTGTGTGAGGGGGGGGTGTGAGGAGGTGTGTGTGAAGGGGGTGTGTGTGTGAGGGGGTGTGTGTGTGTGAGGGAGTGTGTTTGTGTGAGAGGGGGGGAGTGTGGGTGTGAGAGGTGGGGGGGGAGTGTGTGTGTATGAGAGGGGGAGTGAGGGAGGGTGGGTGCGTGGGCGGGTGAGGGTGTACGTGGGCGGGTGTGTGGGTGAGGGTGTGAGCGCGCACCCGTGTGAGAGCGCGTGAGAGAGAGAGTGTGTGTGAGAGAGAGAATGAGTATCTCTCATTGTCAGAGATGTTAAAACTGAGATCCTGAACTGCCAGTTATGTTTGACAAGAGTCTCTCCCGGTTTCCTGGCCGATAATCCCCTCGGATACAATTGGTCACTTCCTCATGGCTGCTGTGGGACATTACTGTTCGCATATTGGCTGCCACATTTGCCTAAAACCACACACAGTCACAACACTTTACAGTAAATCCTGTGGCACACCCTTTGAGATCTTTCAAATGACATGATAAGCTGCTATAATTAATGCATGGATTATTTATCAGTCAGCGCCTTACTTCTCAAGAGTTGTTTCGAGGGAAAAATATAATTTCTCAGAAATGCTGACAGTGTATTTTCGCATCTTGCAGTAACTGGATGGCGACCAAACACTTAATCACTGTGTCGGATGATTCTTCGGATGAAGCAGTGCGTTCTACTTGTGATGATGCCACAGTGTGCAAAAGGTACCAGTGTGCTGGCAGAGCTGAGGAGCAGGGTGGGGAAATGTGGAGTTCTGTAGCTTCATGGTTTGAGCACTCGCTTCACAAGCGACAAGATCCAGGTTTGATTCCCGGCCAGGGTGAAACGTTAGGCAAGTGTCCTCACTCCACATTTTTTAAAACTAATGATTTAGTCACTGAATCCATGACTGTTTGTGGGACACTGCAATTGGCTGCCGCGTTCTGTCCACAAAATATACAGTCAATTAACTTTACAGTATAATCTGTGAAGCGTTTTGAGATATCTCGAAGATGTGGTGAGGCACTATATCAAATGTAAGGAATATCATTGTTATAAACAGCCAAAATCCCTCTGTGTTTCTATGTGTACATGTTACATGATTACACCATTACCTTCTAATCTCAGTGTTCCTTCTTTTAAGTAGTGTGCTTTTGAAAGACAAAACATAATTAGGTTGCGATATTAAACGCTGCTTATGTGGATTTGAAAACCACCGTCTCTCAGTGTTTTTGATGGTGTCTATTGCTTGTCAGGTTTGCAGTGAGTAAGGGCTACTGGAAGGATCCCTATATTCAGCATTTTATCAGGCAGCCATCAGAAAGGAAAGCACCTGAAATCAGCCGAGGTAAGTCCAGCATTTGGTGTGTTACTTTCAGATCTTTTTTATATAGTTCCCTCTTTTTCTTTTCACCCCTTGTATTTCTCAAAAGGCAATAATTGATGCTGTGATGATGCCCTTTGCACAAGTGAGAGCAAGATTTTCCATTGGTCACACAACAGTGACAAATGCACTCACCTTAAAGCAGTTTTCGTCCATTACATTTTGTAACCATCAGAGTTATCGCAGTGAGATCTATACTGAGTGAGCCACAGGGGGCTAGGAAGCACATTGCCTGGTGAAAATGTATTTGAAATACAGTTGGCTTTTATTAAACCTGGTTTGCTTGGCACAGCCCCGATAGAATCATAAATTACAGCACAGAAGGAGGCCATTCGGCCCATCGTGCCTATGTCGGTCTTTGGAAGAGCTGCCCAATCAGTCCCACGCACCTGCTCTTTCCCCATACCCCTGCAAATTTTTCCTTTTCAAGTTCCTATCTAATTCCCTTTGAAAGTTGTTATTGAATCTGTTCCCACCAGCCTTTCAGGCAGTGCATTCTAGACCGTAACAACTCTCTGTGTTTATTTTAAGAAAAAGCCTCCTTATCTCCCCTCTGGTTCTTTTCCCAATTATCGTAAATTTATGTGCCCTGATTACTGACCCACCTGCTAGTGGAATTGTTTCACACAGTGAGTTGATCAGATGTGGAATGCACTGCCTGAAATGGTGGTGGAAGCAAATTCAATAACAACTTTCAAGAGAGGAGTGGATAGATATTTGGGAGGACAAATTTGCAAGGCGATGGTGAGAGAGCGGGGGAGTGGGGTTAATTTGGATAGATCTTTCAAAGAGCTGGCACAGGCACGATGGGCCGAATGGCCTTCTTATATGCTGTATAATTGCATGATTCTATTAAAAAAAGCAATGGACATAATACCAACCTCTGGGGGACACCACTGTATACTTCCTTCCAGTCTGAAAAACAACCATTCACCACTACCCTCTGCTTTCTGTCTCCCAGCCAGAAGACTTCAGGGTTCCTTTTAAGTTACTTGCTAATCTTTTCTCATACACTCTCTTTGCCCCTCATTACTTTTCTCAGTTCTCTGCACTTTTTGTATTCTGCTTGATTCTCTAATGTATTTTGAATTTGACATTTATCATAAGCCTCCTTTTTCTGTTTCATTTGCATCCCAGTTTCGTTAGTTATCCTCTAATTTTGGATGCCCCACCTTTTCCCCCTTGTGGGAATGTGTTTGATCTGTACCCTAACTATCTCCTGCTTGAAGGCCTCACATTACTTGTTTACCGTTTTACACATCAATCTTTGTTTCCCATTCACCTGGCCCAGATCCCTCTTCAGCTCACTGAAATTAGCCTCTTCCAATTGAATATCTTCACCTTTGATTGCTCCTTGTCCCTTTCCATAAATACTGTACACCTAATGATGTTGTGATCACTGTTATTCAGATGCTCTCCCACTGAAACCTGCCCTACTTCATTCCTCAGAACTAGATCCAGCACTGCTTCCTTCCTCATTCTGTTTTTGAACCTTCTATCACATCATTCCTTTCCAGGGCTATAACAGTATCTTTGATCAATACTGCCCCCATCCCCTCCTCTTTTTTCTTTCCCTAACCCTCCTGAATACATTGTAGTCAGGAATGCTAAGCTCTCATTCCTGCCCTTATTTTGAGCCAGGTCTCTGTTATTGCCGCTACATCATAACCCCATGTGGCAGCTTGCACCTGCAGCTCACCAACCTTATTTGTCACACTCTGTGCATTCACGCCCATGCACTCCAAGCCTGCCTCGGTTTTGCATTTCTCCCCTGTTTGGTCCCTCCTCTTTCTGGACTACTCTTTATTCCAAAGTTATTGGTCTCTCCCATTCCTCTATGTTCCTTGTTTCCCCTCTCTGATGTTATATCCTTTTTCCACCCCCCCCCCCCCGACTAAATTAGTGACACCCTCCCCTACAGCACTAGCTAACCTCCCTGCAAGGACATTGGTCCAAGCCCTGTTCAGATGCAGCCCATCCACCTTTTACAGGTCCCTCATGCCCCAGAACTGGTCCCAATGCCCCAGGAATCTGAAGGCTGCACCATTTCTCCAGCCACACATTAAACCTACTTTATCTTGCTATTCCTACACACGCACATGGCACTGGCAGTAATCCAGTGATTACCACCTTTGAGGTCCTGCTCTTTAGTCTCCTCCTGAGCTCCTGAAACTCTGTCTGTACGTCATTGGTTCCAGTATGGACCACGACTTCTGGCTACTCTCCTTCCCCCTGCAGAATTTTCTGCACCCGTTCTGTGATATCCTCCACCCTGGCACCAGGGAGGCAACACGCCATGTGAGACTCATGTCTGCAGTTGCAGAAACTCCTGTCTATCCCCCTGACTGTTGAATCTCAACGACAATAGCATTGCTACACTTCTCTGTGACCCCCGTACAGTTGTTTGTCCCACTGTGCCATGGATTTGCCTAAGATTGCCCTCCCCCGAGGTGTCGTTACCCTAACCAGTATTCAGTACAGACACTGCTTAGTGTCCTGGGGGATTTCTGCACTGCCTGTCTCTGCTTCCTACCATGCTGGGTGGTCACCCACTCACTCTTCTCCTGAACTCTCTGTGGCTATGGGGTGACCACCTCCTGAAACATACGATCCATAAAGGTTTCAGCTTCCTGTACGCATACGGTGACACCAGCCTCTCCTCAAACTCAGAAACCCTGAGCTTGAGCTCCAGCAGCCGGGGCCACTTCCTGCTCACATGGTTGTCCAGTACAAGGGAAGAGTCCTGGAGCTCCCACATGGCAACAATGTGCTGCAACAGGTCTCAGCTGTTCCGCCATTTTCCCAGAAGCTTTGTTTAATTTTTAAAAAATATATATATATAGCACTTCCTTCCCCTTCGGCACCCCTTCTGATGATGGTGGGGCTTACAGACCAAGAGTTCGCTGATTCAAGTCCTAGTTTTTGCTGCATTTGCCGTCCTCAGCCGAGCTACATTAGGAACCCAAATTCCCTGTGTGAGGAAGGTAAAAATCAACTGGGTTTCCTACTCCCAGTACCTCCTCACTGCCCTCTGTGGGGAAACATAGGCACAGCCGAATGTGACACCCTCTACAGCTGAGTGGCCTGTTAATACTCAACAACAATAAATTGCCTTTATAATGGTAGCTTTCATGTCAGGAGCCGTCCCAAGGCACACACTGAACATTGGGGGTTTGAGTGAGTCCCAGATTGTTTACCATCAGCTGCTGAGGGGCGCTAAGACAATGGGACAATGTATATAAGAAAGACTTTCTATTTGAGTTCTTTATACCTTCTCAGTTTTGTACCTTTGTGTCTGGAAGGTATTTTTAATTTTGCCATTTTTAATTTTATCTTGTTAAAACACTTTTTAATTTTTTTTGAGTGTATTAAATGTATATCATCTTGCTGCCGACTCAATGACCAGTGGGAATAATCTATCACTGTTTAGCGTATCATAATTCTTAAGAATCTTGAAAACCTCGATCAGGTGACAATTTAACTTTCTTAGCTCCAGGGGAAAGCTCCAGACTCTCAAGTCTCTTCATCACTGAAATACCGTCGTCCCTGGTCATATTACCATGAAGGTAGGTCAGGGTTAATGTTTATCTTCTATCACTACTGTTCTTCCCTCTAGGCTACTATGCCCGTGTGAAGGGAGTGAATCTGTTACTGGATGCTTTTATAAAGAAAACAAGCTGTAATTGTCAAGTAATAAACGTCGGAGCTGGTCTGGACACCACTTTCTGGCGGCTCAAGGTAATATTAGCAAAGCATGCAGTGTGATCACCACCCAATTCCTTTCGTAATTGTGTTAAACTAGGGCTTAGCTCCCCTCAGCAGCTGATGGTTTAAAAAAAAATTGATAAATTGGTCATTTTCAATTCACGACTGTTTGTAGGACATTGCTGTGCGCAATTGGCTGCCGCGTTTCACCCACAAAAATACAGTCAATTCACTTTACAGTCTATTCTGTGAAGCACTTTAAGATGTCGAGAAGACGTGAAAAGTGTTATATCAAATGCAAGGATTTCTTTATTTTGTGTTAAACTATATTGCTTTGTTGGTAGGAAGAATGGGGAGAAGCAGTATAAGCAAGATGGTAAAATCTTAAAGGGGGCAAAATGAACAGAGACCTCGGCATCCATATAAGCAAATCTCTGAAGGTGGCAGGACAGGCAGATAAAGCTGTTAAAAAAACATCCGGGATACTAGGTTTTATAAATAGGGGCGTAGAATTCAATGGTCAGGAGGTTATGTTGAATATTTATAAAATGCTGGTGAGGCCTCAGTTGGAGTACTGTGTTCAGTTCTCGGCACCGCACTTTAGGAAAGATGTGAGGGCATTGGAGAGGGTGCAAAGGAGGTTTACCAGGATGGTACCAGGAATGAAGGACCTTAGTTATGAGGAGAGGTTAGCGAAACTAGGATTATTCTCCCTGGAGCAGAGAAGATTAAGAAGGGATTTAATAGTGGTTTTCAAGATCATGAGAGGATTTGATAGGTTGAACCGGGAAAAACTGTTTCCATATGCATGTGGGTCAGTAACCTGAGGACACCGATTTAAGTTAGTTGTTTAAAGAAACAGAGGGGAGGTTAGGAAAAAAATTTCACCCAGCGAGTTGTTCAGATCTGGAATGCATTACCTGAAAGGGTAGTGGAAGCCAATTCAATAACAACGTTTAAGAGAGAAGTAGATGGGTATTTGGGGAGGACAAGATTGCAGGGAAAGTGGGCCAGTGGGATTGAGTTGGATTGCTCTTTTCGGAGCCAGTGCAGACACGATAGGCCGAATGGCCTCTTTCTGTGCTGTATGACTCTATGATTCTATATGTCAGCGCTACCCATCGTGTCCAGACATGAAACTCGCATTAAAATTGCAACAAAAATGTCATGCTCATAACTTTTTTTCAGGATGAAAATCTGCTTCCAAAAAAATATTTTGAGGTTGACTTCCCAATGATCACTGCCAGAAAAATACATTTAATCAAGTAAGTTCCTTTTTTCCTCAATTATTTCAATCAAATATATTCAGTGTGATGCCTGACGTGGGAATCATGCAATGTAGGAGAGAGATATGGGTCCATCTGAAACTATTTGCCCATAACAGTAGCTAAAGCCTTAATGAGTCCTGTGGTTCTAGATGGACAAACAGTTGGAAGCTTGCCGGACAGTACTGTCAATGAAAAGCTATATGATTTTAGTTGGTTAAACTCCAGCAGTATCCCAACAACCAAAGTTTGCGAAAGACTTAATGGTGGAGCAGTGGGGAGTGGCCAAATGGCCTCTTTTTCTGGAAAATTGCAGACCCGACTGCCTTAGAGGATTGACTGGATTCTGACATTCTGTTGCTAAGTAAATCACTTTGGAGCCAGCTCCAAGGAGACCGCAAATACCATCGGATGAGATATGAGCCCTCACTGATGGACAGCACACAGCAAGAGCGCCTGAGCCACACGGCACAGCCTGAGATACGTGAGAACATTGCCATAGCTGCTCCATTCCTGTGGCGTGGCTTCAATGTCGTGTTTCTGTCATTCCGTCTAATTATTTATCTTTTCAGAACAAAGCCTCCCTTGTCAAAGCCGATTCTGGAAACCCATTCAAGTAATAACCTGAAAATAGGTGAGAAGAGGGGTGATGCTACTCTATATGTTCATGAACAGCATTGTACAAGCTACTACCTAGGTTTATGATTTCACGTAAAGTATTGACAGAAATGGACCTCATTGCATTTATGACTGCACCTGTGTGTGAGCATGCTTAGAGTGCAGCTTAGCCTCCAGCACATTGCTCTGGACTGCAATCTGTCTAAAGGCCGTTGCCCTCAAATGCAGCTGAAAATCAGCCAGCCAGTAATGCACTTTCTTAGTTGCATTTTCTCTGTGGTTTTTCGGGAAACAAAAACCTGCATGACTACAATTAATTAACATTTATAACTAAAACTATGAATTGCATTTATAAAGCTCCCTTCACATCAGGAGGATGTCCCCAAGGCGCTGGACAGTCAAGGGTTTGCGCCCGAGCTGGGGGTCAGATTTGGGAGGGTTTGTGAGCCAAAGGAGGGCAGGGGACCGAACCCACATCCAAAGTCTTCAGATGGATCTTGAAGAAGACAGGGGAAGGAGTGAGGCAAAGGGATTCAGGGATGGAATTCAGAGAATGGGGCAGATCGGCTGAAACTTTCAATTAATTTAGCATTTATGTTTTATAATGACTAAATTTAATAACAACATATTTCCCTCAACGTCAGATGGTTATGACATGGACTCGGATCACTACAGCATCATTGGACAAGATCTCCGTGACTTGCCCGTATTTGTGGAAAAACTGAAGAAATATGGCTTAGATGTGAAGTGAGTGTATTGTATTTAATGTATTTTCTTTTTGATATTAAATATTTCCATCAGAGAACACTGAATGTCTGCAGAAATTGGATCTAGTATTTACTAACGAGAAAGATGTACCAGCAAACATATGTATAATAATATTAACATAAGGTTTATATAGGAGTACTTTGCATCTGTCTTCACAAATGAAGAGGATGCAGCCAATGCTACAGTACTAGGAGGAGACAGTAGAGAAATTGGATAAGATAAGAATAAACCGAGAGGAGGTACTAAAAGGCTGTCGGTGCTCAAGGTAGATAAGTCACCTGGTCCGGATGGGATGCACCCTAGGTTACTGAGGGAAGTAAAGGTGGAAATAGCGGAGGCTCTGGCCACAATCTTTCAATCCTCCTTGGACACCAGGAGGTGCCAGAGGTATGGAGGTTTGCAAATGTTACTCCCCTAAACAAAAAGGAGCAGAAGGATAAATCCGGGAACTACAGGCCAGTCAGCTGAACGTCAGTAGTGGGGAAACTTCTAGAGACTATAATCCAGGACAAAATAAATTTTCACTTCGAAAAATATGGGTTAATAAAGGACAGCCAACATGGGTTTGTTTAAGGCAAACCTGATAGTTTTTTTGATGATGTAACGGAGAGGGTGGATGAAGATAGTGCAGTTGATGTAGTTTGTATGGATTTTCAAAAGGCATTTGATAAAGTGCCACATAATAGACTTGTAAGCAAAATAGAAGCCCACAGTGGAGTCCTGTAGCTCAGTGGTTAGAGCACTCGCTTTGCAAGCGAAAGACCTGAGTTCAATTCCAGGCAGAGGGCGAAACCTTGGGCAAGTTTCCTTACTCCACACAGAGCCTAATAATAATCCCTCCAAAACCAAAAACAATAATAAATTGGTCATATTCAATCTACGACTATTTGTGGGACATTGCTGTGCGCAATTGGCTGCCGCGTTCACCCACAAATATACAGTCAATTCACTTTACAGTGTGTTCTGTGAAGCGCTTTGGAACGTCCTCCCGACGTGAAAAGCGCTATATCAAATGCAAGGATTATTATTATTATTATTAGTGTTAAAGGGACAGTGTCAGAATGGATACAGAACTGGCTGGGAGACAGAAGGCAGAGAGTGGTGGTGAACGGTTGTTTTTCTGACTGGAGGGAAGTATGTAGTGATGGCCCCCAGGGATCAGTATTGGGACCACTGCTGTTTTTGATCTGTATAAATGCCCTGGACTTGAGTATAGGGAGTACAATTTCCAAGTTTGCAGATGATACTAAGCTAGGAAACGTAGTAAACAGTGAGGAGGATAGTAGCAGACTGCAAGAGGACATAGACTGACTGGTGAAATGGGCCGACACGTGGCAGATGAAGTTTAATGTGGATAAATGCAAAGTGATGCATTTTGGGAGGAAGGATGAAGAGAGGCCATATAAGCCGATGGTACAATCTTAAAAGGGGTGAAAGAACAGAGAGACCTGGAGGTTCATGTAATTAAATCTTTGAAGGTGGCAGGTAGATAAAGCTGTTGAAAAGGTATATGGGATACTAGACTTTATAAACAGGGGCATAGAATACAAAAGTCAGGAAGTTATGATGAACCTTTATAAAACACTGGTTAGGCCTCAGCTAGAAACTGTGTTCAGTTCTGGGCCCCACACTTTAGGAAGGATGTCAAGGCATTGGAGAGGGTGCAAAGCAGATTTACCAGGAATGAGGGACTTCAGTTATCATGAGAGGCTAGAGAAGCTAGGATTATTCGCACAGAGACGCTGTCCGGCGTGGAGGGTGCTATATAAATCCAAGTTGTTGTTGTTATTCTCCTTGGAGCAGGGAGGATTAAGAGGAGATTTAATAGAAGTATTCAAAATTATGTGCGGTTTCGATAGGGTAAACGAGGAGAACCTATTTCAACTTGTGGGTGGGTCAGTAACTTGAGGAGACTGACACTAAACGATTGTTAAAAGAAACAGGGGAGGAGAAATTTTTTCACAGTTAGTTTAGATCTGGAATCTTGCCTAACTGGTTGTTGATAGCCAGTTTTTTAAGAGAGAAGTAGATAATTATTTGGGGAGGACAAGTTTGCAGGGCTATGGGGAGAGAGAGGGGGAGAGTGGGAATGATTTGGAAAAGCTCTTTTCAAAGAGCCAGCACAGACACGATGGGCTGAATGACTTCTTTCTGTGCTGTATGATTCTATGATATAGTATTATGCACAACATGTACAATATACACTTTCTATGCACAATGTAGGGAGAAGCAGTTTGATCAAATAAAATACTGTTTTTATTTTAAAGCAATTTATTTATTTCAAAATTCCCCATAAATTCAAATTAAATGATTGATGAAGATTCAAAAGATTTATATATTTTCATTTATATGTGGTGCAGGAGCATAAGAACATAAGAAATGCTAGACGAAAAAATTACCAAGGTCCATCTAGTTCACCTTCCTGGAGGTCGCATGGACATATGTCCTGAACTACCTATGTACTATATCCCATAATATTATTTCCTAAAAGAAAGCTATCTAATCTGTGTTTGGAGGAATCAACATTTCCTCCTTCAACCGTCTCCTAAGGTAACCTGTTCCACAGGTTCACTCTTTGTTCACTGAAATAGAATTTCCATAGATTTTTTTCTGAATTTCTCCCCTTCAATTGCAGGTTGTGTCCTCTGACCTGCAATTGAAGGGGGTGAGGTGGCCAGCTCCATGGAAGTGTGAAATATACTTTTATCACTCAAAAGCATTCACAGAATGTTGTAAACGCCTGGAGAAATGCACATTGATTGAGAGGGGCTCAGTGCACAGGGTGTAAACAACTTTTCTCAGCAGCTGAGTGTTTGACCAGTTTCACTCACTCACATCCACAGTCAGCACTCGGCACTAGTTCTCGAAGTCAAATCCAATTTATAATCCACTTGCATAGCTCAGGGACTTACAATTTGTACAAAATGTAATATGAAATATAAACCAACCTGTGCGAAAGATCTGTTTCATTGGCAAAACAGGTTACTAATACATATCAATGGTAACAGAACAATTTCTGTTTTGTGATTTCCTTGCAGATTACCAACACTGTTAATGGCAGAATGTGTTCTTGTGTACATCACACTTGAGCAGTCTGTAGAACTGGTAAAATGGGCATCGAGTAGCTTTAATACCTGCATGTTTATTAACTACGAGCAGGTAAATCACACAAGTTTAATGTTTCTCTTGTTACTTGTAACTCCTCTCTTTATTGTTAATGGGGAATATCTTTTTTAACAATAAACTGATATACAATAGATCTTCACTATAGCACGATATATGAATGTTATTGACAACCTACTGACCAAATTGTCAATTTTAGTGTGAAATGGCAGCCAGTGGCCATACACACCGATTGTGGCCTACTGTACAGCCTGGTATTGCTGAAGTTGCACCATATTGAAGCATATTAAAATGGGCTGCACTGTATTATCTAAATGGCAATAATTAATATAATTTGAAAGGAAACTAAACCAGAGGGATCGTCAAAGTTAGTATTTTTGGGGGTCAGCTGGGTGTCTGACACATGCCAAAACTTATCACATTACTTAAGAGTATCCAGATCAAACTAAGAATTCCACATGTGTACGTTAACAACACATGGACATGCTCCTGTGTCTGGAATGGGATGCACACGTGACTCTCTCTCTGAAGCGCTTTAAGACTCCTCAACGATGTGATAAGACACTGTATGAAATGCAAGGATTATTATTATTATTTAAGTTTGTAGAACAGTGAGCAGCCTCAATCATGTTTTTCAGGTAAACATGACGGATCGTTTTGGCCAAGTCATGATAGAAAATTTGCACCGGCGGCAGTGTAACCTGGCCGGGGTAGACTTCTGTAAAACGCTCGACACACAGGTTGTATATATTTCTGCCACAATTGTATTCATAGAATCCTGGAATGCTACAGCCTCTGAAACTGGCTGTTTGTTCCACAAAATATACAGTCAATTCACTTTACAGTATATCCCGTGAAGCGCTTTGAGACGTCTGGAAGATGTGATAAGGCGTTATATCAAATGCAGGGATTATTATTTATTATTTATAAAGTAAATGTGTAATTTTCTCTATCAAATCACATGCTGTTCAGGTGAAGACACAATAATGGTGGTGCAGCCCTATTATAATGAGGTAGTTGGGGGCAATAAAACTCTAAAACAAGACAAGGAGCCACTATCATCATTCACCATGACCAATGAAGTCGCTGTGCAGGCAGGAAGGCAGAAAGTCATTTGCTTTGCAACAGTCCGCCTACCGAACCTGCTCGCACTAATAGCTTAGGTTGCCAAACCTGCGTTAGATCAGATGTCTATCTGACATCTGCGGATACTTGTCATCAGGCTTAAGAGGATCAAACCAAAGAAGTTCACGTATGCCATATATGTACAGAATTTTTCCCGTCTTGAATGGAATATGCATTTTCTACTGGGAGAGATGCACTCTGGTTTCCTTATTCCAGAAAGTTCCAGGGGATGGTTGGCGAGAGACGAGGCTTAGGGAGCCCAGAGTGTGCGCTAGGGTAACTACTGGAGTAACCACATAGCTTGCCATTGCTTGTCAAGATAGGAATACCCTACCCGTTAGGGTTTAGCCTCGCAGCGGTAACAAAAAACGAATGAGAATAATCCCCATATGTTGCTGACTGGCCAGGCTGGTCTATCATCCGCAGTGAATTGGATTTCTGTGAACATCAGAAATATACCTGTCCAACTGAGATCACAAGATTTGTTTGGATAAAGAAGGTCCTTCAACCCATTTGGTCTCATCCTCCCAGAACACTTACCCCACCGTCTCTCCATCACAGCACCAATCTTTTTCTTTTAAATGAGTCAAGTGTTCTGGCCTCATCCACCCTTTCTGGTACCACATTTCTTATTAATTACAGTCTAAGTAAAGATAAACTTTGTGGTACCTGTCCTTTACATTTCTAAACGCGTGTTCTCTTGTTCTTCTATTTTCGTGCATTCAAAAGTATTGTTTTGCTTTTAGTGTTTGAGTTTCATTTAAAATCATATAAATCTCTATAAGGTTCCCTTTGAGATGTCTTTTCTCAAGACTGACAATGCAGCAAACGCCAAGGTGCTGAATATCTGAGCTGATAAATAAAATACAGTTTTACATTGCCGTGCACAGGGCATCCACCTTCTGAGGGAACCAATGTTCCAATGAAGTACATTTTTATAGGGCTGCAGTGGACTTGTTTAGGGTGAAGTTAAATAGTGGTGCTAAATATTTACATATTTATAAGTGTAGAATCTGAGCTTGTTTGTGCTTTGAAATTGTGTTTGAAATCATCTTTTTTCCTCCATAGAAAGATCGTTTTCTGTTGAATGGCTGGGACCAGGCAGATGCTCTAGATATGATGGACGTTTACAACAGTTTACCTCAAGCTGATGTTCAGAGGTATTTTCTCAGTCCCACGTTTTAATTTTATTTTAATTTTGTAGCCTTAACACCTCCCTGACACCCAGTGCTCCGGTGCCTCAATGTTACAGAGCAAAATATTGAGTTATTTATAAGTACAGAAGTCACATTAGGGTGGCTGGGTCGTGGTTGGAATATTGTGAGCTGAGAAGAAGGGAGTTGCTTTATACACCAGTGTTGTGGATTGATTTGTACAAACTCAGCATTATTGCTTTACTTTTGTACCCTATGTATAGACCCCACCAGAGAAAAAAAACAACCCAGTCAAACATGTTTGTCTCTAGCTGGTCAAACTAACCAAGTTGGTTTTGCTCTAGCTGGTTTTGCTGTACTTTAATCTCTAGCCAAATTTGGTAATTTTATTCGACCATATCCATTCCCCACACTTAAAAATGTTTCGAATTTCCATTGTCTAACAGTTCGTTACTAGATATCTCCAGAACCGCTGCAACAACTATCTATGACTGTGTGCTCTTTTCAACTCTCTCCAAGTTCTATTTAGTCACCATAATACACTCCGGTCATTTTCTCTTAAATGTCTCCCTCCTAACATTGCTCATTGGTTTCCTATAGGATTGAACTCCTTGAATTCTTAGATGAAAAAGAACTTTTGCAGCAACTTCTACAGCATTACTGTATCTGCTGGGCCACAAAAGGAGGCAGTCCCTTGGGTAAGCGTGGTTTAATAATAGTCCTCGCATTTTTTTAAAAAAAAATTATTAATAAAGCTTTTATATTTTTCAAAATCTCAATAACTAGACTAGATCAAAACCAGTAATACACCAACAGCATGCACTTATTTAGCGCCCTTCACGCGGGATAGTGTCTCTGAGCGCTTAACAGTACATAACCACAGTAAAGACCCGTTACAACACAGCGCATTATAGTGCAAATCCGTTTATTCCAAGTGCAGTGTATTCACTGTGCGTGTAGGCATGCTCCCCACTCGCTGACCTCACACCAGCCAGCTCACACTAAAATGACTGACTTCTGGGTCATTAGTTCGCCCCGATGTCACTTCCTGCTTTGCTGGACATAGAAGGAGGGGAGAGTGGATTCCAGAAGCTGAGTCAACAGGTCTATAGGGAACGAGAAATGGAAAGGGAGAATAATAACTCTTTTGATTGATCAATAGATTAGATTAGAAAACTGTTGGCCAAAGCATCAAAACAACTCAAAAACCATCTTTCCGTGGGTTATTTTATTTGTGTACGGAAGGGCCCTGTGTAAATGCCCTACCCAATGCAAGTTCCCACTTGAAGAATCAATTCATCACCTGCAAGAACAATGCTTTGATACTGATAACAAAATGGGTCCTAAACAGGTTACTGATAAAACTGAATTATCATTAAACTGGTAAAGTTAGGACAGAAGTAATGGCCCAAAAGCTAAACACTGCTGTGATATATCTTCTCACAATATCTCCATGTTCATTCTAAGTGGCAGTTTCTCTACGAGTTCAAGTTGTTGCAACTGAACCTTGACATTATCTGGATCAGTCATAAAATGGTTCCCTCAATGTCTTCAATAATGGATAAATGGATAAAAAATGAAGGAAACCGGTTAATTAAGGTAATAGTATTTATAAATAATTTTGACAAATGGTTCTCTTAAGGTCACGCCCTATTTAAGGTGTTCTTAAAAAAAATATTGGGAGTAAAATAGCAGCTGAGACTTGTTGGACCAAGTACTGATTCTTGTCTGTTGTGATTTACGCCAGTTTCAGTGACAGTTGTCCTTCAGTCCACTACTTATGGTAAATGCCGGATACCTGTGTCTGCTTTCAGGGATCAGCGAGATGACGTTTGGAAGTGTGTGATTTCCAATGAGAAGCTTTATGTGGTACTCTGTGTGAGGGAAGGACATTCTCTGACAGCACCAATGGACGATGCCTTTAAGATGAAATGTTTGTTGCTGTTTTTTATTGTATGTATGGAGCAACAGCAACAAATTACAAACTTGTGTGCGCTCCCAGGCTGCTGTTGTATTATGTCAGATTAGCCAACCCCATGTTTGGATGACTGACTGGATTGATTTAATTTCTGAAGCTCATATTTAAATAACTCTCTTTTTCGTATGAGTCAATGCTTTCATCATAACAATGGTAGCTTGGCGGTAATGATCAATAAAGAAAATTCCAATTTACCACTAAAGCTGTGATTTTAAAAGGACTGTTTTTGCAGGCAACGAATTGATTCTCCAAGTGAGAACTTGCACTGGGAATGGGTTCAAACTAAATAAATGAATTTGTTTTAAAATAATAATCCTTGCATTTGATATAGCACCTTATCACGTCTTCAAGGTCTCAAAGCGCTTCACAAAATATACTGTAAAGTGTATATTTTGTCACCAGAAAGCCCCACTTACTACCCTCTTGTGATACTGGTTTTCATTAATTAATTGCTATTTGATTTTCTAAACTCTCTTGAGATTTTAAATGTATAAAAAATTAAAGGGCTTACACCTTTTAAAAATTAGCAAAATCTTTTTTGTTGTTGTGTCGAGATTTTAATTCACGGGAAACGCCTTTCGTTGAAGTCAGATGTTGTGGGTTAAAGCCTCACATTCATTCTAAGCTGCTGCTCTGCTTGAGGAGATGCAATTTTTGAAGCTCTGGATGAGATCAGAAACCGAGGTGCGTCCCATCTGCAATCCATCCCTTGACACCAGTGTATTTGAAAAGAGAAAGTGGCCAACACTTCTCCATATAAGGGCTCATTTATGGCAGTTTGTGTATACATTGCTTGTTTTGCTTGCATGCAAAAAGGCAGCATCTCCACTTCAAAAAAAAATGAAGCGCTTTCATATATTCTAATGTCATAGGTGCAACAACAACAAGATTACATTTGTATAGTGCCTCTCATATCGGGAGGACATGCCAAGGTGCTGGACAGTGCACAGCATTTCAGAAATATAAGGTTATTATCTTATTGTTGTGAGTCACCAGTTTCAGAGAACTCCCAGGAAAAATCACACTATCTCTATCCTCTGAGGGATAGCCACACATTGATGAGCAAATGTTTGATGGATGATTTTGAGAGAGGTTTGGTGAGTAATGTTGTAAAACCTAAGTGTGTGAATGCACTGCCACCAATTCAACCCACAGTAACAGTAACCAACAAACAGCAACTCTCCCAGGAGTAGGCGTGAAGCTTCAGCAGTAAATACTGAGAACTCTTAATATAAAACCTCAATGATAAAAGCATACGCTCACAAACGCACACTCCAGGTAATGTTTGTTAACACTGCTGTCCAACTCTCAGAGGTGGAATGTCAATCTGGTTTGGATACTCAAGTCTGATGATGGCTTCCCAATGTGGACACATGTGTTGGGTGGGGGGGTGGAGGTGGCTGGAAACAGTGGAAGAAATAGATCTTAATGATAATATAATAGTCCTTGCATTCAATATTACGTCTCTATCACCTAAATAACCATTTTTTTAAAAAAAACGTGATTTTTAAGATCTTGTTCGTCAGCGAAGAGTGAAGAGATTGTGGATAAAATCGCTGCTACGTGGTCTTGGAGTTGTCACTCGGGAGAGCCAGAGACCCACTGCACCGCTCAGCAACACCACACCTCAAAGAGATGAATTGCTATCTTAATTATCCGGCTCTGTTGTAACAAAAAATACCTGTTTTTAACAAAAAAATACCGTGGCTTTTCCACTGAGAAGAAATGATTCAGGAATGTGTTGTGTCTGTGCCCCCCACTCCCCCCATTTGAAGGGTGGTGTCTCCCAAGCCCCACGCCTGGGGCTCTGGTGTCCAAACCCCCAGCCCCCAGCCCCCAATCCCAACCCCCAGCCCCCCATCCCAACCCCCAGCCCCCCATCCCAACCTCCAGCCCCCCATCCCAACCTCCAAACCCCAGCCTCCAACCCCCAGCCCCCCATCCCAACCTCCAACCCCCAGCCCCCCATCCCAACCCCAGCCCCCATCCCAACCTCCAGCCCCCAATCCCAACCTCCAACCCCAGATCCCAAACTCCAACCCCCAGCCTCCAATCCCAACCTCCAACCCCCAGCCCCCAATCCCAACCTCCAACCCTCAGCCTCCAATCTCCAGCCTCCAATCCCAACCCCCAGCCCCAACCACAAACGCACACTCCAGGTAATGTTTGTTAACACTGCTGTCCAACTCTCAGAGGTGGAAAGTCAATGTCAATCCCCAACCTCCAGCCCCACCTCCAACCCCAGCCCCCACCTCCAACCCCAGCCCCCACCTCCAACCCCCAGCCCCCACCTCCAACCCCCACCTCCCACCCCAGCCCCCACCTCCAACCCCCAGCCCCCACCTCCAACCCCAGCCCCCACCTCCAACCCCAGCCCCCACCTCCAACCCCAGCCCCACCTCCAACCTCCACCCCCACCTCCAACCCCCAGCCCCCAACCCCAGCCCCCACCTCCAACCCCAGCCCCCACCTCCAACCCCAGCCCCACCTCCAACCCCCAGCCCCCACCTCCAACCCCAGCCCCCACCTCCAACCTCCAGCCCCCAACCCCAACCTCCAGCCCCCACCCCCAGCCCCCAACCCTCAGCCCCAGCTCCAACCCTCAGGCTCAGCCTCCAATGCCAACCATCAGCTCCAGCCCAACCCACACTCCCCACTGACACAAGTAATCAGATAACATCCGGAATCCGCAGGTGGGAGAGGTATTGCCGCTCCCACTCAACACAATACCACGTCTATCACCCATTTGACGACAAACACAGTCACCATCTCCGGTTCCAGCGCCGCTCCCGATCCACACGGTTCAGTCCCGGTTTGAGATATTTCAGGTAATAAACAAAATAAATCTTTTACTCCCATCTGGTTTGGTTGTTGCTCGGTCGCGGCTGATCCATGGGCTCAGGTTGAGTTGCCAGGAAAGTGACGATCTCTTTCTTCCAAACGCTAACCTGAACTCGATGCTCTCCCAAAAGAATAAGACTTGTGTGTGTGTGTGTTTTTTAACCACAAAACAATGCAAATCCGGGTTGGAAGCTGCAGGTGATGTGTAACGAGTGAGACTTGTGAACTGTGAGAGTGGCAACAGGGAAAAGTTTCCAGAATAGAACAAATGACTACAATCCAAGCAGCCAGAGAGGTCCAGGCATGAGACTAAGTCTGAAGATCTCATTGCTTCCTTGGAAATATTTACTCAATCGAATGTAAATCTGATGCGAAATTGGTGAAAATGATCACGAAACGAAAGGGGAACGATTATCGTTCGATCTATTTTCACCAGAAATAGAAAGAGCAATTAACAATTTGGATTTATTACAGCAAATCAACCTTTTACCCTGGAGGAAATCTGCGTGACCTGTCCTCCCAATTTAACCATGTAATCATTCTGGTGAACCTGTGTTGCGCCCCCTCTGAGGTGCGGTGCCCAAAACTGATCACAGGCTCCAGATGAGGTCTGACCAAAGCTCTATATAGTTGAAGCATCAGTTCCTCTCCTTCATAATCCACCCGCCTTGAGATAAAGGCCAACATTTCATAAACTTTTGATAACTTTGTGTACCTGTTGAGCTTGTTTTTAGTGATTTGTATACGTGGACACCCAAATCCCTTTGCTTTTCCACAGTTTTTAATTTCTCCCCATTTAGAAAATATTCTATTTTGTCATTTTTGGATCCATAGTGGATGACTCACACCTTCCAAAATAAATTCCATCTGCCACAGTTTTGCGCACTCACTTAATCTGTCTAAATCCCTTGTAACTTCCTGCTCCCATCTCTAACAATTTACTGTGCCTCCTAACTTTGCCTTCTGCAAATTTGGATTTAAAACTCTCTCTTCTGTCATGTTGTGAAGTGACCTGCTCTGTAATAACAATAATAATAATTTCCTTGATAAGGTGCTTTATAAGTGCAATTTGTTGCTGTTAATTTATATATTTTTCTCTATCTCACTTGAACTCTCATCCATTGATACCTTATCACATCCTACAGATGCCTCAAAGCACTTCACAGAATATACTGTGAGCTTGTTTTTAGTTCTGGAGTCCTGTAGCTCAGTGGTTAATGCACTCACTTTGCAAGCGAGAGACCTGTATTTGATTCCCGGCAGGGCGATACCTTGGGCAAGTTTCCTTACTCCACATGCCTGATAATAATCCCTCAAAAATAACCAATAATAAATTGGTCATTTCAATCCACGACTGTTTGTGAGACATTGCTGTGCGCAATTGGCTGCCGCATTTCGCCCACAAATATACAGTCAGTTCACTTTACAGTCTATTCTATGAAGCGCTTTGAGACTTCTAGAAGATCTGAAAAGCGCTATATCAAATGTAAGGATTATTATATACTGCAAAGTGGATTGACTGTGTATTTTGTGGGCATAAGTAAACAGCAAAGTGATAGAGGAAGTTACAGTAAAGTGATAGAGGAGACTCATACCAATGCTCCCCATACAGTAGGAGCTGTTTGTCCACTGTTCCTGATGATTCGAGTTTTACTTCATGTGTCAGATATGTCATTTGTTGAGTCAGTCAATCCACAGTCAGCAACTATTTCTGTCCATCATATTCACAAATATGGGTGTCAATGGATGAGAGTTCAAGAGACATAGAGAGAAATGATACATTAACAAATAATTGCCCTTATATAGCACCTTTCAAGTCAGAAGGGCATCCCACGACGCTGGACAGTTGATGTTTTGCACCTCAGCTGGGGCTTGGATTAAGAAGGGTGGTGGGCAATGGGGCAGGAGTGGAAAGATGACCGAAGACATGGTGAAAGAGGAAGGCCTCGAGATGGACCTTGAAGGAGGAAAGGGGCAAGGCAAAGGGACTCCGGGAAGGGGTTGTAGGGAGTGGGGGCAGAGGGGTGTGAATTGGGATTATGGAGGCAATTGGATTGATGAAATCTACGGTGTTATTTGGGATATTTATCAGCTCCTATCAGCTCATGTGTCATTATGTTTTTGGTTTAAAGGTGGAAGAACTGTCCATTTGAAGATTTTGTCATTGGACGTATCATCTGATTAAGTGGAAAAATGCGACAAGTAAGATTCTGTCATTTCGGCTTCCTGGTCATTGTTATGCTGGCTATTCTATACTTGTTTCCAGGAAGGATGGGAGATATGCCCAAGAGTGCGATCTCAGATATTCATGCCTTCTACCTCAGAGTTGCCAGGTCCAAAGCCGCTCCAAGACAGGTGCAGGAAGAAAGGAGGAAAAGACTAGAGGATCTGTGCACAGATTCTGAATATAGCTTCCCAGGGAAAAGTCGCAACTTTACCAAAATTCCAAACAACGAGTTTAGGAATTTA